CCCCCCCCTGTACGCCCTCCCGCTGCAACCTGCTCTTCCACCCTCAATACTCCCCAACTTCTCGCTCATCATCAGAGTCCGAATCATACAGACCCTTCCACATGAAGAAGTCGTTCCATTCTTCCTCGCTTTCGAATTCGGACTTGTCGTACATTTCCGGCAGCGGGGCGCGCAGCTCGCGGTGCACAGCGGCAGTGGTGCGCCAGCCGATCCAGCCGGCGTGCTCCCAATCGACGACGCCGACGATGCGGTCCTGTCCGTCGATGCGGTCGACGATGATGTTCGAGGTGCTCAGATCGTTGTGGGCGAAGCGGAAGTCCGAGTCGGGCGAGTCGAGGGAGTAGTGCTGCTCGTTGTTGTTGTCGTCGTCCTCATCGTCGAAGAAGACATTACCTCCTTTGCGGTTTCCGAAGCGTGGGCGGGACCCTGGGGCATTCGACGACACAGTGTCCTCCTCCTCATCGAAGCCGCTATCCTTGCGCTTTCCCCAACCAATCCCTGCGCGCGCGCCCACGAACGACTTCGGCTTCTGCACCACAGACGATGGCGGCGGCGGGAGCATCAGTTTCCTCTCCCTCGGCGTGAGCGCCCTGGCCCAAATCGCGCTGTAACTGTCCACGACGTACGACCGCTTCCCCTTCTCCCCGCGAACCCTCCAATCATCGTTGACCACGCACTCGGCCAGCGTCTTCGCGAACCTCCTCGCCTGCCGCCTCAACGCCCTCTTCGCCGCGCCGTCCAGGTACCCCCACGCCACCTCCAGACTCACGCCGGGCAGCCGCTCCTGCACCAGCACATCGCCGCCCAGCAGCTTCCCCGCGAAATAGACGCGCGGGACGCGCACACCGTCCGCCTTGCCCGCCTCGATGACGGTCTTGCGCACCAGCGCGATGGCCGCGACCTCGTTGGCGTCGACGAGGCTGTAGTCGCGGCGCTTGCGGCTGAGCGGCGCGAGGTGGTTCGTCTTGACGATGCAGCCGCCGACGGCGAAGATCCAGCGGCCGAGCGCGACGGCGGACGAGGCCGCATCAATGCTACTACCTTCTTCGGAGGAAGAAGAAGCGTCGACCGGCGACAGCATCAGCGTGTCCGCGTTGCACCGCGTCCGGAGCACGTCCTCCCAGTACCGGATGCTGGCCGGCGTCTGCGACATGACGTGCGCGGCGTCCGGCTGGAAGTCGGTCGGCGACGGCGCGTAGCGGCCGTAGTGCGGGAGGTCGCGGAAGGGGTCGTCGGCCGGGACGCGGGAGAGGTCGGTTTCGTAGGGGTTGATGGTGGTGGTGGTGGTGGGGATCATGGCGGGCAAGGGAGAGGGGGAGGGGATCATGGAAGGGGGCGTGGGAGGGAGGTCTTTGTTCTTGTTTGGGTAAAGAGGTGGTGGCGGGGCACCGTAACTGCTGTTTTGGCAGGGCGAAGGGGAGGGACCCGGCGTCGGGACTTCGACAAGTGGAAGGAGGTGGCCGTTGGGCGCGATGGCGGTCGGCGCAAGCTTTGAGATTGGCTGGGGTTGGGCGGCCATGGCTGCTAATAAAGTGACAATGTGACTTTGTTAAGGGCGGCAAAAGTTCGTGGCTGAGAATGCTACGTCAGTAGACTGGCTTGAGGTGGAAAGTAGGAATAGGTGGTAGTGGAGGGTGGAATGAGATTAACGGGAAAACATGGACAAAAGAGGCAGTGCCGAGTTACACAACGGCTGAAGGTACGGTCAGACAGCATGTGCAAAGTGAGAGGTTGACGTCTAGAAGCACACTTATCGTGATGTGTATATACGTGTGCATGCAGGCCCGTCCTTCCGAACGTCGGCCGAAGACCACGTACTTCCAATCATCGTCGATTCCCCTGTCTGCTGCCTCTTTGTGTGACTGGAACAAGAAACGTCGAACCACGGTAGAAACGAGCTAAGCAGAAAGGCCTTCTTTTTTTTCTTTTTTGTGTCCCAACTCCTGAAACGTGGAAGCCTCTGGAACAAAGGATTGACCACTCACGTTAATATGCTAGCCGAGTAGCTTGCAGTAATCCCGGAATGCAGGCAAGAAGTGAAGTCACAGGAGAATGGAATTATTGTGCCAGCAAAAAAAGCTGATGTGGGAAGGACACTGAAGAGAGGGGGCGTGGACAGAAAGTATACGAAGCCAAGCGGGCCATGCCATTGCTTCCAGTTCCAGCCCGCTCCATCCGGTGCTGAGCTGCGTCGCCGGCGCGCGTGGCGGCCCCTTGCAGCAGCTGCCCAACCCCGCAAGAAGGAATGGACGAGGGCCGTTCACTGCCGCCTCGCCTGACCACCGGCCAGTAGCGCAGCCAGCACGGGTCACGGCCTAAAGACCAAGCTGCTGCGGTAACCCAGGATCTGGAACCTTTTGTCTCCTCTAACCCGGTCAGACCCAACAGTACGGGAATAAGCTCAGACTTTCCCGGGAGGCTCGGCAGACCCGGTCGCAGAGCAGGGGAGCGAATGGTAATGGATGGGCCGACGCAGGGATCCCGAAGGCGAGTCAGCAGCGGCCATCATCGTGACTGGATGGGTGACACTTCTCTTGCCGCTAACGGCACCCCTGTCTTCCCCGGCCTGGGCTAGACCCATCTGGTGGCACCAAACTCTCGCCATCTGTACCATCCACACACATTTGTTGGTCCCCCGCTCCCCCGCTCCCGTCTCCGTAGCGCTAGCCAGTCTTCCCCGTCACTAAAGCCTTCAGCCTCACCTTCCTATCCTCAAGCCTCATAATCTGCCACCCAATGAGAAGGCACGCCTCGAAACCGTCTGCGCAGCAGCCCTAACAGCCGCTTTACCGCTCTTTTGCCCTGGGAGTCCCTGTTCGACATCCGGTATCGGATCTCTTGCACTTCAACTATTACGGTTGGAATGTCCTTTTTTGATTTACTTCTCTCTCAGAAATAAGAAGAATATCCGCCCTTTGTGCCTTTTTCCGATTATACTCAACATGCAGCAACGATGCGAATCCGTGCTCCCCAAATGACGAGGCCCCGAAGAAGTACAATCAAGACCACATTGCGCCCCAATGCCAATGCTTTCTGGAGATCCCGGGCCAAGCAAAGCCGGATGACTGCAGAGCGACCGGGCGGGAATAAGACACCCAGACGGAGATAAGAGCGAAAGTAAAAGCCGTAAGTTTCATACAAGAAGTTGAAGAAGAGGGAAGAGAAAATGATTATGTGGTATTCGTGCCCATCAAGTAGTAAAAAAAAAAACGAGGTGAGAGGAAGAGGGATTACTACACCGTCAACGCGTCTTGAGTCAGTAACGAAAACGAAAATCAACGCCCCTCTCCCTCCTCTCTTTTGAATACGTGGGGGTATGTAGACCCCGGAAATGCCCAATCAACATCCATCAACTATGTGGGCAAATGCCGTCCCTGTTTTCGTGGCGTGGTTCCCGACGCCGTGCACGTCCAGAAGCCAGCTTGCTGCATCGTCTCATCCGTCATCCATCATCCATCGTTGCGTTCCATCCTCATTTCTCTCCAGCCTACGCGTGAATGATGCTTCTGACAAACACCTTTACGACACCGTCACCGCCTGCAGAAACGACCAGGCGACCATCTTGACTCCATACGACGCTGCAAACTCCTTCTCCGCGCATTATGCGATGGCTCGAGATCTCCTGCGTGCAAATACGCTTCTCGAGCGACCAGAAACGGATCGACGCGTCGTGGCCCGCTGACACGGCTTCGCGGCCGTCAGGCGACAAGTGAAGTGCGGAAATCGCGGCAGGATGCGCAAGCATCGAGTATGTACATTGGCCTGGGTCCAAATTAGCAAAAAAAAAAAACATATTCGGGCCATCTCTCGACTTACCGCTGTTGGCATCGAAGAACCGAATGAACCTATCTTCGTGCCCGCTGATGACGACGCCTTCGACGCCGCCGGCTGTGCCTGTCGCACCGTGTAACCCTCCTTCATCCTCCCCGCTTCCACGGCCGGCCTCAGCGCTTGACGCGCCCTCAATCGATGGAACCGCAGCAACTGTGTTGACGCCCGTCTTGCTCGTGCCGTCATATGTCTCTCCACTGGCCATGCCGATAATCTCCTCGCCGGTGCGAGTGTCGAAAATAAGAATTGAGGCGTCGGTGTATGAGACCACGATAGTCTCACCCGTCTTGGACAGCGGAGTGATGCACGTCGGGGAAGGTACACCTGCACGCTCAATGGAGTGAACAAGAGTATAATGGAAAGGCGTGGAGGTGGCCACGCTAGGCTGGGGCGAGGACGGAAAGTTTGAACCAGAGGTAACGGAATGCCTGCGGCTACCGCCAACTCCACGCCTTGAGCCGGCTGAAGGTGACACGAGCTGAGGAGGTGCGCTAACGGCCCAGATCTTGATGGTACCATCGGCCGAGCCGGAAGCCAAGAGAACTCGCTCAGGGCCACCGAAATTGCTGGCGCTTCCACCAAACACCTGCCCGCAGTTCGACGGTAGGACGCAAACTGCCCAAACCGCGTCCGTGTGGCCGTCCAGTGTTGCCTTCGGATCGACACGTCCTCTTTCCCAGACCCTGACAGTCGAATCTTGGCCGCCGGAGAATATCCATCCATCGCCCGTGACTCTGCCACCGGTAGAGAAGCTTGCGTTGGATGCCGCAAGAGACGTCACAACACCCTCGTGTCCTCTGTGGGTGAAATAGCTTTGGATATCAATGTCGGTACCGAGGGGACCATGCTGCCCGGCGACATAGCTGGCTGGTATTATCCATCTCTTGATCGTGCCATCGTCGCCAGCAGTGCAGATCTCGGGCTCTGAAGGCGTGCCTCCTCCCGTGAAAATGACTGAGCGGACGACGTCAAGATGGCCGCGCAGAGCAAACCGGACTTTGAACTGCTGAGGATCGGTCTTGGCTCCCTGTGCGGAAGGGTCACCTGTCTCGTTTCCTTGACTCCTCCTCCGTGACATTGATTGTGCTCCCGAACTCTTTCTCCTGTGTGATTGCGGACCAGAGCGCGGGGGAGACTTGGCCGGAATGCTGTTGGCGCTGGGGAAAGCATCCGTGTCCGGTCTCCGTGGCGGCGGAACATCTGGCGGCGGCTCAGTTGGTGGGCCGGTTTCGTCGAAATTCCAGCCATCTGGATCTTCTGTCACAGTGCTCTGGACAGCGCCCTGCTCGGCCTCTCTCGCAGGGAGTGGACGACCATAGCTATCGTAGCTGTGCGTAACCTTTTCCACCTCCTCCTCAGCAATGTTCGAAAAGCCGGGTTCAATTTCGATGTGTGACTGGGTGGCTTCCACAGCAGACACGGGGATTTGGGGGAGAGGCTGGTTGCTCGGCGGCTCTCTTGTCATAAAAGGGGCTTGCTGGGGCAACTGCGAGGTGTGCGTGAGATTAGGTACATCAGCTAGAGACGGCACGGGTGGTGGCTGATGGTTGGGAACCGGTGCCTGCTGCGGCAGGCCCATAACCATGCTCTTCTGACGTTGTTGCTGCATGTATGCCTCCTCCATAGACTGATCGTGGTTCAGGAAACCAGACGAATTGGCCAACGAATGTAATTGAGCGTGTGTGGGCGGAGGATGAGCTGGCGGCTGCAAGAGGTAGGTAATCTCCTCGACACATTTTGTGAGGAACTGTCTCGACTTGTCGCGCTGGGCTTCACGCTCATGCTCGGGCGAATCGTGGGCTTCGGGGTCGACGTCGAGGAATGAGTTGTGGTGCTTGTTCGCGGCTGTCGTAGGATGTCAGTAGCTGCACAGATTGAAGGGGGTATTCACATACGCTTCCTCTTGAGGTCTGGGCTGGCGCGCTCTTTGCCCTTGTCCTGGTCGACAGGCTTCTCGCCGGCAGCGTGAGCCTTGTTCTTTTGGCGCTCGTTCCTCAATGCGTTTTCCAGCATCTTGACGTGTTTTTCCAGCTGCTCGTTGAGACGCTTGGCGCTGCGAACCTCGCCCTCCTGCTTCGCGATCTTTGCTTTCATCTCGGCGCGTTCGATGTCCCAGGCATTGCGGGCTCTCTCGTGGTTGTGCCATTCGAGCTGGAGGAAGCGCATCACGCCTGGGAGGAGCAGTGTCAGCTACGCACGGACGGGCTCGGGGGACGGGTGTTGGGAGCTTCGACGAACCCTGTAATGTGTACTCGGTGCCGACAGGACCCTGGTTGTCGCCCTGCTGGGCGGCGCCGTTACCCATGGCGGAGGGGCTCTGCCAGGCCATGACGCCCGGCGATGTCAGAAACGGCGGGCGGTGTTGAGTGGTGGCACGGGCATGCAGGTCGCGATCAAGGCGCGGAGGAGGTTGGCGGTTGAGCGGATAAAGTGCCGGAGCGTCGCGCTCGGTCTGAACGTGCACGCGGGCGGGGCAGGTGGAGCAGGGATTCAGTCTATTCCGTCGGGCATGCAGGCAGAGGCGACAGCAAGTTGTTGGGCGCTTGCCAAAGTGGAGAGTCTGGAGAGGTGTCGGCGGCCGCGAGAGAGGTGGCAGATCCGCGTCGCGCTTGTCGGGCGCAGCTCGGCCCGTCAGCTGCGTACAAGGACAGCTGCCGGTCCGGACAGAAACTCTACTGCAACAACACCTGCGCCCGTCGTGATGCGCGTGTTCCAGCGACTGACGGCCGCTCTCCTTGCACATCCACCGCATTGACCAGCCGAGGGCCAATGTCTGCATCCATCCGGAGGTGCACGCCAAGGCCGTACTCGTCGAGGACAGAAGCCCTTGTATCCTTCGAAACAGGCCAAAAGCAGCGACATGAGCCTGCCAAAACGCCAAGCCGCTAGGCATGTTGCCTTTATGCCTGCATCTCTCCGTGGTAGCATCATCGCCTTGCTTCTATCGCTGTTCTGGTCGGCACCATCTCCGTGAGCGCTGCCTTGTCGCATTGCGCCTAGCGTTTCCCGAAACCGTTCATCGCGCGACGCCTCAACCCGTCGTCAGTCTTACCATTATGTTCCTTCGGCAACTCGTCTCTGTGGGCATCGAATATGAGGCTTTCGCCTGATGCGATGGCGCTAAAGTAGTACCGCGGGAAGGCGCAGCGCACGGGGCGGTGAGCGAAGAACCGCCTCCGCCTTGAAAAGCCAGCTCATCGACCTCATGACCAGCGAGTGTTTTTTCAACAAAACCGGAAAAGAGCTCCGGCATAGAGGCGTGACCTTGAGGAGCTCAAGGAAATGCTGGCCTTGAACCTAGGCTTGGACGAAGACAAGTACCAAGTCACATCATGCGTCGGATAATCATTAATGGGGATGTACCATGTCCTACCACTCAGACGCATGGACGAGATCGCTATTAGCCAACTAACGCTCGATTGTTGACCCTGACTACTGGCCCCAACGGCCTCCATTGGGCTCGAGCTGAAGCACGTCATTAGTTGTCTTCGGACACCAACGCCAATCAACTTGCTACAATTGGTCCCAATACCAAGCTGGCGTCTTCACTCGCCCTTGAAACCCCATACCTCATAGCTAAGACCCTGCTTGCAACGGTGTAGTGGTCAGGGGGACCAGCTCGGCAGAATATTCGATGGATGTTTAAGAGACATCCTCGGTCTAATACCATACCATCACCACGAGTATAACGAGTGCATTACTGCTTCCCTCATTCGACTTCGAATAGAGGGACGTACTAGTGTAACAAATACTCTGGCTGGAGGTGGGCATCATTGGGTGAGTTGGTCCCCTGGACCCCCTTACTTTTCTGGGCACTCGATACATTCCACGGTTACACAGCATACCGCGGTCACAATTCCATGGATACATGTCGATATAGTACTGAGTCGGTCGAACCAGGCTGCTTTCATAAGTGGGACTTTCCAGGTCCAGACGAAAGGCCCCAAAGGAGGATGCTCGTCCCAGGACCCTTGGTCAATACTAGAGGATGGCACTTCTTTCCGAAGCTGAAATTGCCAACTAAGTATTGCGGGTTCGCCAATGCGTCATATTCCATGATCTTGGTATGTAAACGTGTTTGAATTGTATTTACATATGATCTACAAAAAGTCCTTCTAATCCCCAACGCTCCCAAATGCTACGTAAAGTTTCGTGGTATAATATGCGGCGTGAGCCATGCAACCCTCTCTTCCCAGAAGCCATCCATCTCTTAATGTCAAAATAGAACCGTTGTACGCCGACCAATGCTTATCATCAACCATAAAGGAGACAAAGGATAAAAAAGGAGACGACCGCCTTCAGAGGACTCATTAACACATCTCCTCCGGGCTGTCAGGGCGCCTCTCAGGCTCGCCCTTGATACAAAGCTCGGCGAGATCCATGAAGATGGTGCCATCCTCATTGATGTCGCGCTCGGTGATGCCGTATCGGCCAGTGCTAAGGCTCCAGGTACGGTTGCCAGTGCACATGCAGCGGCAGTTGTCGACGAAGCGGCGCAGGTCGTACGCATGCTGAGGATAACGCTGCAGCAGACGCTCGGCACACTCGTCCATCTCGGCGGAACGGTCGGCGACGTACTGGGCGACATGGTCGACAGCCTCCGGGAGGTCAGGGACCAGCTTGTTGGCGAGAAGGATAGGAATTAGGGACTCGACGGCGTTGATGGCCTGATAAACACCAACGTTAGTATCGACAAGGAAAGAGGAGGAGAGCAAGCAACTTACGACTTCCTTCTTGATGGAGTACAGGTCGTTCAGTCCGGACAGGTGGATGTTGGTGTTGCGCTCGATGGTCTTCATGTCCTCATCCTCCCAAATGGCCGCGGGCAAGGCCATGTCACCAAACCCGTACTCGATCAGCGAAGTACAGATGTTGACAGCGCTGGAACCCAGGCGGTACTTCCAGAACTGCTCAAGGGTGGGCAGGTCACGCGACAACAGTCGGCGGCGCTGCTCGTCCTCGGTGCCCCTCATGAAGCGATCCACCTCAGCGAAGAAACGCTGCCTCTGCTCCACTGTGTATGCCTCCCGCAGCGCGTCGCCGACAACCTCGAAGTTACGAATGATCTTGTTGGAGGGGGGTGTGGCGCTGCGCGGCGCCAGTCCGAGGGTCTCCTTGACGAACTGGATCGTCTCGAAGCGGTAGGTTTGTGCGCTCTCCAGGTCATCACCCATAGAACCCAGTGACGAGTCGATCTCGTCGTCCCATGTGAAGACCCAGGCGCAGAAGAGACATGCGATACGGCACCGCTCGTAGCTGGCGTATGGCCACTCGGTAGCACCAAAGAGGCCGAAGTCTGCGCGCTTGGAGATCTGGAGTGCTCTGCCCTCGCCGAGAGTCCTGTTGGAGTTTTGTTAGTCACGAATTACCGGCACACGACCACACCATGGTGAAGGTAAAGAATGAGAGAAGAAGGAGATGGTAAGTGCTTACTCTTCCAACCAAGCGTGGACGTCCTTACGGATCTGGTCCAGGTGCGGGCTGCACTCAACCGGCCAGTCCCTGAAACATCCCTTCAAGTCCGGGATGACAAAGGTGCTGCGACGCAGCTGCTGGAGAACTAGTTCTCTGGGGTCGAAAGTCATGGCTGCCATTGTTGTGATTGTTCAGTTGCTTGATAGTGAAGTAAGGAAGGAAGAAGTACCATGCCAGCAGGATGAAAGGTCTTATATCTTCTTCGTCTCACGTCTACTCAGCTGGCTTCAGGACGAGGCCACCCCTTCATCGTCCTCATGACACAGCCTCGAAGGATCAAAAAGCGAATAGAAAAGAGTTTTTGGAGTCATCGTCTTCTGGCCGAGCGAAAGCCGTCAGGCAGACATCATCACGGCGGAACTCTTAGCCGAAATCGAGGCTTGAAGCTGCGAAGATGCGCAGATGCGCAGCATGGGAGGCATGTGCCGATGTGAATCGATCGCCTCCAACAGTTCTGGACCAACCATTGTTGGCTGCCTGTGAAAACCAGCGATCTTGACTCGCGTATCCAGTCGATTTTAGCGTACTGTTTCTATTTCACGTTGCTGACTTGCAGACAGGCCAGCTCGGTAACCCGACTCGGTATCCCGTACGTCATCCCCAGGGTCGGCAGTGGGGGGATGGGGGCCAAGGGTACGCCAAATGCCGTGCAGAACATTGTCCAGGATTCGGCCTCGAGATCTGCCCGCGAGCCACGCGGTGGCGAAAGTGGAGTGCTCTATTCCGGGCGTGGGTAGGACGGCTCACGGCTAGGTCTGTGAGTGGTTGGATGTGGGTTTTCTAGAAGGATTGGACCAGTTCCGTGGCGCAGGGAACGGACGGACGTTGTGTTGCCTGGGCTTTCACGCATGTTGATCCCTGCACAGGCCGCTTCTTCAGCCCGCCAAGCCTCCCTCCCCCAGGGATTGGCCCCCATGCTCAGCCACATCTCTTGAGCCTCATAGAGGCCGCACACCGCGGGACCGTTTTACAGGCTTCCATACACTGCCGCACTCTGCTGAAGGATCAGGATGAGTCTACAGTCGCCCTGCTGCGGCCAGCCCTCCACGCATGACGAAGGAGCCGATTCTATGTGCACCCAGACCCTGAATAATCATCCAATCATTCACACGCTCTCAATCTGTACGAGCGCCACTTATTAGCTCTTACCTTGAAAAATCTCACTCAGGAAAATAAAAATGAGCCATCGCACGTTCGAATGGGAAATAAAGTTTTTGACAGGTTGCCCAATGCAGGTACATACTTTGAATTAAGCATACAATGAGTGTGTTGCACGACCTTTGCCTTGCATTCGGTATAATTTCAAGTTTGTAAACTCACTTAGGCGGTCTAGTGCTCCCTCTGTAGCACAAGATTTCGAATCCTGTGCGGTTGAGGCTGAGGGGGATCCTCGAGGGAACCGGATAAGACGGCTCCATGCCGCAGCTGTGTAACGCGGGTGTAGCATCTTTGTGTAACAACGGTCGCGAGATATTCTCGCAGTTCCAACATGGAATGCCTTAGATGTGGCGCCTTGTGATCATGACACACTGCACGCGCCCGGGAATAAGCGGGGTTTTAGCGATTCTTCAGCATCCTACGTTGGTGAGTCTTCATTTTTTCTATTTTGCAGATACGGTGGAATACGGTGGATGCGAATCCCTCCAACCTTCCCGCCGGATCTTTTCTTTGTTTTGCCCGTCTCAGCCCAGCCTGCAGAACGCCCACCAGACGACCAATCCTCCGCCGCCCGCTTTATCTGACAACGCACCGTAATAGATAGTCAGCCTCGTCCCTGCATCCGGCTTACTGCCCCACAATCCTCCTCCCCTTTAGGAATTTCCTGTTCTTTTTATGTGCACCTCGGTTTCCGAATCTGATTATTTCTCATTCCCCTTTGGATTAAACCCTCTTATTTATTTTCTCACCGCTCCGACAGTCGCAATGACCTTTTCCTCGACTACCGCCTCTCTGCCCTTGGCTCCTCTGTCATCCACCTGCAGCTCACAACTCCATGACCAACATGCCCGGCAACAAGAGCCCCGCCACGACCAGCACTGCCAGCACTTTCCCCTCGCCTAAGAAAGGCCCCTTCCCCCCGCCACTACTGTAGCGAATAAAAACATTTTTGAAACCACTCCCATGTTCATCCCCGCCATCGGATTCGCCGTCGCCGATAGGCGCTCTTTGATAAATCTCAATGCTCGAAGGAATTTCGTCGCGTCGGGAGAGGGCGACGATGTCTGTTGGAATGAGGATGGGAGAGGTGGGGATGAGTACGAGGGAATAGGTGGTTGCGCCGGATTGGGTAGAGATGGCGGAAGTGAAAGCAGTTGTCGTCCCTAGGGCGGAGGTGGAGAGGAGCATAATGAGTAGGCAAAGGAACAGAGTGCGCATTGTTTGAGAAGTTGGCGGTATGGAGAGAGATTCTCTTTCATGGGGAATCCAAAGTAGAAGGTAAAAAACCATTCACCCGTCTTCTTTTTTGAAAAGCAGTTCTAAAGTGGAAACGACCGATGCAAACGACACGCGAAGAGCGCATTGAAGCTTGTCTTACAAGAAGAGCCAAAGCCACCGTGAACGAACGACGGAGAGAGGGGAATTTACACTCATCTTCCATTACCAAAGCAAAGGGATGGACATATCACGGCCCATTTTCCTCGGTGGACGATTGCGGCTTATCGAGAAAACCATTGTAGCCAGCATCCCTCAATGTCGTCATGTCTTCGGGATCCAGATTGCTGTCCATCGCTCGCGAACCACCGATCACGTTAGCGCAGCAAGCGACGTTTGCAATCGGAAGGGCAGCAGAGCCGGTGTGACAGCTTGTTGATAGGGCTCGAAGGTACATGGGTACATGGCACATGACAGCAAGAAGGATTTGGAGGCTGCGCCTCGGATGAGGGAAAAGCGGCGTGCCCGAAGCCGACTTTGTCATCAGGCATCGGTGTCTGCCTGCAACACGGAGCAAGGACAAGCGAGGACTTGAGGAGGACAGGCGGTACAAAGGGCCGTCTCCCAGCCTATCGCTGCAACCGAACGATGAGTGGGCCAGCTAGTTATTAGCGACTTCTGCCGCGCAAAGAGGCGGGGTTGTTGAGAGGTAGGGTGGTTGGAGATGGGTCGGCGATAAGCAAGAGAGCCTGATCTACGCCGCAAAGCGACCAGTCCGAAGGCGGCCTAGCCCGGAGGAGGCCACAAGTAAAGCTTTCGCGCATTGTCATCATCAGCGTCATATTCGCAAAGTCGCAAGCCCAAAGCGCGAAACCAACCACCCAGGCAACCCTTCCAGTCCATTCGACTTCGTCCGATTCGCGCTCCCGTATTCGACATTCGAATTGTAGCAGTCTAGACCACGCACCATGGACTCCCTCGGCAACCTCGACCTTACCAAGCTCTCCGATCGCGACAAGCAGGAGCTGCAGCAATTCGTCGTCAACGAGTCGCAAAAGGCCAAGATCCAAGGATGTACGCATTCCATCCTCTCATCACCAATGCCACTCGATCTCTACGACTGCCCACCTACCTCCATCCTCAAACTACCTCTCTCCAGCCCAGCACGTCAAACCACCAGCGAGATGCTTCATGGCTGACTTTTCAATCACGAAAATAGCAATCCACAGCCTCACCGACGTCTGCTTCCGCAAGTGTGTCACCAGCAAGATCTCGTCGGGCAAGCTGGACAAATACGAAGAGCCGTGCATGTCGAACTGCGTCGACCGCTTCATTGACGCCAACCACGTCGTGCTCAAGCAGCTTGAGACGTTGCGCACCTCTAGCTAAACAAATAAAATGAAAAGATGGCCCTAAGAAGATCGAATACGGACTGAGTCGAGCAAGACAGGTCGTATGGTCGTAGTTGAGGATGCACGGGCTGAGGAGGATGAAGGCACATGCGACTAGGCATCAACGTTTGTTCGACCAGAGGAACTGGGGTAAAACCCCATCCGCAGCGGATGACTTCGGATGTACTAGTTGGAATATGGCTCGGACATGTGTTATCAGGCGCAGGCATTGTATCATAATCAAAGACAGGATCCTCTCTACTCTAGGCATTGGAGAGAGGTGTTCGTCATGGACGACAACGGAAAACAGGCATAGACAATCACATCACAACTCAGCTCAAGAAGAACGGAAACGTGCTTCATTGGCTCATCGAACGAAGCGGGTATCGAAGAATTGATGGTTTTTCCCTTCATGACAGTAGATTGGCTGTTCCGAGCGCTATCCACGTTTTGACCCAGATGACTTTTACTCCCGGCAGTGATATAAAGCCCGCAACAACAGCCGCAAAACTCCTGCCTCTCATCCCAGCTTTTTTGATCCTTTATTTCAAAGATTCGTCGCTTAGACGATCTGGAGCTTGGTGGCGGCAATGTCGAGAGCATCGACATCGGGAGTAAGGCGGGCGAAGGCCTTCTTCTTGCCGTCAGGGCTGCAGAAAAAAAATTGTTAGCTCGGAAATCGGCAATTTCAGGGGACGAAGAGCATACCGGATGAGGGTGTTGACCTTGATGGTCTCGATGTCGTAGAGGTTCTTGAGGGCCTCCTTGATCTGGCGCTTGTTCGCCTTGACGTCGACGATGAAGACGAGGGTGTTGTGCTCCTCAATCTTCTTCATGGCGCTCTCGGTGTTGAGCGGGTGGATGATGACCTTGGAGGCATCGAGGCGGGGCTGGCTCGGGATCGACTTGCGAGGGTACTTGGGGGCGCGCGAGAGCTGGAGGGTCTTCGGGCGGTGGAAGGTGGTGCTCTTGCGGACCTTGCGGACCTTGTGCGAGTTGACCTAATTTTGCGCGTGAGCAAAACAGGCCGTGAGCGATGTACGTGCTCACACGCCACTGGTAGGAGTCCTTACACCCTTGAGGGTAGCCTTAGCCGCGGCCGAGGCCTTAGCGGTGGGCTTGGAGGCTGTACACACAATGTTAGCTGGTGTTTCTTCGTTAAAAGATGTGCGCGCTCTGGAAAACTTCGCTGGAGTTGCGGATGGGCGCAATGCTGCAAATCCGATCCGCGGCCAGGCCAGTCGTTCGCGATTGAGGGTGTGCCGTCACATACTCTTAGCCTTGGGAGCCATTTCTACTGTTGTCGTCCGGGCTGTCGTGAAGTCGTCGTCGGATGCAGAAGAGAGAGAGGGCGCGAATTTCGACTTAACGTTGAGCGAAGGCCTCGCTTGACGCGCCAAACGAGGACTAGTGCAGTCGAGGCTCCGCCAAGACTTCGTGCGATCGGCCCGAGCGTCGCAACAAGCGTCGCCGACAATTATTCGGACGTCTTTCTTCCGTCCTTCACTCCCACGATGATATGAAGTCTCGATGGTCGCGGCGAAGCGCAAGGCCAAGAAGCCGGGCCTCCTCTCCCATGGCCGCAGCCCGCACATAAACACCCAGAAGACCGCCGCAAACATCTCCGCGAAAGCGACTGCGACCATCATCCGTACCCACCACCAGCTGCAGAAAGCGCACGCCCAAGCCGTCAAAGCAGGCGACCATGCCAAGGCTGCAGAGATTCAGAAGAAGATCGACGAGCAGGGAGGGCTGAAGACATACCAGGCGGCCAGCATCACGGGCCAGAGCTCCGAGCGCGGCGGAGACAGCAGCCGTGTTCTTGTCGACTGGTTGCAGGAGCTAGGCCTGCCGTCTGCGTATCGCGAAACCGAGCGAGGTGATGTGGAGGGAAGGAAATGCAAACTCCTCGAGGTGGGTGCACTCTCGACAGAGAACGCCTGTTCCAAGCGCCGCTATCTCGCCGTTGAGCGCATCGACCTGCACTCGCAGGCCCCTGGCATCCTTCAGCAGGATTTCATGGAGAGACCACTCGCGGCATCGGACAAGGAGCGCTTCGACATCATATCTTTGTCACTAGTCCTCAACTACGTCCCGGACGCAGAGGGGCGCGGTGAAATGCTCAAACGGACACGCACGTTTTTGCGCAGAACCAGGGACCTAGATCACGATGGAGCTGCTCTTGCTGCTGATCTCCCGACACCCTGTTTATTCCTGGTTCTGCCCGCACCCTGCGTCACAAATTCCCGTTATCTCGATCGACAACGCCTCGAGCAAATCATGAACAGCCTCGGCTACGTCATGCTTCGGGAGAAGATAACGGCTAAATTGATTTACCAACTTTGGAAGCTTGCAGAAAAGAAGTTGGGGAAGGATCAGAAGTTTCCAAAGGTCGAGGTGAATCCAGGCGTGAAAAGGAACAACTTTTGTGTCATAGTGAAATGAATTTGCAGTTGCGTACCAAGAAACGAGCGGAAAAAGCATTAATCGATGTGACTTAAGGAATATAAGAGCATTTCTGTCCAAATGCAACTGCACTTAATCGCCGCAGACTTTGCCCTTCCATGCCCCAAGAGACACCACACCCCTACATAGGCAGTTGAAACAAGCAATCAGATACAAACGAACGTTTGAAATTGTACAAAAATGTACAAATATAAGCTTCAACTACCCACGTAAGTAAGGCGCGACATTTCTAACGCGACAACTGAGAAGGGTCAAAAATTTTTACAATCCCCTGGAGCGTATCACAGACGAAAAGAAATATGCAAATCGCCAGTTTTCCTCGAACGCCAAATAAAGACGTGGTATCTAGAGGGTTTTCTTTTTTGTTGCAAATATGGAAGAGAAAGCAAGTTGGTGGGGCATATTTTAGAACAACCAAAACAGCATTCGTATGTAAAACTTTGAACAGGACAAATCCAACTGTACAATTTCCGTAGGCGCCATTAAATTTCCTCCGAAAGGCAAGAAATGGTGGTCATTCTATGAACAGCAAAGCTTTTAGGGCAATCGTGACTGGTATCTATCATCACGATGCGACGATCACATCCTTAGGCAAACAGGCGAATATCGTACTGATAATGGCCATGATGGCGCTGAGGACTAGAAGTGCCCAGTTGCCCCAGTATTCCCATCGTCCGATCCTGTCGCCGAACAGTTTGAGATGAAAAGCAAGCGGCAGGATAAGACAGACGGAAAAGCAGGCAACGGAACCCAGGAGAGTCATGATTCGGTCGAATTCCGGGAAGACGATGGCGATGATGACGAAGACCGCGGTCGTAAACAGGCGAATGGTAATTTTGAGAATGCCCCTGGTGAGACCGGATGACCCGTGGAGACTCGACGTAGCCGCAAGAGTTCGTGGGTCGAGACCGAACAACAGCTCAATAGTGCTGACAATAGGGCGGGCACTGGAAACGTTAGTAAAGGAGCCCCCACGTTCTTAGCGATATACTCACTTTAACGGGACCTTGGTCAAGGGAATGATGGCAATGAAGACGATGATGAGAATAGACAGTGTGCGCGGGTATCCATCCGTGAGCAGAATGTTGGACGTAATCTCATCACGGACGCCATCTCCAAACATGAGGAGACCGATAACAGCCATACTCAAATCCAGGAGAAAAGTGAAAGAGTAGGTGATTTTAACACCCTTGCGGTATTTGTATGGATGGCGCATATCTCTGTAAATGTTAGGAAAGACGCTGTGGCCTCCCCAAGGTGCTGATTTCAAATTAGCATCGAAGACCGTTGCAGTCTTTTGGGAACGCTTACACATTAGAAGACCAAAACCAAGCGGAACGGTAGCCCAATGTTCGGGGAACAGGTATGTCGTGGCTGGCTCTTGAAGGGATCCGGGCTGGTGGGGTTTGATCGCTCCGTCAATGAAGACTATAGAAACGACTAAATACTAGTTAGCATTTCTGTCATAGTTTTTCGGGAAAAATCTGATACTCACTTCCAAGACAGCAAAGAATTCCGAGGACACTCGTAAAACTGAGAAAACGGAGGGGGAGAAAGTTCAGGGGTACCAAAATGATTCCGCAAGCAATTTTCCAGCCTAGATCGCTGAGGACGGGAGCCAGAGCAGCCAGACTATCTGCAAACAGGACAACCAGAGCAACGCAAGCTGCCAGCAGCTCAAGAGTGAACAGTATGCTAACAAGAACACGTGCGCGGTGGCCAAACGAGACGTATGCAAGATCAGCAAAAGTTATGAGTGAGTTATCAATGTCAAGACATTTTGCCAGGAGTTTGGCAGTGTACTGGGTTGTGATGGCCGAGAAAACGAAGAACGTCAGGCCAATAACCCACCCGGTGTACTTCATGGCCAAGGGCAAGCTCAGCAAACCGATTCCGATGAGCACGTTGACCGAATTGAAGACCGTCTGAGGGAGCGTAGACTGGCCAACAACGACGTTGATGAGATGGCCATCCTCTTCAACTTGCTTCACGAGTAAAGGCTCGCGGTCCTGGTCTGGCTGGGTTGTGCCTTTCAGCTGTTGTTCACTGAACAATCTCGCTGCCTGACGGATCGCAGCATCATTAGTGCCCCGGAAGCTGCCATAGCGCGTGCCATAGCTGCTGCCAAACGGCGATGATAAGGAAGGCTCAATGGAAAAAAGGCTTTGGTCGCGGAAAGAACCCCTTCTCGACGGGTCGTCGATCGGGGGAGCGTCGAGATCCTCGTCAGTGGCGACGGCATTATCAGATGATCTGCGGCCTCCGTCTGCAAAGGCTTCGTGCAGGAGCGATCGCCGCTCGCCGGGAGTGGATTCGATATCGCCGTTCCTCTCGTCAGCAGCACCCTCGCCCTCTGAGAAGCGAAACGCGCGCCCTTCTATGGGCTGGACCTCGTAGAATCCGGCGGCGCGCTGCCAAGAGCGGGCGAAATTATCGATACTGTTCACACCGCCGGCATGGCGGATCGAGTTGAAGCGCATCGACATGGATGATCTTATTGGCTAGTCAGCAGGCGCCGTTCAGCATATTGCAGACAACAAGTACCTTCTCTCGCGCAGCTGGTGGGCGAAGCCGCTGCTCTCGGCGCGCGGCGGTCTCTCATCGTCGTCGTTCCACTGAATGCTGGTGTTGGAGTTGAACGATGCGCGGCCATCGTACTCGTCCCATGTGGTGGGCTGCTTGCGCGGAACATTCATGGCGGAGTCTCTCTCCACACTTCACACGGGCGACTGCGGGAACGATTGAGAAAAAGTTTTGAAGGAACTCAGAGGGCACGCGACCTGGGGCTGCGGCTTGGTTTAAAACAGGGCACTCGAGGGTCGCGACGGGCCTTGGGCCACGGCTAGACTCGGGCGCCGGTAGCGCTTTATCTGCGAGCAACTAGGGTTCGACTGACAAGGTCAAATCCGATATGGTAATTGCGGCACACGAGATGCACGGCTGGTGGAGCAGGGCGGTGCAATCGACGCGCCCGTGGCTGGTAGAAAGGCACAGAAGAGCGGGCGGGCGGACATGGCACCGCGCTGGGAGCTCGTGAGCGCGACGGCGACACAACATGAGGAAACTCATGGAGCTCGGACGCTAAGATAGCAGCCTACACAGTACGAGTCGCGCACCCGCCCTGCTGGGCGTCGCGTGAATCACCGCAGCCGGTGGCAAGCAGGCAGCGCCTGGCGGCGCAGCCCGGAAAAGTATGACGGCCATGACTGCGGGCCGCTTGCGCCCTCCGCCCGTGCTTGGGATTGGGCGGGCAAGGCATGACGCTGGGCAAGCGAGCGCCCCGGAAAATTGACTGTGCGCAAAACATCTGCCGCCCAGCACCAGACCCATTGCCAGTCCTCGCGCTCGTCCTCGTGTCTGACGTCCCTCCCAAAGCGCACCCGCCGCCCTCAGCTGCCTGCGGTGCTTGCCTCCGGGCCCGACCTACTTAAGCCAGCTGCCGCCAGCAAAACTCGACTCCGACCCCTCACAACCCTTGGCACGTCCCGCCACGCAACGTCGCCATCATGAGCGCCCCTCAGGCGAACGACGCCGAGAAGAACATCGAGATATGGAAGGTCAAGAAGCTCATCAAGCGCCTCGAGGCCGCCCGCGGCAACGGCACCAGCATGATCTCGCTCATCATCCGTACGCTGCCCACCTGCCCCGCAGCCTGACCCTCGCGCATGCTGACTGCCGCCCAAAGCCCCCAAGGACCAGGTTTCGCGTGCCGCGAAGATGTTGGCTGAAGAATTCGTGAGTTCCGCGCCGCCCGCATGCCACGCGCCCGCCGCTGACCGCGCCCCAGGGTACCGCCTCCAACATCAAGTCGCGCGTCAACCGTCTCTCTGTCCTGTCCGCCATCACCTCGACCCAGCAGCGCCTGAAGCTCTACTCCAAGGTCCCGCCCAATGGCCTGGTCATCTACTGTGGTGAAATCATCACCCAGGAGGGCAAGGAGCGCAAGATCAACATCGACTTCGAGCCCTTCAAGCCCATCAACACCTCGCTCTACCTTTGCGACAACAAGTTCCACACCGAGGCGCTGAGCGAGCTGCTGGAGTCGGACCAGAAGTTCGGCTTCATCATCATGGACGGTAACGGCGCGCTGTTCGGCACGCTCAGCGGCAACACGCGCGAGATTGTCCACAAGTTTTCCGTCGACCTGCCCAAGAAGCACGGTCGTGGTGGTCAGTCCGCTCTGCGTTTCGCCCGTCTGCGTGAGGAGAAGCGTCACAACTACGTGCGCAAGGTCGCCGAATTGGCCGTCCAGAACTTCATCACCAACGACAAGGTCAACGTCGCCGGCCTGATTCTCGCCGGTTCCGCCGACTTCAAGAACGACCTGAACGCCTCCGACCTCTTCGACCAGCGTCTCCAGGCCAAGGTCATCAAGGTCGTCGATGTGTCCTACGGTGGTGAGAACGGCTTCAACCAGGCCATCGAACTGGCCTCCGAGACGCTGAGCAACGTCAAGTTCATCCAGGAGAAGAAGCTGATCAACAGGTACTTCGAGGAGATCAGCCAGGACAGCGGCAAGGTCTGCTACGGCATTGATGATACCCTCAAGGCCATGGAGCTCGGCGCTTGCGAAATTCTCATCGTCTACGAGAACCTGGAGGTCACACGCTGGACTCTGAAGGATTCGGAGGGCGCTGAGATCATCCTGCACACGACCAAGCAGCAGGAGGAGGACCGTTCGCAGTTCTTGGACAAGTGTACGGGCCAGGAGATGGAAATCGTCGACCAGATGCCCTTCCTCGAGTGGCTGGCCGAGAAGTACCGTGACTTCGGTGCCACGCTGGAGTTCGTCTCGGACCGTTCCAGCGAGGGTAACCAGTTCGTCAAGGGTTTCGGTGGTATCGGTGCCATTCTCCGCTACAAGGTCAACTTTGAGCAGCTGGCCGATTACAGTGACGACGACGAGTTCTACGATGGTAAGGCTTGATAACCCCTTTTCGGAGCACGCGCAAGCTGACACAATGCCAGATTGACGGTTTTGCACCCTCGCAGAGAGCGAGGTAGCAAGTCCAGAGATCGCTACTCCCGGCACTCTGACGGCTCCTCGCTTCGAGCGTCGCGTCGACGCTCAGGAGCCCCGGGAAGACAGCCACTTCGGCGTCCCGGCATGCCGCTCCAGGTTGTAAAGGGAGTCTTGAACCAGCCACACGAAGATCAACGGCAAGTTTCCCCGTGCTTGTCGGGCATGCGACCAAGGTTAACAGTGTTCCCAGATGGCCGTGAGGAAGAGCCAGATGTGCGTGATCTGGGCAGGTCCGCTCGCTGAGAAAAGCTCGACAGAGGCACGACTCGACTTGAAGGCAAGGCAGCGCGCAGGAGCGCAAGCAATCCATCCGAGACGAGGCAGAGGCGAGCAGGTCGGAGAATCGCTCTTTTAAATGGCCGATTCGGGGATCTTTTGTGCTATTTTGCGTTATGATTTCAGATTGTTGTTAGCAAAGTCCTGCGGGACGGAAACTACGTAGCAATCATTCGGTGCTTTCGTCCAAGCGTGCGCGTCGCGTATCGAGTGATGATGGTGTTGATGTTGAACCCTGAAGCTCGGCCTCACTCACCTATCACAAAAAGAGCCGATGTCGCTAGCGCCGTTTGCGCCGGATTTTGGCGACGCGGAGAATGTCAAAGCGCCTCCCCAGAGTTGTCTTCTTGGAGATGTCATCGCGAAGGGCGCGAGCCTGTGACTTCATCTGCCGACCGCTTCTCTCGTGCAGCCCTCGACCGTAAGCGACCTCCGGACAACAGAGACGGTCAACATGGCCGAACAAGAGACGGTCGCATTTCTCGGCCCAACGGCCTCCTACACGCACCAGGTAATTATTTGATGCATTTCTGTTTATTACGGCCCATCGACACTTTAATGGTGCCGTTTCCGCCAGAATTCCTCCCATCTCAGACCTCTATGTTCAACATTCCTCCCTTCGAGTTTCAAGAAAATTCTTAAAGCACATTCTACACCAGTAACCATGTCGTCACTGGTTACCTTTGAAAAGTTCAACTCGAGCAGCATTTGGCTAATCAATCTCAGGCGGCGCTTGACTCCTTCGACGAGTCCAAATACACCTTCCAGCCTGTGGTCAACATTGAGGATGTCTTCTCCGTCGTCCAAGCCGGCACCGCGGACTACGGCGTCGTGCCCATCGAGAATTCCTCCAACGGCGCCGTCATCTTCACGCTCGACCTCTTCGCCGACCTGAAGGACCGCTACCCGGACATCCTCATCTGCGGCGAAGCCTACGTCCGCATCGAGCACTGCCTGCTCGGCTACGCCCCTTCTTCCCCCAAGGCCGCGGCGTTGTCGTCGGCGGCGGCCGCTCTCCTCCACGACTCGACGACCACGGGCTCGCCGGCCTCGTCGTCGGGCGTGGCGACTCCCACGCTGGACGCGCCGGCCCCGTCGAAGCCGCGCACGAAGCCGCTGGCGGACCTGAGCGGCATCAAGAAGCTGTACTCGCACCCGCAGGCGTGGGGCCAGTGCAAGAACTTCCTCAACGCGCACCTGCGCGGCGTCGAGCGGCAGGACTGCTCGTCGACGTCGCGCGCGGCCGAGGAGGCGGCCAAGGACCGCACGGGCGCCAGCGCGGCCGTCAGCAGCGCGACGGCGGCGAAGCTGCACGGGCTGGATTACCTAGCCAAGGGTATCAACGACCGCGACGACAATACTACGCGGTTCTTCGTGCTTAGGCGGCGCGTGGTGAGCGAGGCGGAGGAGGAAGGTGAGCCGGGGAAGGACGGGTTCTCGGCGTTCAGGCCGAGGGATTGGGTGGACGGCCAGGGTGACGGCGATGAGGCGGACATGGAGGCGTGGAAGAGCTTGGTCGGCTTCACCGTCGATCACAACGACCCCGGTGCCCTGGCGGACTCGCTGGCCGTGTTCAAGCCGTACAAGCTGAATTTGACGAGCATCAACACCCGGCCCAGCGGCGTGGAGAAGTGGAACTACATCTTCTTCGTCGAGTTCCGCGGCCGGAGGTTGGCGGGCCGAGAGGGCGCTGTCAACGCGGCACTGAGGGACTTGGGAGGCGTGGCGAGAAATTGGCGGTGGTTGGGCAGCTGGGAGAGCCAGTCGGCTACATGAATGTTGTGACGATACGAGAAGTCACGAAAACAAAAGTCTTCATTATGTTGCTTCTAGGATTTCAACAGGGCCTTGAAGCCGAAAATGCGACCATTACTAGCAGTTACCATGATGTAACGGCATACCGGATTGGTACATGGCATATGTGGGCGTTGAGCTCGGCAATAGCGCGGAAATAGGCAGATGACTTGCCGCGGCGTCTTTAATCGTTCCCCGACCGGCAACTCGATTGCTTTCCCCGCAACCACTGCCCGCAAGCTACGACATGTCAGCCTGCGCAGCGTTGTATTATATATCCCCTCATCCTCAGCCCTCCAGCCAGTCCAATTGACACTGATAAGCTATGAATTGATCTCTCATACACACAGGAAGCTACCAAGAAGTTCAATAATGTCGACAGCCAAGCTCCTCCCCCGCCGCCCCGCTGCTGCTGCCGCCGCCGCTGCCTCCTCCGCACGGCTATTCTCCAGCAGCAGCTACCGCCTCTCCTCGACCTACGCGCACCTCTCGCATGAGCTCCCCGCGCGCCGCCTGCCTCCCATCTACAGCGACCTGGCGCCGGGCAACTCGCACACGCTCGGCATCTCGCTGTCGTCCTTCCTGCCCGCGAGCTGGACGACGTCCAGCGCCACCACTGCGCTACCTGCCAACGCCCTCGGGGCCCCGGCCCTGCCTCGCGCGTCGCCGACACTCGAGCTGCCGCCCGCGCACCACCTCGTCTACTTCAACCCCGTCATCCCCGCCGACAAGCTCCTGCCCGACGGCACGGACCCGCTGCAGAGCCCCGGCGCGCCGTTCGTGCGCCGCATGTGGGCGGGCGGGTACGTGCGGTTCGCGGGGGGCGAGGGCGAGAAGAAGGAGGGCCCGGTGGTGCTGGATGGGCAGAGGTGGGTGTGCGTGGAGGGCATAAGGGACGTCGCGGTGAAGGGCAAGGAAGGCGAGGAGAAGGTGTTCGTGGGGATCGAGAGGCGGATTGGCCGGGCGCTGGAAGGAGAGGGCGGCGAGCATGGTGGTGCGGAGGAGGAGGAGAGGGTCCGGCGCAGGCTGTGGACGGAGAGAGAGGAGGATTGGGGCGAGGCGAGTCTGGTGGAGAGGAGGAACATCGTCTTCATGCGTGAGAGAACGCCGGAGGAGGCGAAGGTCGAAGTGAAGAAGGCAAGGGGGAAGATGCTGTTTCGTAGGTGCATCCTTCATATGTCTATTACATTCGCATTCAGACCGTGGTGTGTACCCAGAAGCTTTGGCATGCTGACGTTGATACCCACCTACAGCCCAGAATCCCCCCGACTTCACGCAAACTCTCATGCCCACACCATCTCTCCTCTTCCGCTACAGTGCTCTCACCTTTAACGCTCACGCCATTCACCTTGACCCTCACTACTGCCGCACCGTCGAGGGCCACCGCAACCTTCTCTTCCACGGCCCGCTCTCCTTCTCACTGCTGGCCACCCTGCTTCAGAACAACCTTCCCGCTGGCCGCCGCATCGCGCAGCTCGAGTACCGCAATCTGGCCCCGCTGTACTGCGATGAGCCGGTCAAGCTGTGCGGAAGGAAGGCGGACTCCACGAATGGCAAGGCTAATAAGGGTGATAAGTATGAGGTTTGGGCCGAGACTCCTGAGGGCGGATTGGCGGTGAAGGGGACTGCATACACGATCGCTGCGTAAGACTAGATGTAGGAAGCTGGGAATCACTGTACAACAGGACATCGGATGGGACGAAATGAATTGCGTAAAGGCTCATATTTCGGACCATTGTAAAGAAAAAGAGAGGGGAAGAGTCATAAAATTTCAAACAAAAATACTCATGCAACTAAGCTCCACTATAGGGCCCCGATTTCAGTTCGCCTTGCATCAGTAATAAGCCTTTTCTGCATGCAAGTTTTCCCCAGAGAATCGAGAGACCAGGCCAGTGATCATTTCTTTTACCATTTTCAATTTCAGTCATGGTATTTATCTCTTGTAGAGACTTGGGCTGTTACTTTTGGTTTACCCCATGCTCTTTTTATTGGGCGATGCATATCAAAAGTAGCACTCCACCAGGCATGCCCTGTCTCGGATAGCTATCACAGTAGTAGTGCTGTGATTCGATTTTGTTATCGGCACTCCCCTTCAACATTATCTGAAAAATACCCCAGACATGCAGCACCACCATGACTTCCGATATTTCTTCCTCGGTGGAATTCGACCAGCAAGATGCACGAGCATACGAACTAGAGTAAGACGTCTTGCCATGTCACGTTGGAAAAAGGAGGAACATCCACCTCACAGATGGATCCCGGCTCCGGCAGTGTTCCGTTGTCAAAGTAGACTTGTGTTGCTTTCGCGGTACAACGCGAGACTTGCGCAGGCGAGCAATGCTGGAAAGGGGAAAACGGGTCATCTGTCGTCAGCACCAGTATCGAAAGGGAGGCCGGAGGATAAGAGCAGACATACCCCGAAACCATGATGTTCCAGCACAACGCTACCCTCCAGACTCGCACTGGCGTTGCGCGCGGAGACAATCGGCGTGACTGGGTCGAATGTGTTTCCGATAATCAAAATCGGATGCCTCGTGCTCACTCTGTAGTCTCCCAGATAGCGCTCTTTGGCATTCATTTTCCATTGCACGCACGCTTCGATGTCGTAGGATATCCTGTCGCCTGCTAACTTGCTAAGACTGGAAACTTGGTCTATTATTGGAAGCACGTCTTCCAAGTGTGACGTGCGCCATGGCTTATCTCCGCACTGGATCCCGAATCGGTTCTCTGTGAATACTGGGTCTTCCGTGGCGCTTAGAGTCTGAAGTGGCGCATCAAGCTCAGCCATGTTCCCTGTGAATAGAGCGTCGAGGAAGGTGGCCACTGCCGGCCACTGAGCTACAGAGGTGATGCCTAGGAATATAACGTTCCTGACAAAGGTGTAGTCGATAAGCTTTCCTTGATACGGGAGCGGCCGGTATTTGACTTTTTCGATGAGTTCGTAAGTGGCTTTTTCGAGATCGTCTGCAGTTCTGTTTAGGTGCGACAGTGGGCATCTTTCGCCCGCAGCAATACAAGTAGACAGGAAGCCCGAGAAAGTCTTGTCCGTGTCAGAGAACCCTTCCACCCCGCTGCAATAGTAAAGTGGATGCCCCTGTTAGTTCATACTCGATTCCTGGGAGGTGAGCATCAGACTTACTGATAATGCCAGTACTCGTGGATGTTCCAAACTCCGTCCAGGATCATACGCTCGATTTTATCGGGGAACATGGCAGCTATGGTTGCTCCCAACACAGTGCCACCTGAAAAGCCTGTGTGATTCGTCATCAATACCAGAATGTCTCTATGAATGCTCCACAGTGTCTCCTTACCAAAGTACCGGAGAAGCCCATCCTCATTAAGCGTTTCCGCAATGCGAATGTAGTCCCTTGCTGTGAAAGACATGCCAACAAGATCTCCGATTTCCTTGTTGTTTTCGTAGCAGGCAGCGTCGAGGTTTTCGGTACTCGCCCAGAGCCTCCCGAGCATGGTATCGGACTCATGGCCGTTGAAGTTCGGATTCATCAAGGTAGCATTCACCCTTTCCGCCGAATTCCGATAGCATGACATCGCGATCGTCTTCCCAGCACTCCTATGCAAAGGTCCTATGTCAGCTGCTCGCCACATAAAGTAGGAACGAAACGGAATTATGGCCTTGTCTTCTTACCTGGGGTCAAAGCTGATCAGGTCGAAATAGCCTCCTGTTATACTAATTCGCCAAAGTAAGCAAAGCAGTCTCTTCATCTGCTGTTTAAACTAATTGCAGACTTACGCTTGGACAAGTGGCCCCATCATGGCCATATATTGTTGTCCGCTTGCGCCGGGGCCGCCGAAGTTAATTAAGATGTTCCCTTTCGAAGGCTGCTTTGATGCAGGAGCCTTTACGAGCTCTATTCTGAGCGTTTCGGTGGAGTTTGGGTCGGAATAGTCCAGCGGAACGGAGATATTCCCGCATACCAATGGTATTGTCCCAGCTATTTCACAAGAGCCCCACTGAATTTCCTGTGTGCCATTGTCTTCCTGAGCATAAATGCCAGTGCAGGTGAATACGGCTTGGAAAAAGAGTAGCCGAAGAGCTGTAAGTCTCAAAAACATTTTGATTGAGATAATAGGTCTGTGGGCAGAATAGTGAAAGACATTGTATAGTATCAATCCGGGACTGATGCTTAAGTACGCCTTAACCCCGCTCCAACGTTGACGTCATTGTGCTGAAGGAAGAGACAGTGAAGGATTGATGAGGTTGCACATTCTCTAAGCGAAGGAAGTAAGAGTGGTAATCCACGGCACGCAGGGCTTGAGATTGCCTAGCGGCAGTTCCAAGCCCTACGGCAATTGCTTACTTTCCACAGGCGGCAGTCAAAGATCTTTAAAGCCAAGCTATATGAAGAATTTCCCAGAAATTGGCTTGCGATGAAAGCTGCGGGTCCTTGCAGACCCCATCCAGACCGGAGTTCTGGGGGCGAAAACTTGCCCAATAGAACGGATCTGCCGGAACCGACCCCGCAAAGGATTTCGGACAATATTGACGGGTCACACAGCCACTCCAGCAGGATGATTCTGCTTACACGATCTCTCGATCGCACGAGCTTTGAACAAGAATGTCTGATGATTTTATCGTCCAGTAAACATTTTGCCTAAATTACCACATAAATTCAAACCCCGGCGTTCTTGAAACAATGGTTCAATAGGATTAAGTTTGACGTGGGCATGCAAAATTCTAATTTATTTGTCCCTTCGTCAATCAAATATAACTACAGTTGATCAGCATGGTGATGGGCGTTTATGGTCGTGGGTTTACTTAGCCGTACCTCTCGCTTTAAGCTTTTACATTTAAGAAAGGGTAATAGACGAGAGAAAAGCAAGAAAGGTTTGGGGAAAGCAAGGGAGTAATTCAGATGCCATATGCTATCTATTTATCGTGAATAACCGCCTATGACAAATTGACAATCTCAACCTTCTCTTCACAAAATCGTTCAAATACGACCGCACAGCTAGCAAGCTTGTGTGATATTCTGATGTTCTATTTACGCAAGTGAAGGGGAAACCGGAGCTTGGGGAGATGCTTCAGCGGGAAGACTGAGTGAGTTGATGTTCGTATATGACACACGAAAGTAGGGTAAAACGTCAAAAAGCATAGACTCCCTAAGGCATTAGGGAGGTTCACTTGTATTTATAATTCTAGCTGTAGGTGTATCTCTGATTGGTGATTCAACTAGAAGCGCAGCATGAAGAATCCCAGCTGTTTGCAGCCCTAATCACAATATCTCAATAACCTCACTGCCTCACTTTCACTACGAAATACCGCCAGGCACGTGCCCCCAGATATCTGTCCAGCTGCACGCGCCCAAAGGTAGCGAACTTAAAGAGTGACCCAATCCATTTAAACCCTTCGCCTCCTCTTCCTCTGGTTCTTCTTCCACCTCTTCGCAACCCCGCGAGCTGGCACCACAACACCCACTACTGCTGTCATCGGAGGCTTCTGCAGCCACATCTCTTGCAACCATGGACCAGCCTGACAAACCCATCACGCCCATGCCTACCGCTGACATGCACGGCATGACAACCAACATGCGCAACGTCTCCCTCAACGAAGCCCCCGCCTCACTTCACGATGACTACGACATCAGTGGCAATGGCCATGGTAGCCACCACAACCACCAGCTGCCCCTACCTAGCCTACCACCCAACCTCACTCTGCACCAATTCACCTTGCCGATCCGCAACGCGGTGCCCTCCGACAATGGTGGAAAAAACCAGCTCACTTCAACACTGCCCACCCCGGCTCTCACAGCCGCAGCTCACAACGAAGAGCTCACCACCATCGCCGATAACGATACTACGTCCATGGAGGTACAGTCTACCGCCTCATCGGACAATGGCACGGACAAGGACCCGGCCCCGGATGACTCGAGCTACCTGCATGCCCCCATCTTCGGGCGCCGTGTGAGGATCGATGGTGAGGGCGCGTGGCGCGTGCAGGCGGAAGAGGTTGCGCGCCTTCTGGTCTCCGCTGAGAGCAAGTATGAGGTCGTCAAGTGCATGAAGGAGCTGCCGCGCACCCTGAACGGCACCATCCCCGCGGCATTCCGCCTTGAGCTGAGGGAGTTGGGGATCATCTGCTCGCGTCACGGTTGGTTGATTAGGTTTGTGCATAGGCAGCAGGCGCCGGGCGTGCCGCACGTTGTCGCGGGAAAGAGTGTCCACGCGATGCGTTTTCTCAAGAGCCCGATGCAGGTGCTCGGATCCCAGGAATCCCGCGCGGAGAAGCAGCAGAAGAAGGAGAACATGATGAAGGAGAAGAAGGCCACGAGGGCTAGGCGCCGGCATAAAATGAAGGTCAGGCGCGCGAGGGAGAACCAGGAGGTTCGGGAGACTCGGGAGCAGGAGATGATCAAGCTGGAGTACGATGTTGTCTAGCGGAAGGGCAATCAACCATCGAATGCTGGTGGAGGAGAAGATGGTTCAGACTGGAAAGATCAGCACGGACAATGCCATTCCGTACACTGCTTGTCAAGGACGACGAGCAGAATAAGGCTATGAATTACGAATTTCATGAACGGAGAAAGGACTAGGGGATGGCAAAAGAAACACTTCAATTATGGGGGAAGTGCGGATCGGATGTTGATAGTCCTTTCCAAAAAAAAAAAAAAAAAAAGCTGGGACAACCAGTATTCTGGGCACGAGTCCAGATAGATAGTGGTTTAGCGTTTACACCCAGATAACAGATGCAAATTTCCATCCGAATTGAAAGATCTAGGACGAGTGACCAGTGTGAACGAAGCCGACAGACACTTAGAACAAAAAGGAGGGAGAATGGAGGAAGGGCCTGAGTATAGTCGGGCTAGCGCAGTAATATGTACACCGGCTCTTCGAGACATATGTGAGGTCTCAGCCCCTAAAATTCCCTGTCACTGACTGCTTTTCGCAATTCTTTATGACGAAAAGGAAAGTCCCGAGGGAACCGGTCCATAGACTGGAGAGGATACGGTCCATAGTCGCCTTCAGGCACACCTCCTAGCAGGTGATCCAGAAATTTCTTTTATGGGGCCGTGTTAGTGTTCCATAGATTTTGTTGCGGCGAGAGCACAAGAGTGGGACAGGCGGAGGTGAAAGCGGCGGTGGCAGTGGCGGGCGGTCAAGTTAGCGAGGGCTTGGCCGGGCAGTTGGTCGTGCGCGCGGACCCTCTAGATCTGCAACGTTGCCTTCCTCTCGTCGCCGCAGTCCGAAGTCAATTCGCCTCAACAAGAATAAATACCCTCACCGGCGCCCTCGTCCTCTTCCTCGCCGTCCTCGTCACTTTCCTCTCTGACCGACCCCGCGACTCCGACGTCCGCAACCGCCATCATGGTCAACCCTCAGATGTAAGTTTGCGCAAAACTTCAAAGCGAGAGAGAACGACTGCTAACGAGCGCGTGTGCGCACAGTACCAACCTCGCCATCATCTTGTACGCGTCCCCGTCTGTCCGCGCCTTCGTGTGCGCCTTTCTGACGTGATATATCTTGCAGGGTGATGATGCAGGTGTCGAAGCGCGTCCCGTTCGATGACCCGAACGTGCTCAACATCGTGCGCGCCGTGTACGTCGTGTCTAACCTCATCATCGCGAGCGTCTACTTCTACGTGAAAACGCAAATCGACAAGAAGAAGGGTACGCAGGCTCCAATAACCCAAGGCGGAATCGCAGGCTGACAGGGAATGCGGCGCAACAACAGACATGACGGTCCTGAAGTACGTGGAGCCGGCGCCTCCGGGCAGCGGCGAGGAGCCCAAGGCGGTGACGACGACGGTGCACGCCTACGACACGGCCCAGCTCAAGCAGCTGTACAAGGCGCAGATGATGGGCGTGGGCATGATGGCCGTCATGCACTTCTACTTCAAGTACACCAACCCGCTCCTCATCCAGAGCATCATCCCGCTCAAGGGCGCCTTCGAGGGCAACCTGGTCAAGATCCACCTGCTCGGCCAGCCCGCTTCCGGCGACCTCAAGCGCCCCTTCAAGGCCGGCGGCGGCCTCATGGCCGCCATGGCCGGCGCGGGCGAGATCAAGACCGACAAGAAGAGCATCGAGCAGGCCGAGCGTGCCGGCCGTGGCGGTGCCAAGGAGGAGTAAAATGCGAAGGAAAACTGGGCTATTTACATAGCATGAGGAGAGAGGCAGGGTGCTGGAGGACGGCATTCCTGCAGCGCTGTTTCCGAGCGCGACGGCTTAGACTCGCAGAAAATTTAACGTGTTACTCCAATACTTGATGGTTTTTAACGTGCGGTTCCAGATACGACGTAAACTGCACACAGACGCGTACCCCGCAATTGCCTCCGCAGTCCGAAGAGGTTGGAAACGACGTTTCAGATGGGTTTGACGGCGGCAGCAGCTGGCCCTTGCCCCCTGAAAGGGTCGACGCATTCATCAGGGTCGCAACAGAAGGGGCTACGGCTTTGGTGCCGGAACCAAGACGACGCGGCGCCATGATCGGCTCGCATGAAGGATCCCAAGCGTCATCTCCCAGGCCCCCCAGGCAACGTTAAGGCCAAGAGTAAACTTAAACAACACACGACCCAACCAACTTCCAATCCCAATTCCTCGTTTCCGTGCATTCGTTTCCACCAACATTTCATCAGACTGCGGCTGCGCCACAGTAGGCCCTCCACCCGCTTTCATCATCACGCAGCAAGTGCTGCTCTCTAGCTGGCGACGGTCAGATTAATCGCCCCGGACCCCCGTCGGGCCAACAAACACGCCCCTGCCGGCCTTTTTCCAAGTAAGGAATATAAACTTCCCCACACCGCAGCGTGATGATGACGATGAATGAACTTTGTTTCCAGTCCCTCGTTTCCCTCCGTGCACCCAAAGATACGGAAGCAAGGAGAGAAAAGAAGAAAAAATAATAATAATCGTAATAATCCCCAACCTCGTAAAGAAAAAAAAATACACGCCAGTATCAAAAGGAAAGGAAAAAGAAAAGGGAAACCCGCACAATACTCCAAAACCATGCCTTCCACAGCATTAGCAAACGACGCATTCGCCAAAGCAACAGCATCCACCACCTCCTTATCCTCCTCCTTATCATCCTCCTCGGCCGCCGTGCCCGCAGCCATCAACGAGCCACTCGTCACCTTCCACCGGCTCCCCGCGCGCTTCCCTTCGTCGTCATCGGCGGAATCGATCTACCAAAGCGAGCCGCCGGCGCACCACGTCACGGCGGCGAATGGTACCACCGTCACGGGCTTCCGGAACCCGTGGCCGTCGTTCGTCGACGCCGCGCCCAAGGGCCCCGCGCAGGCCATCCACGCGCGCTTCCTGTCGCGCGAGCGCCGCTACGTGCCCGTCCCGTCGGCCAAGGAGGAGTTGGTGCAGGTCGTGCGGCCGGATTGGGGGTGGGGGTGTTGCGGGCATGCCCCTCCTCCAGGTTCCGCGATGGGCGAAGGAGGGCAGGGTGGTGGTGGAGGGGGTGACTGGGGAGGGGGAGGAGGAGGAGGGTCAGGGGCAGCGCAGAAGGAAATGGGTATTTCGGACGAAGGGAAGGCGGCTGCTGCTGCTGCTGGGAAGGATGGCGAGACGGGCAATCCGAACGCGACGAAGATGAAGGCGACGTGGATCGGGCACGCGTCGTGGCTGGTCGAGACGGGAGTGAAGCGCAGGGCGCCCATCGCGACGCCGTCCATCACGCTGACGACGGACGATGCGGGCGACGGGAAGGTGACGACGACGACGCTGGATCTCGGAGGGGATTCGGATTCGGACGATTCGGATGATTCCTCGTCGGTGTCGTCGTCCGCTGGAGGCCCTGACGACAAGACGGATCACGAGAAGGACGACGGGAAGAAGAACAAGAAACGGCCGGAGAAGGAAAGGAAGAAGAAAAAGAAGAAGAAGGCGCCGCACGTCGAGCGCGGCATCCGTATCCTGTGCGATCCCGTCTTCAGCTCGCGCATGTCGCCCGTCCGCTTCGCTGGACCGAAGCGCTTCACGCCGCCGCCGTGTGCGCTCGCAGACCTGCCTGACCCCGTCGATGTCGTCATCATCAGCCACGACCACTACGACCATCTGGACGCGCCCACCATCCGTTTCTTGGTAGACCGCGAGCGCAAGCGCCAGCACGCTATGAAGATCGGTAGGGGCATCCTGTTCTTGTGTGGCTTGGGCGTCGGGAGGCATCTGCAGGGCATGGGCGTGAGGGAAGAGGAGATCGTCGAGCTGGATTGGTGGGAGGGCGTAAGAATCGCAGTGAGGGGCGTTAAGGGCGCGGCGAGGGTGATCGCGACGCCGAGCCAGCATTTCAGCGGAAGAGGCGTTTGGGATGCGGGCAAGTCGTTGTGGTGTTCTTGGGTGGTAGAGGAGATTGGAATCGATGACGATGACGACGAAAAGCAGCAGCGAGCCAACGTGCAAGCTTCGCCGACGAAAGCGAACGAGAGCGATGCTGCCGGCTCTGCTCCTCCGTTGCGCAAGAATAAGAGATTGTACTTTGCTGGCGACACCGGGTACCGCTCCGTCCCGCCTGGCGTCGACAAGGACCCCGATGCCATCGCAGAGCTGCCGCGCTGCCCTGCATTTGCAGAGATTGGGGAGCTATATGGACCGTTTGATCTTTCGTTGCTGCCTATCGGATGCTATTCCCCTCGGATATTGTTGTCGCCAGTGCACGCAGCGCCAGAGGATTCGGTGTGTATGCATAAGGATTTGAGGAGCAAAAAGAGCGTGGCGATGCATTACGGGACCGTGCGGATGCCCTTGAGCGAGCAGTATGAGGATGTAAGGGAGCCGCCGAGGTTGTGGAAGGAGTGTGCCGAGAAGGAAGGGCTGAAGTGGGGAGAGGACGTCGAAGTGTGTAAGATTGGAGAGACGGTGTTGGTGTAGACAAATGCGGGGTGGCAGAGAGTGGGACATCTAGACCGGGAGTATTTCAACATGGATCGCCTAGTCTAGCCTGCGGTGGAAAGGACGAAGAAGAAAAGGATCCGTAGTAGTGGTCGAGAGCGGCCGAGAAAGTAGGTAGCATAGGAATGGCGCAACGGCTCTGAGTATAATCACCTATTAACTTATCTTTGCCATGCAGTAATGCAGAGACATGGCTTATTAGACCTTAGGTACGTTGGAGTATTCGGGATGGGTGTCCATTGGGAAATTCAAGTTGCTGTACCCCATTTGTAAGGAATATAAAGTGTAAGCGGGTAGGATAGTTATGGTTATCTATAGATATTTAACTCCGGGAAACAACGCTAGTCCCCTTCTACTATACTACTAGCCCTATGTCTAAGAGGAAAAAAGGCTCCTTCTAAAACCAGGCCCCGTCGGCCCGGGCTAATACCCGAAGCCCTGAGGCCGTGGTATTAAGATCTTCTAGGATTCTTCCGCTTCCTTTCTTGCTCCTCTTCTTCTACAACCACAACAACGCCCTCCGTCTCGATCTCGACGGCATTCCAAGAACTTCTTAACAAACCTCAGTAAGCTCTTCCCAGCCTTGAGTAATACAAGACCAATCCACAGTCGCGACGCGACGGCGCCGGACACTGTCGAGATATTTGCACCTCACTTGCGCAACTCCGCTGACCTTACTCTCGTTCACCCGATCAGAAAACTCACTACCCACCGCGATCATGGTTCAGTGGAACCACGAAGTCGACGCGAAGCTATTCGTGTGCTGCCTGAAGCAGCTGACGTCCACCCTCAACTATCAGCAACTGGCTGCCGACATGGCTACCTTCGACATCGGTTCGTCGCAACTCCCCGCCCTCACTCACACGCATCCATACCCTCGATCCATCCGCATCCCCCCCAGCCTCACCTCCACGTTTTCCATTTCTCCTTCTTGACATTCTCGCACGCTGCTTTGCCCTAACCTCAACGCTATAGAGGTGACCGCCAAGGCTATCACCCACCGCATCGCCAAGCTCAAGGCCGAAGCCAACGGCAACAAGAAGGACGGCTCTGGCGCTACTACTCCCGTTAGCACCCCCGCTAAGCGCGGTACTCCTCGTACGCCCAAGACCCCCGCCTCGGCCAAGAAGGGAGGCAGCTTCGTCGGCGCCAGTGGCCGTAACAAGCGCAAGAATGCGGACACCGACTCATCCAGTGGGGATGACTCGGAGGGTGGCAACCCCGATGGAGAGTGGGGCGTGAAGCAGCAGAAGAAGAAGAAGACGGGAGACGGTGGCCGCCAGAAGATGATCAAGCTGGAGAAGGGCGATGAGGACGAGGACGAAGTTGTCGAGATGGCCCTCTTCAATGCTGCTGCTAACGCTGCTGCCGAAGACGAGTTGGAGGCTGTTTGAGAGGATGGGTCTTCTCCTCTTCTGGCTTTCACTTCGCAATGACTTTGGCGATGGTGTCTCTGCGCTCGTACAAAGCGGCATTTCCTTTCAGATTGCTTCACACTGATCGACTTTTCAATACGATCCGATCCTTGGTTTGGTGCCTCGAGCACCCTTGGGTGTTTTGGGGGGGCGCATAGCTGGAGACAGGCTACCACACTGTTAGGCGCTCCAGAAAAGAGCGACGAGTCCTGCTAGCTAGACCATAGAACTTAGTCAGGGAGCGACTCCTAAGCACGTCCCAGACAAATCGAATCCTCTTTGCTCTTCAAACCCCACTGCAGACTTCGTACATGAGTCGTTGGCGCAGGTGTCCGGGCATAGGTGTGGCCTTAACTTAGACAAGGACATCCGGACGTTGGATTCAATTGTGATCTTCTTTGTGGCCCGCTACGATACCACCATCAAAGCCCAGTCTAAGTGCTAGGACGAGAAAAAACGACATGCGGGTGGAGAAGAGGGAAAAAAAGAGGAAGCAGAGACACAAGGTAGGACCCAAACGGTACCTGTGTCATCAACCTTGACTAGTAACTTTCCTACGCGCCCCACGCGGAGAAAATGTCTTGCTGTTTCTAAAAAAAGGGAGAGATGTGGAGAAGACGGGCTTCGACTTGCTCGAAGCGACCTGCCTTGGGCTCCTATTTTCCCCCCGGCCTCGTTACTGATTCTGCCTTGTGGACTCGTCCCACACCTCTGTCACATGCACACCCACGATGTCTCGGTCCTTTGCGACAGTGCAAGAGGTTGATCGTATGCAAGGCCACCCAATGGTGTTAACGATGAACGATCAGCAGAAACGCAGCGTCTCTCGGTCCTTTCGGAGCGAGTCCGAGTCGCGGTCGCGGTTGCACGTGGGCGGTGTCAAATGTGTGTGGGTCGGAGAGCCTAAGATAGAAGCACAAGATCCCAGCAACAAAAGAAAAGTGAGAGGGAGAGAAAAGGGAAGAGTTCGTTGCGGCTTTGATGTGGGTCCCCACCGACAAGAAGGTAAAAAGAGTGGCTCTGATGACGATGATCTTTCCCAGCCGGGTAGGTGTGTGTGCCAAGCAATGCAGGGGTTGGGCCTGTTAAGAAGAGGGATGTTTAACAGTATAGAGAGATCCTAACTATCCCATTTGGTCCTAGCATTCGACCCATTCCATCATTCCCGTATAACGGCTACCCGAAGGAACGCGAGAAAGGGGTTATTTTGGGTTGGAGGGGGATGGCGTAGCGTTTACGTCGTTTGGGTGCAAAGGAAGGCGCACGGTTGCGTATGTGTGGCGGTGTGGCAGCTAATAGAGAGACCCAAATGATGGTAAATTATCCATCCTTGCTGCGGCGCGAAGTGGCGATCATCATGATTTGAATTTTGGGTCACGGGCCTCGGTCAGAGCGCGACGATGGATGCTGCGGTTGCGATGGTGGTGCGTTGCCGAAGAGAGGTTCATTTGGTCCCATTAAGCGACGTTAATTGTTTTGGTCGTTAATTAGGCGATGACGCAGGGGGTTTGCACAGTGCTGCCGGGCTGTGCACTTGGTGTTCATTTCGTGGATCCTTTTTTGGGAAGAGCCGCCGGCGCTTGGACGTTCCCTGTGGCTGTTGCTACATGGGTGGGCATGGTGCCTGGGACAAATGCAAGGGACGAGGGAGCGCGACGTTGTATGTAGCATTTGGACGTCGATGTTACCATGGAGAGACCCTGTTCTTTTCTGCATACAAGAATAGCTGCTGCCCGGGATCATCGCTTCTGGAAACGCTTTCTGCTCTTCAGAAGTTCAACTGCGTAGTCGTCGGGGTGGATAGTCCGAGTCGGCCGATTAGTAGACAGCACAAGAAGGCCGAGGTGTGGATCCCGTAGGGCTGGCTTACGCATGCCTTTTTCACCCCCACAGCGCAAGAAAGTAATCGCGCTCTACCCGTAGGCGGTGAAAAGGATTCCCTGTCGCAACGACGTAATGTCACTGGTGGTGGTGGAGCCGAGCTGGAGCCGTCATCCCATCCTCAGCCTTACGGAGCTGCCGATGGCTTTCTGCGGCGCCGACACCGGCATGTGGCCCGAGCGGGTGGTGACCATGATGGTCGTTGCAAGTAGCGGTGGCCGGCACGGAGACTTGCTGGGCACGACATCCGTCCGAGCGAGCGGATGCTCGGAATATGGGGAATTCACGAGCCAGATGGTCTGGGCCTGTGGCTGCAGTTGTGGCGGTGTGCGGCTATCGAGAAATTGGATGTGAGAGCGTGTGCGCAAAGTGCGTGCGCTTTCCTTGGTCTGCGGATCTTTCCCTGTATCAGGTGCTGGTCTAGACGCTGCGTCGATTGCTCGTGATGCTCGATTGCTCGATGCGGAAGAAATCGCACGGCGGCAACCTCGTATGATTCCAGGCATGCAAGGCATGCATGTCGCGTCAGGCGGTTGTTGTAGTGACCATGACTCGGCCGCCAGAGCCGTGTCAGAGCTCTGTTGGGTTCATGTGAACGTCCATCGAGTGAGTGACTGTTGCACGTCAAAACAAATATAGAACTCTCTGACCTGACCGGTGATATCGCTTGTCGAAAAGAGTAATGGCAGTACCAGGGTTTGTGACTTTCGTTGAGTCCTGCGTGAACTTCATTTCGTCACGTCCTTCTCCCATGGCGGCTCGACGACGAACGATGTGCGAATTGAGATGCTGCAAGACCAACTCGTCTTTCCCGATAATGTCGTTGGCCAATTGCAGTTTACGGTAAAGGCGCAGACTTCGAGCGAGAGGCACGAAGATCGTAGGATCGGCAAGCTTGAGAAAAGAATCAGATATCGGCGATGTGAGTAGAGAGTAGACGTTCAAACAAGAAAGTCGGAGGAACCGGGGTGCGAACGCGCTAAATTCGGAGTTGCCGATGACCGCACACTGGAGTCGTGCCTGTCGTTTCCCAGATGACGTGCTGCCTGCTAGCACAGACGGTGATGGCGATCCCATCCATCATGTGGCTAAGCTCGATTCTTTAGATCGTCAGGCTCAAGCCCAGCAGGCTCGTATCACGTTCAGCCACAGCTCGTCTCGCGAGCGGGATGTTCCCTGGCAAGGGTGCAAGTGGGGAATGACGAAATCCCCCTGAGTAGCTCAGCCATTTAGTTTCAACCAAAAGTTAATTTTGCCATTAAAAGCTAGCGGGAAAAGTAAAAATAAAACGAAAAAAGAAAGTCCATGCCAGAAGCAGGCGCACTAAAAGGAATACGATCCAGGAACGACCCGCTGATGCAACCGAAAAAGCAGCGAATGACGCAGAGGGATATCTCGAACAGTAGGCAAAGAAGGACAGGAAAGAAGAAAAAGAAAAAAGTGAGAGAAAACGCCCTCCCAATGCAAAGGTTCTTTTAGCAAGCGACTCGTCGCAGACGTGAATGCCGTGATCCCCTTTACACATTATCCATTACCAATAACGCCGGTTTTCTGCCGTCTTGGACTGCCAGCAAGCCAAGGGGTATACGGGTTTTGATGTAATTTTTTGATGGTGGTTGCAGTGCCGGCACCGCAGTGTATTCCGTAGGACTTATCCAAGCGGAAGATTGATGATGAGGAGGCGCACCGTCGCTCATGTCCGGAGGTGGGCGCAAGTGATTTCGAAGTTGTCCAATCAGACGGGTTCCCATCCGGGGACTTTGGTCCCTTCTCGTATCGTGACCCGACCAGCGGGTCTGTTCCGGTACTCCGTCTCCGTCGCAGTGGACCCGAGCAATGGCGAAGAGTTCAGCGGGGGCCCCCGGAGTCGCGGATTGAAAGGGAATGTCGGCCGAATCTCTTGTTTACCGGCCGGTGGGCGCTGTCTTCGCGTGGGCGGCGCAAGTGTAGCCAACGTGGATGATCTTGTCGGACACCGGGTGGCGGCCAACTGCAGCGCAGGCATCGACGGCGTGCACATGGTAGATGCAGCCGCAGACGGCGTACTTCTCGACGATACGAATGCACATTTTGGTGGTGTTGTTGGAGGAGTTCGTGGTTTAGTTGTAGCCGCCGCGACCCATTAAACCAGCAAGGATGTTCCGGAAAAGGGAATTGGATTGCTGAGAGGTGAAGAAGAAGAGAGACGGACGCCGACCGGTTGCTGGACACTGTCGAAAGGAATGTCGCTGGTGGTGAGTGCTCGGTGGCGGCCTGGGAAAGTTTACTTATACATTCTGGCTGGGGAAGCGCAACGGCCATCGCGAGATGTGACTCTTGGAGGATCAGTAAGGCTGCTGCGGTGCGCACTCGGGCCTCACGACGGATAGCTGTACTAAGGATAGATTTGCGCACTAGCCACGGCTGAGGCTGACCGGCAGACTTGGCCGCTCCGGGCAAGGTGCGGTCCTGCGCAAGCAGAATTTGGTCGGCGGGGGTGGAGGGGGGTGAGGCGCAGCAGCGATGCGGATGAGAATGACATGAGCGGAGGTCAATTGACGGCTGTAGTCTGACTTAATTGATCTCCACCACGTGCGCGACAGGCCGTGCGCCGCCTTAATTGCAGGGAGACCCGCGACATAATTGAGCCCGCTCTGGGTCGCTAAGCTCCGAAACGCCCCAAGTGAGGAAATATTGGGCGCATATTTTGGGAGATTTTGGTGGTGCGCCCGGAGGCGATCACCGTTAGGGAAATTAGGAGATACGAGAAAAGGGGAGGCGCAATGCCCATCGCAGAGAGCGCTCGCTGAGTACGGCGAGCGCCCGCGATGCTGCAGGAGCGGGTGCCGCTGACAGAGATGGCGCGGCGAGACCGAGACAGAGGGAGCGGGCGTGAGTCGCGGCGTCGGGCGCGGTGGAGAGAGCCGGCGGGTGTTGGGGGCTGCGGGAGCCGCGTGGTGGCAAGGGAGCCGATCGCAGCGAGACGAGCTCAGGCACGGCTGCGGTCATCCGCAGAATGGAGCCTCAGCGGGAGTCATGGGATGTGGCAGTGAGGTCAGCGCTGGAGGCGGCCGCGATAGGGCTGAGGCCGCTAGCCCGCTTTGGGCCGCGCTGGACACCGCTCTCTCTCACCTCACTCGGTCCTGCTTGCTCCACCCCGAGCGAGCCCACCGCGCATCCGCGCAGCATGGTCCTCCTTCTGGCCCGCCGCCCGCTCGGCTGACTGCATATGGCGCGAACCGCGCCATGACTCGGGACCCTCCAATGTGGCGAACATCCAGGGGTTCCGAATGTGGGGGGTGAGGCGGTGCAACCGATCTGCGATAGACGACCGTGGATGCCTGTCGCTCACCTCTGATACTCGCCGTTTCAGCAGCCGCCCATGTCTTCCGGTCCGTTCCTCTGTTTCAATGCGACGTTTCATCCGACCGTTCTGTTTCAGTCTGTCTACAAGTCCCGCGCCCGCCTTGCCTTGAACGGCTTGGCCCGGTACATGTATAGAACACGCTCGGACTCCCCACTGAAGATCTGCTATCCTCTGCCCACTTCTCACCTTCGGTTGACGGTATCTGCACGCCCAGCCGGGACTTGTCTCTCAACAATATTATCTGCTACCTTGCCATTATTCAGCGAGCCGGCATCCGTACGAGATGTATCCACTGCATCCTTTAGTTGCATCCTGCCGCCGGCATCGCGCCGCACTTCGTATTGCACCAATCCTCCCGGCGCTTCTACTTGCCTCTACCGCTCCTTATCCTTGTCTTGCCGCCGTCCGGTACGTGTGGAGACTTATTTCCCAATATAGATTCCAATATTTTGCTCGGCGCTCTGGTGTCGGTGCTCTGGTGTCGGTCAGTAGGTCATCAAGGACTTTGCCGGCCCGCTCGCTCACCGGTCATAATGGTATTGTCATGGCCAAATTTCACATTGTTTGACTTTGAGTGCTGTCCTGTGCATGACATCTCCATAGACATCAAAGACTTCTAATTGTTCTGCCTTGAATCGTGTGAATGTCGATGTTTGATATTCTTTTGATGCTGACAAACAATACGTTTGCACTAGGGACTTCTTTGTCCATGACTGAAAGATTCTGTGAACTGGTTTCTTAGGCACCTTCTCGTACATACCATCTTGCCTTAGTGTGCTTGCTACATGAGATGCTAGTCTGCAACTCCCACCCGCAGCCCTAGCCTGAACATGTGAAAGAGCGATATCTCATTCCCATTCGACTCAATTGATAGAATCTGGGCTATATAAGCATAATCTGTCGTCGACGTCCATCAGCCTTGGTTGAAACGACGATAGAGTGGCAGACACGACTGACGCTTAGGATCGTCAGTCTGCCGCAATGAGCTCCAAGATGCACACGACGGGCTCGTCAGGCCGAATTAGCATACATCTATCCTTATTGGTTCAGACATTCTCTGTCAGGTAGCTGCATCCAAATGAGGTAGGCGCGCGTGCTGGCAGTGTGAAAGTAAAGTGTCGAAACATCCACAATAGCAACAACAGAGGCCCGTGCGCGGGTGGTTCCTACTTTTACCATCCAAGCATTCGAACCTCTCTTCCTCCTCCAGACTTGCCCACATTTTCGAGATCACTAGCAGCATCGGCTCACAGCTTTTTCTGCGCTTACCATCACGAAAATGTCGCACTCCGGCATGAAGCTTCGCTCCGGCCTCGTCAAGGCCGCCGACGACATCATCGCCCCCCGCAAGGACAAGTCGCGCGTCACCAAGCGCACACCGCCTGCTCCAAGGACGCCTCTGGCCGCCGCCGAGCAAACTTTTGTCAGCAAGGTAAGCCTGCTCAACCGCATCGTACTGCAACACCTCACTCCTACTTCACTCAAACGCTCGACTGCCTTGCGCACAGTTGCTGACGTTTCTGTAAAAGTTCCGCTGGACTGAGAAGAGGGACAAGACCCTTCTCATCCACCTCATTGGCCTCGGAGGTGCCATCACCGATGAGGAGTACGCGAAGTTGGCGACGCTGTGGGAGGGCGCCACAGCCGACGACGTCCATGCCCGCGTCGAGTTTCTGCGAGCCCAGCAGATCCTCACCGTCAGGACGGAGGAGACAGCTGAGGCAGCTGCCGAAGCCGATCCCGAGTCCGCGTGGGCCGACAATGTCGACCAGTCCGCCAACGTCGAGGAGCCCGTCTCGTCGGAGACCTCCTCACCGCTCTCTTCACCTCTCTCCTTGGCTAGTGAGGCTCCATCACCACCACCACCATCATCTCCAGCATCTCTTTCCTCTTCCTCGTCCGCCGCTTCCGACGACGAGGGCGATGATGACAACGATGACGACGAGGCGCAGCCCGCTCTCAAGCCTGCGCTCAAGTCCCGGACCAGCACCACCGCTGTTCCCGGCGGCAAGTCCGTCAGATTCGCATCCCCGTTCATCGCCACGAAGAGCACAATTCCCCGGATGGGCAAGGGATCGTACGTTGACGATATGAAGCGTGGACACCAATGGGTCCCTGTCGCCACCGCTCAGTGGGAGGAAGAGATGTTCGATGCCGAAGACGCCGCCTTCTCCGCCTCCGCCTCCGCCTCTCCCCGCCGCCGCAAGCGCTCCGCCAACGCCGCTGCCGACGATGACGAGCTCGCCCGCCCCGCCAAGCGCAGCCGCAGCAGCAGCACAACCACCGCCGCCGCCGACGACGACGACAGCAGCAGCAGCAACGGCAGCGACAATCCCGACTACGAGGAGGAGGAGGAGGAGGTTCCCTACCCCCTCTCCCAGACTGCCCGCTCCCCGCGCGTTCCCCGCACACGTGCCGGATCCCCCTTCACCGCCAGCAACATCAGGTTCGCTGACGATGACCCCTCTGACTTCCCCCGCTCCTTCCCCAACAAGTACGCCACCTTCCCGAAGCCGGTGCGCGCCATTGCCGCCGTTGCCGAGGGCGAGGACTGGCAGGAAGAGAGTGAGGATGAGGGGGAGACGGCCGTGATCGCGGGGGACGTGTCCTTCGAGATGCGAGAAGAGTACACCCCCAACGTGCGCTTCACCACGGTCCCACATTCCCCTCCAAGGGTCGTCCCGGACGAGGGCTGGTCTGAGCCGTACGCAAAGGACCGCGGCGGAGAATGGGAGTCTGATGAGGGGGAGGGTGAAAGCGAGGAGGAGGAGTCTTTGGCGGAGTTTGGAGATGAGGGTTCTGTGGTGGAGGAGGCGGAAGAGGAAGAGGAGGAAGCACCTTGGCAAGTCTTCCAGCCGGCGCAGCCTCTCTACGACCAGACGCACGGCTTCTCGGGCTATCAACAGGTGGAAGGTAGCAGTGATGCTGCTTTCTATGGCGACCAGTTCATGAATGCCAACTACGGCGCGGCTGGGGGCTGGTACCCCGAAGCGTCGCAGGAGGAATTCGTGGACGATGGTTCCGCCGGGCAGCAGTACTACTACCCGCCACCACCTGTCGACGATGGCGGTAACACCCCTTACCCCGGACTTGGCAGCGCCCCGCCTGCATCAGTCGGCGAAGAAGAGGTCGCCGAGCATCCTCTTCAGGAGCAGCAGCAGCAGTATGAGGAGGAGCCGAGGGAAGAGGAGGAGAGTGATGCGGACGACGTCGATGACTGGACGTACTTCAACCAGTTTGACAACGGGTCCGTCTCGCCTACCAACCCTACGTGGGGCCAGTGGAACCGCTAGGAGTGGATGGTAGATCCCGGAACTCTTCTGGCTGATACCAGCTCATCGCTCGCTCAGAAGCTAACCTACCTCCCGGAGTTTGCAGTGCATTGACGATGGCGGAATTTCCCTCTTGGCTCGAACCGATAATGTACCTTTGTCATGCCTCGCCTCGCGGTGGAGAAGGCAGGTGCCGGGGAGAGTTCTCGAGATGTTTCTAGTTCATCCTCTCTTTGTCTCACTCTCCCCCTCCGGAGTTGCAATGGAAGATGATGATGGCGGAATTTCGCTGGCCAGATCACCGATGCGTCCTGTCAGGCCCACCGGCCCGTTTTCTGGGTGGCGGTGCCTCTTGGTGGGAAGGCGGATAGCGCATCGCTGGTTGGTATGTTTCTAGTTCATCCCCTCTCGACCGGCACTCCCCTCCTGGTTTGGATACACGTTTTCCGGTTCTGGAAAGGTTCTCTCCCGGTCTTGTCACGTCAGCGTGCTGGATGCCCGCATTTAAGCGCACCAGCATTCTCTCCACCGTCGCCATGAGTGCTGTATTTGCTGAGCTAGTCTCGCACTTACACCTCATATCCGTCACCATTCACCTCGCTGGACGAGCATTCGCCGACATTGACAATTCGAACCGATCCAATTACTCTTTGTTCCGAAGATGTGTACATAGTGCATACGAGGCCATACAGTCGTTACCAATCCGGAGCTGACGGATATATCCGGAGAAGAAGTGGCTCAGGACGTCTTCTCCCTCATCGCGAGTTTCTCTTTCTTCCATCTCTTGAGTCCTCGCAGGACGTGTCCCCCTTCTCCACAGGAACCTCGACTCCGGCCCTCTTATCATTTCAACCGCCTGTTCATTCTCTCCCATCCCTGGATCCTATCTCATGCGCTATTCGGAATTCCCATCCCTGGCAGGTGCGCGAGCGGTGCTCTCTCCACCACCTCCTTGATCTCCTCGACGATAGCCGACTGGGGCGCTGGAACGCCGACAGCAGCAGACACGACGACTGGCTTGCTCGCCAATGGGCTATCAGTACGCTTGGACTCCTCATCACCCTGCACCTCAGTATCCATCGCCTTCGCCAATGCAGTGGAAGCAGGCTCACGGACGGGATCCTCGGGCGCCCACTCCTCGTCATCGTCGTAATCTTCTTGCGGGGCAGAATTTACTGGGATAGGGCCGGAGATGACGGTCGAGACACCATGCGCCGGGAATTCGTCGTCTTCGTGGATGGTGCCGTTCATACCATTGGTCGACCAAGCTTCGGCGATCTCGATGGCAGTCTCGACGGTGACGGACTCGCGTCGTGGCGGGAAAGAGGGGGTTTGCTCGGCCTCCTTGTCTTCTTCTTCATCTTCCTCGTCGATGACCGGCTCGGCGCTGATGGTGGTCACGACGGACGGACGGCGCGACGTGTCGAAGGCGGAGCCGAACGGCGACAGATTGGCAGGCTCGCTCGTGGTGGTAATCTCAAAGGTGGCGATGATCGAGGACCTGCGCAAATCGCGAAGCCGCTCTTCAATCACTAGCGGCTCCTCATCGTCGTGGTGCCAGCCGTTCACCTTAACCTCGAATGTCGCCTCGGGAGCGACATCAGCCTCAGCCGGTGCGGCCTCGGGTTCAGGTTCAGGAGCAGAAATGGGCGCTTCAGGCGGCACATCTTCATCCGCGAGAGCAGGCGCAGAGATAGGCGCAAGCTCAGGCTCGGGAACAGCAGCGGCAGCAGCTGGCGGGCTGAACGCAGCGACGGCGGCAGCGGCGGCCTTGTCGTCCTCTTCCTTGATCCTCAGCTTCTCCTCCTGCTCCCTCTTTTCTGCCGACGCCTTTCTCAGCGGCTCGTACGATGCAAACTTTTCGACCGACCGACCGCGACCGAGTCGCGGCCGCTTGGCGTACGCGAAGCCAGTCACACGCTGATCGTCGGAATCATCCTGCGAGTGCTTGGCGCTAATGGGCGAGTATGGCGGCGGCGATGATGATGGTGCAGCAGCAGTGGATGCCAGCGGGGGGACTGCTGCGACTGCGGCGTACGATTCGCTGCTGTACGCTGGCGGTGGTGCAGGCGCGGCCGCGGAGCCGTTTTGCGCCGACGCCTCAGATGTGATCTTCTCCTCAACAGCACTGGGTGTCGCCTTGCCGTTGGAACCGTTCGTCCGCGTCTCCTCAACCTTATTTTCCTTCCTCTCGGACTCCGGCTGCTTCGATTTCGGCTTCGGCTTCGGCTTCAGCGACTTACGCTTCCGCCATTGCAAGAACAAGATTATGGAGCCGGCGGCGATGGGAATGCCCAGCACAACGCTCTTTCGCGAGAGCAGCTTGGCCGCGTGCTGCTGGTAGATGGAAATACTGCTCGAAGTCTGCGGAAACAGCGTACAATACGTCAGCACCAAAAAAAAAAAAAAGATGAAGCTTCAAGCAAACGCTGTAACTACCATTTTCGGCGCGGCGCTTGAGAGGAGCGTGCGATTCGCAGCGTCTTTCCAGACGTCTCAATTGCGCGCCCAGTTCGCACAGCGGGATATCAAACGCAAGGACGGCGGTAGCGGGCGGAGAAAAGGGCGGACAGAAAGGAGGATGGGCGGTCTGGAAGGCTCGCTGGTCTGACGTTTTGTTGATCGCTGGGGGCGTGTGCGCCGGAAGAAAGTCGAGGGTCAGGAAATGGCAGAAAACCAAGGCGCGCGGGGCTTTCTTATTTAAATGAGGTCTGCGACAGATGCGCTGTCCGTGTCGTAGCAACAGAGCTGCAACCAGAGGGGAGCGCCACGGCAGAACGATGGTCGCGCGGACGGTCGACCCACAATTACCAGCACTCAAGTCAGCCCTTTAGCCAAACAACTCATCGGGCGGCATGGATCGGGTGCCGAGAAACAGGACCAGAAGCAGGGCAACGGCAGGGAACGAGCAGAAAAAAGGGGACCGCCATCGGCCAACAACGGTGTGTTTACAAACTGTCGGGTGCAGACCGCGCCGGACGCCTGAGCGGCGGGCGAGAGTTTGGGCCCATTGACGTGTTTTGGCCGCCTTCTTCCTAGGCTCATCCCAGTGGGCAATTTGTCTAGCGTGATGCCACATCCGCCGTGGTGTCAGGTCACCAAAGCTCACCAAGCCGCCTTCTTTCGTGTTGTGTGGAGAGTCAGGGGGAGGACAATCGTCGCCCGGATCGGACACGCCCTGACTACTTGCTGCTGCAACCTGACCGCCGCGCAGCTGCTGCACCCGTCGGCGCCGTCTCTTCCTATTATCTGCGCGTGCGCCGCACATCATCATGCAGCGACGCGGGCACGTTCGCCGGTACGCTAAGAACGATCCCCTGCGCTACTTTTTTGCTTCGGAGATGCCCAGCCCCATACCGCCGCGCCGCCGCCGTGCTCGCCGCCTTTTGGTCGTTTGGCAGCCCAAGCAGCTCAGGGCCCGCCGCAGACCAGTGCTTCCATCCGTGCGTTGCTCCCCCGTTACTCTCGGAGCCTTTTTAACGCCATCCTTCACGCCGACGGGAAAAGCCAGGGAGCCCTCAATTAAGAAAAGCACCATCATTGGCAGCGGTGCGGAGGGAAGCAGAGTCATGACTGCCGCGCTACGGCGCCCCAAGTAGCCGACGTGGTGCAATGCTCCACGTCGCTCCGCCTCTTCCCCGCCGATGCGATGCGATGAACGACCGATCGCCCGCGATTCGTGAACGGCGGCTTTCAATCTCCCTCCGTGACGTCGCCAACAACACAGGTACGCGAGCGCCCCGCCAACGTGGGCGAAAGTGCATGCATCCATGACATGCACGTCGGAAAAGGCACGTGGGAAAAGGGCCCGGGTGCAGCAGGGCTGCATGTCCTAAACCGCTTTGGGAAGTATGCTCGGGCGAGGGCTTGCGCTGGCTCTGCTGTCAATATGTAACCGCGCCGCCGCTGGCGCTGTGTGGCTGTCTGGCCGCCACTTCCAGATAAACCAACCTTGAGTGACCCCTTACCCGGACGTGAAAGGGGTGAGAGAACTAAATGGGCTCAACCTTTTCGCAGTTTCGTCCGACGAGCCTAGATCGAAGGACGTGGTTCCGTGGTTGTATGCTTACATCCGCCGCACGAGCCTACGGATCAACCACAACTGCGGTTTCAATATAGCTTGTCTTGTCATTCGTCAGCCACAAGCATTCTATTAGCATCCATACCGCGTATGGTGCGATCTAAACGGCGCAGCTAAGGGCTTGGCTGTACAACTCCGGACTTCCCCTTCAAAGTCCGTCCGTAGCTACCTCCAATGCAGTCCGAATTGACGTCAGGTCAGAAGGAGGACCAGAAAGCAAAGAAGAAAGAACAGCAGGTACAAAGCATTATCGCTTGGCTATGTCGACTTTGCAACTGCAAAAACAGATCATACACGACACAGGGCTCAACATTACCCTGGAAATTCCAATATTCAATTCTGAGAAGGTGAATCTGTATCGTGGGTGCGCCAGTTGGCTTTGTACCTGGGTCAGATCCTCACGATTACAATATTCATTCATGAAAGCAAGAAGTGAAGATAGAAAGTCGAAATGGGCGGGATTACAATACGATGCGCCCCAAAAGCGACGAGGAAAGACGGAAAACGGGTGGACATTGAGAAGCTGGAACTGTAACCAAAGAGGAACTTGGGGAACGAATGAAGCGGAAATGGCGGGCGCAAGGTCTGGGGTAGATGATCGGGGGAAATAGAACAATCGTGGAACAAGGATGATTAGGGACACAAGAGATGAAACACAAAATTGGCGCTTATAGGTTCGTTCTTGGCGGCTTACCGTGTAAAGGTTGAGCTGAGTTTAGTGGAATGGGTCAAAGGAGGATTGAGACTCTGGCTCTCTGAGCTTGTCTGAAATGCAGGCGGAAAAAAGTAACAAGATTCCATAGTCATAAAATGGTAGTAGAGATATTGTGTGTCGCAATCCCCTTTCAGATTCTCGTAGTGACTTGACGCTTCTTAATGAAAGCGCAGCGTCTTATTGGAGCAGACGAGGGCACCAGCTCTTCAGATAATGCTGACGAACAACACGCTTTACCATAGATCCCACTATCCTGCTGAAACATGCACTTCTGAATGAGATTTCCTGGAAATAGCGAGATGCAAGAAAAGAAGGCGTGAAGGAAACGGATTCTGCAGCGCAATGCAAGGACTCAATTGAGATGTTCGCCTCGTGCAACCTATATGGCCGTGTGTCTCTACTAGCGCTTTATGCGGGTTGCATCTTCGCGACATATGGAGGCGATGGAGTTGAGAAGATCATGCCCAAGAGGTCGATGGATTGCCGTGTTCGCCGACTGCGCAAGGCCTGACGTTTCCCCGGAGAGCCGGCATTTTGCCCTCCGACAACCTCTACAGCGCTGTCTAAATGCTGGAGAGAGCACGAAGTCTACTCAACATCTGCCTACAGGAGCTTCTCCGCGCTCCGACATGAAATTTCCAAACTCATTCGCCTCATCAAGCGGAGCGCCCGCCCCAGCGGCGGCTGCTGCGTCGCCTTACAGGTGCCTCCCGTCCTGAGGCCAACTCACTTCCATCAGGATGTCTCTCTACCGGTAAGTAGCATTACCTCATACACTGGCTTTCCTCATTCGGATGCATTCTCCCGAGTTGGAAACATGCTTTCCTTGGCTCTTCAGCGGTCTAGAGCAGTAGTGGCTCAAACTGATATCTGCTCGACCCGTGTCATGGGCAGCCTCTTGCACGAAGAAACCAGGAAAGCTCTTTCCATTTTCCCTTCCCTCATGCGTCAACTTACTCGAGACGCCTGCGATTTTCTCTGACTCAGTAAGGCTAACACGAGCTATAGTCTTGCAGCGCTGGCCCGAAGAAGACAGTTTGCCCAGATGCATTCCGCAACCCATCAAAGCACGTGACTTGGACCATGAACTGCACCAGCCAGAATTGGTAATAGCGATGCAAGGATCCCTTTGCATTCATCCAGAAACTTCTTGCTAAGATGTCCTGCAGTCATTAGGCTTCCGTGTTGCCACCTATACGTTGCAGCCTGGTGTTGCTGTCATAGGGTCACGTGTTGTTCCCGTTACGCCTGGGCACGATTCTAAAGAAACGCGCGGGTTCCGTCTGCAATAACACAACACCCACCACCGCCCGCCCAACCCCGCCGCGTTTTCAACCGAATCAAACATTGGTTCAACGGTCGCACCCTTCGTCTCGATTCATCTATACGATCAAATAGATACAAAGCATAACCATGCCGGGAGGAAAAGGTAACAATTTTCGGGCCTCTACACGTTCTCAAGAGGTGGCTAACGCGTCCGTTTACCGCGTTATACAGGCAAGACTGGCGGCAAGACGGGTGGTAAGGGAGATTCGAACGTCAAGACGTCCAAATCGCACTCGGCGAAGGCCGGTCTGCAGGTAAGGCTGAAGCCGTGCTTTTGTACGTGACGCGCCACGTCACGGCAGAGCTCCCCATGACGCCTTTTCATCGTGTTTGATGCGCCCGAGAGAAAGCTGGTGATAACGTAGTCGCGCCTTAGTTTCCCTGCGGTCGCATAAAGCGTCACCTTCGCAACATCACCCGGCAGCGCACGCGCATCGGAGCTAAAGCCGCTGTATACCTTACCGCCGTCCTCGAATACCTGACTGCCGAAGTGCTCGAGCTGGCTGGCAATGCGGCTAAGGATCTGAAGGTCAAGCGCATCACGCCTCGCCACCTGCAATTGGCCATCCGTGGTGACGAAGAACTCGACACGCTTATCCGCGCCACCATCGCCTTTGGTGGTGTGCTGCCTCACATCAACCGCGCGCTGCTGCTGAAGGTCGAGCAGAGGAAGGGCAAGAAGGCCGTGGAGGTCTAGGTCATGTTTCGGATGATACTGTCTTTCTGGGAGGATGGAACCAAAAAAAGATAAAATACCCGGCCCGGCGATTGATATGGGCGTTCCGTAATGACACATGGCGGGGAGGTGCATGTACGACTATGAACCACGACCACTCGGCGCGCAAGGATGGCTGAGGGCGTCACATTTGCCGCGCTCCCTCAGACCGCGATAGGTCACCTTCAGCCGGTCCGCCCTCCCCTACATGTCTGTCGACGGACATTCAGTCACGCCAGCTCTCCTCTGACCCAGGCCGGCTTTTCACGGTCGTTGCTGCACGCTCTGTTTGCGATATTACTCCGGGTTGTTCGTTTCGGCGTGGCGGGAGTCCGAGGGTTGGGAGACCAGACGGCTGCGTAGTGTTAGCTTTAGTAGGCCAGGTAGGAAGCCTTCTTAATGTCGCGAGTAGACAATGAACTCTCTGCTATCTGGATGGCGGGTGCCGTGTATCACATCGACTCATGTTTTCAGAAGACTGACAACACGCCACCGTTGGACAAAGCTGCGTGATCCGAAGTGCATGACGGCATGGTTGACGCATCGAAGCATTCCCAGCCCCTAACGAATCACGGAATGGGCGATGCAGAGCTCATTGCTTTTTAGCAGAGAGGTCCATTCCACAGCGACGCTAGCATCGAAGCACCGTTGCGTGGGACCGTGCCGAGCGGCGCGAGCCACGGCGAACCATGGACACGCGCTCGCCCAACAGCATCGCCGTATGTCTCACAAGAGCGGGCAAACAAAGACACCCTCCATCTCGCAATCACATGACGGGCTGCAGCTGCGGGCGTGGGCCGGGGTCGAGGGGCAGCGCCAGTCAGGATCGGCCTCGCTGCTGTGCCTCGCGGGCGGGGAGCAGCGGAGGCCGGGTCGTCGGGCGGCTGGGCTGGCGCAGTGATTTGCCAGGCGGGCTGGGTGCGACTGATCACAGCAGGTGGGGAGGGATTGGACAGATGGGATACGGGGCGGGCGCGGTTGATCTGCAGCATGCTGTGCGACATGATGGTCCTGCGAGCGAGCGCGGGCTCGATTGGGCTCCTCGGGGACGCGCTGGCGGGCTGCGGCAACGGGCGGCTTGGGGCAGGCCGTCGAGCTGCTCGCCGGCTGCTGGCGTGCGGGCTGGAGAGCGACGTGGTGGCTGTTGCCGGGCGACGGCGAGGGCGTCTGGACGCTGGCGCGGCGCAGGCACATAGCCCACGCGTGTTTGCCATGACGATGGCGGGCTGTGCGGCTCGAGCTCGTTCTCTGCTGTCTAGGGGCGGGCCGAACGAAGCTCTGGCGTAGGCGCGCATGTGGTCCCTCCTTGGCTGGTTATTGCCGGGCGCGCGAGCAAAAGGGGTTATACGCTCTCTCACTCTTATTGATGCCAGCGCTCGCCCGCCCTCTCCTCCTCTTCCTCAGCAGTCTGCCTTGCGCTCCCCGGCCTCTCGCTGCGCTCCCCGACGCCTGCCCGCCGCCGCCGCCGCCTGGCGCTCTCCCGCGCTAACCTGCTTTCGTGACGAGCCACCTCTGAAATTTCGGTGCCACTGGCAGCGGACAGCCAGGCACTTGCATCGCGCAGAGACACGCGGCCGCCTCTTGCCCCTTCGACCAGCACTTAGCCCGCGCCGTGCCGCCGCGCCAGTGCCTGTCGGGCCTCAGCTGCTAGCGCTGCCCGCCCAAACCTCTGCACGCTCGCCGCTCTCCCCTCGCCGCAGCCCTCGCGCTCTTCTCTGCGCTGCAGCACTCGCACCCGCGCCGCCACCTTCAAATTCCGCCGCTGAAGTCGCGCAGCTTGCCAAGCGACAATCCTGGCCGTCGAAGCGCCGTTTCCTCGGATGCACCACGCGGCTCTTTGAGTTTGCTCTGACGACGCCGGCACGACGACACGACCACCCAGCTCGTTTTTTTCACCGCTCGACAACCGCACAACCCCTGAAGAATGAGCAACCACCCGCACGACATGTACTACGACAACCCGTCGTCCCGCTCGCCGGGCTCGCAGCGCCATCAGCCGCAGACGCTGCACCGCCAGCCCTCGCGCCAGTTTGACGCCTACGGCCAGCTCAACCAGGGCCTGTACACGCCCGAGGACCCCCAGGCCCGCTACGACGCATCCCGCTACAACGAACGCCTGAACGCGACCATCCACGCCGGCTACGGCGGCTACGAGCTGGGCGGCGCCCAAGGCTGGAATGCGAACGCCTTTGGCCAAAACAACAGCTTGGCCGCCATCAACGCGACCACCAGGATGAAGCCTGCCGCCCGCGGTCGCAGTGCCCTCCCGCAGGTACGTCTCCCCGCCATCCCAATCCCTACCGCTATGTTGACCCGTCCAGCAGACTTGGCTCGACCAGCCGCAGCAGCAGCTTCCCTCCATCAACACCTTCACCGGCCTCGGCGGGGCCTCGCTGGGCTCTGGCCAGAACATGCCGCAGGGACTTGGACAGGGAATCGGCCAGCCGCAGATGCGTCAGGACCCGTACGGTCCGCAGGAAGTTGACGAGGAGTTGATCCCCACCGCCATCGTCATCAAGAACATTCCTTTTGCCGTCAAAAAGGAGCAGCTCGTGCAGCTCATGACCGATCTCCGCCTTCCGCTGCCCTACGCCTTCAACTACCACTTTGACAATGGTGTTTTCCGCGGCCTGGCTTTTGCCAACTTCACGACTGCTGAGGAGACGGCGGTCGTCATTGAGACGATGAACCACTTTGAATTGCAGGGCAGGAAATTGCGTGTCGAGTACAAGAAGATGCTTCCGCTAGCGGAAAGGGAACGGATCGAACGGGAGAAGAGGGAACGCAGGGGTCAACTGGAAGAGCAGCACAGGCCTATGGCTGCCTCGCAGCTGCAGAACCAGCCGTCGCTCTCGTCCATGTCGTCCCATGTCCCTCCCGCCACTTCACCGTCCCCAGTCAACGGTAGGAAGCCAGGTAACGTGACCCGATTAAATCGTCTTGTCAGGACTAACTTGGTGTGTGCAGAAGTGGACATGAACGACCCGCAGGTCCTGCAGTTCTACTCCCAGCTGCTGCTTTTCAAGGAGGACCCCAACCGTGACGTTTTGGTTTTCCCCTCTACTCTGACCCCTTCCCAGCGCCGTGTCTGTCACACGATCGCGCATCAGATGGGTCTGTCACACAACTCCAAGGGTATGGGCGACCAGCGACAGGTGCACGTGTACAAGTACCCCGCCCCGGACACGAGTCCGCCGATGCAACAAATGGCTCCCACCAGCCATCCGCTCGATCCTCAAAGACGCGGTCTCAACCGCGCTGCAACGACCGATTTCAGCGATGTTCGCGAGGGCTTCTACGGAGGCACCCTTGGTCGCCAGTCATCTGGCCTCCTCGGCTTTCCCGATTCGCCGGGCGGTGGCTTGACTGCCGCCCCCAACCTGAGAGCTGCCAAGTCCTACGCTGATCTGCGCTCATACACGCCATCACCGGTACCTTCAACTGCAAGCTTTCCGGCGACGCTCGGTGGGAACATTAACAGGTACCAGGACTACGGCACCACGTCGACGAACCCCAGCCTCACGCCGACGGCGACTTCCATGGCCAACAGAGATGACAGCCTTCTCGTCAATGGCTTGAGCAGCATGAGTTTGGGTAGCGGATTCGGCCAGGGCGGCAGCCCTCGCGGCTTGCGTGGCATGGTTTCTTGGGAGTCGGAGAGGAACCCCGGCCCGATCGGCGGCCACAGATCTTTCAGTAACAACTTCGACGGCGAGCAGAGTCGCGAGCGCAGCCAGGGTCTCCCCACCCGCCAGCCTCGTGGACCCATCCCGGAGCGCGGCTCCGGCTTCTCCCGCGGAAGACAGAACGGTCACCACGGACGCGGAAGCGACGAGCTTTCGTCGCAGTCCGGCGTCGAAATTGTCGTCGAGTGAATGCAGCATACCCCGTCACGCCCATCTACGCACTAAAGAAGGAACGGCCGAAAAATCTTACACAAGAAGCCCCAATTCTTTAATCGCCAGGGGAAAGGGGCTTTCATGACGTATACGACGAATGATGCTACGAAATGTAGACCACTAACATAACGGGGTTCACGCTCCTCACATCGCCTTCCTTACTCGATCGATATCCCCAACCTTTCCTCTGGATTCGCGAAAAAGAGAATTAGTGACGATTTGGGTACTTGTCTTGCCTTCTGAAAAGAGACGAAGAGAATACAAAAGCATTTATGGGGGTGTTGGATTCACATTTTGGATGCTCGTTGCTGCTGCTGGTGCTGCCGCCGTCGTCGTTTTTTCTCACCATCACTTGCGGCCTTTCTTCAGTCATCGCTGGTCCGTTTTATTCTTTGCCTTCCGTTTCATGGCGGGCGGGATCTTGCATTGTATTATTGAGTCTTGTTCTTCCATCCCCCCCTTAGTTTGATTGGGGGTTTGCTAGTTTACCCTGCTTAGTATTGGTGCGGATTTTAAAGCAGGGAACGCATCATTCGACTGTCTTATCTCACTTTCCCCAATCTCTACTTTTTGAGAATCTCTGTTTCCCGTCCCCATCTTCTTTACGGATACCTCCGCGAACTTTTGGAGCGACATGACCATCACAACTCGCGTAATGAACGACTGAAAGATCACCGTCCCCCGCTCTTGTTTCACGCCAGCATTGCCCATCGCTCGTTGGCGAATGCGGTGGGCCGAGCACGGCTCATCTACGGTCCTATCCTCTCCGAGATACGGAGCCAAAGAGGAAACGCGTTAACGCCGCTCACGATCAAGATGCCATTAATGTCTACGACGACCGCGATGCCACCTTCCGCAACGCACGCACCAAGCAAAGAGGATCGAAAAGGGATGAGAACACCTGTCTCTTTTCATGTTTCGCTCACTCAATGCTGGGATGGCCGCCCGAAATGAGGTTCTACTATTTTCAGGGTGGCTCCACCGAATAAAGCTTATTACCTGTGGGGGCATTCACTTTACCATAACCCCATTCCTAAATTTGGATGGGCGCGATTCGCACTTTGCTTTATCTCCTTCCTCTCCCCTGGATTCATGCCGGACTTCCGGTGCACTGCCGCCGCCACCATCTAGTGCTCCGTATTCATTTAGGTGGGACCATCTTGCAGAAGATGTGCCGGTTTGCGGCTGTGGAACGGTTCACTCAAGCCACGGCCCAGGTTTCCCATACTCCGCAGTCACCCACCCTCTGATGTCATCATACCTTCTTATCAGTTCTCCATACCAGTGCTCCACAACCTTAGTCCTACGATCAATCTCGAAAATTTGCAGGGTTGATACTTCACGTTTCAGCTATTTGATTTCTTCTAGTTTGACTACTAAGCTTCGTTACTTTTCATGGAAATCTTACCTTGTCTTTTTCAATGTTGTGGTTTCCTCTACTGTTGGTTCCCGCTTTCGGTACTGATAGCTTACTACTTCCGCTATGCTTCAGCTATCACTTGATTTCATCATCATTTGTCCGAAATGCTTACGTACTTTGATCGAAATTGTAGCTCTGCTTTCGGATTCTGTCAGCACATTTAGCAAAGGAATGGGCGGAGCGCTGACTCCGACTTTGCTGGGTTCCCTTCATCTTGTCCCTTTATTTGCTTGTCTGATTGGCCCGTCTCCTTTTTCTCTTGGCGACCTATGTCATGTGGACCCGCATTGTTGGACCATTCGTTAATGGTACATGGTGATGGGATTGGTTGGGGAGGGTAGCTGGCGGCTTTGTTGTTTCGGTGCGGTATTGGTCTTTCTTTTTCCCTTCTACCCGTGGTTGATGACGGGATGGCCTTTTTGGGATGTTGGGGTTAGTTAGTAGGCTATGTAGAGTATGCAGAGCAATGCGAAGGATCATCTCTCTATTCTTATAACGTTCAACTGCTATAAAGTACTGTGTAGAGCTTACCACGCTGCATGCTGGTTTATGTACAGAGTTTGTAAGCAGGGGCCAAGAAGGGAGTATGGAACTACGAAGTGTACAAGGACACGAGTCACTTAAGTGAACTTCTACACGAGATAAGGAAACAACATCGTTGTCTATTATTAGGAGAAACCACTCGAAACCGCTCAACTGTGAAGTTGGAATAAGCGGACTATGTGTGTTTCCATACAAAGACTCATCCGATTTTCTTTTTCTTGGAAATAGAAATACGTAGGTGATAGAAAGTAACAAATATAGAACATCATACACAATGAAGACGGCCGATACATGATCCACTGCTTGTTTAGCCCCCGTGGTTCGCAACAGACAGAAAGAGAAAATGCGGTTCCGGATGAAGCTAGTGCCGGGAGATATAGAGTTCAGGGACCAAAAGCCCATTCTAACGACGAGTCATCGCATTGCTTAGAATTTGCTTGGCACTCACAATGACGACAACGAACTAATCTCAGCTATCGTTAAGGCGTCCGGCCCTTCCGCTCCGATATGCTCATCCCCAGACGTGCCTATCTAGCCTCGCTCCAGGTACCAAAAGCGTAGAACGCGACCATGAAAGGGTGGAAGAAGGATAGCATGCTTTGAGATTGAACCAGCTACTCCGTGACGCCGCCCCCTGACCCCATTGCAAAGTTAGTCATTTCTATCTCTTTTCCACGGGAGTTCTCCTCCCAGACACCACCGTCCTCCTCCATCAGCCGTTTGTCCTCTCCCCCAGTGTCCAGTCACCGAAGCACCCACTAAGACTGGAAAGAAATGAAGTGGCTACGAGTTCCCACCAGATGTTCGAACTATGCCATTGGTCATGCAACGCGTGAGGAATATCATCGAAAAGAAAAGGTACCCTGGTCCCCACGAGCAAAAGTCTAAGGCAGGAAAAAAAAAGAAAAGAAATCGAGAAGGGGGCCCATTGTGAAAAACTCCAGTCCGTCCAAGTCTTTACGCTCCCTCTTCAGCTCTTCTTCTTGCCCCTCAAAGTCTGTCCTTGGCCCTGGAAATGCGGCTTGTCATCGTCGCCGCCGTCTCCCGCCGCCGCCGCCCCCTTGCCCTTGACGGGCTTGATCTCGTAGCCGAAGAACAGCTTGCCAGGCGGCAAGCGCAGCGGCTGCGGGCCGTTGGCGTTGCGGCGGACGGTAACGGGCGGTGCGATGGCGGGGTTGCTGTTGGCGGAGGCGCCGGCGACGGGCGTCGAGGGCTTGGGCGTGGGCGCCTTGCTGCCGCGCTTCGACGACGACAGCTTGTGGCCGCCCGACAGGAAGTTGGACGAGACGGCCTTGGCGCCGGCGGCGGCCGTCGTGGAAGCGGGTGCGATGGCCGCGTAGTTGATGGCCTGCGCCATGGTGCCGTGCGGGTGCAGCGTGCCGCCCGGCAGCACGCCGCCGCCAGGAGCACCGCTCGCGACGCTGCGCGGCGTGCTGGTGCCGCTGGCGGCCTTGGCTCGCTGCGGCTCCTCGTAGCCCACGGGTGGCGCGAAGTCGACAGACAGGTCCGTCTCCAGGGTGCAGATGGCGTGCGAGTCCTGGTTAGGCTTGACCTCGAGCACGGCGATGCTGTAGACCTGGTCGTTGTAGGAGAAGGTGAAGATGTCGCCGAGCGTTAGGCACGAGAAATTGCGGAAGGCCTGCTCCAACACGGCCTTCGGGTCTGAGATTTCGAGGAAGTCGGGAGACTGAGGCTGCAGCTTGATGAAGTTGCCTAGTGGCAGGTCTGTCGACTTGACCTGGATTAGGTCGCCCGGCTCCAGCTGGAGCGTTTGCATGAGCTATTGCAAGTCAGCCAAACTACATCCTCATCCTTTTCCTTGCAAAGACTAGACATGTCGATCCAGAATATTGTAGGTACGCACCCAGTATGGCAGATATATCTTGCCCTCCTCGGCGGTGAACTCCAGCACACCCGCGTGCGTCCGCTTCTGGGCCTCGCCGTTAATCAGCTCGAAGAGCATAGGGTACGTGATGTGTAGGCGGGTCAGCTTGTCGAGGGCCGAGGGCGGCATGAAGACCTTGCCGCCGTGGTTGGCATCTTCGCGCTCGGGGCCGGGCATCATGGCGATGGGGTAGCAGCGGAAGTACTCGTCAAAGCGCCGGGGCTGGCCGCCGCGCATGCCCATGGCCTGGTACATGGCCATCTGATCGTCGTTGTCGTAGTAGTTGCCGCCGAACTGTGTGCCGCGTAAGGCGGGCGTGCTGTTAGTGGGATGGAGTGGTTGATGGAGGCGGCGAGAAGGACTGTACATACCATGGTGGCGGTTAAGTGCTCCTTTAGCCGATGATGGTGGAATGTGAACGTGTTCGGGGTCCGCGGCTAAATGTATGAGGTGCGTGCGGCAGGGTGGCGTGTGAGTTTGAGCTGTTGGCAGTTCTGGCGATGAGTGAGCCGCGGGTGAGCTGTGCTGTTGCTGGAGCTTTCGGGAATGACGCAGGCGACGCCCGCCCGCTCCGCTCGCGAAAAGCCGCGCGACCTCTCAGCCTTCACCCTCTCTTAGCAACATTCTAGCACCAACCCCGCGTTAGATTGTGCGCCCGGCACCCGATCGCTCTATTCCGCCATCCGTCCCCTCGAAAATCTTTCCGCACAGATAGCTTGTCGCTGCGAATCCGCCTTCAATTGCCTCCCAAAACAAACAATCCACCCAGCTAGAAATGTCCGCCTCGCGCCCCAAACGCGCCCCAGACCTGCCCTTCCCCGACGGCGGGGCGGGGGCCTCCGACGCCTCGAACAAGAAGCCGCGCTTCGACTACCGCAACCCGTCGACGTTGGCCGCCGACGCGCCCGAAGAGGACGCCATCCTCGAGGCCGACGAGATCGGCAAGGCGCAGCGGCAGGTGAAGCGCAATGCCGTCAAGATTGACGGCTACGAGTCCGACTCGAGCGAGGAGAACTTCGACGCCCGCGCCGAGGAGAAAGCGCGTCAGGCGAAAGCGGCGGAGCAGGCGAGCAAGGATGCGGACGACGCCGACATGTTTGCCGACTTGGAGGAGGACTTCAAGGACGGCGACGAGGACGAGGAGCTCAACCGTGAGGGCAAGGGCAAGAAGAAGACCGTCACGTTTTTGGAGGAGGACCAGATAGAGGGGCAGGTCGCGGACAGCAAATCGGGCGGGCACGTGTCGGCGGACTTCTCGATGGATAACAAGGGCAAGGGCAAGGCGAAAGATGACGATGAGGATAGCAGCAGCGAGAGCGGTGGCGACGAGGAGCGCGACCGCGTGGACAGCGATATGGACGAAGAGCTTGGCGCTGGCTCCAAGAAGAAGCACGCACCAAAGCTCGACGCTTTCAACATGAAGCAGGAAAACGAGGAGGGTCGATTCGACGACCAAGGAAATTACATCCGCAAGGCGAATGACCCAGATGCTGTGCACGATACATGGCTGGAGGGCTTGTCGAAGAAGGACATGAAAAAGGCGAAGGAAGCGGAGGAGAAGCGCGAGGAGGAGCGCCGCAAGCGCGCCATCGCAGACGACCAGGTGCTCACCAGTGACATCCTAGCAACCCTCATCACCCGCCTGGAGCGCGGCGAGACCGTCCTGGAAGCCCTCGCACGCCTCGGAACCGGCAAGAAGAAGGAAAAGCCGAAACCCAAGTGGCAGAAGAACAAGCGGAAAGCCAATGGGGGCACGGAGAACGGTGACGCAATGGATGTCGACCCGGCCCAGAAGGAGGAGGACCCAGCGGAGAAGCGCCGCCGCGAGGCTGTTGAGACTCTCACCGGTGCAGCCGACCAGTTGCTCACGCGCGGCCAGTCAGAAATTTACGAGCAAGAGCGCGAGCTTTTGATACGACAATACAAGCGCGAGACAGGCGACGATTGGGTAGATCCGCCGAAGGAGGATGAGGCTGTGGGTGAAGGGGAAACCAAAATGTGGGAGTACAGGTGGTCCGATGCCAGGGATGGTGGCGAGAGACACGGCCCCTATGATGGTCAGACGATGAACGCCTGGAGTGACGCAGGGTACTTTGGCGAAGGAGTGGAGTTCAGAAGAGTAGGCGAATCGGGTTGGGAACGAGTTGTAGATTTCTTGTAATTGGTAAGCCACTTACCAGAGGTTGGAGGGCGGGACTTGATCAAAATTTGAATATACCACAAGAAATGCATGAGCGTATTCTAAATCACGTTTTGCGCATCTAAATCCAATATTTTTTTAACGATTAGCACCGCCTTAGCTGATATCATTACCGCTGTGCGACGCGAATTTCTCAGCCTGCGAAGCTCTAAACCCCATGCCTCTTTTAGGCACGAAACATGCCTAGACGGTCACTCAACCTGCTCAGATGGACATTACACTAAGAGAGCTCAGAAGAATTCCCCATATGTGACCACCACTGAAGAAATCGTAGCAGTGCTCAATGCACCTGCTCATCAGCTAAATTTATTTCTATTATCCGTAAGGTGAAGTCCTGCCACCGCTATGCTGAACTGCTCAAGAGAGAAAGAGAAGAGAAGAAGAGAAGATAGAAGAAGAAAATAGCACTCTCGCGGTTGCTATGCAGAAACCAGTCAGCAAGCGAGAAGGATGCAAATCAAAAAGGACAGTCCCCTTAGAAAGGAATGAAAACCGCCCATGTGCAGTTCTCCACCGCTCGGTTGTCGATGTGCCCGACAGCAGCCCTGTTATCCAGAAATGTGTTTCGATTACCCTCAGCTTGTCCGTGAATCCTCCGCCCTCCACGATCCGGTGGTGGGTTATCTTCTCCAACCATGGCACTGTATCGGGCTGACTGGACTACCGAGGCTTTCCGGCGATCCGTCTGCCGCACCGTCACTGCTTTCTCCTGGCAAGCTTCCCCTAGCTTGTCTCCAAGTCCTCGGACTCTGATACACCGGTGGCGGGCTTTCGATTCGCACCTCTGAACTTCTGGCGTGTCCGGCAGACCCTGTCCTTCCATCTCCTTCCCCTTCGGCCTCGCTGTCTAGCTCACCCTCTACTGCATTCACGATTCTCAATCCTCCAGGCGGTGCAACGCCCCCTACCGCATATCCTCTGCTTGGATCCGGGCTGCTTCCTGCAGTTCCTCCTACCGCAGGCGATATCCTGAAGTAACCCCCACCCGACCTTGTCTCAGCGGCATCCAATTCTATAGGTGGCAACCTTGAGTTCCTAGGGGATTCTAACTCGGCGGGCGGCTTTTCCCTCGGTGTTCCGTCGGCTTCACTAGCCGTGCGAGTATGGCCTTTGGCGGGGTAGTACTCTGAAACGCCACTCATACGATGCGGCGCTATACCACCACCAGTGGCGCGAGGATACCCGTCCAGTTCGGAAATGCGCGGTCCCTTTTCGTTTTCTTCGGGGATGGTGGAAAGGCGTGGAAGGAGGCTATTATTACTATACTCTCGTTTCCGGCGGCGGCGTCTGCGGAAAAGCAGGAGGGTGACAATAGCGAGAAGTGCGGCCGAAAGCGGAATGCCGACGGCGCAGCCGACTATAACGCTGTTGTTGGATGACGAAGATGATGCGCCTTCGCTTGAAGATGTTTCTGCTGGAGCGGCTGCAGTTCTCGTGAGGTATACGGTCGAAGCGGCGCCATTGGTGGGATTGCCCACGACAGAAGTGATTACCGTGGTCGCAAGTGCAACAGAGGACTGGGAAGTTTCTTTTGGCGACGACGAGGTGGAGGGATCAGCACGTGTGGATACCGGTTTCGATGTGGAAGTAGCTGCAGGCGCAGGGCTGGTTTCAGATGCAGAACTAGTTGCAGGTGCAGCGCTAGTTGCAGTTACGGATCCCATGCCGGTTGGATCGGCGCCTGTAGCCATTGGCGGTCCATGATCAGTTGATGAACCTTATTTGGTGGCCCTTTAGGGGTGTCAGGGACAAAATTTCACGCAGACGTACCGGGAGATATTGCGAACAATGATACAGCCTTGTCCTTACAGCAGTTACTACCTTGGATCAGCCATCATCCGTGTACAAAAGCGTAGCGCAAAGCTGGTGCTTACCCGCTTCTGTCACCGTTGCAACAGTACTGGTTGTCGCTGCACTCAAGCAGAGCGACATTGCCCACATCGGTGCCGTTCGGGGTGCCTTTTTCAAATCAGCATCGCAGTGTCCGGATGTTTGCTTCGCAACATACCGCCAAGGCAATACTGGGGACAGGCGGCGGAATCCCAGGATCGATCTGTGCAAGTGTAGCGGGTGATCCAGTCCTCTTCATCGAAGTGGCAGATGCCATCGTCAAGACACTGCCAGCCTTGGGGGCAACAGGCGGCGCCTGAGCTGGAGGAGCTGCACGGGATGTCCTTGTCGGCGACGCTACCATCAGGGTAGTAGCAGGTATTGGCGGCGCGGACGGCAAGCAAGAACAGAGTGGCCGTAAGGAGCGGTATAACGGCGCACATGGCTGGGGCGCTCACGGCATACGGACAGGCGAAGGATCGCGGAGGGTGGGTGAGAGGGGCGCCCAAGGCCGGCTCGAGCGTGGAGGAGGTGTTGGTGGTTGGGCGGGGGTGTCGCGAGGGTGGTTGGAAGCAAACATGAAGCTGGGCTCAGGCGAGGCACGAGGTGGCTCCAAAAACAACTCTGCGCAACGGTGTCGAGATGCACAGGCACATGACGTCGACGCTTGGGGAATGCTGCTGCCCTTTGCGGTAGTCGCGCGCTCTGGCGGCAGCGGCAATGGCAGGGCAGGGCCATGTGAGGCTCGCGTATCGGTCGGGCGAGGAAGGTGGCTCGGGCAGATCGCAGATCGCAATCATCAGAGCCAGCGCGACAGGCTGTGATTGCGAGGCGCCGTCTTGGTGGTAGCACGAGGTATGATGGGGGCCCGTTTCAGAGCTTAGCCGCCGTTCGTCTACATTCCCTTGTGTGGCTAGACCAGCAAGCCACGCTGGCCGCCGCAGCGACTAGGAGCCAGAGAAGACGGCGCTACGCAGGGAAGCTGGTGCGACCGAACCCACAAGCTGCCAGCAAGCGAAGCTGAGAGACAGATGCGCTGTCCCTGCTAGTTGACCTGATTCAGCGCAGCTGCACAGCGTCGTTGTGGCTTCAGAGCGGTGGACTTCAGGGCGGAGCCACAACAGGCAAGGGGAGCGTTTGGGCGGAGATGAAACGAGGCCAGATGTGGCTGGGTGGAGTGACTGCAGGCGGGGAATGAAACTATGACCTCATGGCCCCCGTCGCATTACTCGTGGCCGCCCGGCCGCCCGCCAGCGCACTTCCCCAGATGCTTTCCGAGGAAAGAGCACGGAAGAGGGCGGAACTCCCGACGCGTGTTAGAGTGCGGAGGCATTTAGCTTTGCGTCTTTGCTGTTTCCCGCGCTAGCCTGGTGCAGATCCTCCACAGCCAGAAGGAGCTCGGAGGCCCGAGTGACCCTTCCACACTCCACCACCCGCAAATTCTAATGGATTCATGCTTCAATCGCAGGCCTGGATTCCCTTGGTCGCTGGCAAAACGTTCTACTCCAACAGATTCAATCCGGTTGCCTCATCAGGAGATTTAGACTAACGCCCACCACGGATCAATAAACATCTGAGCCGAAGATAGTCCCTCCATAAGGGTAGACCGACCAAGCAAGCCCTTTGAGGGGTGAGGGGTCCGTAACAATAACATCAAATTCTTTCCCTCGACGACGGTTCTCCGCCTCCCGGTTTAATCTGCCGAAATCATGTCAAACATAGAGTTACGGGTATAAGGACCCTTGACAGCAGCTACCCAATGTGATATCTCTCACCCGCTTATACCCAGCTACTCCACTTTCTTACTCAGGATTATAAATTACTACCATTCAACTTAGGATTCTCTCCAAGCCAGTTCATCTCTTTTCCAGCCCATCATGGCCGTCACCAAGCCCCACATCGTTATTGTACCAGGTGGTTGGCACTCGCCTAAACACTTCGCCCCAACTACAGAACTTCTCGAGGCAGCTGGCTATACCGTCCATGGCGTGAATCTCGCTTCCGTCAACGCCTCTCCGCCGCTCACGGATTGGCGCCCGGACGTAGCAGCCATCCGCAGCACCATCGAAGCCGCCATCGGCCCCGACAACAACGACGTCGTCGTCGTAATGCACTCTTACGGCGGGCTTCCCACCCAAGACGCCATCAAGGGGCTCAACAAGGCGAGCCGCCGCCGCGGCGGAGTCGTACGGCTCGTCTTCATCGCCGCGTTCCTAGCTGACGAGGGCACGTGCCTGATGGACTACATCGGCGGCAAGCCCATGCCATGGTTCGACGTGGACGAGGTATGTTTTTGCGCAGAGCGGCAACAGCCACCCAATGCATCGATCAAAGACGCAAAAACCACGGTCAACTAACATCCTTAAAACTTCCAGAGCAACAACACCGTCCTCCCCTTGACCCCGCACCCCACCTTTTATGGTGACGTCGACCCCGCCCTCGCAGACGTCTCCGCCGCTACGCTACGGCCGCACTCGTACGCCACCTTCTTCAATCCGGTCGGCCCCAACCCCGCCTGGAAGTTTGTGCCGTGCACCTACCTCGTGTGCGAGGACGACGCCGCCACCCCCGTCGAAGCCCAGGACTCCATGATTGAGTATGCCAGGGCCAACGGCTGCCAGTTGGACTGCGTTGAGAGGATCAAGGCGAGCCATAGTCCATTTTTGAGTCAGCCCGAGTGGACCGCGGCAGCCATTAGAAGGGCGTGTGGGGAGGAGGTGGCCGAGTGATTTGAGAGATTGGAATCGTTTTGGAGAAAGGAGGGTATCAATTTGGCTTGCGGCGAGAGTTAGAGAAGATAAGAGAGATTTATTATGGGAAAGCGCAAGTCTTAGGACATTGATGAAATTGAATCTGTTCTGACCCTCTCGCACGGCGGTACTTATGGCAATCAATTCACTGACGAAATAAAAATCTACAGTTAGTAGCTTTCAGATAGTTCTCGCGATCACTGTAGCACAATATGAGGTCTTCCGAACACAAAATTTGTGGAGATCCGCCATGAAGCCATTTCCTCTACATCCAGTTGGTTTAGAGTATCCCAAGGGCAGACAGAAGTGATAGGGCTTCAAGCCGTTTCGAGAAGCGGAAAAGGACCCCGAGCAAACATAAACCTAGAAACAAGTGTTCCACAAGCTTGTCGAGCCTTTCCGAGATGTCGGAATTCATAAAGCCCCTTCGAGTCATGATCCACTTTTTCTTTCGTTGCTTCCATGCTCCTTTTCCCTTCAAGATCCCCACAAGAAAAATGTAAGATACCTGGTCTGCTCTGCCCGATGGTGCAATACCTGGTTTTCATTTAGATGCCTTTGAAGACTTTCTTAGAATTTGACCAGAAATCCCTGACAGCCCCAGTTCATAACGACAAAAGCCTCCTCCAATCTCCCATCAGAAGAGAGAAATATGACAAGGTAACGACACCGCACTAAACGATATAAAGGAAATGAAAAGGGAGGGAGGAGACAATGAAGAAGGAAACTACCTAGTCTTTTGAGCTATCGTTGAAAGTAGGAAAGTTGAAATTTTGAGTTTTGAGCTTTTTGTCATCCGCAATACAGGTTTCTACCACACCGACACGAGTTGCGAACATCTCCAGAGAAAATCCAGAAAGAGGGGATCTCTTTCTTCTCCAAGAGTCCTGGCAGAATAAAATCCCGCAATACACCAAGAAGGAGAGCCGTTCGTTTGAGCAACATCAAATGCCAGGTAACGACTGAACCTCCACGTCCAAAGGAGAAAAGTAGAGCCACGCGGTCCAAGGAAATTTTTTGCGTATCCCGTGTCCTGTATACTCCCGACCTCGCTATACGCCATATTTACGCCGATGTTTGCTTGCCAAAATGCTGCAAAAAGAGCTGTGCAAGCCAGAGTCCGTTGCCATCATTCACCATTCGCAAAAAACGAGTGATAGAAGGAATGGGAAAATTGTCGTGAAATCAACCAGTCTTCCTCTTTTTGCGGGGAGACTTGGGCTTGGCAAGACCATCCTTGTCACCATTTTCGGCTGGGCTGTTCGATCCGCTGCTGGGAACGCTCTCTACAATGCGGCCCCCTCCATTCTCCGCTCCATCACTTGCAGTCTCATGGCCGAACAGGCTCTGAGTAGGATTTGCGGGAGAGAAGCTCACATTGTTGTCGACATTTCCGAAATCGAAATCAAAGTTGTCGTCGGTGGGAAGTGACGGCATATGGTCATCGTGCACACCGGTTGCCGTTGGAGCAGCATCTGTGAAGTAGTTGTCGCCATCCGTGTGAATGTATGTATCAAGGTCAAAGTCATTGGGCGGCGCATTTGCATGACTGTTGTACCAGCCGGGGATGGAGCCACCGGGGCTCATTGGGGCTAGCCGATCGGAAAGATTCTGCACGCGAGCGGCCTGTTCTTCCTGCAAGCGCTGAAGCATGTCAAGTTGTTCTTGATGAGCTCCAAAGTGCTCAAGCGTCGGCATAGGCGGGGGTTGAGGGTTGATCAGAGCGTTGTTTGCACCATTGGAGTCACCGTCTGCTGAAGGAGTGGCTGCGTTCATCAACGAGAGCATGTCCTCGCGCTGCTGTTGAGTCAGGGGTGTGTTACCGTCTGCTGTTTGGAAGTGTGACAGGGCTGCGGGGAAATCGAATTGCGGGCCCGTCGTAGCCGTGTTGGAATTTGCATTGACGGAGTTGATGACAGACATCATGTCTTCTGTGTTCTCCGGAGCCTGTACTCCCGGAGATGTCTCGGATTTGATGGCTGGGCTGGGAGCGGCCGACGTGAAATTGTGGTCAAGTGGCGTTTGCGGGCTGGTGCTTAGGTTCCGCGGCCTTGGCTGTCGCTGCTGTTGCGGAGGCTGGAAGCTCTGTGACCGGCTATGAGTCCTGGAACCGACTCCAGGGCGGGATGATTCTGGGCTCTGAGTCGTAACGTGCGGGCTCGGCGACTTGGTTTCTCTTGCCGTAGGGGGAGGCAGCAGGGCCAGAGGCCGTTTGTTGGGACGGGGCCCCGGGGATTTTTTTGACGACATGTCGACGTCGGGGAAATCGCCCATATCTACAACACTACCCTGGTTCTGGTTATTCTGAGATATCGACGAAGGGAACATGTCTGCTAGGTTCATGTTGACGCCGTTCTGACCCTCGAGGCTCCGGTTGTAAAAAGTTGCGAGGAAAGTGAGGATGGCGTTGATGGAACTTTCATGGCGCTCGTGCATTTTCTGGAACTGGCTGGCTTGCTGATACCATTGCTCGTTTTGACGGCGCATCTGCTGGATGATGCCGGAGATCAGCTTCTGCTGCTGTTGCAGCTGGCGGATTTCGCTGCGCATGGTATTGTAGTCCGACTTGGAGATGAGTTGCATGTCCTTGGCCGAGCCTTCGCCGTTACCGTCATTCTCCTTCCGTGTGTCGTCATCGCTGTCGTGTTTCTTGTCGTCGTCCCTCTTCCGTTTCGAGCTCGACTGGGGGTTCTTCGGCTTCTGGATGAGCCAGAGGAGCTCGGGCCTTCCGCGCTTGAAGTATTTGTTGAAGTACTCGCTGGGGGTCTTTTTGTCGCGGCGCTCGGCTTGCTTCATCGAGTTGTCGGACAGGCCGACCTTTTTGTGGAACCCGTACATGTTCAGCTGTCGCACGAACGAGGCATAATTGTTGTGCTTGAAGAGCTCGGGGATCAGCGTCTTGGCAAACTCGTCTTCGTCCAGGACTATGAAGGAATTGCCGTCGTCAGACCATCGGATGAGGTCAGTGTGATTCGAGTTGTCCAGGAAGCTACGTCATATGTGAGCCTCGCGCCCAACATTCCGGAGGGCTAACTTACCTGCTGAGCTTCTGCACAAACGGGGGAATCTGCTTCCTTTTCGCCTGTGCTTCCTTGCGAGCTCTCAGAGCCTGCGCCTCCAGATCCTCATCGTCTTCGTTCTCCCATGCATTCTGGCCCATGTGGTTGTATCCGCCGTACTCTCGCGAAGTGAGCTGATGGTTATTGCTGCGGCGGACGAGCTGGTTGTTCGGCACCTGGTCGGCGGGAAGGCGCTGGCCGTTGGTGTAGGACATGCCATTCTGGAGGCCAGCTATGAGGTTTGGGTCGTAGAGGGTGGGGTCGGTGTAGGCGGGAACGCCGTTCATGGCGGCGGGGTCACTCCAGCCGGACATGAATTGGTCATTGGAGTACTGTTGCGGATCCTGCGAGTGCGGAGTCAAGCCCATGCCGCCCCCGGCTGAAGTCTGCTGGTTCACCATCGGGGAGGCGCCGGGAGCGGGTCGCTTGCGAGAGGGAACGGTCCTTTGCATCGAAAGGCGGGCGTCGGGCTGGATGCAACTGCGTGGGCAGTATCGAGGCCCTGGGCCGGGCCGAGTCGGTGGTGAAAAGCCAGCCAAGCGCGCAAATCAAACGAGGTGCGGTCCACGCGGGGTGACGTCAAGCTCCTCGGGCGGAGGCGGGGCGCTGGAACGAGAGCACAGCGCAGTGTTGCGGCGTGTTGCGGTGGGTGCAGTGCAGTGGGCAGAGGTGGCAGCGGTCGCGGTCTTGTAGGGCGGCGGGGCTTGTTCGCAGCGGCTCGTCAATTGCAGAAGTTTCCACCGATCAAAGGCGGGCGGGAGCAAGGGATAAAGAGAGCGGGTGATTGCGCGGGTGCTGGCGTCGGCGGATGTTGAGGCGGCTTGCGGGAGCGGCGCAGTGCAGCGGACGGGATAAGGCTGGCGATGATGTCTTTCGGTGGATGTGGGAGCCTGGCTTCGGCGCGGACTGGCCAGCAGCTGGGGCTTTGGCGATTAGATAGCTACAGCCTTGGGGCGCGGGAGGAAGCAACGGCGTCGCGGAGGGCCTGAGGAGCGGGCTAGCTTGAGTTGGGCAGGGCGCAAAGAAAAGAGGGCCGTCGTCGTCTCTCTCGCGGCGGCCGGCCGTGGTTGCGGGCGCTCCGCCCTGCCGCTTCGCTCGGCAGGCCCGTGCTCTCGTCGCGACAACCACCGCGCTGCGCGACGCTCGATACGCTCTGCAGATTCGATCCCCATTGCTCACTTTCCCATCACCGGCTCCACTTTGCCATCACCGACCCCTTGTCCGCGCTGAGCTTGGCCTGCGTCCTGACTCTCCAGCCCGTCCGCTAGAGGGTCCCAGCCCGACCGCCTACCAACCGCCTGAACATTCAGCCCATCGGCCATTCAAACCTGGTCGATCCTCCTATTACGCCGCATGCGTAGAGTATACGCCGCGCGGACTCAATCTAATGCGCGCGTTCCGTGATTTCGCGCCCACTCCGGCTATCAGATCTCGATTAGGCCCAGCGAGCAGCACATGCAGCCTCTCAGCGTAGAGACAGGACGGCTGTCGTACGATGACCATCCCGGCCTCGCTGCAATTAAGTTTGACCCGATCGTCCGGCCATGGCCGATGCATCCTCTCCGCGCTGCTTAACCGCCTCTCTGGACTACAACCAGGTGCGATGCAGTGAACTGCTGCTATGCGTCTCTGCTGCAGCTTCCATAATCAACACCACTGCATTCCACCAGAGGATTGCACCAATCGGCCCTACTTCCTCAGGCCTCGGATTGCCTGCGCCTTCCTCTGTGGGCCAGACCGGTCCATCATGGCTCGCCTTTTTATCCCGAGTGGTCGTTTTGAGGATAGCCATGAGCATCAAAGCCCGATTGCAGCGCCCGCTCCGATGCCTGTGGCCGGCTGCCTCGCGCTTGGTCCGACTCAGCCACTTCCGATCCTCATGCAACTAGTTACGTGGCCGTAAGTGGGCGCTTTCGCCTCCATGGGGCACTGAAGAGCTGCTCTATGAGCATGGTAATAAGTGTAGTTTAGAAGCAGACAAGAGTGCCATCAGTTACGCCTCTGTTGGGAAAATATAACGAGGCCTGGATGATCATCCTATCCTTATGCAGGAGATGCGGGTTTCGGATGGATGGGAAATTTCATCGCCAACACACGAGATCTCGCACCCATCAAAGCATGCCCCTGGTCCCTGTCTTTCGTTCCGGCCAATCGGAACAAGCGGCCTGTCTACCAACGGCCAAATGACGTTCCACCGCATGGGTGACCCATGCCACGGCGCAGTCAGTGCCGTGGTTGGTTTGCAGGCTCCCGGGCCTTCACTCCTCCGCAGCAGCGTTTCGGCGCTTGGGATTTAGAGTCTCCCAACTCGGCAAGACTCCAGTTGCAATTTTAGCTAACTCTTTGGAACTGATCTCCGTGCTGATCGCGCCGAGGAGGTTTTGCAATCCCTCATCTTCACCCGCGGCTGCAGGCGAGCCAGCCGTCGATTTGATTCAATACACCCAGAGTTACTTACAGCAGAGCTCCGGAACGCTCTCTCAACAGCCCTTACCGGAGACCAAATCTACTGCCCGCTGGGCCGTTGCCAGTCTCCGGCATATTAGCCGAGGGCCGCCCAGGTCGCTCCGCATGTAGCAGGTGCTCATTTGTAACGGCTCCTACCATGCCCGCTCCACTTGTGCAACGCCGATTTCGAAGGCCGCCCCAGATGCAGGTCGCTTCTGATTCAACATAGCGTGACTCCTGGGCATCTACTATTTGCATTTCCTCCTCTACCTATTGATCCTACTAGATGAACACATCGGATTGATACGCTCGATTGACTCCGATTTCCTTCACTTTGAGAAAGTGGGCTAATTGGAAATTAACACGGGGTAATGGCAATTTCATGCAAACGTCTTGTTCATTGTGTCCAAGCGTGCTCTCTACGCCATCTCTGCAGTCATATGCTTGTGATAGGTGGGTTGCGGAAAGTTATTCGCGCAACCCCCACATGCTTTGGAAACCGGCTTTTGGCACTTTCCCATCCTTATCGAAACTTTTGCATGCTTATCGCTTCCAACCCTGCAAGCGAGACCCGGTCTCTGCCGCTTGCACGGCTCTCCACATGAAATTAAGCTATCACTCATGTAGCCAGGCATCAATCCACGTGTACAAGGCACCCATGACTTAGTGCCTTATTTCTCTTCGCCTGAATTTTTTTTTCTTTTCGCTAAAGCAAAGAATGGAAGTTTCGAGGAGCTTCTCGGGGTTACGAAAGACCCACCGGCAAAATATTCTTTTCTCTTAACATGTGGAGATAGCGGGATTTGCCAGGATTCAAGCTTCTCTTTCCCCGTCAGTTCAGTGCTGACCTCGGAGAATACCTAGCTCTCCAGCGACGCACTTCACAGTGCGTTTGTCGCAGCACCTTAAAAATTGAGCACGGTATGGCCACCTCAATTTCTCCTTATACGATTATGAGCATGAAACGGTATTTAAGCTGCATCATAAGCTTTGCTCTGGGCAGGAAAGAAAGATGAGCCCATTCATGCCTTCCGTTGTCATGTAACCTGTATGCATTCCTCGTTCTTTGAATGAAAATAGTTCTTTCTGGCTGTAAAATGGTTTAATCATTTTCCGCAAATAATTTCTTCTTTGTACTTCTCGTTGTACTTTTTCTTTTTTCCTGCAGTTTCCCCTAGAAACGATTCTTTCTCAAGCGGTTCTGACACAACCGACTGCCGACTAATTGCGATTGAACTGCAGGATCAGATGGCTTCCGCCCCAGCTTAGCAACATGCATTTATGCGATAGAAACTCTCATGAGGGGCGTAAGTATGCGACGAGGCCACGAACAGAAGCATGTGGCGGAGCGACTTGGCTCCCTCGGCTGTGCTAACTGCAAAGAGGAGACCAGAAATTGACGATGGCGTTTAATGCGAACAATAATTAACTAGGCGGGTGTAGAAGACAAGTCCGGCCTGCACAGCTGTGACAACCGTTCAGTATGAAGGGGGATTTTGTCTTATGCCGAGTTATTAGCACGGCGCTTGCGCCAGAAAAGGAAGTAGAAGGGGCTGTGCGTGGAAGAAGCCTCAAACATAGGCTCCCAACACCATCCAAACGCTCCCCTGCATTCGAAGCTCGCGCAAAGAATTGAAACAATACAGATACAACTGTGTCGTTTGGCATATTGCCCATTCGAGGTTACGAGAACGACGATGATCAAAGGCCCGGCTTCGTGCACCTAGGGTCACAGGATACGAACAAAAACAGCTTGCCAGAACAAGCAAGAACGCCAAGTCAACATCTGCTTCGCCACGGCGGCAGTGCTTCGCCAAAGACACAGGCCTTTCTACCACAGGGCTTACCTCCCCAGCTTCAAAGACATTTCAACAGCACGCCACTGCATCGATTGCTTCATGGCAACGGGGAATTTCCATTGGCGGACGACTTGTAAGGGCTTGACGAGGTTCCAGCCCCAGAAGTCCCAAGCGAAGATATCACCATACAAATAAACGCCCTATTCCGCCCCCAAAAAAGGCACCCAGATGCTCGTCCAGAAGGATTTGATCCCGGAAATTCTAGTTTCAAGCTACATCCCACAGCGCGCACAGACTCGTAAGGCAGCAGTCCCGGCGCTTTATATACTCCCCGGCCCCCGCGCCGTTGAGACTGTTTGCACTCAGGTCCCGTTTTTTGAACGATAATCACCGACGATGCTCGGTCCCGTGTCGCGCTTTGCTGCTCTGGCTGCGGCCCTCTTGACAGCCACGCCTGTATCAGCACTCGACTTTCCCACGACTGATTCTGGTCAGCACCCAACAGCTGGCAACCCTACCAGCAAAAAAAAAAAAAAATAAGAAGAAGAACCATCCTGCTAACAGGCAATCGCGCAATTACTAGATGCTCTCAGTTCTATCGTGAAGCAGATTTCCAATGGCGTTGTCGAATTCGATGTGGAAGATTATTACGGCCTTGGCCTCTTCCCCGACCCCTATACTTGGACGGAGTCGGCTACGGCGTGGGACTCTTTGGTAGGATACTGGTACCTGACAGGCGATACGACGCACAATGCTGCAGTGCAAACGGCACTGGTCGGACAGCTGGGCCCGGCACTCGACTATTTGCCCCCCAACCAATCGCTCCACATGTCGAATTGGCGGCAGTCTAGCTGGGCTCTCGCCGCTTTATCTGCCGCTGAGCGAGGACTGCCTGTTGAGAGCGAGAGCGAGAACGTGACTTCGTGGGAAGACCTCGCGCGAGATGCCTTCGACACTCAAGTCCCCCGCTGGGACGACACAACCTGTGGCGGCGGTCTGCGAACCGACATCTTCATGTTCGGCGATGAATACAACTCCAAGGACTCGCTTTCTCAGTCCACCTTTTTCCTGCTAGCTGCTCGCCTGGCCCGCTTCACCGGCAACCAGACCTACGTCGACCTGGCTGCGCGGGCCTACGACTGGATGCGTGAGGTGAAGTTGATCGATGATGACTTCGCCGTGTACTACAATGCATCCACAACACAGAACTGCTCTCAAGTCGACGACACGCAATGGTCGCAAGCCGCCGCGGCCATCGCATATGGAAGCGCCGTCCTAGCAAATATCGTAAGTTGGCCACGAGCCCCCATCAAACGCGTCAATTAACACCACCACCTCCACAGACTTCATCAACCGAATGGGCGGACCGCACGACCTCGCACGTGGAGCATATTCTCAACTACTTCTTCCCCTCAGACATCCTAACCTCCCCCGCCTGCACGGACGCGTCAACCAACTATTACTGCTGGGGCGAGGCGCACGCCGCCGAGGCCTCGACGCTGCGCTGGCTGTCCCTGGTCCCCGTCTTCCAGCCCACGACCCACGACAGCATCCACGCCGCCCTCGCAGCCACCGCCAAGGCCGCCGCCGACGCCTGCACGACCACCGACGGCGGCGCTTCCGCCTCGTGCAAGGGCCTGTGGAGCGTCAGCGACGACGATGAGGAGCAGTTCGACGACGACGACCCCAGGACCGACGTGCCCAGGAACGCCACCATCGGCCTCGGCCAGCAGGTCGTCGCGCTCGAGGCCCTGCAGGCCGCCGGCTTCATCCTCTCCTCCGCCGACGGCGTCAACGCGAGCTTCGTGCTCCGTACGGCGAACGGCACTACCGCCACCACCACTACTTTGAGCAGCAATGGCGACGGCTCGTCGTCGTCGTCGATGAGCACCGGCAGCGCGAGCGGGGCGTCTGGCACGCAGACCGGCGCCGCCGCTGCGGGTGGCCTGCTGAGGGCAGCATCTTCGGCGTGGGGGTCGTTGGTCGTGGCCGGGTTGGTGGGTTTCGCGACGGCGGTGTTGGTGTGATGATTACTTCATCCTCATCATCTTCCTCTAAATCCGTTTTGGGTATACTCTTCTACTACGCGGCGATGAATCATGCAACCGGAGGCGGCGCTACGCGATCAGCCCCTTTTTTCAGCTCTGTGAATACCCCTCGAAAAGGTTCTTGTTCGGAATTTTCTTTCATGTTAATATAGGATAATTTACGATGAAATAAATATGATACGCTACCACATTTGGACTCTATTACATGCGTGACCTTGCGATGCTGAACGAATAGCGAACACTAGTTTCGATGACACTAGTAGATACGGTAATGTGAATTTGTGTGATATACAGATTTCGTAGTCCTACTGATATATACATTCCAAAGGCTTTTTCAAAACCATCATCGTCCCTCCGATCACTCTCCCAAATCAACACCTCCCAACGAGAAGATAGGACCAAATGCGGAAATGAACGAGACAAGCAACAACATGTACATAATAATGTAGTTTAACAGCGAATAGTTACATACAAAAAAAAAGGGTGACCCAAAAGCCAAGAAACCCACTACACCGCGCACCTAGAAGCAGAGGAAATTTTCTTTGGTATCTTGGGTCATTATCTTCAACAGCTGCGATAGAAACAAAAATACAATAACAATAGCTCAGAGAGAGGGGTTCAACATCGAGGTTCGTTTAACCCACCATCCTCTCTCGGTTCCTCTTCTCTTTTTCTTCATGCTCCACCGTCTTTGGCCCGTTCAAGTCATGACTGACGAAGAAGAAGACTTGGCCTCCAAAAAAGGGAAATTCAAGACAAGGAGATTGGCAGCCATGTGCCTCAGTGTATCTTCACTCTCTCCCCTCCATTTCGTTTCCTCGAGGTCCTGGTACTTCACCACTCTCTCTCACACCAACTTCCTCCTCCTATCTGTTCGGTCCAAAAAGCCCTCCCCTCTCGTTTCTCGAACCTCCAAAAATGTTCCTTCCCTGCTGCCGATCCCACTCTTCACGCTCCCTCCTCTGTCTATCCCTTTCCATGTACTCCCGGTCCATCCGATCGCGCTCAACACGATTGCGATCAATGCGCTCTCTGACTACAGCCTCTTCGTGCCTCCGAATCTGTTCATCACGTTGCTGCGCCGCGGCGACTTCCTCGCGATACCGATGCTCACGGTGAGCCTGCGCGTGCGCGTGCGCTTGAGCCTGAGCCTGTTGATGCTGCGCCGCGGCCGCTTCTTGCTGGCGGCGAATCGCCGTTTCCTGCTCACGCCGCAGGATGGCTTCAATTCCGCGTTGGCTGGCCGAAGGAACTTGACCGGCGTAGCTATGTGCATGTGCATGCTCTTGGGCTGTGGGTAGACCGTGATGTGCTGGCGGGGCAGGAGGCGGAGGGTAACCCATGTGCGCAGTTGGCGTATGTGCAGAATTGCGAGCTGACGGCGGGGGCACAGCAGGTCCAGCAGAAGAGAAGCGAGAAGCAGCGTGGTCAGCCTGGCTTGGGGTTGGCTGGCGCATGTAGTGCGACTGCGCATACGAAGTGCTTCGGCTGTGGTGCTGTGCAGCTTGGGCTTGAGCTTGAGCTTCATGCTCTCGCCTCATTTGATCCTCACGATCGCGCTGCTCAGCAAGACGAATGGCACGCTCGCGCTCAATCATGTTCTCATACGCTTGGCTTTGTGGCTGGGCATAAGACAACGTGCGGTTTTGAATGGCAGCTTGCTCGTTGCGTTGGGCTTGCTGTTGCGCCTGTGATTGAGGCACTAGCTGCTGGACTGACTGCGGCGGCGTCATTTGCACATACGGATTTGCGGCAAGAACAGGACCTGGGTTTTCACGAGCTGGGCTAGGCACAGCGGGGATGGGCTGCAAAGGCGTTGGCGCTTGTTGGCGAGACGGTTGCGGGTGTGTGTATGAAGGAGTGCGCGAGTGGTGCGGCGTGTGTGATGGAGTCGGAGAATGGACGTTTCGCGGCTGTGCCGATGTGTTCAGCTGGCTAAGAGCAGCCCGGTGGTTGCTAGTATACTGCTGACGCCCGTCGATAGGCAGCGGGGCCTGCGGCTGCTGCAGAGTGGCTGGATGCGGCGAGCTTGTCTGAGATACCGGGGGCGGAGGTTGTGAGTAAGTAGGCCTCGCCCAAGGATCGCGCGATGGAGGCGGCTGAGACTGTTCCCGACCCGACACCTCCATGGGACGGCGCTGAGGCGGAGCTTGCATTGGCGGCTGTTGTGACGGTTGGAGATAGGCCTGTCGGGCAAATGGGCTGTTGGGCGCCGGCGACTCCGTGAAAATCTCTCTCCGAGGGTATGCAGGTGAAGAGCTTGACATCGTGACAGGCGGCGGCGGCGGCGGAGCAGTGGTCTGATGAATGGGCCTTCCTTGTGCCGAATACGGCCGCTCGTGAGGAAGCACACTTGCTCGGTCGTCAACTGGTGGTTTCTGCTCCTTGGGCTTGGACGGCTCGGAAGGAGCAGGGTTGAGCAGATCTGCCAAGTTCGATGTCTTCCGAGGCTCCGCCGGCGCGGCTCGCGGCGTGGATTGGACAGGAGGCTGAGGTGGAGCATAAGGCTGCTGACTTTCTTCTCTCTTTGGAGAGACATGTCTCGAGATCCGTCCAGGAGGTTGAGCGATCGGCAGTTGGCTAGGTGTCTCAGTAAGATGGCGAAGAGCCGGTGCCGCACGCGAGAAAGCACCCTGCTGAACTTGTCCGGGCCTTGCTTCCGCAGGGCTGGGTGCCGGCGGCTCGGAGCCCCTTTGTTGCGGTAGTTGCGGTGGGACGCTGGTTCTGTAGAGCGGGTGATGCGCAGCAGCTGACGAGGCGTAGATCTCTTGCTGCTGCGCTACTTGAGCCTCACGCTCGCGTTGCTCGGCAGACATACGCACGTAGCGAGGGTCGTGTAGCTGCTGAGCTCCCGGCAAGCCTTGGCTATACTGCCGCCTGTGGTGGTGCTCCGCGTGGACATCTCTAGGTGCTTCCGGTGGCGCTTGCCGCATGTCGGTTTGTACTAGTGGAGCTCTAGAAGGCTCACGCTGCGAGAAAAAGCCACGGCGAGGACCAGGCATCTCATGCTGCGGCGGCTTTCCGTAGCCTGAAGCATGGCTGCTTGGTGCGGGCACGCTTGTCGACGCAATGATGGAGGTGGGAGGCGTAGATGCGGACAACGCAGGACTGGCTTGGGCGAGCGGTGGGAACCGAGACCCTGCTTGAACGTGTGGAGAAGCTGTTCGAGCAGGCAGGTCAGTAGCTGGAGGAGACTGTTTGATGTCTACGATCTCAGCAGGGGTGGGGGCTAAAGTACGGGGGATGGTCGGTTGAGTAGTGTCATAACGGCGCTTGGTGGAGGCTGTTGGCGGCGGTGGGGGGCCAATATCCTCACCACGATTCCGTCGATCATCTGCAGCCTGTGCAATCTCGACAAGCTCAGGATGATTACCAGAGTCGGTCTTCCGGAAATACTCATTTTTGACCATCGCCGCAGTCTTAGTCCCCATCTGCTTCGCGATCGCGTGGAAATCTGTACCGAAATATCCTAGATAGTTGCGGAAATCAGTGGATTCGTTCACAGACCAGTAGCTTGACATGCCGCCAGCACGGGAACCGGCGCCACGACCTTTGGGTCTTTCAGCGACCGGGGCTGACTGAGGCACCTGGAATGCAGCTTCACCGAATTGACCGCCAATCTCAGGTTGGACAGATGGCAGACGGGCCAGCAGCGCTGCTTCTTCCTCTGTTCGGGGAACTCTGTTCGGGTCAATAGCCGCGTCGCCTGGGTACAGGTCCTTGTCCGTCTTATGAGGAGATCCTGCCGGGGCAGGGGCAAGTTGCTGTGCCGCACGTCCCCTTTTTGTGGCCTTTTCTTTTGCGACACGCTGGCGTTTGGCAGGCTTCTCGGTACTCGGCTCGACGGTCTCTCCTCTGGTAGATGCGCCTCTTTGGCGACCAGGAGTCGGGGCCGGGGTAGCGTGATCGTCTTGGGCCTCCTTATCACCGAATGTGGGCGCTGCAGCGCGCCGGGGCCGACCACGTTCCGTCGTTGTAGCAACAGCGCCATCCTCGCCATCGACCTGATCAGTGCTGGCAAACGGGATTGCGGTCTTCCTCCCCTTGGGAATTCCGGCTCTTCGCTTGGCTTTGCGGCGACCGGTCGGGGGCTTGTACTCTCCATTCCACTTCGTGGCGTAGTAGTGGTTGATACATTCTCTGAAGTTGCGGTCAGGGAGAGCTTTGGCGATTTCACCCCAATCCTTTGGCGTCTGTAGGTAAGCAGTGACCAAAGCCTTGTGCTCCTCCGGCGAGAAGTTATCCTCAGGAGGTTCGAAACCGAAAGTAAGTATTCCCTTGCTGGGTTCCCGGAGGCGGTTGGTGTTGACGAATTTTCGTCTCTCGAGTTCGTCGTCCGGCAGCATGTCTGGAATCGGTGCCTGTCCGTTCGAGAAAGGATTTTTGCTTGCTTCCTCCTCCCGCCTCTGCTTTTCTATTCTCTCCTCCTCCATCCTTCTGGACTCAGCAAGTATGTTCTCAAGATCATAATCCGTAACATGACGTTGCCTATGAGCGGGCCCTTGAGTGCTGGTTTCACTTGGAGATACCGCTGCTTCTTGCTCTTCGGTTTTCTCCTTTTCTTCGCGCATGGCAGCGTCTTTTTCCCGGTGAGCTGACTCGAGACCCCAATGATGATACTGCATGCGGAACACTTGCAGAGCCGTATCCTGGAATTCTTGCTCAGCACGGATGCTATTGAAGAGCTTGTCCTTGATAGCAGCCATGATATTTGTCCTAAGCGCTGTGCTCTCCTGGTCGGGATCAGAAAGGGGTGTCGGTGGACCTCGGTTGAGGTAAGGTAATGAATGAAGGTCGGCTTCAGTGATAGACTCATCCTCACTAGAAGCACTCTCAACTCCGCCATCGCCTTCTTCAACACCGTCGGCTTCGCCCATTTCGACGTCTTCTGACTCCTCCGCTTTCGGAGTAGGGAGCTTCGGGGGCTCGACTTTCGATTCAGGTTGCACAGATACTGGGGACACCTTCTCCTCCTCCTTGTTCTTTGGCGGTCCCGCTACCGGCCCGTTCATAGAGGAGGTGGGAGACTGCATATCATGATCCATCTTCTCAGGCTCCTTGGTCCCTGAAGCTTTTTCGGTAACCGGTGATGTCTCGGGTACGGGAGCAGGTGCCGGTTGAGGGAGATCATTCTCATCGACGCGAGACAAACGCAGCAGTGTCTTCAATGGGCTGCTGCAGCGGAAGCTGCGGTCTTCCAGATTTTTCAAGCGAGACTCTAGGCGGGCCTTCTCGCGCTCGTATCTGGTCTGACTTTGGCTGAAAAATTCATCGTCTAGATCCATCTCATCGTCGTCTTCGCTAGCCTCATCGGACTGCGATTCGCGCGCTTGGGGCTCTAATGGTTGAGGTGTGGTTGAAGGCCGTTCTGCTTTGATGTTCGATTCGGAAACCGCAAACGCGGAGTTCCGTCTGGCACTGAGCGTTTCCAGGGCCTCGTCACGGGATCTTATCTCGCTTGCGGACTTACGACGAATAGAGACAGTGTCATGCGCTGAGGGCGTTGGCGTCGCAGGTCCGCTGACGGGAGAACCGACAGCGAACGCGGGGGACCTGGGTCTGCTCGGAGTGTATTTATCCTTTTCGTCGCCATCGACATCTCGTTTTGCAGGCACAACAGGTCCAGGGCCTCGAGGATACCGGGGAGCATCAGGCCGAATCCACTGCAGATTCCTACCAGGTATTCCCATCATCGGAGCTCTTGGTGCATTAATTGGCTGCCTCTCAGCTTGCGGGAAGAGAGCAGCGCGAGGTGCAACAGGAGGACCCCGATCAGCTTTGGGGCCAGTAGGAATGGCTGGACCCGGGCCGAGCCCGGCATTGGGTCCTCTCGGAGACGTGCTAAACGGACCCGATGCTCGCGGTCCAAGCGGGATATTTGCAGCTGGAGGACCATCGCGAGGCGGAACAATCGGAGGAGGAACAAGCCGACTGTGAGGTTGCTGCGGCGACACAAGACCTCGGGGACCGGTGGGGGGAGCTGGGATAGGTGGGCGAGCTTGAAGGGCCGCTGGGCCAGTAGGCGGTGCAATAGGTGGCGAAGGAGGACGAGAGCGAGGCGCTACGTCTTGCTGGTCAGAAGAGGGCCCAGAAGGCGGAACTGGAGCTTGACTCGGCACGGAAGAGCCATTATCAAGCTTAGGTTTAGACGGTTCCGTTGTGGAGGGGGTAGGTTGTTGGATTTCAGGAGCAGGCTTCTCAACAGCAGGCTTTTCCGCAACGCGAGTAGCCTTGGGGCCTGTAGGCGCAGTAGGTGGGACAGCTGATAAGGCCTTGGGAGCACTCGGCGGAATCTTGGGGCCGGAAGGCACGCCTGACGCGGGAGCGGGCGGTTGTGCAGGTTGCGGAGGTCTCCAGACGTTCGAGGTTGGAGTTGTGAAAGTAGTGGCCGGTTTTTGGAATGACGAGACGGAGCCGAAAGCCGGCACCTGCGGGGCTTGTGGGGGCGGAGAAGATGCTCGTGGGCCATAACGATCTCTGGAGGCCTCTGCACGTGCGGCTATGTAGTCAGGCTTGTCCTTGGCTGACACAGGCTCTTGTGCAACAGAGGCGCGCCGGCCAGGGAGCAGTTCCCTGGGTAGGTCTGACGTACTTGCGCGGTCTACTCCGCCGTGACCGGATATTGAGGGATGACGGGGACTTTGGTGAGACGTGGAACTCGCCGCGCTGGAGTAACGCCCGTCGTGAGCCACACTGGCCCGCCGCATGTCCGTGTCCCGTGAAGATACAGGATCGCGTTTGTATCTGTCGACCTCCCTATCATCTCTGTAAAATGGCCGGTCATCATCACGACGGTCAAACCTTCGGTCGTCCCTCCGGTCGCTTATCCTGTCATCACGGGATGGTTCCTTCTCCCATCTTGGACGCGGAGACCTGCTCCTCGGTCGGAAAGAGTTACGTTCGTCGGCGAAAGACCCTCGCCCACGTCCACGACTGTCCCAATCGCCTCTTCCTCGACCACGACCGCTGAATCCACCACGGCCGTGGAACCCAAAATTGCTGGATGGAGGATCTGAGTAATTGGACCCTGCAGATGGAGGGCCATCTCTCGCGCTTCTACGAGCGCGTTCGATGTCCAGCTCCCGAGGGCCAAAATCCCGCGAATCACGCGAGTCTCGAGAGTCCCGTCCCGGAGAACGTGCGCGTGGCGAGAGCGGTCTGTCTCGCCGATCAAAATGCCGATCCCGGTCGCCACCACGCCACGAAGATCCCCCTCTTCCGTCACTCAGCGGAGGTGCATCGCGCAACTCACGATACTCGGAACGGCCCCCAAAACCTCTGCCTCGTGGTCCGGCGGGCACGGAGGCGCTTCCTCCCGGTGGCGGGCCTCGAGTTGAGTCCGACAACGCCTTGGGACCACGGGGAACGTCTCTGGATGCTGAGCCACTGATGGAATCCGGGTAAGGCCTCCCGCTATTGGAATCGTCGTTCCTGGGGGTGAAACTAGAGCTGTACGTAGACGCTCGCCGGTCGGTGTATCGTGGAGGCGTTCGATCACGCGATGTGTAGCGAGAGTCGTTAGGATATCTAGAGGACATCCTATCCTCCTTCCCTTCTGCTGGCGGTCTGAAGTCCAAGTCTTATGTCCTAAGCGCCAGCCAGCATGAGTTTTCGGGCGCAATGCACCTACGGTTGTCCAAGTTAGCCACATGGTTGAAGAGCTTTGACGCTGCGAAAGCGGCGCGAATTAAGTGAAGGTACGAGATGAGGCGTTGAAGAAGGTGGCGCAGTGCACAAAGCGTGCGATCAGACAAGGATCGACGATGCCATGCATGCAACGGGTAAGCGGTGAATTAGAAAGGAGTGCCGCCCTTGCTGTCCAAGTCATGGAGAAGAATTCCCATGCGCGAGGCCAGCCCCCCCAACGAAAGGGTGAGGAAAGGACAGATCGTGGTGGACAGCGCGGCAGAGGTCACTGGGTCGGCCGTCCCAAGCTTCAAGGGACCGGTACCACGACGGCGGAGCCCGATCTCGGCAGCGTTCCGTGGGTCCGCGCGCAGCGGGAGGACGCTCATGACAGGCACAGCGAAGCGGGGCGACAGGGGCGGAGGCAGCGACGAATACGTACCCAACTTCAGATGACGGTGATGGCAGGTTGAGATGCAGATGGGTCGGGTCGGCGAAGTTGTCGTTTCAAAAATAGACTAGCCGGGCGGGTAGCCTTGGCAGCGTCCGAGCGCCTTTACCGATCGCCCAGGGAAGGCGAGACCAGAGACAAGTGCCTGACGGGTGACAACGCCCTGACAGGCCGGGCTCCACACGCTGGCAGGAAGTCTGCTTGCACGCACCGCGGGACTGCGGCAGCACAGGACGGGGCAGACGGGGCGCGCGCTGCTGCTGCTGAGCTCGGGCTGGGCTTCTGGCGGACCTGCAGGACGGCGAGCGCCTGTGCAGTCGCGGTGCACCCTGGCTAGAGGCCTTGACGTGGCGGTTCTCGGCTCCGCAGGCTGCTGCGGCTCGCGGACGGGCGGTGGTGAAAAGAGCGGCGGTGGTTTACTGGGCCTGGCGCATCACGATGGCAGGCGGGGCGGGGGTGGACGCGCGGGAGGGTGCGCGTGCTGGGCTGGTGTTGTTGCGGGTGTTGTCAAGAGATGAGAGGAGATGTGAGACGAGAAGAACGGACCGGGACACAATCGACTGCGGGTTAGGGCCGCTCCACCGCCCTGGAAGAGCACTTGCAGAAGCTCTGCGCTCCCCATTCCGCATGCGCGACGCTCATTGGCTGGCCATTTCAAGATGATGCGTGGGAGCCCCGACGGCTGGAGCTAGCCCATGCTATGCGCAGCCCAAGCCCTCCGCCGCGCCGCTGAAACATTGAGCGAGGGCGTGTCACCCCAGCCTGCACTCCCGCAGCCTTCTCGAGCAAGACGCGGCGTCTGTCAGCGCCTCCGCCTGGGCGCCGGGCGCGAGAGCCGCCGGGCCAGCGCCGCTGCGCCTAGCCGCAGGCATCGCCCGCGTGTGCTCACAGCGTGCAGGGCGCGTGCAGCAGAGGCGCACGCCGGGCAGCCAGGCTGTCGCCTTAGCCGGCAGCCCGTCAGGGGTCGGATGAACCTCAAGGTTTTCGCGCCAGATGCGTGCGGCGGGCCAGGCGCGGAATCCCTGCTTCTTTCTCAGCCCGTGAAGTGCCCAAAACAAGGGGTGCTGTGGGCGATCAGCCATGCGCTAACGTTCCACCGAACTTGGGCCAATCAAAGCTGTGACGTCGTTCGAACTGCGGGACCGAGTTCACATCGGCCAGGCGCACAGCACGTCGCCCAGCGAGCAGAAGGCAGCGGCGGCCGGGAGCTGCACGAGATGATTGACGCACATGGTGGTGCCGCCGCCACCGAGCAATGCCGGGGAAGCTGATGCCCTTGGACGGCCATCTGTGCCCCGGAGAGATCGGGCGAGGCGCCACGTGCTGCAGAAAGCCCTGCGCACGTCCTGCGGAGAGAGATGAAGCATTCGTCCGGACCGCTCTCATCAACGAGTACGGCGTTTCCATCTCGCTCTGGACCACCGCTCCCGTCCTGCGCCTCATACGCACGGCATGCATCAGCCTTGTCGCTGCGAATGCCGCGCTGGTTCACCCGGCAAGACAAGCTTCAACCCTATACGCGCCATCGCTAGTACCTGTGTCGCCCCCCCCAATCTTGTGCGGACCGATCTCGTATTCCTGGTTACGGAAAGAGCCTGTCATGCTTTTGCAACGGCGCAGGGCGCGCTGAGCAAATGGTGTGAGAGACGCGCAACGGCGTTGGCGTCCTGGAAGGCGGGCCGCCTGTGAGTCTGACACGCGCGATCGCAATCGCGGCCGGGCGTTGCCGAATCATCCCCGCGAAGGGTCCAGGTCTTAACGATTTTCACTCGCCGCGACCTCACCCCACACATTCCGACAAAGAAAATGAGCACGCAAACCGACAGCGCCACGAAGGTGTCACAGGCCGCTGCACACGGTCAAGCACCGGCAGGCGCGACAGATGCCGTGCTGAAGCCCTCCGATCCCGTGCCCGAGGGCGCGCAAGAGGTCAAGGGCGTCGAGTTCAATGACTATGCAGGCAGGAGCATTACTGTAGAGGAGCTGGTCGCCGGCATGGAGAACATGGGGTTCCAAGCAACCTCGGTTGGCCAGGCCGTCAAGGTCATTGAGGGCATGGTGCGCCAAATTGCCCCGTCGCTAGCTTTCCCTGTTCTAACACAGTCATAGCGAGCCTGGAAGGATGCCGAAACGGGCGAGGGCACCACCATATTCCTTGGCTACACGTCCAATCTCATTTCCTCTGGCCTGCGCGAGACGCTGCGCTACCTCGTGCAGCACAAGCATGTGTCAGCAATCGTAACGACGGCGGGTGGCGTTGAGGAAGACTTCATCAAATGTCTTGCGCCGACCTATCTGGGCTCTTTCCAAACCGCAGGCGCCGCGCTTCGTGCCAAGGGCATGAACCGCATCGGGAACCTGGTTGTGCCGAACAGCAACTACTGCGCCTTCGAAGATTGGGTCGTGCCGATCCTGGACGCTATGCTCGCGGAGCAGGAAGCTACCCGCGACTCTGAGGAACCAATCCACTGGACGCCTAGCAAGCTTATCCACCGTCTCGGCAAGGAGATTAACGACGAGCGTTCCGTGTACTACTGGGCATGGAAGAACGACATCCCTGTCTTCTGCCCGGCGCTGACCGATGGCTCGCTGGGAGACATGCTGTATTTCCACACATTCAAGGCGAGCCCGCAGCAGCTCCGCGTCGACATCGTCGAAGATATCCGCAAAATCAACACCATCGCGGTCAGAGCGAAGCGTACCGGGATGATCATTCTGGGCGGCGGCATTGTGAAGCACCACATCGCGAATGCGAACCTGATGCGCAACGGGGCGGAGAGCGCAGTGTACATCAACACGGCGCAGGAGTTCGACGGGAGCGACGCGGGAGCCCGGCCGGACGAGGCTGTGAGCTGGGGTAAGATCCGGGTGGACGGCGACAGCGTCAAGGTCTATGCTGAGGCGACGGTCGTGTTTCCGCTGATCGTGGCAGCGACGTTTGCGAAGCCGAGAAAATAGAGGAGCGGAGGAATGAGGCGCTGGCGGCGCCGCCAATAGAAAGTCAGCGCGCAGCCGCGTTGCACAATGATACCATAGAAAAGATAATATTCCGACGTCCGATAAGCGTGGGGAACAGGAGCTGCGAGAGGCGTGGCGGCGGCAGGGTGTCCATGAAACGAGATGACACGGTCGGAGCGCGGATCGTTGTGAATGCGGGCTGAGACGGCCTCCTGGAACGCGTCACGGCAAGGATGCGTTGAGCCTCGCGCAGGCGTCCGCCTTGAGCAGGCACCAGCTTGCGGCGATGACGGTGACCCCATCGGCGCTGCGGCTGATGCGACCCCGCAACGGTGAGGTGGCGGGCGGGCACGGCGGCTCTGGACTCTCTGAAGGCTGCTCGCAGCAGCAGTGTTTCAAGCAGTGCTGGCAGACCGCAGGCCCTACGAGCAGCGGGGGGCCGGGATGTGCGGGTCGCTCAGATCAGGCGAGCTGGACCAGACGGCGGGTGGAGCTCAGGATTAACCAATGTCGTCCTAGCAGCGGGACCGAGAGCTGGGCGGCCAAAGCTCCTGGAGAGTGAGGCTGGACAGCAGCCATCGGCGCCATGCCATGCCTGTGATTGCCAGCGCTGCCTACGACTCGTCGAAGCGCGCGCCGCAGATGCCTGCTGCCGTGCATTATTTAAGCATTCTTGAGCGCGGAAGCTCCATGCCCTGCGGCTGCCGCTTCTTACGTGGAGCTTCCTAGACTGCAGCTTGGACAGCTCAAACTCACCGCGCGCCGATAACCCCAGCTGCAGCCTCGCACTTCCAACACTAACCTCCGCGCTCTCTCCGCGCCCGAGCCCGCACCGCACATTTACCTCTTGCGCCTCGCCCGCACCTCCTCCCTTTCGCGCTGACGCAAGTGCGCATGTCTGCCTATTGCATCACCGACGCTGCTGCGCCGTCCTGACTCAACCACCATGAGCGTTACAACAAGCTCAGCCAACGTTGAGCCGCCGCCGCTGCTGTTCGGTCAGCGCTCGCCGACACCGCCTTCCTTCGCCTCCTTCCCCCAGAGTACGCCGCAGAGCCCGACCAGCCCGCGAGCTCACCCACCGCTGCTCCCCGACAACCCCGACATGAACCACAACAACCTGCTGCCTCCTGCGCCGAGTGCAGATCAGAGTGATAGCGAGGACTCAGACATGGACGACACAGACGGCTCCTCTGTGGAGCCGTCTGCACACTCGATCCGGTCTGGCGCACCTTTGGACCTGGCACACCCCCCCAGTGTGCCTGCCATGACACTGCGCGAGGAGCAAGACGCCATGGACACGTCCCCGGACCCGCCTGGCAGTATTGCCTTTGGCTTTCCAAGCGGCCCGCCTTTATCTCTTGATAATCTTGACAGCGCGCCTGTGCCTCCGCCACCAGCGACTGCAAACGAGCACCCAACACCCACGATTCGGGAGAACCTCACCCGTGTGAACTCGCGCGGTAGCTCTATTGACAGCGGTGGAGATCCCCACGATCAGCCTCTAGAGCCGCCGCCGCCACCACCACCTGCTCTCGCTCCTCCGCAATCGGCACCTGATTCCCCCCGTGCTGTAGATGCAGCCGGCGAACAGGAAGAGACCTCGGATGACGACGAAGATGCGCTCCCCCCTTGGAGGGAGCTCAAGGAGGACACATCGGTGCCGGATGAGGATGAACTTAGGGAAATCGAGGCAATGGGCGAACACAGCGCACTGGATGGTGAGTTACTTCATTCCGCACCCTCTTTCACTTTCCACGTGCTGAAGAAGACAACTGTAGATGAGTATTGGCAACAGAGAACGTTCCAAGACCTTGAAGATCCCGAGTACACTCCTGGACCAACCGGAAGAGTGGATTGGGCCATTTCAAATTACAACGGCACGCGCGAGAGCCCGAATCGGGATCTTGTCATGAAGTCACCCATTGCGAACATTGGCGGCTTCGATTGGCAGATCAAGTTTTACCCTCGGGGAAACGATTCGGATTTCTTAAGCATATATGTTGAATGCTTGTCGGTGGCACGAAAAGAGAACCAGAACGATGCACCCACGTCTGGAGCAGCGTTGGGTGATAATTCCGAGACATACACGTCAAGCGCTAAACCCCGCCCGTCTTCCACGGCAAACCCAACACAGGAACATCAGCAAGGCCCAATTCCTCTGCTCACCGAAGAGCCAGTACCCAAACGGCGAAGTGTTGCCGCGCAAGTCTCTGTTGTCCTCTACAATCCCGCCGAGCCACGAACGAACTACTTTCGACAATGCTCACACAGGTTCTGCCCAGATTCTCCAGATTGGGGCTGGACTCGCTTTGCTGGCCCGCACTTTGAAATCCACTATCGACAGCGGGGCCAGCGCCAGCCGTTGCTTCGAAACGACAAGCTGGCAATCAGTGCTCACATCCGGATTATCAATGATCCAACTGAATGCCTGTGGGAGCATCACAACCGGGACAACAGATGGGACAGCTTTGCAATGACGGGTCTACAAGGGTTGGCGGATTCAGAGTACGAGTCGCACGGCGGAAGCCTGATTGCCGCAATCTCATCCTGGATGTTGCTCAAGCCCTTCCGGCAATTCCTCTACGAGCTCAAACTGGCCGATCCCGTCCAAGACGCTAGGTCAAGGCCAAAGCCGCTTCTTTCTGCTCTTCAGAGGACGATCTACAAGTTACGAACTGAAGTTCTCCCTGGATGTGGTCCGGTAGACTTGGACGATATTGCAGACGCACTGGAGTGGTACGGGACCGATTCGTGTCTGGGCAAGCTGGACGTCATTGAAATTTGGGAGACCTTGCGAGCGAAGATTGAGTTTGAATTGGCGGATACTCCTTGCAAAGACAGGTTCAGGGATCTATTCGGGCCAGAAAGAGATCGCATGATGAATATTCCAACGTATCGCGCACCGGTCACGGATTGCCCAGACATGCAGGCTGCAATCGACAAGTCGATCAACCTGGTCCAGCCAGGCGTTCCACTCCCAAAGGTTCTGCATGTGGAGCTGGAACGACAAGAGTTCAACCGGGAACGTCGGTCAATGCGAAAGCTGGCAGATAAGGTGAAGTTGTTGGAGAAAGTTACCATCAACAAGACAGCCTATATCCTCTATGGCTTCATCGTCCACAAAGACAGCCTTCAGTCCGGATCGTACTATTCGGTCCTTCGGCCGAGAGGTCCTGGAGGCAAGTGGTACGCGTACTACGACGGCAAGGAAGAGAACCGCGTGGTTTGTTTGACTAGAAAACAGGCAGTCGAGGCGCATGAAGGCGGTGGCTCGGAAAAGTCGGCAGTGGCCTATATTGTCATGTACGTCCGCCAAGACGTTGTTCCGAAGCAGTTCAGCAAAGATGAGCCAAAATGGGAGGTACCTCAATGGTTGAAGAACCGCACCCTTGGCGGCCGTAAGCAGACAATTTTTGAGACGACGGAAGAGACTTTGGACTACGAAGTCTTTGACTCTACTGCTTTTACTCAACACGAAGGACCTGGGGTCATAGACCCTTGCGATCCCAAGTGGGAGAACTCTCCCCACCGCACTCATATCAATCTCCCTGCATCGGCATCTGCAAAGGATGTCAAGAACGCTCTGGCACACCACTTCCACGCCAAGGACCCTCGTCAGGTTAAATTTTGGTTTCTCGACCACACTAATGGCACGTCCCATCGACCGACCATGCGCAGCAGCACGATCGATGACCTCCGTGAGGCTCCAGACTATGATTCGACTTGGACACTCAAAACTGCGGCAGAGCATCGGCCAGAACGCAGGATGTGGGTACATGTGGTCGACTTCGCGGATCTGCCTGAACTGCCAAAGCCAATCTCCTCGGTCAACGAGGTTTCCGGGCCCGGCAATTCAAGGAATACAGCGGCAGGTTCCAATGAAGACGCTCCCATGAACGATGCGGATGATAGCGGCAATCCGACGGATGAGCAAATGGATCTCGTGATTACCGAGGGTCTTGCTGCTCAGGCTGCTCGCCAACACCCTGTGGATGTCACTATTGATCCAGCATTTACGCTTCCTCGACCACCTCAACCCTCAGTGGCTGACAGTAGCGATACCGAAATGGCGAACAACAGTGAGGCCGTACACGTTATGCCTCCGCCACCACCTCCACCAGTACCCGCAGACTTTGTGACTCCGCCCCTCCAATCAATCGACAACGTGGTTGTAATAGCAAATTCGAGTATTCCTCCATTCGATTTTGCAGTTCCTCCCCCAATCACCCACAATCCCACTGTTTCCCACGACGACATCTATTTCTTCTTAAAGGAGTTCGACCCGGAGACTCAGACATTGAGGGCTCGCAAGACGGTTGTTGCCAAGAAGAGTGATCGAATTGACCATTCGGTCTTTGATGCTCTGGAATGGCCACACGAAATTCCGTTTGACATCTACGAGGAAGAAGCGCCTACAGTCGCTACCAAGCTCCAGCGTAATGGTGTGACCTTCAGCCAGGCCGGTATACACAGCACGGCTATCCTCATCGCACAGATGCGTCTCAGCGCTGAACAACGTGCTGAGTTGGCAAGTCGTGCCCTATTCTCAGACCCAGGGGATTACATCGTGCACGCAACTGCTGCCCGCTTTGCCACACCTACTGCTCCGCTGACAGGGCACTTCACCATGGACTACTTCAGCTCGGAGCATTATATGGGTATGCTCGTTCGCGGACGCCCACACGGAACCGGACGCCACCTCTACTTCGATGGAGGCGAGTATGTCGGCTCCTACCGCCTTGGCCAGCGCCATGGCAACGGGCGTCTCACGTACCCCAACGGCGATGTTTACGAGGGTGAATGGGCAGCAAATCTGCCAGAAGGCCGTGGAAGCTTTATCGAAGCTGAGACTGGAAACTCATACTTCGGCGGCTGGAAGGCAGGCAAGAAGTTCGGCGAGGGCGTCACGCACTGGAAGAGCGCGCAGGAAATTGAACGTCTTTGCCGCATTTGCTGGGAGGATAGCGCGGACGCCGCCTTCTACGACTGCGGACACGTCGTTGCATGCCTGAGCTGCGCGCGACGGGTGGACACGTGCCCAGTATGCAGGAGAAGGGTTCTAAGTGCGATGAAGCTTTACTTTGGCAACTAAGAAAGTCGATGGTCACTGGCTAGAGGCACAGATGTGAGAGGATGTATTGATGAAGAGCGATGGGCACATACATGAATAGCGGCAACGGGTACCTTGACCGGATCTGACGGAGTTTGAACGGATAAATGGGACGGGCTTTACATACGGCACATTCACGGAATTCCCGGGTGCAAACAGGATTGGAAAGCAGACAAACGGAACGCGGGCATCAAGAATGGCGTTACATACCCCTCAAACCGGTATTCATCAACATGGCGGCTTTTGAGCGAACTAAGCGGACTGGCGAAAGAATGGCGTGTTTTTCTTACTTCTTTTTCTTTTCTCTTCTCTTCTCTCTTCGCTCCACTCGAGCGTATCCTTTCAGTGCGAAGGTGCCGATAGGCGAAGCCTGGCACAAGTCTACTATATTTTCTTCCGCGGTTCGGTATAGGCTCTTCGGTTCGTTCGGTCTTCATTCATTTTCCCTCGGTTAGTTTCTCGGTTTCGGAGTAGATAGGTTTGCAAAGGCAGGTAGCAAACGAGGATCGGTCCGGACATGTATGTAATTTATTACGTCTCTTCTCCGCCTTCGCTCACAGTGACTCTCTCGAAAAAAAAAATAGGTCCGCGGTCACGATCCTCTGTTGATACTACATTTAGGTAAAGAATAACAGCGTTTTGGATACCGCTGCCCGAATGAAATGAGTGCATGGGCGCGTACTTAGTTGGCCACTACGCATGCCAAATCATAGAGAGAAATGCTTCGGTTAGACAAGCATGTTGTTTCTGCGCCCAGCTCCAGGAACGCCTAGCACAGCGCCACGATTCACTGCCTCAACATGATTTGAATTCACCTCTCACAATTCCACGCGGGCCAAGAGTTCATGTGTAGAACACAAGTTTTGGTTCTGACAAGCGAGGACGTGCATCAGGGTGGCTGCAGATCAAGAAACGAATGAGCATTGCAGTCTGTTTTAGCCGCCCGCATGATTGCTGTCATTGTCACGAATCATCGATGTACACGTGTTTACATATCGGTAGGCGGTGTGGATGCGGGTCTCGCCGGTGTCTTCGCTCTTATCTCAATCTCCTTTCGTGATCCAAGTTTTGCCTTGCCCTCCATAAAGGACTTAGGGTTCTAGAAAATCACGTGAAGGCCCAAGTACATAGAATACTCAAAACTTACGAATATGTACTTAACTAGAAATTTCTGAGGGCGAATCAACCTACAAATTCAAAAGAAATAGCCATCAGGACAGACTCCGACCCTTTTGAGACCTCCATTAGGGTAGGTTCTGTGATAGCTCAACAGATTGAGGAAGCTTCTATCTGATCACGCATCTGGACCAAGACACGGACTCCGGTACTCAGTGGCTTGACTTCTATGACTATGTCTTCCTCAACAGTTTCAGTGAAGCCGTCTTCTGAATCAGCAAAAAATAAATGACGAAGACGAGAATATTGTCTCATAAATCAGAATAAGAATGGGTATTTAAGTCATGCCGAAGTACCGCATTCTCCTTCATCAGCCTTCTCCGACTCTTCTCATTCACCACTCAGCATCAGCATCAAATCTACAAGACATTACAGTACTTCCATCGTTCAAAAGATCACCATGGAAAGCCGCACTGGCCTGTGGGCTCTGATAGAAACATTCTGCATATACTACCTTGTACTCTTCTACCTCAAGAGCGACCCCAAGTGCCGTACCGGCTCTGAAACCGACCGTATGGTCGTTGCGTTCCTTCTAGCTATCATTGGAAGGATTATCGAGCGCGCTGGATGCAAGCTATGGGTAAGGAGTTAGCAGTACCCTTTTTTGTTTGTTTATCACTAAAATGAATATAGAAGCAAATCAAAATCGCAACGACGCCTTGCGGCTGCAAGGCTGCTCCGGCGAAGGAGAATTAGCGGGTATCAATCTGGCAGATTGTGTGCATGCGCACATTTGTGTTGGGGGCGCTCGTAAAGTACTCGTTGGAGGGGGGTTCTTGGTTAGGATTCAGCCGCATTAAAGCTGAGTTGCCCGTAACGGAAGGCAACGTCTGGTTGGTCTAGGAACAAGAAAATATGAAAGGAAACCCAGAGCCGTAAAGTGGCTTTATACACCGTTTCTTTCTTAAAACCATTGTGCTATCTTCTATCGATCGTAAACGGTAAAATGATCCTCGAAACCCCTAGTGATGGGAAAACCACTTCGCAAATAACTATCTATCCAAGGCAACCCTAAACTCCCGCCTATCCAATCCATATAGTACCCTTGCATCATTGGTCCAGTGGAATAAGACACTTCCACATCCTGTCGTCGCACCGAAAGGGTTCAGCTCTACGAGCTGCACCGCATGACCTCCATCGTTCTGCGGCATCACTGCAACATCAAACACAAATCCCCTCTCCCTCAAAACCTCCAGCATCCCCTTCCCCTCCTTATCCCTCCACTCAAGCCATCCAGCCACCTCCAAAATCTTCCTCAACAGCCTCTCCGCCCCCTCCTCCACCATCCCCACAACGTCCATCCCCAGCCCCTCCTGCAGCCTCAACGGCTCACACCACCTATACTGCGAGATGGCCGAGATCCTCAACTCACCATCATCGAATCCCTCTGCCGCCGCCGCCGCCGCCGCCTCCTGTCTTTCCCCCCGCCGCACCGTCGCCGGCGGCGGCACAAACACCCTAAACTCATTCCCAGCATCCATCCGCGCATCCCACGGCACGACGCACAACGCAACCGCCGCCCTGCTGCCTCCCGCACCACCCGCCTCCAACCACCTCCCCAACGCCCCAGCCGCACGCATGCTGCCCGCCACCGCCCTGACGACCTCCCGCGCGCTCCGCACCGGCGCTTTCGCGTCGTGCAGCGCGCTGTCCTTGGTGCTGCACGCATCCAGCCGCACGAACGCTCCACCCCCTGCTCCACCCCCTCCGTCGGCGGCAGCAGAAGCAGCAGCAGCAGAAGCAGAAGCAGCAACAGCAACCGCCCTCTCGATCTCGTCCCGCACGCCCGGCCAGTCGTCCAGCAGCGCCGCGACGAGGCTGTCCGGCAGCGCGCTGGTGCGCAGCCAGCGGCTGTGCGCGGGTAGTAGCACGTCGGCGACGAAGGCGTGTGGCAGGCGCACGACGATGGCGCTACTGCTGCAGCCCTGGTTGCTGCTGCCGCCGGGCGCGATGAGCGGGGCGAGCCAGGTGGAGAAGGCGAAGGCGGGGTGGTCGATGTCGGTGCTGGTAGTGGTGATGTTGGAGGCGATATCGGTGTGGTGGTGGTGGTCATGAGGAGAAAAGTGGGGATTGGGGGAGGATGATGGTAAGCGGAGCGCAGCCGCGAGTTCGGCGGCGGAGTGGTGGTGCGTGTTGAAGGATGCGGTGCAGCAGAGGGTTTCGTCGGCATGCAGGTTGTTGCCGGCGCCGGCGCGGGAGGTGGGCGTGTTGGAGGGTCGGGTGGGGATCGTGGCGGCGACATCGGCGAAGGGGATCGTGATGAGGTGGAAGCCGCTGGTGGCTTGGCCCGGTTTTTGGGCGGTGGACATGATGTTCGGATGTTGGCGGAGGTTGGTTGTCGGGTGGTTTTCGTTTGTAGAAAGTGCAAAGTTGGTTTTGTGGAAGTCAGGATTGTGAAAAAGTAGTGTTTGAATTCAACGACACTTTAACCCGCTTAAATTTTTTTAAAGAAAGAATGACTCTTATTCCATAAGATATCCAGACTGGTTTGTTCGTTTTCTCTGGTTTGTGAGTCAGAAGTGAAAAGAGTAAGCGTACCATGGTTCGCGATAACATGGAGAACGGCTCGTACTCTCTCTCACCTTCATCAAACCATTAAGCCCTCCCCTCCAACCACTCGACCAACGCCTCCGCAACCTCTTCTGGCGCCTCCTCCGGCAAATAATGCCCCGTTCCATCTCCAATACCCCTTCCCACCAACTTCGTCCCCTCATCCACATACCTCTTCCAAATCCCCAGTACATCCCTCTTCCCTTTCTGCCCCATGTAGTCCCTTGAATACACCACCAACACGCCCCTCCTCCGAGAACCGCTCAGCAAAACCTTCCTTCCCTCCCTCTCATCACTCTCATGAATCTCCTTCTCAACATAGACGCTGGCAGCATAGTCCTCGCACGTCGCCCTCACCACACCGGGCCGCTCGAACGCGGAACAGTAGGCCTCGACCGCGCCGCCATCCTTGAAGCGGGCGATACGAGGACTGCTGCCGGTCTCGAAATCGTGATCGTCGACGCTCCCGCTCCAGCGCGACAGCAGCATCGCGCACCAGCGGCGCGGGCCGTAAGCCTCGATCATGGCGGTGGCCAGGTCGGCGTTGGCGAGGAAGGGCCAGTGGAAGGACGACGCCGAGGCGGCGGGCGAGGCGAAGGTCGCCCATTGCGCGAGCTCCGGGGCGATGTCGAGGAGCGTGAGGCCGTGGAGGGCGAAGGAGGGGAGGGGGTTGGGGCTGGGGTTGTAGGTGTTGGGGTGCGAGAATGTCAGGGAGAGGCGGTGCGCGATGCGCGCGCCGCGGTCGTGGCCGATGAAGATGATGGGGATTGGGGAGGTGGAGCGGGTAGAGGGGCGGGAGTCGAGAATGGTGCGCAGGGCTTCGAGGATTGCGATGCCAATGGTGAGTTTGTCGTGGGTGGTGAGGGAGGGTGAAGAACGGCCATAGCCTGGGAGATCAGGGATGAAAAGAGGGTATGAAGGCGGGAGGAGCGGGACGAGGTGGCGCCAGATGTAGCTCGTCTGCGGGTAGCCGTGAAGGAGAATGAGGAGGGGATGTTCTTCTGAGGGCAGCGTGTCAGCGCGCAGATAGCTGAAGATTTCCGAGCCGCAGGTCGTCTTGGTCCAGTTTTGCTGGAGAGCTGGGTCGCTGAGGAGACCGATCTGATCCACAGACATTATCGCGAATATTCAATTGCCGTCAAGTAAAGGTAGTGGTTCGCGTTCGCAGAAGCGGGAGGATGGTGGGGTATAAGGATGGCGCCATCGTCGTTGGATTGGTAAGCTGTTGATAACATTTCTTATCGCGGTTCCGACGAGTGCTCTTGAGTTTCTGAAGTTCCGCACATCAGCTCTGGGGGCATCTTTGGGTGTTTACGAAGCTGAGAGTGTCGGCTTGTTGGCATAGCCCTGACTCGGTCGCGAAAAATGGAGCCGAGGGTCTAGCGTCCCGTTGGGCCCTACTACAATACCACGCTAACTCGAGAATTCGTTCGCACTACATTCCACGAGGGTGGCATCTTCATGCTTCGGCCAGAGCAAGTGTCATCGAATTGCGCACAGCGTGCTTAAGCCTCCACTCCAGGACGTTGTTGGCGGACGCAGCAGGCTGCTGGCCATCACGAGGTCCTCTGAATCAGTCGTGCATCGGCTTAGTCGACATTACTGGTTGATGAACGATCAGCCCGGACCCGATCTTCAGCACAATGGGCCCTATACTGAAGACCAATGCGGGGATGAGGAATGACGTGAGAAGAGGAGTGATCTCTTACTGTCTCATCTTGCTTTTCCCTTGTAAGATTGTCGCCAATATAGCCCCAGCACAGTCGACGAATGAGCAGGTCGCAGCAGATGTAGAGGAGTTGCATAAATTCCGCATTCGCATTTGCATCGCCGTCGGGGCTGCACCAATGCAGGCTTGCAGACGCGTCACATCGTAGCTTCCGCACTCGGCTGTCTCGTTCTCGCTATAGGGAGTGTTGGTCGTTCTCGCTCGGCGATTGTTCCGTATTGCAGGTGTTGCTAGCTGGAAGTAGGGACTCCACTGCGAAATCGGACTACTGTTCCACGTCAGCGAATGAGGGACATCGGACCCACCTTCTCTCCAAAGCTCGACGTGCTTGAGCGTAAATTGCTCTCGTGGGTCAATGGTCGACGACAATGTTGGCGTCCTCCCAGCTCTTGACTTCGGCTGTCCTGCTCCCACCTCACGGCGAGCAGGGTAGCTTTGACTCATCTCGGGTGCAAGATATCACGCTGAGGCTCGAGCGGTATTTGGTCCCGTGGCCATCAGTGAGGTAATTGAGTTGATTGAGGCTCGGGTTGGCGCAGCAGCGGTCAGAGCTCAGTCGTCTCGCGATCTCCTGACGGTTGTGGATGGCCCCACCCCCGCAGGCCGATCTCGACCGGCCCGCGCTGTTATTGGCTGTCGCGAATCACACCACAAGCTCACCACCCCGTCTCCATTCGTCATCCCACAGCTGCTGCCCCGACACAGCCAATCCCTTGCGTGCTCCGTATTGCGTCACGCGACAGCTTCCGTTTGCGTCAAAGTTATTGGGCCGGGCGCGTCCCCGTGCCGTGCCCCAAGGGGCGTTCCCTTCTTTGTCTGGAGCGAGCAGCTTTCCCCGCATTTTGCGAGACGCCGCGCGACGTGCCACGCCACGCCACTCCCACCGGTCCCCTACCTGCGTGTCCTGATCCAGGCATGATCTGGGAAGGGGTGCGCTTAATCGCGCGGCCCAACGCGGAATGTGCAGCACAGCTGAGAAGCTTCCGTAACTACCCCTCTCGAGAGTCGGCCCTGTTTGCCAATCCGAAGGGTATATAGCTGCCTCCCGCCAGCTTACCCCTCCTGTTCCTCTTTCTTTCATCATCGCATCGTGTGATCCAGCAATTGATCCAAACAAACATCTTCAATCGGTTCCTTCACCTTAAGGAATCGACCCAGCGGCCTATAACAACCCCTCACAATCACAAACGCAACCACCACCAACCGGACACAGTCCACCATTCACCACCTTTTTCTTCTTAACCAACCCCACCAATCGACAAGATGAGTGTCATGGCTTCTGCGGCGCCCGCCCAACAGCAGGCTACCGCTCCTCACTGTGCACTTCTGCCCCGTCCCTACGTAAGCTTACCTGTCTTACCCCGCTTGACCAATCGCTGACGTCTGCTTCCATCCAGCCCACCCACACCTTCGCTGTTGGCGACCTCCTCACCGACCTTCGTCACCCGACCACCACCACGCTTCGCACCGAGGCTCTCAGCACTAAGGATTATGATGATACTCGCATGACGGCCTACTACAAGGACGTCGCCTCCATCTCGCCCGCCACGGGCAACTTCACCCGCTCTCTGGGCGGCGAGCTTCTCATCAAGAAGCCGAAGCGTGCCCACACGCGCTTCTGCAGCATCTCTGCCGAGAAGGCTTCCGTGAGGGCCCTGAAGGACCCCTTCGGCGCCTTCGAGAAGAGCGTCAAGGCCCCCGAGGCCAGCTCATGGCTGCTCCGCGCCGCCAACACCCACAGCCAGCTCTACTGGGTTGCGGCCGTCCGTGAAGTCACCAACGCGAGCTACGCTCACGCCGCCACTGCCGATGCCGGCAACGGTCTGGTTAGCGTGCGCCGCACCAGCTTCTCGGAGCAGCAGGCGGCCGACGAGCCGCAGGAGGACGAGAACGGCGATGTCGACGGCGACGCCATGCGCGCCAAGATGGGCGGCTTCCGCCGTCGCGATTCGGCTTTCGAGGAGCCCACGCGCACCAAGACTGACGTCCTGGGCGCCGAGATCCGCGAGTGCCGCATCAAGGTCGTCCAGGACACGGCCGGCTCGCCGACCAGCCCCATGGACCGCCGCGCCAGCATGCCGCGCTGGCGCTGGACCTACGTCACGGCCACCGACGAGAAGGGCCAGGATGTCCAGCTCGCCGTTGGCCTCGGTGCCCCTCTTGACCAGGAGGAAGTCGCCGACCTCTGGGAGGAAGGCGATCTCGAAGAGGAAGAGGAAGAGGATGATGACTGAATGACTTAAAAAACGAACTGCGAGGCGTTGGGATATCGGCGTTTCCTGATGAACTCCTTATATACCGGCGTCTCTAACTGTATAACTTACCTGGCGGGATTTTGGCATCGACGACGAATTTTCTTTTCTTCTACTACTACTAAACCACACCCCCAGAAATACCTATCTTCGAAGCTTTCGAATAGTGGGCGGCGTCCTGTATTACTTTTTTTGTTCGAGTGTAGGGATGGACGGATGGACGGCGGCGTTTTTTCTTCTCAACAGTTCCTACTACAAATGTGTGTAAATACTAACAAACAAATCAGCCGGCTTTTTTGATCACTACAATCTTTCTCCATGACCAATGTGCTCTTCGCTCTAATTGAATCTCCTGCGCTTCAGCTTGACTGTATGATTACTTATCAGAAATTGGCTTATCACTTAACCTGGAACTATAAAACTGCAATACTGGCTACCCAGAGGGTTACTGTAGCTAATGGCTAGCGCAAAGAGCAGCAGGGCCCTAGAACATGGCGTAAGTATGCCTCAGTTTTTTTTTTTTGGAACAAAAAAAAGAACATATATGGGTAGTTGAGGCTATCACCCGAATGCAAACGTGGAAATAAATATTATACATTCACGTCCGGACGATAGCGTCAACTACCCGTGGCATGAGCGAAAAATAAATTCACGCTAGCCGTTGGCTGCAATGCTGTCCGTACAGAGAGGTATCACAGCTACTACCATGCTTGCTGTCCTCGTCACACTCCATGCCATCATCATCATTATCATCATCATCATCATCATCGCTGTCACCACTGCCATCGCCATCGTTTTCCCTGCCGCTGAGCTGGCAGTCCTCGGACGCCGCCATGCACTCCAGCGTTGCACTACTTGTAGACTTGATCATCCTTCGCCCATTGGGCAACCATCGTCCACTTCCCGCCTTTATTCGCGAAAAGATCGTAATTGATGATCTGGATCTTGTACTCAGGCCTCTCGTGACACGGACTCGGGCAGAACGAGACGTCTTGTTCCGAAGGATGGGTGCGGAAGCGGCGGGCCTCGCTTGCTCGCTACCAAGCAGAGCAGGCGCTTGTGTTAAGAGGACCGCTGATGTGGTGGGCTGGGGCGAGAAGCTGAGGAGGTGAACGGGTGATGTATTGAGCTACCCAAAAGAAAGCACTAAATACCCCCCCTTGGCCATCGCGCCTGCCCTACGCGAACGACGAACTCGCAGTTCAGCACCGCTCGATAGAGACGGCTGCAAGGTGAAGTGCAGCGGTCAAGGTACAGGGTTCTCAGAGGTGAGGCCGTGCAGTGCGCGGAGCCGAGTTGGACAGTGGTTTGTGCTGCGTCTAGATGGTCACCGAGGCGCGGCGAGGTCTGGTGGCCGCGACGGGCAGATAGCGCGGTACTTGCGTATGGTAGTGGTGGTAAGAGTGGTGCGAAAGCGACAATGGACGGTGGTATCGAAGACTTTCAGCTACCAAACTGACACGGGGCTTGGGCAGAATGCATGGTGGGAAGGTATTGTTCTTGTTGCTACCTCCAGTCGCGGCTTAGGCACCCGCGACATCTCGTGTTCGTCATATTTCGAAGCCGAAATAATGACAAGAGAATAGCAGGATCCTCGAATCTAGGGTAATTACGCCTCAGCGGCTTCTTTTTGTGATCAAAAAGTAAAACAATAATGGGAAGTTGAAGCCATCGTCCGGACGAGAATATTGAATTCAAAATTTTACATGCACGTCCGGACAATAGCTTCAACTACCCATGTATTGTTTTACTTTTTTCAAAAAAAAAAAAAAAAGGTTGACGCATACTTACCCTAAATTCGAGGATCCTGCGAACCAATTCACATTAGCCTTCAGCTGCATTGAACTCTGTACTTGAATCAACGGTGAGCCAACACTTGAATTGCGCTTAATTGACGGGGGAATTCTGCTCATCATGAGAGTGCCATTGAATCCTATGATTCCCGTAAATCCGTTGACTGATTACTTTGCCTTTAAGGGTCGTCGATGCCTTCAAAAATGATCGTATGAAGACAGCATAGAACATGTGCACGAGAATTAGAAGGAGAATGGAACTTTGAGTTGTCAAGGGGTATATTGGATTGATATTTTTGAGCTTTTGGTTTCGCTATATACTAAGCTTCCGTTACAGCATATCTCGTGAACGATCTAGGTCGTCTCATTACAAATGATTACAACTAAGGAAAAAGGAAAAAGGAGCAGCACATAGTCAAACTCCATCTCCATGAAGCAAGAGTCAACTCGTTCCCCGCACCCGAACCAGCATCATCGAAGAAGCAGGAAGGGCGGGAAAGGAGCGAGTCGCTTGCTATAAAACATCAAGACGACTCTAACTCTATTTAAGCCTTCTCCACGGCAGCGACGGTCCTCTTGCTGGCGGCCAGCTCGGCGGCCTCGGACAGCGACATCTTCTTGCCGTTCGAGACGTCGTCGACGTCCTGGAAAGAGATCTGGGGGCGGAAGCCCTGGCTCTGCCAGGCCTTGGTGACGGTCGAGTAGAGCTCGTCGACCTGCTCGAGCGACAGACCCTTGGTCTCGTAGATGAAGAACCAGACGAAGGAGATGCAGACGAAGCAGAAGCTGCCCCAGACGAAGAAGACCTTGCTCTGCAGGTTGGCATGCTCCTCGTCGACCATGTAGGGGGTCGAGTAGGCGATGGCCCAGTTGAGCAGCCAGTTGGATGCCGTCGTCATAGACAGACACTTAGCGCGGACCTTGAGCGGGAACAGCTCGCCAGTGACGACCCACGCGACCGGACCCCACGACGACGCGAAGAAGAAGATGTAGATGCACACGAAGGCGATGGCGGCGCGCTGAGCGGGCATATCCGTCGTGCCGGCCACGGTGCCGGTGATGGCCACGATGTACTGGCACACGCACATGCCGATGGCGCCCATGAGCAGCAGGTTGCGACGACCCATCTTCTCAACAAGGTACAGACCAGGGAATGTAGAGACGACGTTGACCGAGTTGGTGATGACGGAGATGATGAAGGGGTTCTGGAAACCGGCGTTCTGGAAGTACTGGGTACCGTAGTAGAACTAGAGTGGGGGTTAGCCGTGAAATGTGTGTATGGTTCTAGCGGATCCCTTACGATGAAGTTGACACCGGTAAGCTGCTGCAGAGCCTGAAGGAAGCAACCAGTCATGAGACGCTTGCCGACAGTGCCCTTGAAGCACTCAGCGTAGCTGGCAGTGCCAATGCTCATCTCGTAGTGGTGGTTGGCGACGATCTCAGCAAGCTCCTCGACAACGGCAGGGTGGTCCTCAGGAAGGCGGCGCAGCTTGGCGAGCGAAGCGGTGGCCTGCTCATGCTTGTCCTGCTTGACAAGGAAGCGAGGGGTCTCGGGAAGGAAGATGAGACTAGGGCACGTTAGCGCGATACTGGGTTATTGAAAGTGTGCAGACTTACCCAATGACGAGGATCAGAGCCCAAGCAAACTGAACCGCGATAGGGATGCGGTAAGAGCCAGTGTCATTGCGGTGCTTGGTAGCGTTGTTGACGATGGCAGCAAGGAAGAGACCAATGGTAATGGCGAGCTGGTAAGCGCCGACAATGGTACCACGGATCCACTTAGGCGAGGTCTCGGACTGGTACATGGGGACTGTGGGGTATGTGAGCAAGCGGCAAAGGGGCGATCGGGAGGAGCAAACTCACTCATGGCAGAGATGAGACCAACACCGAAACCGGCGAAGAAACGGCCGGCAATGAACATGGGCTGAGCAGTGGCGGCAGTCTGGAGGATGACACCCAGGTTGAAGACAACCATGGCGGAGAACATGAGACCATAGCGACGACCGAGGAAATCGGCAACGGGAGCGGCAGTCAGGGCACCGAAGAAGGTACCGGCGGAGAGGATGGAGACAATCAGGGACTCCTGCGAGGCAGTGATGGCCGGGGGAGAGACAGTCGAGAATTCGGTCTTGAAGTAGTCCATGGCCAGGATACCAGAGATGGTACCGGTGTCATAACCATAGAGGACACCACCGAAGGCCACGAACAGGCCGATGAGAATGGCGGGCCTGTGACAGGTGTCAGTGACAGCATGGTGTTGAGAACTAGCAGTGAGCGTACCATGCGGCACCGGCGACGCCTTCCGGCTTCTTGAGAGCGAAACCCATGGTTAGTTTGTCTGATTGATCTGCGAGGGAGACTGGGGAAGAGAGATGTCAAGATGGTTGGGGAAGTGGGCTTTTATGAATGCCGACCCGTGAGGGTGGAGACGAAGAAGCCGGAGCACAGGCGCTTGGCGTTGAATTGCGCGGCGGCGCCATTGAGGTCAGCAAAAGCCGCAATGGCCGTAAGGAGATGCGGCAAGGACATGGGCCCATGCGGGCCTTGTGACGATGCGGGGACTCGCAGAAGCGGTTCGAACGGAGGACAGTGCTTCTTTGGCCCAAGACTGCTAGATCATCGGCGAATGGATGATTCTCACAGGTCGGCCGTCTGCTTGGAGCCTCGGCAGCCCTCTTGGCGAGGTCGAGGAGCCGTCCGGCACTCGCTGGCAGGAACTACGGCCGGTCGAGATCTCACTCCATCACGAAAGAACAGCTGACAGGCAGACACGGCGCCCGAAGGTGGCTGAGACGGGTGGTGAGGAAAGTTCCTTCAGCTCGGCGATGGCACGAGGCATCGTGTCGGGCAGCGCGACGGATCCCAGGCTAGACCGGGCGTCGGCAAAGAGCGACTGACATCTCCGCAAGAGTGGCCTGTCCGCGCCCACGAAGTGGATTCGCGGAGGTCCTGGGGCCTCCGCCTGGGGAGTTGCCGCATTGTTTGCGGATGCCAGCCGACAATGAGCCGTGCCGCCAAACAACGGTGCGGGCTGGGATAGGAAAGGGACGGTGCACACTGGACGACAGTCGGGCCGCCAGCGAGTCGGAGCAGCCGGGGCAGGGGGCCGTGGTTGGCTTGAGGGTGCCTGAGCGGACGCGCTGGAGGTGAAGGCGAGTCACTAGGGGGGAGCGTTAGTCCCAGAGCAGTTGGTTCTGCCGACAGAAGCCTCCGCTCCGCCCGCGCCCAGACACAGTTTCCCCGAAGGCTGGAGCAGGCGCGTCCGCTTGGCTGCAGCACCTCTTTTGCCGCTCGCTGACGCTGCCGCCACTTCTAGAAGGCTTCTGGAAGCGGCGTCAGTGGCGGCTTCTAAGGCGCCGCCAAGGATGCGGCCGATGGGTTGAGCGCGTGCGGCTCTGCTGGCCCTGCGACCGCCTCGAAAACCGCCATGGCGAGTGTCACCAAGGGCGGAGAGAGGGATCTGGTGGAGGATCTTGCTCCACTGTTTTGTGCGCGGAGAGTGCCGGGGTTTGTGGGTCCTGGCTGGGGTCTGGAGCTGGATGCTGGAGGCGAGGATGGGGGAGCATGCCACCCTCCACGCCTTCGTTCAATCTCCGACCTAACAGCACGCTCTCCGAGCTCCGAAGCAGCGGCTCCGGCCCTGGTTGGCCGAATGTCGGCATCTCACCGCGGCTACTGCAAGATTTACCTCCACAACTCCAGCCTTGTGTCGCCCCCATGGGGAGTGTGGATTCACTCGTTTCCGGCGCTGCCGCCTATCGCAACTTCCCTCGTCGCTCTTGCAACCCAGCTCTGAGACCTGCGCCAATGGCGCCTTCTTAGTCTGCGCGACCAAAGACAGAAAAAATTTTCTTCATCGTCCGTCGGCTGTGTGACATCGTCGTAAGCACGGGGTCCCTGGGGCGCAGCCCGGGGCACAGGGGAGCCGCACAGACAAGCCCAGGCCTGACTCGAATGCCGAACGGCTGCCAACACGTCCTTCTTGCCACGCGACACCGTCGGCTACTTCGTGTCTCCCAAACACCAACACCGTCCATCTCGCACGCGCTGCCCACGGGGTGAGTTCCAGTCAGCTGGATGCCTTATCGCTGCCTCTTTCCTTGATAGTCACTGTCGTTTCCCCAGATACGCTGTCGTCCAATCGGAGCTTTTCTTGCCGTCTTCTCACATCTCACCTTCTCTACATGGCTTTTGCGTCAAGTCTCACTCAAAAATGCAAGGAACACCTGCCTTCATGTACCTCTGTGCACATGTAGTTCGCGCAGACAAGCTTTCTCGGGAGAGCGACGGGGCCGCTGCAAGTCATGCTGCAGCCGCAACGGCGCGCCGTCCCCCTGGGTAGATACCGGAAGATCTCCAGCAGCCTCCTTCTTCCTCTCGTGGAAATTTGTGCGGGGAGGCGCTGGACGGCTGTGGAGCCCCGCGGCCAGCCATGTTCGTGGGCGTTGACTTGGCAGAGCATTTAACCGCCGGGTCATTGTGTCCCGAAACACCCCTTCGAGGACGTCTTCACGATGCTTTGTTGACGAAGCGCGCCGTGGAACTCCGTTTCCGGTTCGTTTTCGTAAGAAACCTCGGGTACCTGTCCCCCGAGTTCGTTCGAGCCTCAGTGCGCCGCTACCCTGGTACTGGGGTGACTGTGGCCCGGAGCCCACTGCTGAATAAATAACCGGCCCCCAGATCCGAATTTTCAAGGGGTTTCTGAAACCATACGCCCGTTCCTTATACTACGTGTTGCTATGAATTTTTGATGGCACGAAAGGATGATCAATTAATATGCACTGTTGAGCAACCTACACGAAGTCTGACCGAGTAATAAAGGCCACAAACGAAGTCGCATGGACTAAGGCAACAAAACATGAAACCATCTATCCATCCCTTCCATCGCTACCACCACGTACAGGGGGGGTATTACAGCTGGCGTTAATTTATTTTCGCTCATGCCATAGGTAGTTGAAGCTATCGTCCGGACGTGAATGTATAATTATTAATTCTACATTTACATCCGGATGGTAGCTTCAACTATCCATATGCGTTCGTTTTCTTTTCCCCCACTTTCGTTTAAAAAAAAAGAAATTTACGCTATATTCCAGGGCCCTGCTATTCTTCGCGAGCAAAGGCACCCGACTTATGAAGGCAGCTGAAGCTACCATCCGGACGTAAATGTAAAATTATATGTACATCCACACCCGGATGTTAGCTTCAGCTACCCACGTAACGAGATTAGATGCTGATAGAGGTTAGTTATGATAGCTCAGATCTTTCGGCACCCACCGTGCCACCATGCTAGGTATTCTTACCACGCTACATATTCATCGTAATCGTCATCGTCATTGTCATCGTCTTCATCATCACTATCACCGTCATCTTCTCTGCTGACGAACTGGCGGTCCTCGGAGGCCACCCTCCACTCCAATGTCGCACTCCTTGTATCCCTAACTTCAGCGTCTTCAAAGGTATGCCTGAGCATCTTCTCCGGAACACCAGTGCCTGTCGCTAGCTTCCAAATGGATTCTAGAAGCGCCCGATTGAGATACTCCCCAGGTGAAGTCCAGAATTCTTTTTCCAGGATGGAATTCATCGTCTCCTCCCATCCCCTATAATTCTTCGCCTTGGCGGACATGACAGCGGTGATCATGTGTTGGAACAAGCATCTCCTTGATGGTCTGATGTCGCACTGAGACGGAAATTCGAGCTTCTTTCCATCCAGATCATCCCAGCATACCCTCTGGAATTCATCGCCCATCCACCAGCAGGCAGCCACCGTCCGCTTTCCACCTTTATTCGCGAGAAGGTCGTGTTTGATGACCTGGATCTTATACTCGGGCCTCTCGTGTTCGTCATATTCCGAATCCGGAACAATAACGAAATATCCCATCTGGAAGTCTTCTGCTAGCCACTTGTGCATAATGATGCCGTTACGCGCTGACGTAATAAAGTCGTGCGCGTTTCCAACGCCGAAGAGCAGCTTCACGTACTCGTTACGCTTCGCACGAGGTATGATATGCGCTCCGACAACTTTGAAATCATCGAACCATTCTTGGAGGATAGGGCACCAGAACATTTCAAGTGGCTTTGCCCCGTCCAGGTGTTCTTCGGGGTTGAATTCGAGCGTCCAGATGGTTCCAGTGTAGCGATCGCTCAAGAACCGCTTCCAGCTAACAGTTCGACCTTTAACCTGCATCTTGAGGCACCTTTTTGGGATTTTCTCGATAAAATGTCCGCAAGCATCGGTCTCATAAGGTCCTCTGGCCTTGATAGGCCTCCCTCGTGGAGCTCCTCTGTTAATAGCTTCTTATTCTCCCCAAGGCGAAGCTCTTCATCATTATACTCTCGCCGTTTCTTAACCAGCTTGTCGTACTCCTCGTCGAATTCCTTACGCGAGATCCTCCTCTTCCGAAAGTTGTCTTCTTGCTCCTCCAGGAGTATCGTGTGCTCGGTATCTAGTTCGACACACTGTTTAATTCTGTTGGCGATAATACCGGACGCATCTCCTTGAGTGGAGAGAATGTTGGCCTCTTGGACGAGTTCTGCAGAGGTCTTCCTGCTGGCACTCAGGCGCTCGGCGAAGGACTTGCCACGCATATTTGGGACGCTGAGATCTCCCATGGTTGTCATGGGCGATGTGAGTTGTAGTGGTTGCAGGAAAGCGGGAAGCAGCATCTGTCTTTATACAATGTTGTACTTTTGACGGTCAAAAGGTAAGTGCGACGTTTTGTATTTGGATGAGAGAAAATTTCTGATAACGGGCAAATGTGAAAGGCTCAGCCCCACCCGCCAGGCCACGCCGGTTAACGTAGGGTACCGAGTTGTTGAGGTTTAATGCGGCGTGGTCAGCTAATATACCGATCCGTAACAGAATGGGCATCTTCACAGATGTAACTCACATAAATCCCTTAGTCACCACGTACGATGCTAGCTGAATATCAACAAAATGTGCAAAGGAGAAGCAGAAATGCTGATACAATCATCGCGAGTTCATGATGCACGCACATACGTGAACCATTCGCCACTTCACTCATAGTGGTTGCCGGATATTCAACCGTCTTAATTGCCCCTCTGTTACCTAATTGGGTAGTTTTATCGCTCGTCTAGATGATCTCGTACGTTTTCGAGAATTACGGCTACTTCTCCATGTGAGTTCCAACTATCTACGTAATGGATACATTGTCGATTGCGGGACAAGAGCATTGAATCTTTCATGACGGATTGTAAGCACTACATAGACAGAACAAGAAATTGTCTGCCTCACGGAATGACCCGTAAGTTCGCCATTGCGCAGGCCTAGATTTCTCAGCCCTAGGGCTGTTTCGATGTCTAGTTACCTATAACGGTCGAGCCCCATTTATCCACTTAATTCCCGGCCCCCACTTCATCCCACTCCACCATTATCCGATACCTATCGACGAACACAACGACGCGGAGCTGCATCCACGCACTGAGAACGCATTCTTTGTAGAATACTCTAAATAACATCTTAAGTGCGGGGTGCATCGCAGGGGAAAGGCAATGGCGGAATAGAAGACGTTATCGATCGACATCGGTTATTCACAACGACTACGTCAGCACGGGCCGTGGTTGACGTAGATCATCGGCTCATTCACTAACTGGAAGCAGGCCGCAACGTCCGAGAAGAACTAAACGGTCGACATATTGCCTTATTTTTCGGAGCCGAACATGGGATCAGCCAATATGAGGGCGTTGATGCCGCCGATATCCTCCGGGGTGGAGCTGCTGGGGAGGAGTACTTAAAAGGTCGGCCCAACCCCGCTATCTAGACGCTCATCGCACCACCACCACCTCGGACAAGAAAAACAAGAGAAAGAGCAAGGAGAAGAAGAAAAAGAAAGACAAGAGACCCAAAAAGACTCGACCAACCAACCAACCAACCAATTGACCAATGGGCGACAACACCACCACCACGACACCAGCCGCCGCCCCCCTCGTCGCGCGCCCGCTCGAGGGCAAGCTCGGCATCATCTCCGGCGGCTCGCGCGGCATCGGGGCGGCGGTCGCGCGCAGCCTGGCGGCCAAGGGCTGCTCGCTGGTGCTGAACCACACGTCGGCAGCGTCCGAGGGGCGGGCGGCGGCGCTGGCGCAGGAGCTGCGCGACGCGCACGGCGTCGCGGCCACGGCGGTGCGCGCCGACATCAGCGAGGAGAGCGGGTGCGCGGCCATCATCGACGCGGCGAGGTCCATCTTCAAAGGTGGTGACAAGCTGCGCATCGACGTGCTGATCAACAACGCTGCGGTGCAGACGAAGGCGTATCTGGGGGAGATTAAGCCCGAGGAGTTTTGGAATATTTATAAGATTAATGTGCTTGGTACGGTGTTGTTGACGCAGGCGGTGCTGCCGTTCTTGCCGTGGGATCGGAGTGGGCGCATTGTGAATATGAGCAGTGTGACGAACAGCAATGTACGTATTGTCCAGGTTGCTGGGGAAGTGAGGAGATGAGGGAGAGGATGGTGGGGAAAAGGGACCGATTGGCTACGGGGTTCTGACTTCTCTCCACACAGGGCATGGCCGGATACAGCATCTACGGCGGCACCAAGGGCGCGGTCGAGTCGATGACCCGCGTGTGGGCACGAGAGCTGGCGGAGCGCGCGACCGTCAACACGGTCAACATCGGCCCTACCATGACCGACATGTACCAGGACATCCCCGTCGAAGTCCTCGCCGACGTGCTCAAGTCATGGTTCCCCACCGCACCGCTGTCGGCTGTGCGTGAGCAGGACTCGGAGCGCGCCAAGTACTTCGCCAAGGAGCTGGGCGGCAGGCCTGGCTATCCGGAGGAGGTTGCGGGCGTTGTGACCATGCTTTGTTTACCGGAAAGCGGATGGTCGACTGGTGGGTTGATCGATGCTAACGGAGGTGGAAGAGTGGGCTATTAGATGGCATGGCAGTCATCTGTACGTGGAATGTCTAGGAATTTAGGGATTACTCTGAGGTTGGGGCGGAAGCAATCTGGAGCTCGAATTAATGCAGTACTTCGGCGATGCGAAGTTTAACATCAAATGCATAAATATCTTACGGGAAAGATGAAGACTTTGGCTGTGGTCGCTGTTTGTTGCTTGGTGTTTCTTATTTTCTCCCTACAGGGATCGAAAGTGGAGTACGCAAATTAGTCGAACCACAACGACTGAAGTAGTAATAGTATTGGGAGCGGCAAGACGGGTTTGGATAGTGTGTGAGTGTGAGTAGCCGAAAGAAGCAAGGAGTGTTAAATTAGGTCAGAAGGAGGTGACACAAAGGAAGGAGCAATAAGCCGCAGCCACACCTTAACCTCATCCCAGCCCCACAGCCCCTAAATCACATCACCGCTCTTTAAAATGCATCATTGAATTCGGAAGGAGCTTCTCTACGGAGGAAAAGCGCCATTCATGCAAGGAATATGTCCGAATTCTCAACTCGGCGTTAGGGAGAGCAGGCCGACAACTGGATCTCCGTCAATTCTCGCTATACAAACGGGAACTGGCTATAAGCATATCCACTCGGTAGCCGAGAAACAAGCATCTGGCGAGCTTAACGCCGAGCCTAATTGGCAAATTGCGCAAGCGGCAAGCTCACTTCTACATGAGTAGCAAACCACGTGGCAGTTGATTGGGCGACTTGTGCGGCGCGGGGAAAAGGCAAACTCCGCAGTTTCCGCCCAAAAAGAAGCACGGCCTCGGCGGAGGCGGGAGCGGCCCTGTTCCCGAAGCTGAACGTTGCAGCCCCCAATTATTCTTATTGCTCTCCTGAACCTGCTCCAACCCTGGTCTGTCGCCGTGCAATCAGGCCTCACGCATTATGCGGCACAGCTCGTAGCCTGAGTGCCGAACACCCGATACGGGATAGCTCGAGTCAGCAAATATGCTCCCTGTCCCCACATCGCTAATTCAGACTTGCGCTTCAATGAGCTACAATTCACATCTGACGCGGGCGCGATGGAATGCCGTGGCGCGCTTATCTCCTGTTTTTCTATTCGCATATCCCAGACAGGAAAGGAGGCAGTGCTCAATTGAAACGGCACCATGCAGATCATCCGTGGGGACGATCCATCAACACCCCGGCGACCCTATTTCTCCTTGGATGTGCCCTGCAATGCACGTCTGATCTTCCACGTGGTAGGGATGGGTAAGGTTCCCCGCGGCAATCCCTTCATTATTTAACCGTTCCCCTCCCGCCGCTGGTCTTCGCCCGGTAGCTTCTGCTTTCTATCACTCCATCATGAACGCCATAGCCCAATCCGCTGCCCTTGGATTGGGAGCGGCTGTCTTCCTGCTGGTATGGTTGGCCAGCCCGCTTTCTTTCGCATGCTTACACCTGTCGACAGCTCGCGTACGCCATTGGCGGTGCTATCTACAATGTTTACTTCCATCCTTTGCGGAAATTCCCTGGACCGAAACTAGCGGCCGCGTCTAAAATCCCCTTCTGCCTCAACCGCTGCCGCGGACTCCAAAACAAATGGGCCAAGGAAATGCACGACAAGTATGGCGAAGTGGTCCGTCTGGCTCCTGACCAAGTTTCATTTACGTCGGTCGAAGCCTGGAAAGACATCTACGGCCACAAAGTCGGAGGCAAGGGCGGAATGTCCAAAGGTATGCATTGGACTCCTTTTTGGCCAATGGGAGCTGCGACTAATTAATCACGCCAGATCTGAGGTTCTACGGTCCTGACAGCGCTGGGTTTAACGGGATCATCAGGTGAGTTGATACGCACGGGGCAGCGCAAGCCAAGCGAGGGTATGGATCGCAGGAATATAGGATCCTTTTATATCCTCCTTATAGTGCGATCTTCGGTGGCGCAACCTTAGAATTACGAGGACCCCTGTAGGCTGACATGGATACAGAGCAAACGACGAAGACCACACCCGGCAGCGTCGCCTCCTGGCGCACGCCTTTTCGGACAAGGCGCTGCGCGAGCAGGAGCCGATGCTCAACAAGTATGTCTCGCTGCTGGTAGAGAAACTGGGCGACGTGGCGCGCATGCCCGACGGGTCCGTCGACATGGTGCGCATGCTCAACTACACGACCTTCGACATCATGGGCGACCTTGCCTTCGGCGAGCCTCTGGGCCTGCTGGAGCAGTCGGACTACACGCCGTGGGTGGCATCCGTCTTCGGCACCATCAAGACGTACGTGCTGCTGGCGACCATCATGAACAACTTCCCCCTCATCGGCGCGGCCATCCGCCGCTGGTTCATCCCGCAGTCGCTGGTCGAGAAGAAGAAGAGGCACGCGGCCTACGCCGAGGAGCGCGTCGACACGCGGCTGGCCAACAAGACGACCGAGCGGCCCGACATCTGGACCTTCGTGCTGCGCCACAGCGGCGACAAGGACAACGAGGGCAAAGGGCTGGCCCTGCACGAGATGCAGTCCATCGCCTCGACCCTCATGCTCGCCGGCACCGAAACCACCGCCACCCTGCTCTCCGGCCTGACCTACCACCTGTGCCTGAACCCGGCCAAGATGGCTGCCCTGAAAGCAGAGATCCGCGGCGCCTTTTCCGACCCCAGCCAGATGGACATGACCAACCTGTCGCACCTGCGCTACATGCACGCCTGCCTCGAGGAAGGTCTGCGCATGTACCCGCCCGTGCCTGTCGGTTTGCCGCGCGTCGTGCCCGCCGGCGGCCGTGTCGTCTGCGGCCAGGCTGTCCCCGCTGATACCAGCGTCTACCTGTCCCACTACGCCGCCTACCACTCCGCCCGCAACTTCTGCGACCCGGACGAGTTCGTGCCCGAGCGCTGGCTCACCCCGGACGAGAACGGCGTCGAGGACCCCCGCAGGGACCCCAAGTACAAGAACGACGTCCTCAGCGTCGTCGAGCCCTTCAGCTACGGTCCGAGGAACTGTATTGGAAAGAAGTGAGTTTTTATTTTATTTCCCCCTTTCTTTTTTTTTTATATTCTCGTGCTTAATGACTGACTGCGCCTTCTTACAGCCTTGCTTTCCACGAGATGCGCCTCATTCTCGCAAACGTCCTCTGGCACTACGATATCGAGCTTTGCCCGGAAAGTAAGGACTGGGTCGATCAGGGGGTGTGGATCATCTGGGAGAAGGGCCCGTTGATGTGCAAGCTTAAGCCTGCCGTCCGGTCTTAAGTCGCTTCTTTTATTACCCCCCCTTTCTTCTTTCGGTGCGTTGCTTGTGGCTGCGAGTGTTGGAGAGGAACGGTCAAAAATTAAGAGGGCTGGTCAAGGAGTTGGAGAAAAGAGTGGCCTTTATTCGAAAGGGCTTAGGCGGTAGAGTACATAGGGAGGCAGAGGAGAGTGTGGATATCTTTCGTTCTAATTGACGCCTTGACTGAGGCACATTTTCGTAAATAACTATATGACTTCCAAATTCAAAAGTCTGCTTAGCATACGATGTCTGGCGAGTATGTGCGCATTGTGTATCTTGATATCGTGTCGTGATGAGTCTAACAGTCAGAAAGGGGTTCAGAACTATTGGACACTTAGAACTAAATTCGCAAATAGTAGGGATTGCGTGACAATTCACTTACTGATCACCTTACTTTGAATATTAAGATCGCATTAGTTCGGGTGCTGTCCTCTAATCCTGGCAATGGGAGGGTGCACTTCCCTGTTATGTGTCATAAGATGGGACATCTAGCGAACCTGTGAACCAAAACTGTCATGGCCTCCCTCGTATTGGTTTGGCAGCCAAAGTTAAACACCGTATTTCTCATACCTACTCAGCAATGCACACAGAAAGTCGGACAATCAACATCCTTGATTAGATATCTATGCCCTATTATTTTTTGTGATTTTGTTTTTTCTTTTTTTGTTCACTCCCATTTCCTTCCTTTTTCCTCTCGCCAGCCTCCTTTTCCTGTGATCCTTCACCCTTTTCCTTGCCTGTAGTCCGTAACCTTTGGTCCCATAGGTATTCTAGCCAGGGATCTTCCCCTAATCTTCGGCAGCGGAAAAAAGAAAAAAGAAATGATGGTGGTGGTGGTGACCTTGGCGGTACCCATGACGATAATCATAACAAGCGTAAGCCTGTCATGCCAAAAGGTGCCCTCCCCTAAAAAAACAGATGGGAAACCTTTATCCCGCCGAACGAAGTTGAATATGTAAAAAACCAATTCCGACCAGCGATGAAAGTTTCCATGACGCCCGTTTGATGATCGATGAAAAGCCGGGGGGTATCATCGAAAAAAGAACCGTCAACCCAAATGATGACTCCAGTGATGTCGGTGAAACCGTCCCTTATTCCATGCGCTCTCTCTCCGTTGTATTCCTTCCATGATGATGCCAAAGACAACAAAGGAAAATATTGGAGCGGCAGATGTGCCGTGTCGTAGAGGCCGGCAGGAGAAGATAAAGGAAGGGATAGAAGAAACGAGGGAATTAGTACGAGCTTGGTGTAACACTTCAGAGACCTAGATCTCCGTGAAGAACCGAAACAAACTTGTGAGAGTTTCAGGTCTCCAGCGAAGAATATCCTAGGACTGCTGAAAGGGTACGGCCAAACACGCGGTAGCTACTATGTACGAGTGAACGAGAAGCAGACCCAAAAAACGCCAGCGACAAAGCAGATTGGAACGCCTTAGGTACAGGACCGAAGAGTCCCCAGGAACGGAACGCCAAAGCGTAACCCATGAACCAGAAAAACAGCCATACCAGCCAGAAAAGCCGGTAACCCTTCATGCCAAGCCCGAGATCACAAAACGTGCCGTGGCAATAAAGCATGACGCCAATCAAGCCCATAGAGGATATTCCGGTACCCACCCAGAAATGACGCTCCTAATGAAACTCCGAAAAGGAAATGAAAGCTCGAAAAGTGCCGTAAAGGAAAGGACGAAAAAAGGAAATAAAAAAAAAGAAAAGAACCAAAGCAAGCAACTCGAAAGAGGATGACGGTCGATGGTGCTCTAGAACAATTACAGAAGGTATCTTGAAATCCTTAAGTAGCAGAAATTCCGGACATCGATAATTGTTCGTCCGTGAAAGGGGCCAAAGGGACTTGCATGACTCTATATCGTCAGGATGCAGAAATCATAGAGTCGACGAATCCGGAAAATAAGGCAAAACTCCGGATCCAAGATATCCGCAGCACCAAAAACGCCGGCTTGATTACGTATCTACAAGCTGAAGCTTGAGAAGGCGCTTCAAATCATTCTCCATAAGCTTCGTGTCGACGGCAGGGGATGGGTCGCGGGGTGTGTCTGATGACGCCGTGTGAGTGAAAGGCGACCTCAAGCCAGGGTGATGGGTGTATGGCGCCGCAAGAGAGTCCTGTACGCCAGCCTGCTGGATGTGGGCGTTCAGGAAATCGCGCGAGAAAGCAGAAGTGTCGGGCTTTCCGGACATAGGGCGAGAAGGCGTAGTAGGAAGCGGGGCCGAGTGCGTGGCCGGAAGCTCCGCGCGGTTCTGGGTCGACGGAGAAGAGTCCAGCTCCTGACGAAGGGACGAAGAACGCTTGGCAGAATCGCCTTTGGCTGCCTGGAACAGAGGAGAGAGGTTGCGATTACCATAATAATAAGGATTGGCCTCCAAGTTGATCTGGCCAGCAGGAGTACGGGGACCGCCAGAAACCTGCCTGGGCCCGGGACTTGGGCGGTAGAAAGGAGACGGAGTGTGGAATTCCTGGCCATTCTGGGTAGGAGTTGCCGCAAATCCATTTGCCAAAGGCGACTGAGCAACAGGTTTCTTGGACGAAGAAAACAGATCCTTTAGAGCCTGGGGGTAGGACTCGGACTCTTGAGCGGCCCGAGGAACGTCCGATGGCGCCGACGTCGATCTGGCAGCAGACATGCGGTGAGGCGGCGAAGGGGAAGGGGGCTTCGGCGTGGCCACAAAGCCGTTATCCATATCCATGTTGAACATGCCGCGTCCGTTGTTGTTAGAAACATGCCTCATGTGGTTGGGCGCATTGGCCGGTGCGTGGCTCATGCCGGGAGGGGTAGCAGTGCCCAAGAGGCTGGCCTTCCTCGCCTTCTCTTCGCGGTCTGCCTTGAAGAAGAGATCCAATGGAGACTGCTCGGCTTGCGGGCGTGCAAGAACTTGGTTGACAGGGGTGGCTCCAACAAGCGGCGGAGAGTCACTCTTCTCGCTAGTGCCACTGCTGTCCGATTCCTGGTCCAAGCGAGTTTGCATCGTTGCCGGGGCGTTGTTCGCAGGCACGGACTTGGAGAAGAACTTGGGCATTGGCAGCGACGAAGCGGCCGGAGAAGCATGGAATGCGGGGCCGGCATAAGCGCTGTCTTTGGCAGGAGTCCCGACGGCCAGCATGCCGTTGTGTTTGGGCGGGGAACCACCTTGGGCGGGGGTGGACTGTCGGTCGCGACGGCCACGGCGGTTCTTGTTGTTCATTGCAGAGGCAGGGCTGTCGGAGACGGAGCCATCGTAGCGGTTCGGCTTCCTCCTGTTGCTCTGGTCGTTGTGGCCGGCGCTGACGTAGCCTTGGAGCAAGGCAGTGTCCGAGGCACTCGGGTTAGGGTGCGAAAGGTGCTGCTGGCTGTTGTCGAGGTTGTTGCGATTCCTGCCCTGACGACGCTGGTTTGATCTCGCCGGCGTTGAGTATGAGTCGGCGGGGTTGGAGATAGACCGGGCGGGCGTTTCACTCTTGGTGTGACGGTGTTGGGGCTTGGGACCCTTGGAGGGCGTCGTCATGACAGCGGACATGGCGTGTGGGTCGCGGCGAGATGTAGTGAAGATGTATGCCGTAGGCTAGCGGTTGCGCGACTTCGGAGTTGGAAGTAGATAGTGGCGGAGTGACGTATGTGAGTCGTGGTGCGCGGAGATGTGTTGTTATGTGCGTGTTCGGAGGAATGGCGGGGGGCGGGAGGTCGATTTCGTTCTGGAGATGGATGGCGCGCAAACGGTGGACATGTATAAGAATGGAGATGCGGTGGTAGAGAGGCTGGCTTGAAGCTTCATGGCCAGAGAGAAGGTGTGTTGGTGAGTGGTACGGTCGCGGGAAGGGCGGGCCTCTTGGGCTGCTTCGCTTCTTGTTGCGAGGAGGCGAATAACCGGCCCCAAACAGGGCTAGCGCCGGAAAGAGCAGCCTAAGCCTCGTTACCCGGGCCCGACGCAGGCAGCTGAGGCGGGCGAGCTCCGCCGCCGCGTTACTGCTCAAGCTCGCCGCCCACAGTGACCTCAGTCCACGGTGCTGCCTGTTTGCCCACGACGCCGCCGCAAGCATCTCGCGTTCTCCTCCATCCACGCAAAAGTCTGCCCACCCTCTCGCGCGCCGATTCCTCACCGACGTTTGCGTCCGCCCCGCCGTCGTCCGAACAGCGTCATCCACCACCACCAAACGGCCCGGCCTCCATTCCTGCAGCCCTGCACTGCACCCGTTCCAACCTTCCTTCCTCTAGCAACCCAACATGGCTGATGTTGACATGACCGACGCGCCCACTGCGCCGGCGAAGACCAAGACCGCCAAGGCAGGCGGCGACGGTGCTGCTGAGGGCAAGAAGAAGTTCGAAGTCAAGAAGGTATGCATTTGGAGCTTGGATGGAGATATGGCGGATACTAAGCTTCTACAGTGGAATGCCGTCGCTCTCTGGGCCTGGGACATTGTCGTCGACAACTGCGCCATTTGCCGCAACCACATCATGGACCTTTGTAAGGCGCACCTGCTCGACTTCATGGATGAACATTTACCGTTGTTTCAGGCATCGAGTGCCAGGCCAACCAGGCTTCGGCGGCATCCGAGGAGTGCACCGTGGCGTGGGGTATCTGCAATGTAAGGAAAACCCCCTCAATGAGCTATCAAGCGCCTTGCTAACACCTATGTAGCACGCATTTCACTTCCACTGCATTTCCCGCTGGCTGAAGACCCGTCAAGTCTGCCCTCTCGACAACCGTGATTGGGAGTTCCAGAAGTACGGCCGTTGAAAAGGATCATCAAACACACTTTCAAGATCCATGCACTCTCGAGAGATCGCCGTGCTCCGCGCACCTGATCCATGCGCATAGAAGGGGAAAACTATTCATGGCTGCGACGACGGTGGGACAGTGGCGGTGCACACAATGGCGTTTCAGGGTTGCGATAATCGCAACGGGTCTATTGCAGGATAATGGGCCCTCGGTTACGAGGTTCTTTAGAGCAAGACTCAAACAAGGCTTTATTCCTTGCGCCTGCAACGCCTCCCATATTGATGTTCGATAATGTAACGCGCGTCTAACCCCTCCACTGCATTGACATCATGTCACTTCGATCTCAACGCCGCCCAGACCAGCCGATTGCGGAGGCTGCCAGTCGACAGGGTTCTTGTTGAAGAAGGGCCAAGGCGGAACAACGGCGACGAAGGTAAGAGCGGCACCGCCGAGAAGGATCCGCAGGGCAAGGGCGATGTCCTGGGTGGAGTAGCCGACGACAAAGGCGACAATCTGGGTGGAGTCAGAGAAAAGCTCAGAGTTGCGGTAAAGACGAGGGCTTACGCCGGCGGTAGTGAGCAGCGCGGTGGTCAAGAGCTCCGCAAGACGCTGGCCATCGAAGTCCTGGGAACAAGTCAGCGGGGACGGCGCAAATGCGACGTCGCAGAACGTACAATCTGGCCCTCGACGAGGTCGCGCGCCTTTTCCAGCAACTCGTCGGCCATGGCGGGCGCGTTTGGTTTGGAGAGCAGCTGTTAGGGCGATGATGAAGCTGAAGCTACGTCGCCGCTGCTCGGGCCGGAACGCCAAAGCCGCTAGGTTGTGGTCCCGCACGGGTCAAGCGGAACAAATGATTGGGCTCTGGCCAGGCACGATGGGCGCTGAGCCGCCTCGAGCCACGGCACTCGTATCTTCTGCAGTTCTTACGCAAAAATAAATGACTCACATGCGCGGGTACACAATGCAACCGGCAGGGCGGAGGCCACGGGCCAACGAGAAGGCGCCGATTTACTGGGAGGTTGCCGCCGATGGGGTGTTGGGGTCGAGCGGGCGAGCCCACTTAGGCTAAGACAAGCTCTTTCGCATGCCGGCTGCCGCCCGTAACGAGCCAAGCAGAAATCTTTCAGCTGTCACCAGTTTCCGCCGCCCTTCTTCTCCCTTCCACTACCACACCCTCGTCCGCCGTGGACTCCCTTCAATCAACCCACATTTCGCGTCTTGCCGAACCTCTGCGCATTTCCTATTAAAGCGCCTGCCCCCGCATCGATACCTCAGCTCTCCCGTCCCCTGTGGACTGGCGTCGACGTCACGCACGGTCTAAAACACCGGATAGTTCTCCGTAGCCGTGGTGACCGGTCGTTCCCTCTGATCTCGCCTTGCGCCTAGTCTTGCGCCCAACGGTCTCCTCGCGCCCCGTAATTTCACCCCCGACTACTGCGACCCAGGCGCCTCGGCGTCTTTCGTCATAAACACCACCAAGTTGGCGGGCACTCAGGTCCTTAGCTTCTCTTTCATTTACCCCCTTCTCGGCCCACGCATTTGGGTCTGCGGGGCCGACACTAAGCCGTAGGTCTGCTGGCATCCTGGTTGTGGCTATTCACTGACGTATGACGCATAGCCCATAACTGGCCCTCAGTCGCATTCAGGTCTCTTACTCGCGCTGACCACAAACAATCTTTCCGTGCGCTCTCGGTGGCGTCGGTGGAGGTACTTGCTTACCTCAAAGGAAATCCCACGGCTTAGTGTAGGGAGGAACCCTACGCGAAGCCAATCAGTCAAGTTGACCGTCCACACGCGGTGAGCGCTCACAAGCGGCTCGCCAACAGCAGGTCGCATTTGGGACGCTGGACTCCCGGATTGTCACGCGCAACGCTAGAACTTGCGGCATTTCTTTCGCGACAACCCGATAACCAAGAACACCACACCGGCCAGCAACATGACCGACACTCCGAGGTCTGAGCACTACCCGACGAGGTTCAGCACCCCGGTGTCTGACCTTGACGACCACCGCCACCAGCAGGAATCGATGCCCCGCGTGGAGAATACCAGCCCCTCGCGCTCCCGTCGTGGCACTGTCACGAGCATTGTCGCCCCCAGACCCGCGCGGCCAGACCTCCTTTCCGTGAACGACGCCTTGGAGCGCGAGGGTATGATAGCGAGGGACTTTGAGAGTGCGATTGTGGATGACGATAAGAGCCCCAGCGACACTGGAGGAGACAACAATGGTTTCTTTGGGCGCCGCGGCTCTGTGAGCCCAATGGCGAGGAGGGACACTTTCCGTCGGCCTAGAGATGTGCAGCTGGATGCCCGTCCGAGATCTCGCACTTCTACCAAGTCCTCCGGCTCTGTGTCGCCACCGAACTCTGTAGACGCCTTTGCCGATCCGCGGCGTCGAGACCGCGCGGGGACTATCAACAGCCAGCGTCCGCCGTCGGAGGTTGACCTGCGCCTGCAGCGCACTGTTTCCCAGGCTACCGGCCGGCGCCGCCCAACATTCAGCGAAGAAAGCCGCCACGGCGGCACTGTCAACAACGAGACCGCATCGCGCCGCAGCTCTGTGGAGGAAGATGTGTGCTTTCCAGTTGAGGAGAGTAGCAACACGTACCGGATTGATTTCGAGGAGCTTGAAGAGTTTGTTGCCACAAACCAGACCAGGACCCCTGTAATTCCACTGTCACGCAAGCAAAGCAAGGTGAGCGTGAATTCGCAACGCTCGAAGCAGAAGGTTTTTCATGATCTTCGCCGCGGGCCGTCCATCCAAGAAGTTCCCAAGGCCTCTGGGGATGGGTTCGAGCACTTTCCCCGGCCTGCAGACAGTGGCACAGATCTGGAGGATGAGAAGGTTGACGTACATATCGAGAACCCGGGCCACCTCACTGTTCAGCACGAGCAGCATGTCAATAGGTGGGCTTTCTTCTCCTCGGAGCTGGACGATACTATCCATGCGGCGGACCTTGGAGGACTTCTCATGCCTGGAGAGAGATTCCGCGATCTCTTCGAACTCCCCCCGGATTCTGGTACATGGTGGCTTGACATGTTGAGCCCGACTGAGGAAGAAGTCTTCGCAATCTGCAAGGCCTTTGGAGTGCATCCTCTCACGCGTGAGGATATTCTCACTCAAGAGGCACGCGAGAAAGTGGAGCTTTTCCGCGCGTACTACTTTGTCTGTTTCCGTTCATTTTACCAAATGGACAAGGCGAGCGAGGACTTCATGGAGCCTGTCAACGTTTATGCCATTGTCTTCCGCGAGGGTCTGCTGACCTTTACCTTTGCGCCAAACCCGCACGCTGCCAATGTCCGGAAGAGAATTGGTCGTCTCAAGGACTACATCTCCCTCAGCTCTGATTGGATCTGCTACGCTTTGATGTAAGAAACTCATCTCGCCGACTGTTACTCAACATGCTAATTTTGGAATCACAGCGACGAGATTGTTGATAGCTTTGGTCCTGTCATTCGCGACATTGAACATGAGACCGACGCTATCGAGGATCAAGTGTTCACTGCACGCGCCGAGGATTCGCGCCAAATCCTGCGCGCCATTGGTGAATGCCGCAAGAAGGTCATGTCGATGATGCGACTTCTTGGTGGCAAGGCCGATGTCATCAAGGGTTTTGCCAAACGTTGCAATGAACAATACAGCATTGCGCCTCGCGGCGACGTTGGGCTCTACCTCAGCGATATCCAGGATCACGTCGTCACCATGATGAGCAACCTGTCCCACTTCGAGAAGATGCTCTCGCGTAGCCATTCCAACTATCTGGCACAGATTTCGGTCGACAGTCTGAGTCAGGGCAACGCCGTTAACGAGATGCTTGGCAAGATTACCGTCATCGCCACCATCCTTGTCCCCCTCAATTTGATCTGCGGTCTCTTCGGCATGAACGTTCCGGTTCCCGGCGTTAACAGCTCCAGCTTGGGGTGGTTCTTTGGTATTCTTGGGGTCATGTGCGCGTTCGTTGTGACTTGCCTAGTGGTCGCACGGAAGATGCGCTATGTCTAAGCGCACGTCTGACACCGGTCTGGCGCAGCAGAGCTGTGGCAGGTTTCTTTATTTTCCTTTCGTTGTCCATTTTGTCTTGTCTTTAGCCTGGTATTCACCTACTGTTTTTTGGGGCTACCTTTGGATCCTATGTTTCCTGTATCCATTTTTCCTTCTTTATTGTCGTATTGATCTGTACTTTGCATCCCTAGTCTTTGTCCTTTTTGGATTGACCTTTGTCTCATGTTTTGGCGTCGATGGCAGAAAATAACTTGGGATATACCTACACAGGGCGGCGGTAGACTGGGCGGAGTGATCATGAAGGCGTCTGTGTGGGTCGTAGTTCGCTGCATGTACCTCGTGCGACATTCAAACAAGTAATACTTGCATGTATCTGCAAAGTGTCTCTCCCACATCATGTGCATTCTCCATTTTTATTTTTACAGACATAATTGCTGAAGTTAGCGGAGGGGTGCGTCTTTACTTGGCGATGAGGCCGCGACGGCATCTGATTGAAGATGGTCATACACAGGGATTTGCAGTTCGAGTCTTGGGCTGAGCTGTCTCTCCGCACTGGTTTCGCTCTGGATTCCCTTCATCCCCGCTCCAATGGATCACTTTGTCGGTGAGAGCCCGATGACATGGTTGTAGAAGAAGAATTTACGTAAGAAGTGACTGGCTCTCATCATCGGTTGTTGAGTCTTCGATCTACATGCTGGTTTATCTTGGCGGTCGTTGGGTTATCGTTTCGTTGACTAAAAAGTTGCCTATGACACATATTGTGCTGAACAGCAGCACTTCTCCGTGTTCTGCTGATCAATGCTTTGCTGGTGTGCCCAATGGAAGAACAGCGTCTACTGCACTTCTCTGCCCATGTTGACGGCACCCTCAATCACTTTCTGCTTACGTCTGGCTGGCATGATCTGAGTGCTTCGGTCAGCTTGGTTCCCTAAAGGCCCTTGGCTTGATTCGATCCTGCGAGTCATCCGATTCATTGTGGTCTTGTGATCGATTGCTTGGAAAGTCAAGACTCATAATCATTTTTGACGTAGTATCGGCTTAGTCCGCCCGTTCGGAGTTACATGCCATATTGAATCGATGGGATCGAAGGCCTTTTCAAATTGGCGAAAGTAATGAACAGTCGTTATTTTTCTGAGACTATGGTCCACCGATAGAACATTCAGGCTTACTCCACCCGCTTCCAGACTTCTTGGATGAACTGCTTGGTAAGTTTTGATATCTCCTCTCCCGCTGATGGCATGACTTGGGTCCCGAAGAATGCAGCAACACCCTTATCATCATTGGCTGTTCGGTTTACAAACCACAGCAGATTGCCATGGCCTGCCCACGTCATCGTACCCCCTTTCATCCCCGTATTCGGATTATCATCCACGACCAACAACCCTCCAAGGCCGTGATCCAAGCGCACATTCTCCGGCACCATCCCACCAATCATCACCCCCATCAATTCCATGCTCGCCCTTAAACTCTTCCTCGACTCGTCGCTCAGTTGCGGTGTGAACATCAGGTCCACCGTCTCCTTCTTCAACGTCTTCGGCTGCTCCTGCATGAGGTCCTCCAACACCTTCAAGTAATCCCCGACCGTCGTGTACAGCCCACTCCCACCCAAGCAGTCCTTCGGCTCCCTCGGCATCCACACCTCCGCCATCTCCCCCAAGCCTTCTCCGCCCTCGCCCTTCCCCTGCTCCGCCGTCTGCATCAACCGCGCCTCGACGTCCGGCCTGCTCCCCAGCAAGAACGTCGAGTCACGCATCCCCAACGGTTCGAAAAGGTTCTTCCGCATGTAGTCCTCCAAGTTCATCGTCGTCGTCGCTCCCTCCTGACCACCACCATCACCACCACCACCACCACCACCACCACCACGGGAATTCAACCTCTCCACCAGCTTCCCCGCCCAGTCCGTCGACGGCCCGTATGACCAGCCGCGCCCCGGCTCGTACACCAGCGGCACGCTGTAGTCGTGCACGACGTCGGTGTTCTGCCCCGTCCACGAATCCGCCCTGCCGTGCGCGGCGCGCCACGCCGCGACGGTCGGGTGCAGCAGGTCGTGCGCCAGGCCGGACGCGTGCGTCAGCAGGTGGCGCAGCGTGAGCGGGCAGGCGCCGCGCGGCTTGAAGGAGAGCTTGACGGTGCTTGGGTCAGCAGAGTACGCAGCAGTGGTGGTAGTGGTGCTGGGTCTCCGGAGGGTGGTGTCGATGGACGGGTCCTCGAGGGCGATGAGCGGCTGCGTGCAGATTTCGGGTAGGTGGGCGTCCAGAGGCTCGTCCAGGCCGATCTGGCCCCGCTCGACGCATTGGAGCGCGCAGATGGAGGTGAAGAGCTTGGTGCAGGAGGCGAGGAGGAAGGTGGCGTCAAAGGTGATGGGTGGTGCGGAAGGGGTGATGTGCGTCGTGCCTGAGGCGTGCTTGAGGAGGGGGGTGCCTACAAAAAAGAGACGGTTAGACGCAGGGATGCTGGCCGAAGGGGACCAGAGTGTACCGTTGCGGTCGATGGCTTGACAGAGGATGCCGTGTGCGACGCGCTTATCCGTCTTGCCGTCCCAGGCGGTGGCGTTGTCTATGGTTTCTTCGAATGTGGGCATTTTCCTTTCTTGGCCTGTGATGGGCGATTTGTAGAATAAGGCAGGAAAGTAATAAATGCCGGTGGAAACGTCGGAAGATAGCAAGGATTAAATAGACTGGAGTCGGACACAATGTTGCACCGATCAATAGACACCGAGCGGTACCAATCCGCCTTTCGTGTACGTGACGTGACGTTGGAGAATGCGGCGGCGTTCCGTATGCGGTGTCCAGTGCGAATCCGCGAGCCCCAGCTGTGGATTACCGAGCAATGGAAACGACCAAACCGAAGTTGGTAGCCAAGTAAACTCAATCTTGGGACTTGCAGGAACATCGTGCACCTTGGAGGGCTCAGGCAGCAATGGCCTGATCCCTGTGGGATTCCCGTCAACTGCAAAGTGGGGTCAGCCGGCAGGAACAAGTTGACCCGACATGAAGGATTGGGCAATTGTCGCTTATGCTTTCCGAGGCTGTGAGACACTGCATCCCTCAAGTGAAATGGGCGGATTGCGCACGGGAACGAAACAGCCCAAAAGTTCTCATGACGTCATAACCTTCCATCAATGCATACAATCCCTCCTGGCTCGCAGATATTTGTAGCGGTTCTTCTGAGATAACTATTGGTCAGCACATTATTCAGTCTATGCCTAAGTGCTTGGGGCGTCTTACTATGTATATAGACTTCTAAGCAGCTTCTTCAAGTTTACATCGCCTGTAGTTCTTCCCGTCATGTCGTTGTCAATTTGAGGGGGCCTAAGCGTTCAAACGTTGGTGTCCCAGTGGTTGAAGTCCGCCTGAACTCGACAATCTGATGGCCATCCTCTCCCTCTTCAAGGGCATAGACACGCCCAATCTGTGTCGCAGAGATGGGCGACAGTGGAATTACGTTCTCCATACCATCAATTGAATCCATCCAAGTCCATTCTCGATCAGGCCCACCGTCCAGATATGCCATCTGCACGCCTCCAGTCTCCCGTGTCACGAGAACTTGCACGTAGCGTAGGTTGTTTTGTGTGTAGGTCATTGCTGCGATGTGTGCTCCAGAATCTATATTCATTGTTACTGAATAACTGTTAGCCTAGGAGGAGAAGTACCACGGTCTCGAACAGCTTCAACTTACAGTTGACATTCGTAGCTTTCCATCCATGGCCAGTCGCAAAGTAAAATTCTCTAAGCGCTTGATTTACGCTAAGATACAGCCCGACGTATGGCTCAGTATCGCCCAATTCTTCAATCGCTTCGATGGGGACGAGTGCATATGCCGTGCCAGTGTCAGGGACAATGCCATCAGGCATAGAGTTGTTGAAGTTGTTAGGGGGAAGTTCGCCCGGATAGGCGAAAGCGGTCGCGTTGGTGCGGTCCGACTGGAAGACCAAGAATCCAGTCGTTACGCAATTGACGCAGTGTACGCTAAAACTAGCAAGGTTTGAATCATTGGTGACCGTCCAAGTGTCGTCTACCATGGGCCACCTGTTCCAAACATCCTTGTGGAGGTTATCTGAAACAAACGCGCGTATTTCACCCTTTTTGGAGGAGGAAATGAAGCGGATGTGGAAATTAACTTGCTAGCAGTGATGAAAGATGTCAATTACCACTGTGTCAGGAACTGGTCAACTGAGGTACCCACCGATTTCCACTGAAAATTGAAAGCCGCAATAGGAGTTCCGTTCCTGGGGAGGAGTTCTGTGGTATTGACTTGAGATCCGGTCCATTCGTTTCTCGTAAGGTCAAGATCGGCCATCCAAAGGTTCAGATAGTCATCTTGGTAGTACACTTGGGTATGGTTGACGTTTTGTCGATCGGTGTAGTTCGCCGCCGCGAGGCGCGAGAAAGGCGCAACACGCCCGATGCGCCCATCGCCAGCTGAAGGCGAACTTTTGCTTTTTGCCACACCGACTCCGACACCGACTGCGGTAGATACTGCGATGAGTGCTGCTGCTGCAGTCAGTGCGATCCAAAAAGTCTTCCTGCGCAAGCCGCATAGGGTGCCTCTGTCGCGTGGCCCAGCGCCATCGGTGTTGTCCACCACCTCCAAAGCATCACTTGGGGCAACTTCAGGAAGATTATTCCCAGGCTGGGTGTCAGATAAAGGTTGCCTATCGTTGGACTTTACCTGGGTTAGACATTGGCGGTCATCAACTTCGAGCGTGCTATAGCCGTAGTGTGTTTGCTCCATGCTGGCGGTGAGAATGAAGGTCTGCCGAGGACTGAAGATGAAACGGCTGAATTCACGGCTTTTGAGTAGCCGCATGCTGCCTCGCCGCCTGATCGCACAGAAAGAATTTTGCGTGCAACGGTTGCTGCCTTAGTCCTTTAAGTGCAACAGCGCTTCTTCATAAGCTCACGCAAGGTAGCTGCGGCGAGATTTACTTGTCCTACCGTAAGCACAGATTTCCAGTCCATTCAAATTCCATACTGCCTACACCTGCCCCCCAGATGTCGAACCTATTTATGATTTTTTTTTCTCATGCCCAGGGGCGGAATGACCAAGATGATATCAGACACCTGCCGATGAGCTTTCGATAACGCCTCTTTCTTGTTAATAGCTAAATTTATGTGTGGTGCTGGAACAGCTTTTGTCTTCCTAGGATCATGGGGCCTCATACCGAGGTGACACTGCTTGTAATATATGTCGGCCGAGCGCCGACACGTAATGAGCTTTATGGTGGGTGTTACCGGCGTCTCCATTGCTTTTTCCTTTTCGGGCGAAGCTACTCAAAACGTACTTGATCAAGTAGGATGAGTTCAGGGCAAACTAGTGACAATGGTTTTAGGCTTGACACCTCTTTGTAGTGTACCGCAGCCTATCATCACCTTATCGTAGTCTCCACGAGAGGGGATAAGATCAGCGTGGATCTCCCTGTACCACGTTACAAACTGATTATGTATGTTATATTAAAAGCTGGATCCGATAGCGAGACGAGCGAGTACCCGTCACATGGGTGTGATGGCCACGACGATCTTCTAAATATTACTTACCCAGTATGTCTGAGGACAAGACCATCATACCCATCACAGGGCAGCACCATATTTAGCGAATCTGATTCTCAACTTCAGATCATCTCAAGTGAACCGTCGTCGGCAAATCCACAAGTCCCAATAGCAGCATCAGCTTCGACACTGCCGCCGCCCTCGCCGCGGACACGCTCATCGAGCCAACCTCACCACACGTGACCCGTCCAAAGGCACTACCGCACTTCCCAGACTCCTATCCTGCAACTCACCCGGTAACCTATCGTTACTCGCCATTGACGTCACGTCCGCCGCCTCCGTCGCGGTACGCGACCACGGGAGACTGGACGTGCTGGCTAACAACGCGAGCGTCGGCTCGCCCGCGACCTGTCGCTCACTGCGTAGCTGGTCGAGACGTTCAGGACGAACACGCTCACGTCGGCGCTGGTGACCGAGGGCTTCGTGCCGCTGCTGCGCAAGAGCTCCGGGCCCCGCATCCTGCATGTCTCGAGCGATATGGGGTCAGCCGCGCCGAAGAGAGATCGTGGGTACAATTATGCACATTTTGGGTAAGTGCCGTACCGCATGCCTAAGGCGGCCTTGGATATGTCGGCGGCGTGTTAGGCGCAGGTGCTGGGCAAGTGAGGCGTAAGGTGTGGAGCTTCGATCCGGGGTTCGTGGCGAAGGATACGACAAAAATGAGGGAGAAGGGAAAGGAGATGATGTGGCTAGGTGATAGAAGAGAGCGTACAATGCCATTAATGAGGATTGCGAAGGGTGAAATGGATGGGAAAGTTGAAAATCCAGTGTACAAGAATGGAGCGCACTCGCGGTAAGCGGGGAAATGAAGAGTAGAGGCATGGGAGGCGGAGTGCTTAACTCTATAAAGCTTGAGCTGACTCTATATTGAGTAGAGTTTTATTTGGTAAAACGTAGTGTTTATTAGTACGCCACCTGGCGTTGGTGGATCATCTCATCGTGGAAGGTGTGGCATTGGATGTCTACTGCTTCTCCTTTTACCATTCTTCACGTCCATGGTCTGCAAGTAGACAAATCCTTATGCATGTTTATTAATTTGTAAATTTATAGTGTGAAAAGCACATAAGAACTTTCAATTGAAGTATTTCTTTATCAACAGCGTGGTTAATTTACTCAGCATATCACACGCCGAAGCCTTTTGACATGAAGATAATATACAAATCTTAACGTTATTGAATTCGTAACGGCAGTTTATCACTGCTTACATCAATTTATGGTTTCAGAATGTTTAAAATGCCGAAAAAAAAAGTAATTATCCTACATAAAATGATCTATTATTGTAGAACCCTGCAAAGGGTCTTCGTTAGTGTGGAGATTGACGCGACGTGAGGGGCAAGGGGCATTATCGTATTGTGACCAGAATGTGGCTGCTTACCGCCAACCTTTTGTGTAGCCTCTAATAGAGCTGTATGGAGTGCCCTCGTCCAGCGTCAGCATGCCAAGTCATTTAATTGTTGGGGTCCGAACGTGGCTGTAGAATTGAGCGGAGACCAACCAATGAAGACAGTTTGGTGTGCGGCAAATGACACAGCTGAGTCCATAATGCCTCAACCTTGCATTAGCCCCGCATACTCTCATATGTCTCAAGAATTCTTCGTAAATGTGGGCTTACACGCAGACTTCACATAATAACGCAGTTTCTCATGCGAGGTCCTCCACTGCACAGTTTCGCTTTTCCATTTACTCAACCCCATAGCTCCAAGCGACTGGAGGCTCACAAAATTTCTGACGTATCTTTCATCTGGCTGCTACTTCAAAAGTTGTACCAAGACCGTATGTAATGGACCCTCAGCCTTGTACCAGTGCTATCTGGCTGTTCTGACGTATGAAAGAAGCAGACAAGGGGGCGAAATTGAGGTCACTGAGTAACTGTGACCCGGAAGTCTTTGAATTTATTCACAAGCGCACCGCCATTCGCCAGAAGCGTGCAAACCCGCACTCGAAATGTCATACTTGGAAACTTCTGGAAAGACCAGCGCAACAAGATCCTCTACTTGGATTTGAGATTATTTTCCATTGCACCAATACGCCTCTCTACCTGATGAAAAGAATTGCATCCGTCTCGTCGAGCTTCTCCCCGAGTCAAATCATGACCATATCCGGTGCAAAATCCACATTGAGGTATCTCGTCCATTCCGTGCCTACGAGGCGATATCATACTGCTGGGGGGATCCCTTCGATACCGGTGATATTCAATGCGAGGGAACAATTCTGGGCATCCCAAGAAACCTCAGGGACGCCCTCGAACACTTCAGGCTCCCAGATCGATCTCGGATCCTGTGGGCTGACGCGATCTGTATCAACCAAAGCGATAAAAAGGAGCAGGGGCATCAGGTCATGCAAATGGGCCGCATTTTCAAAGAGGCCGAATGCGTTCTGATATGGCTTGGACGTGGCACAGGCATCAATGCCCAAGCAGCGTTCGATTGGATCACTTGCATTGAGCCCATTATCTTGACTGAGTCGACAAGGCTCTTTGAAGAGGGAACTCTTGTCCAAGCCGTCAGGGGACTTCCAGAAAAGTCTTGGGTGGAGATGAATAAAGTGCTTCGGCATGCTTGGTTCGAGCGCATATGGGTTTTGCAAGAGGTTGGATTGGCAGCAAGAGCGGTGCTCTTTTGTGGAAGAGCAATGATAGACTGGAAAACCTTCTCGGAAACATGCAGCTGGCTGTGTTACCAGACTCGACTTTTATCACATCATGGCATTCAACTATATCAAAACGGGCTTAATTCAGTTGATACAATGTGTACGACAGGGTTCAAGAGCCAATTCTCTGATCCCGCGAAGGCCATCTTCCACTACCATTTACTCTTTCGCTCCTGCGAATACAAGAGTACAGATCCACGAGACAAAGTCTACGCCTTACTTGGACATCCAGTCTTTGTGGACCTCAGCCGGAAGCTCTCGCCGGAATCCTTTGTTCCGATCGAATATTCCAGTCCGCCATTCGACACATTTCTTAATGCAGCTACAGTGCTTATGAAGTTACCAGAGCCTCTCGAAGTCTTGCAATATGCTTATCATGAGCGCAATGTGGAGGAAAACGACGAAGATTTCATCTCCTGGGTGCCGCAATGGGCTTGGCAGAAACATCTCATAACACGTTTCAGGAGTCTTGATGGGGTTCCTGACTTTATCCGCAATGCTGATCCCCGGTTCGAGGTACGGGGCCGTCAACTACATATTTCTGGCGGTATGCTGGACTCAGTGATTTACTCTTCGGAGAAATTCGATGTAAATCCTTTCAAGCCAGCACAAAGTCACACCATAGACGCTGCGCGAAATCGATTAATCCAAACCTGGAATGACGTTAAAGGCATCATGGACGGACATGGCGAGGAAGATGTCTGTCAGGATATGTGTGATTCGGTCACTGCAGGGGGTGCATACATATACTACCCCCGCGAAATAAACATCCATGGACCACAGAACCCGGATGTGGTCAAAGCAAATCTTCTTGCCGGTTTTTTGCTTTACCTGAGCCGTGCTGGGGTACAATTCTCGAACAAGGGAACCCTTGAAAGGCTGCAATCCGGTAACGGAGATCTCTGGAGGCTGTGGTCATACGGATCGTTTATCAGGAAAAGATGCATCTTTGTTACGGCTGGTGGACATTTGGGAATTGGAAGTGGAATAATGAAGACTGGAGACCTTGTATGTTTTTTCTACGGTGCGCGTTGTCCTTCCATTATCCGACGAGCACCAAACGGGCTTGGATACTGGTTTATTGGCCAATGCTATGTCAGTGGAGTTGAGAAGATGGCGGCAATGAAACAAGCGGAACTGGGTGATTTGAAGGAAGAGACTTTCATTCTGTACTAAGAAGAATAGATATTGCGAAATTGGTACTGAAAAGATTCTATTGGAGCCTCGTTCATTTCAAACCCTTTATACGCCCTAATAACTTTAAGTGAGAATCATGTAGGTGTGCTAAGCAATAGAGCAAATTTCTATTCTTAACCATCATCTGCTCCCTCATATATCACCGGAAGCTAAAGCTTGCCTGGCCCTCTGATAATGGCGGCAACTGACCAAGGCTACAGCACGGTTGAGCGTCGCTCCGGAGCCCTTTCCTGTCACTAATCAAATGGAAAAGAATATTCTGTTCCCAACAATCTTCTTCCTTTCTCCATCCTCTTCATCAGCTCCTCCGCCTTCTTCTTCCACTCTTCCACCTCAAACCGCTCACCCCCACACTCTTCCACAATCCTACACCTCTCCTCCATCGACTGCGCCGCGCGAATCCTCCATGCGCAGATGCCCCGCTCCCACACATGCCGCCCCCGCGCCTGCCTATCTTCCCAATGCACAATGCAGGAGTCCTTGAACACGTCCTCCCAGTACACCCACACGACCATTTCGCTTCCTGTCTCCGACGACGTTTCATTGCCGTCAGCGTGCTTTGTGGAGAAGCCAATGGTCTTGGCGCGCGGGGGCGGGCCCCTCCTGAAGTAGTCGTCGTCGTCGTCGTCGTCTTCATAGATCCATTCTTCTTCTTCTTCTTCGTCGTAATCGGGGTACCATCCTCCATTGTAGCCGACGCCGCAGTTGCCGTCGGGCGAGCACTTGGAGAAGTAGCAACTGAAAGACAGGAGCGAGGGGTGCTCCCACCAGCGCGGCGCGAGCGCGTCAACCTCGCGGGGGTACCAGGTGGGCAGGAAGAGGCGCAGCCTATCGCAGAACGGGTCCTCCTCGTCTTGGTCGGCCGCGGCTAGCACCTCCTGCCCTCGCACTATTGCTTCCTCCTCTCCCTCTTCCTCTCTTCCTCCCATCTCCTCACCCCTTGCGCTGCTGCTGTTGCCATCTCCCTGCGTCGTTCCCTCCCCCCGGGGGTTGATGGCATTTGGCATCGCCACATCTTCGGTGAGAAGAGGATCAAACCCCAACCACTCTAGATCCACGGGCCCCACGTTTTTCAGCACCAACACGCCGCCGGTGCGCGGGTAGCAGTACACAGTGGGCTCGGGCGTCATCCGCAGCCGCATACGCGGCGGCGGTGGCCTCAGCGTTCCCTCGAATGGCGGCGGAGGGCAGCGCTCATAGCCCAATTGGCGAAACCAACGCTCTTTGTCAAAGTTGTCGGTGGGGTCGGACTGGTGGTCGGAGCGGAAGTAATTGGTGATGCTGTGGCCCCAGTTGATGAAGGCGATGCTGCGGGAATGGTAGGTGGCGTGGGTTAGCACGGTCTGTGTGTGTTTGGCGATTGGGAGGGGTGTTGGGCGGTGAGAGAGGGCATACACGGCTATGAAGAAGAGGATGTAGAAGCGTAGGCGAGAGAAGCGCTTCTTCTGTCGGCTCGAGTGTTGGTGTGGGAGTGTTTCCTTTTCCTCGGACATGTTTGTCTGGCTGGTTGGTGAGTCGGTTACGGGGGAGGAGGGGTAAAATGGTCGTGAGAGGTTTGGGGAGAAAATTGGTTTTGATCGTGGCTGCGGCGTAGGTCGATCCACTATCGTGCTAGATTCTAGGCAGCAGCATTATCTGATACGAGCGCTTGGCGTTGATGGATGATTCGTGGAGTAATTCATCATCGGATGAGAGTAGAGGATATTTCTCAAAGAAAAAAAAAAGTCGATTCGTAGCGCATTAAGCTTCCCTTGGTATCTTTCCAATGTAACATAACATATCCACTCCTTTTTCCTCTTCACCCAAAACATTTTCAATCACCAAATTACATCCCAGATCCCTTTATACAATCAAGCCTTGGCCTCAGCAGCTGCCGGCGCCGCGCCAGCAGCAGGGGTCTTGTTCTTCTTGGCCAACCTGAAGCCACCCACAACCATGATCAGCGCCTCCAGACCCAGCACAACGGCCAACGTGACCATAGCGCCAATGACACCGCCCACAGCGGTCGAAATGCCATTGCTACCACCACTGCTGCTCTTGCCCTCGTTCGAGCCGGAGCTCGACGAGCTGGCAGAGTCGGCGTACGCAGCGCACGAGCCGGTCGTGTTGCCGCACTTGGTGCACCACTGCTCGGTCGAGCGAATGGCAAACTTGTCCATGCCGTCGATGAAGTCGTTCCACGAGACAGACGTGTTGCTGCCGCCGAACAGGGGGTAGGCGATGGGCTCAGAGGAGTCGCTAGCGGTACCGTTGTGGTACAGGAAGCGCACGTACAGGTCGTCGGTGGTAACGTCAGCGGCGGTCGTGTCGTTCTGCGGCGTGAATAGCTCGAAGACCATGCTCGACGCGTAGCCGGTGACGCCGCGGAAGTCCGGGTTCGCCTGCGGCAGGTCGGCCAGGCCGAAGAAGGAGAAGAAGGTGGCGTAGGCGCCGAACTGGATGCCGAACTTCTTGCTGCCTTTGGACGTGATGGTGCTGTTCAGGTACTCGAGGACCTCGCCGGCCAGCTGCATGCCCGAGACGGCCCGCATCTCGTCCGAGGAGTTGTAGGCGAGACCCCATTCGTGGGCGTCAGCGAGGGTGCGCAGCTGGAAGAGGGTCGAGTTGGTGAGCAGGTCCGAGGAGGGGATGGTGGTGTTGTGGATCTCGGCGACGTTGATCAGGTCGTAGACTGCAGCATATTAGCAACATTCTTGTTTGGGAGAAGCTCAATTGGAGGACTCACCGACGTATGCGTTCTTGAAAGTGACATAGTCCTCGTCGAAAGTGGCATTGACGACAGGCATCAAGTTCTGGTAGAAGTCGCGGGTGCTCTCAAGCGTGTTCTCATACTCGGCAGACAAGAAGTAGTTGTTGGAGCTCGTCTCAGCAGCGCCGCAGTCGGACGTGTCCTGCAGCCAGCCGGCGTCCTCGCTGCCGGCGCCCGTGCTGGTCAAGCCGACGGGGATCAGCTGGTAGCCATTGAGAGGGGACGACACGGTGCTGCCGTTACGCAGCGTCTCGGTCGAAACATCGCTGCCAACGGGCGGGTACAGGCCCTGCAGGAAGCCGGTGGCTGAGTTCTGCAGGACGGTGTCCGAGGGCGCAGTCACGGAGATCTGGGACTGTTTGACGATGTCGGTGTTCATGCCCGCAATCTTGAAGTCGGCGTCGGAGGCGACATAGCGGTTGCGGTAGTACTGGCCGCTCTGGTAGACCTGCTGGTAGCCTAGGTCGGTGAGATTGGCGGGCTTGAGGGCCTTGGGAGTGCGGTCGCCGTGACGGTGGAACATGTAGACTCCCAGAATGCTCTCGGCCGCGGTAAGCGGGACTGCGGAGAGCAGCAGGGCAGTGGCAGCGGCGGACAGCATGGTGATTGTCTGGTCAATGGCAAGCTTCCGGGGAAATTTTGAGAAGAGAGAGCTACCGGAGTGAGCGGAAGCAAGAGCAGATGGGCAGCTCTTTGAAGGCGGCGGCCATCTCCGCGGCTGTGAGAAAAGTCATGAGCTATCAAGGTGGGGTTGCGCTGCAGAACCAGGGACGGCAAAGATTGGCTTATCGGGAGCGCATCAGCGGGAGCACCCTTGGCGCGATCAGCCTATCACTGTCAGGCACAGGACGGCGACCTGGCTGAACGCGGTAACCGGCGGCGGCAAACCTCCACCGTTGGCCGGCGGCCCTCTTGGCAGCGTGATAGCGATGCAGCCACCGAGGAGAAATGCAACGCAAATTGACGGTCTCGGCCCGGGCCTGCCGTGAGGTGCATCAAGCCGTGTACGCGAGAGCAATTGCGGTGGGCAGCATCTGCGATGTCGGCCAAGCGCAGCCCAGCGAAAAAAAGCAGCCAAGCCGGGGAAGCGAGGGAGCTTGGGCCACCACGCCCACACCCTCTTCTCTCACGCTTTCTCTAGGCCTTCGGCGCCCTTACTCTGCTTGCCTTCGTCCGTCCCTCCGCCGCAGCCACCGCATTCTCAGCCAAAGGCATGCGAGAGCTTCGCCGACAGCACAATGAAAGCGTTGCATCGCGGGAGTCCGGTGCTTGGGTGAGTGAAGGTTGGCGTTAAGACGATCGTCCAATTCTAGCCCCACCCTTCGTTCCTCCACTCTCCGCACTCTCTCCCATTCTTCAGATGGACCTCGCTCCGGCTTCCTCTACTCTGACCTCCGTTCCAATAATGCAAAGCCAGCTCTCGCTTTTAAAACCCACGCCCGATATGTCCGAGGGAGTCATCGCAACCCCGGAAGCGCCTGCCTTTTTAAGCTGGAGCCCGCCCGCCAGTCATGCCCAACACCATGCACGATCGGCAAAAGTAGAGTCAAGAAAAAGTTACAACACCATGAATGTCATCTTTTTTTTTTCCTTTCGCGCAAGGTTCTTCTTGTCATGACCCCTTAAGACAAAGTCACAAGTCGCCCATTCATTCCAATATCATAACCCGTGTTCCGTACAGGACCCTTAATCCAGCCAGACAGCATTGGCGCAGCATCCACCATCCTGCAAGTCCAGCCTGGCCACCACCTCGGCCGCCGAGCCGTTGACGTACCTCCAGACCTGCAAAAACTCCTCCTGTGTGTCCGTCAGCGCGACGAACTCGTCACCGAACGGCGCCGGAGTGACGGCGTTGGCCGAACCGCCCGACGTCGTCGTGTTGGTCAGGAAGAGCTGCTCCACGATGGCGCCAGTCTCCGAGAGCCGGTATCCGCTGATGTAGCCGGGAATAGTCTCGTCGCGGCTGCGCGCCGACGCCCACAGGAAGTTGCCGCTCGCCGCCACGGCCACGTCGTCAGACCAGTAGTTGGCGTTGTTGCTCGATAGCTCTGCGAAACGGTGAACTGACGTCAGTCATCGTGAAAAAATAATGCACTGGGCCAAACTAACCAGACTGAGGGATCAACGGATAGGTCACATTCTCAAAAATCGGCACGCCTGTCTCAGTGTTGAGGCGGTACTGCGCCAAAGTGTTCGCCTCTTCCAGCACCACGTACAGGAACCCACCGTTCGGATGCACCGCCGCATGGCGTGGGTTGGAGCCGCTGGACGGACCATCCAGCTTGCTGACCTGCGTCAGCAAACCCGTGGTAGCATCCACCTCGTGCGTCCACACGGCGTTGCCCGAGTCGTCGGCCGAGTACAGGAAGCGGCCGTCAGGCGACAGCGCCAGCCCATGCACGCCGGAGCCGGATGCGTAGCTAACATTCTGCGCGACCTCGGCGAGCGCGCCCGTGTCGGCGTCGACGTGCAGCACGTTGGCGCAGTTGCCGAACGGGTCACCGTAGACGGCGTACGGCGGCGCGTGCGAGCCCAGCACGAAGATGCTGCGATCAGAGCTGCAGTTGGCGCCGCCCAGCGGGACCGTCGCCGTGTGCGTGAGCGAGCTGGCGTTGTCGACAGAGTACGAAGTCCACCCGCCGTCCTCGACGGCGTAGAGGGCCTTCTTGTCGTGCGACAGGTTGATCCAGGCGTGTGCCGCGTGCGCGCTGATGTTGGCCGCGAGCGTGAGCGTCAGCGCTTGGTCGTCAAACTCGACGGCGTAGAGGTTTGCGCCGGAGAAGGTGCCGACGAAGAGGTGGTGCGTGGTTGCTGAGGCGAGCGCCGGGAGGAGCGCTGCAACGGGTGTGGAGGACTTCATTGTGGGCGGCTTCAGCTGGAAGTGTCGAAGGATGAGGGCTGATGGACTCGAAGAGAGGAGGAATCGAAGTACAGAAGGCCGCCCCTATAGGTATGTATACCCGCTGCGCCTACTTTCAAGGTTCCGTCCATTCGCCAGCGTCGTAATCAAGGCCCTCAATGAATTCCGCAGTCGCCCATTGGCGGCGTTATGTCGCCATTTACGGGCCGCGTACGCTCTACGGCGATCTTCCCCCCGGCAGTTGGAGGTTTAGTGTGTTTACCGGTCGTTGCGCGTACCTGTGTCAGGCCTTAGCGCGTTTCGTGCGCATTGCAGGCCTGGTCTCTGTCAAGGCCTACTCCGCATTCGCGCATGGCAAAACTCACAATGCCTGTTCGTACGCGCGGCTGAAATCCAAACACGAAACTCTATTGTTGTTGCTCTTTCCCCAAGGTCGATCCCGCGCTTGGCAAGTCTTTTGCGGAGGTTGACGTTGTCCTCGATCACGCAATCGTTTAGACCAGCCAGCCCACCAAAGCTTCGCACGACTTGGCGAAAGCTTAGCCACCACGACTACGTAGTTGGGATGCTCGTGGCCGTCTGTTTGCAAAGAGAGGTGACGTGGCCGCCGAGAAACCTCCTGTTTCTTGCTGCTGTTGGCGGGGATCAGTAACATTGAGCTTACGTCGGCTTGGACCGTGCGACGGGGCATTGGTACATGCTGGCCAATGAGAATCGACCTTATTGCGTTCACGTCGTGCATGCGCTAGCTGTTCTGGGTAATTATTGGGCTAACTGTAGAGCTGCGGATGCACGCCTATGGGGAGCGGTGAGTCGTAAGCTTTTGTGTGTGAATCGCTGGCACGGGTACTGACTACTGTTAATTTAGTGCGGTTGCCTTCTGCATCTCGGCTGTTTGCAGCCTTCTCTCAAGGCTGCTGTACCGACTGAAGGTAGCTGTCCTCTTCTGTGACTAGTTCTCCGGGTGCATTATTGATGTAAAAGATCAAGTTTTAATTGAAATAGATTCGAAGCGCAAAGTGCTATGGTATCTAAACGACAGATTAAAAAGAGCAAGATAAAGAAAGACACTGCCACCTAGTATTCTCAGCGCCAATCCCACAATACAACGTGTCATCATGGAATCATTTCCAACAATATGAAAGCTGGACCCAACAGCACCTGCCAGCAAAGCTTGACATGAAAGCCGCACCTATTAAACGACAAAATTCCTCCAATAACAGTAACGTTCCTCCCATAACAGTAAAACTCCTCCCATGACGACAAAATTCCTCCCATAACAGTTAATATCAACCTCAAGTTCAAAGTGGGGCGCCAGAAATTGCGGAGAAGGGCATAGATAAGAGAAGGAGTGAAATGAGTGGTGATGGCGGTGAGGGTGGTGATGGTGGCGTGTGTTATACAGAGAGGTTGGGGGGAGGGGTTGCATCAGGCACATGCGCCACATCCCAAAGGTTGCCCATGGGCATATCCTGCCAGCACACTTCCTTGAGAAAGTCCCACGCAATCTCCGCCTTCAGCTTTTTCCTCTCATGCTGCGGATTATCCACCACCACATCACCATCGTCACCAGTGCTCTGGATGCCGTTGTTCCTCCTCCGCGCTTCCGCTTGTTCTTTTGCGTTCTTGTCGTCGATGTACCGATGGATCGGCGACGCAAGCCACTCCGACGACATGTCGTGCTTGTAGTTCATGTTGGTGATCCAAGCACAGTCGTTTGCATTGACGCCTTGGAGACGGAGGCTGTCAATGTAGCCCTGGAGGTGCTGCTCAACGGCTGCCATCGGGTCCTGTGGGGCGGAACCAGACTGCGAGGCCGGCACGACGACCGGATCGACACAGCGCGGCACCGCAGTCACCGCCATCGGCGGCCACATCTTCTCCGCCCGGTACTCGCTGATGCGCTTCGTCTGCAGTAGCAGCTCGAATCGCGGCACGACGACCACGGCCATGAGCGCGTCGACGGTCAGGATGGCGTCGAAGATGGCCCAAAAAACGGCCCAGTCCATCTTCGCCATCTCGGTCTCCAGCCCCACGTACTGCCGCAATGGGAGGTTCGTCATGACGTGGTACGCGTGCCACGCCGCCTCGGGCCTCAGTCCGAAAAAGCGCGACACCTGCGCTTCGAAGGTTCTGTTGACAAGGTCGCAGTTGGTGGTGTCGGAATGGGGGCCCAGGAGCGGGATCTGCTCGAGGGAGGTCGTGAGGGCCAGGCCGGCGGCGAGGCTGCTGAGGGGTCCGTTGCGCCCCGCGTCGACGCTGCTGTCGCTGTCGCTGCCACTGCTGCTTCTCCTGCTCCTGTAGCCGCTATCGCTGCTGCTGCTGGGATTTCGCTGCAAGGTGGAGGGTCCAGCGTTGGCGGCTGGGACCGATTCTCCGGTCGGCTGGTTCGAGGGCCCGAAGGTTTGGTCCTGGGGAATCGGGATAGTGCCGTCCGGATAGGTTGCCCACATGTCATTGTTGAATGGCGCCGTCATGTTGTTGTTGTTGTTGGTTGCCACTCCCATGTTGTCGCTGGATGTCGCCATCGGAAACTGTCCCCAGTCGGTCGCAGTGCAATCCTGCTGCGGCATCATGAGATTTCCTGGTCCAGAGTTGTTTGCTTGCTGCCCGTTGGGCACCTGCTGTGGACCGAAAGGCAACCCGTTGGAATTGGTCCGCGAGTTGCTGGATTCAAGGCGCCTCGCACGCTCTTCCGGCGAGAGCTCGCGATTCCACTCACTCGCGAAGAGGTCGAGCATTTGCGTCTGCACGAGAGCAAGCAGCGCCGGCATGCTTGACTGAGCAGGCTTTGACTGCTCGTAGCTTGACTGCACTTGAGTAGGTGGTGCCGGCATGGTCTGACGCTGGTTCTGCTGCAGGCGTGTCCAGCTAACCCAGCACTTTTCGGCCAAGAAGGCGTCGAGTCCCAAGAACTCAAGGGTCTCCTTTGAATGGAGAAGAGCGGGCATGCGACACTGGTTACCTTGCAGCTGAAGAAAACGCACATACGGGTTCTCTTCAGGCAGTAGTTCATTTCCAGGGAGGACCCAGCGACCGCTTGGGCTGTTAGGACATTTCTCGATGATTTTGCGGGCACGGAGATGGATGTTGTCCAGAGGATCGAAGATCATGGGTGTTGGAGCGGGCCTTTCGTGGGCTGGGGCTCTCGTCTTCCTAGGCATAGCTGGCGGAATGCAGCAAGGCGGCTTGCGGAGAGGGGATGGAATGTTGGTCCTTTTATGAGTACGAGAGGCAGCCGTCGAAAGTTCGACGCAAGCGAAAGTGCTCGTGACTTTTGACTACCTTCGCATGCTGCTGTCGGGGACTGCTGCAGGTCTGCTGTAGGTCAGAAGGGCCGTGAGACAGAATTCTTACGTGGCGAAATCCCTGTCTCTTTAATTCACTGCGATCCTAATAAAAGCGGACAGGCAAGATCACTCTCATATCCTACTGTGGGCCCAGCTTCCATTTCGGGCCGGCACTGGGCGCACATTCATAGTCACCCAACAGCGGAACAGAGAGTCCCACCTAGTTTCTGTGAGCCAATCAGAAAGACTGCAGGCTTCCTAAACTATGATAAAACTCTGACTATACGGCACTACCCTTAGGATCCAGTCATCAAACGGTGACTCACAGCTACTAGTTAGACCTAACGGTAGGTGCTTAAATAACCTTGATCGCCTAGTAGAGCTCTCATTTGAGAGCTTCTCTTCCTTTGAGAAGGCGTGCGCGACGGTGTGGCGAGCTTGGTGAGGGCGAACCCTTATTCGCGTCACGGACTTCACCGCTGCGCCCAACATACCCGGAGCACCACTTCCCCCACGCTTTTCTTCAGCTTGGCAAAGATACCAGAGGACCCTGGAATCCAATACCCATCCAATCAGAGCGTCCCGATCGGATCAGCTAGCCCATGTGCTTAAAGAAAAGAAGCTACGTAGCCACAGTGGGGCCCCACAAACCACAGGATTTGGAAGTCGACTGCGAGAATATGCCTCAGCCGGTCTTTTTCTTCAAGGCAGATGCCGAGTTCGGCTTTTTGTGCCAGTGGTACCGTGGTTACTTCGTTCACGAGGGAATTACGTTCAACTGTGCCGAGCAGTGGATGATGTGGAGAAAGGCGAAAATTGCCGGTGACGAGGCAACTGCGAGTAGTATCCTCAAGACCAAGGATCCGCGCATGCAGAAGAGCTGGGGCCGAAAGGTGAAGGGGTTTGATGAACAGAAGTGGGATGGGAGTGAGTTTGATACCATTCACGTGATTGCACTTTGGTCTGCTGACGTCACTCGCAGTTAAGCGTAATATTGTAGAGGAAGGAAACTACATGAAGTTTACGCAGAATGAGAACTTGAAAAAATTACTGTTGGACACGGGCGAGAGGGAGCTGGTTGAGGCTTCTAGATTTGATCGCGTGTGGGGAATCGGATATTCGGCCGCTAATGCTTTGTACGTGGAGAAGGAGGAGTGGGGGCAGAATCTACTCGGAAAGGCGTTGATGAGGGTGAGGGAGCGCATACGTGAGGAGTTGAATGTACAAGAAGCTGGCTGAAGTGTTGTTGCGAGGATGCAAGAGGCTAGCAAATCGGCTCCTTGGACTACAAGATCGATGTTTTGCACGGCAATTTCAAGCAGCTCACTGCATTATTGGGTGAGAAAGAAAAGAGTTAAGAACAAAACGAAGAATGATAGAAGTGCATACAGGACTTAACACGAGAGTTGCGCTAGTAGGCTTCTGTGCTCAGCGAAGAGCACTTCAATGAGATAGTTTATACCGAAGATACACCGCATTCTCCGACTAAACTGAAAGTAGGAGGTTCTGGGCTCATTCGGCTTCAACAACCTGAATAGGCGTTCGTAATATTCTATTTTTCAATCCTCTCAACTACTGCCTCGCCTACATCCGATATCTTTAGTGAAAGAATAACTTTAGCCTATAGCGTGAACAATTCCCAATGTAGATTTTCTTGAATTCAAGAGAATGAATCTAATTCTCCTATGGTCCAAACTGTCCTTGATAGTGGTGCCCACAAGGGCTCGTCTGGTGCCGACCAAGTCCGAGTCTTCTAAATTGTGCTGGGTCTTCTCAAGAACCCGGAGGGGCTGGTAAGCATATGTGAGCATATTTTGCAACTTGCAGCCACTGTAAAAAATACATTGGGTCTGTGTTATCTATGTGTTTCGTGACTCGGGACTTAAGCAGTAGTGACAAACTCACAACTTGACCTTGCTTACCACGACGAAACCTCCAGACAGAGGTCAAAATACTGCCCAAACGGTAGGGTTGAAGTATCGCTGAAGCTTTCAACAGCTCACTATATCCGGTCCCTTAGACAGCTAGGGTTTGGAGGACGCATTTTGGGAAAGCGGTATCCAGACTATCCAAAATTTCTTGAAGGCAATGGCCTCTGATGCGATGGACGACAGATCTTCCGCTCTCCTAACCTTAGCTATTGTGTTACGCTATAATGACGCTGCAACAATGCCTTATTTTCATCCAGACCGAGAATTAGGGGCCGTTCGTTCTTCTCTTTAAGTCGGATTCTTGCACTGTTCATAAAATTGGCCTCCTTGTCACTGAAACTCCGTGGATGTTGCTGCTGCGGGCAAAATTGACATGTGGCAAGGTCTTCTCTGCTGAGGCTCATGCGTGGAAAGTAACGCCGACATTCTCCGTAAGACCATGGCTGCAGCAGGCCAATCCCAAAATTTCGCGTTGCTGAGTACATCCTGCAGCAGAGCTTGCCGAGATTATTTAATGTTTTATTCCATTTAGTCGTTGATGAAAGGTCGAATTGTCAGTGGATTCTAATTGTGAGTTTTTGGCGCCGTCAGCTTAAGAAACCCCATTAATAGTGTGGAGCTAACAGCTGTCAGGAGGATACTCCCCGAGCGCGAGTGACTCCTATATCTGTGCGCTCTGGCCTCGTGGCTTGCTAGTGGCTCAAAAATGCAGGGCCACGTCTACCCACGTCGCGCCTCAGCCCAGTCGGCAAGCTAAACCGAGCATCAAAGCGGCTGTGCCACACTAGCATCCAATCAGCTTGACCGAGCAGACGCGTCGACGACTAAAGCGGTGAGCTCCATAATTCGATAATATGTACGAGCTGAAAAGGCGAAACCTCTCTCCGAGCTTCTATTTGAGGGTGTGGCATAGCCGCTCAAGGCTCGCTTCTTGCGGGCTGTTTATCTGCAATAAGGGATCCGTGCAGGGCGAAACGCTGTTGACAGCGCACAGCCTCAAGAGTCAAGCTTTGGCCGCGCACGACTGGCGGCGGTTAAGCCTCACAAATGTGGGGACAGCAACACCAAGCGCTAGCACCGCCGATCTCGTGCCGATACTTAAAGGCTGGGCTGTTCGTGCCGCGCTGTCTGGCACACGCGCCACATCAACACCTCACTCAACATGGTGAAATGCACAGCGAGAGACATTGGGGAGATCAGGGAGGTTCCTCTCCCTCACCTCCCTGTCAACTTCCACACTCTTGCACAGTAAGACGTTGCAACCCAGTCCCTCCAGCCACGACCTCTGACGTGCTTGCAGAAATATATCCTTCATTTTTAGCGCCTTCGCAATCATAATCAGCTTTTTCCTGATGTCACGCCATGCCTCTCATTACACGAAACCGGACGAACAGAAGCAGTAAGTCGGCGCTGCGACTACACAATGTTGGGAATTTCGCTGAGAGTGTCGTAGAATCATTCGCATCCTCTTAATGGTGCCTATATATGCGGCGGTATCAATGCTCTCCATCCACTACTACACGAAGCACGTCTACTTCGAAGTCCTGCGCGACTGCTACGAGGCCTTTGCTATTTCCAGCTTCTTCACGCTCCTTTGCAACTACATCACCCCCGATCTGCACGACCAAAAAGCATACTTCCGCAACGTCACGCCGCAAAACTGGGTATGGCCAATTACTTGGTTCCAAAAGTGTACTGGCGGAGAAAAGAAAGGCTGGCTGCGAAAGCCGCAGAGTGGGCTGACCTGGTTCAACGTGAGTTTTCGCAACGCACAGCCACCCCTCTCATCTCGCATTGACCAAAGCGCGCAGATCATCTACATCTCCGTCTTCCAATACTGTTTCATCCGCGTCTTCTTCACCATCGTCTCCGTCGTGACCGAGCACTACGACGTTCTCTGCGAGGACTCGCTGTCCCCCAAATATGCATACCTCTGGGTCCTCATCTTCGATTCGGTCGCAGTCACGCTGGCCATGTACTGCCTGATCCAGTTTTACGCGCAGACCAAGACCGAGCTGGCCTCGCACCGCCCCTTCCTCAAGCTGCTCTCCATCAAGCTCGTCATCTTCTTCTGCTTCTGGCAGAATGAGCTGCTCAGCATCCTCAACTCGACCGGCGTCATTGAGGAATCCAAGTTCCTGGCCTACGGTGACATCGAGGTCGCCCTTCCCAACATGCTGATCTGCATCGAGATGGCGTTTTTCGCAATTATGCACGTTTTTGCCTACCCGTGGAAGGAGTATGGCGTGCGCAAGGAAGACGGGGTTGAGATTGTGCATAAGGTGGGCATGATCAGAGCTCTGGCGCATGCGTTGAATCCTTGGGATGTGGTGAAGGCGTTTGCGCGCGGTTGTCGGTGGCTGTTTGTGGGCTCCAGGCAGAGGCATACGGACCCTTCGTATCAGCGGACGGAGGCCCAGGCATCGGATACGGAAGAGATGCCGATGCGTCCGAAAGAGGAAAGAGAGGCTGTTTAGATTGACGAGGATGGATCACGAAATTTGATAGGAACCTTGACATGTTTTGGAAAATAAGCATATTTGCTTTGTTTCAGACGCAGTTTCCAATCCCTTGACGTTTCACATCAGAATTGAGGGGGCTTCCCATTCCGATCGTCTAGTACTGGAGGGGACCACCCACTTATTTGCCGTCGATCGTGATAACAACCTTGCCAAAGCGCTTACGAGACCAAACATGCGTGTAAGCGCCCTTCAGTTCTTCCAGACGGAACCTCTGACTGTCCAATACAGGCCTTATATCCTCAGCCACAATCGCCCTGCTCATCTCCTCGATCTGCCGGCGAGTCCCGACCTCGACGCCTCTCTCCAGACAAACCCGTAGTAGGGGTTTAAGAAATGTTGAACTATTAGACCCATTCTCCTGCCCCGCTAAAGCCCAAATGACGTCAACCACCCCCGCCTCTGGCAACGGACTCAAACGACTGCCGAACCGTGCCCGGATTGCCCACCTCAACAACATACGCGCACATCAACTACTCACTTACCGTATAGCCCCACATCACTCTTCGCCAAACAGCTATGCAAACACCTACTCTTGTCTGCTAACCAAGATGATAAATCCATTGCTGATCAACCGGACTTCAGTTAAACTTGTATAAAAAGCAATCAAGTAGAGTGGTAGAAAACCATAGTGGCTCGAACAAAATTAATATGTGGAGTAGTTGAAGTAGAGAGGATTGGGGTAAGAATGTAGAGTATCAAAACGACCTTGGCGTTTGTGTTCAAGATCGAAAAATGTATTGTGCCAGATAGCTATAACTACTGCGGGTATATCATATGAGAAATACAGAAATCCCTCCCAAGTCATTCATTGCGAAATCATAAACCACACCCATCATTACATGTCCCACCACTAGTCCATTCGAACTTTCATTTGGATATCTTCCATCCCCCGCATGGCGTCTGACATGTGTGGGGATCGGGTCTCAGTATAATAGGTCGAAAAATAGTTGAAGAACACATCCGTCGGACGCAAGTACCACGTCATTGTCCCGTTCCCGTCTGTTCCTGCCATACCTTCAATATCATCACGGGTTGTGTTGTCAAGCAGACGGATTTCTACATCTGCTCCTTGCCAGCTTGATTGCTCTGGTAGGCCGCCCAACACCGTGATGTTGCCTGTGCCAAAGTGAGTGTTGCCATCCGCATACACATCGACCGCGATGCGACTGATGTCGATTGTAAGACGGCCTCGTGTGTTTTCAGCGTTGGTGAAATCGCCTATGGTATAGTAGTGGAATGGGGCATCTTGGTCATTTTCCCAGTCTGCTAGAAGATCGGAATAGAGGAACGTGTCGTCTCGCCAACTCTTGAATGTGGAGATTCCGCCGAAGCCTGACATGGTGAACTGTCAGTGGAGTAGCTCGAGGCGAGTTCAGTGATCTGAGGCAGGAGAAAGAGGAGAGAAGGAAAATGCACAGGTTGGAGCGTTTGAGTAGGGAGGAGATGACGGACCATTCATTGTTATCGTCTTATCCCACTTGACCTTGTACTCCCTCGGCATTCCATCCAGCTTCACTTTCGGGGCCCCCTTTATGCGAAGCTTGACCTCGTCATCGGTCAATAGTTTTTGTAACAGCCGTATCAAATTTTCGTCATTCTGCTGAGTCTTGGTGGGCTCGATGTCAAACCAGTACTTGGTTTGGGGTCTACTACTAGTAAACCATGTGTTTGTCGTAGTAAGCAGCTTGAGGTCTTGTGCGTCGTCCTCCATGTACAATGATGTTGCGAAATCATGGAGCTGGAATTTCCTGAAATCGCTGCCATTGTTAGGGTAGACCAGCGGACCGTTTCTATACTCTAGATGGATCGTTGAATCGGCGTTGAACTCGATGGAGAGATTCCCTTCGTTGGACTTTAGATCGATGCTGTCAAGGTAGGACTGAGTCTGTATCTTGTAGGTACCGAGAATGCTGTCGTTCGAAAAATTGTTAGTGCGAACCGCTATTGTTAGAAGTGATCTGTAACTTACACTGCACAAGGGACAATGATTACTGCAGCAATGAGGATACAACTAACTGCAAGCCAGATTTTCCAATGTCTCCTTAAAGAGTTTCTGGTTTTTGAAGCCCGTGCACCTGCTCTTTCTGAAGGAGGAAAGCCATTTGGAGTATACGGTAGAGGCTTGGCAGTGTATGGTGGTGGTGATGATTGCGGCGGTGGTGAGGGGAGTGGGACTAGTGGTAGTGGTGGAGAGGTGTCTTTAGCATGGTCTTCTGGATGGAGAATTGCAGCCCGGTCATCTTCCATCCCAGCGCCCGTCGATGGCATGCTGTGTTGAGATGGGATTACGGTTTTCGTGCTGTAATTGGTGTGATGAACCGGCGTTACAGCGGTGGCCTGCCCAGATTATGGAACATCTATTGTGCAGGGGATGCGCAGCTGGATTCTTATGTGTGGCCCGAAAAGTAGTGATACACGGCTGATGGAGCTTGTCAAAAACAGCCATGCGCGATGGAGCGGGCCGCAACGCCATTTAAAAGAAGCCACAGGATTACGGATCTTCGGCAAAGTCTTGGATTCGGCTTGTCTTGGCCGTGAAACACAGCCACTTTAAGGCCAGGCCAAGACTCCGTAACACCATGTACTCGAGCATTCGGTCACACCATGAAACGTGTTTTCTGGAAGGATGCGGCAGCCTGTCGTTGGACTACCATTTGCGTAGCTTGATTGGAGCGGATTCGGGAACTAAGGATCAAGCTTACTTTATAAAAAGGAGCTTGTCCCCACTTCTTAGCCCCCATGCTCCGTTTTACCCGCTCGGCATTCTCAAATTTGACTGCTGTTCGGCTGTGCAACAGAAATGCAAGGATGCCCAATCAAGCTGTGCAAAGCTGGACACCATGAAGTGATGCCCTGTAGGATATAAGCTAAATAACGAATTCAATTCAATCACTGAGCAACCGTAAGCCCCTTTGAGATGCTTGCCATACTTTCCGCAAGCTCTCTCAGAGCGCACCTGCTATTACCTAGGCATTGTAATGAATGAACAGGATACAAGAATCGGTGGTCGGAGTAGCTACTGCTCCGCGGTCGTGGTACCAGTTGGCTTGGGCGTTCCGGGAACCCAGACACAGTAGTAGCAGCCCGTATACAAGTTGCTACAGATGGCGCCTACGTCTCAGTTAAATTATTTGAAGTCGTTCTGGGTGAAGGATTGTAGTCGTCCGCAATCGACCAGCAGTTGTCCCCCTTCACAACCTTAGAGAACTTCTCACCTGTAGGATTGGTGATCAGCAAGGTTGGCTTTTTTTCTTTTCTCGTCGTTCCAACAGCTCACAGCCAAAGGTTATCCCAGACTGCATGAAACACGGGCCCGTTGGTGTGGCATTTGTTAACGCCGATTATCAGGAGGGTGGACTTGGTGCAAGCGGAGTACTTAAAGAAGCTGCGGCGCAAGCAGGCAACCACCACACGTCACGCAACAATCTTTTGTAATGTACAACGAGCGCGGAGCCAATTTTCTCGAGCTAGGCTTCGACTGGTTCGTGCTGGAGAATTGGAGCGTAGAATCGGGCGAGTCTCTCCGCGACCAGCACGTCCGCCTTGGCCTCGCGTATGCACGCCTTGGTCATCACGACCGTCGGGTAGGCTGAATGTCAGACTGCTTTCATAGCGTGCAACTCACTAATGCCGGACTCAGCCGTACATCCAACGAGCAGCCCACTTCACCTTCGCGCCCCATGAAGTTCCTCTCCCGAGGCCTGCAAGCGTTGTGCCTCATGACCTCCTCTCGCCCCAGAAGCGCGAGATTAATCGCCACATCGAGCCGCTCTGGATCCGCACAGACTATCGGCCTGGAACCGATGAGCGGCACGCGCAGCTGCTCGAAGCCACGGGCGACTGCAAAGACGCCGTTCTTGGGCACAACGCCGCCGTCATGGACAACGCAGCGCGGTACAGCTTCCTTAGCGCCGTAAACGAGCTCGCCGGCATCCTGGCCTTCGCGCCGGTGCTGGTCGAATTTCAGGACGCGCTCTACGAGGACGATGAGGTTGAGTGGGACGATCCACAGCTGCAAGGAATGTTCCTGGACGTCCCGGCTTTGACGGACTTGCCGGCAACGCTGAGGGATAAGGAGATTGTGCATCAGCGTGACTTCTACGTTGCTGACGCACGGGCTGGCTGCTCTGGGTGCACCTGGACCAATACGGCAACTTTGTCCAGACAAATCGTGTCCTTCCGGGGATGCTCCAGGGCATTATGGGATTCAGGTCCAACGGGCTGACGCTGGGGGAGATGGGCGTGGGATACCAGGAAGGGCAAGTGGACGTTCGAAAGTTTCAGGGCCAGGTGGGGGACGCGCTGGAGCCTTGGACCCCACCGTCTGCCTGAGGTAGATCAGTGCCGGTTTCTCTTCTTCATCAATCAAACTGACAATACTGAATGTCTCTTTCTGGAGAGAAACCGCTATTTCTATCAGTCAAGGGCATGGATGTAGGAAGAACTCAGATCGGATCACGCGCGCCACAGCCGCACAAGCGAGGCACGGCAAACATGCTTAATTCTGCTGCAGAAACACCCCGCAATTTTTTTTTTCATGCCTCGATGCATGATACTATTCAGAAGTAGACCTTGGGGGCTGATGCAATTGCAGAATTCTTCAAAATCTTAGAAACGGGCAAGAAATGAGTGCTGCGATGCAGTCACTACCACCACCTAGCCCTGCAATACACTTTATAGTTGCAAAAGTTGACTCCCTCTTTCACGTACGACCATAGGTCGCAGAATATAGGGCTTCCCGTCCGCTCAGCCGTACTCAAGCTGCGAACCGGCCGATTAGTACTCAAGTGGGTGACCATTGGGGAATCCCGGCTGTTGTACGTTTTGCGTTTTGTGCCGACGGCCAACTTTTTATTTGCTCGTTGCCGAGGGCTCGTGCGCAACAACAGCTGCCGAACGAATCAACGCCAAGAAATCTCAATTGTGGAAGCAAACGATGGGGAATAAGCTGTGTTTCACAACCGCATTCGCATGTCAGGATCAATTGATCGAAGCTAGGTTATTTTGCACCGGAGGGAACAAGTAAGATACGCCCGAGCTTGCAAATAAGCAAGAGTTGTTCCATCAATACCACCTCACTTTGACGAGACGGAATTATGAGAATGAAGACCAACGTTATTTTACTGTAAACCACAGGGCGTAAACACGGGAGGTTACGGGGTCAATCGTGTGCTTTAACTCTTTTGTAAGATATAGCAGCATTTCGTAATGGTTCCATGAAGGAAATGCCATTGTTAATAGGACGAGAAAGGGCAATAGAAAAGAGAAAAGGCGTAGAGAAAGACCTGAAGTGCAATATTCCACAACAAGAGTAAATGGGTGGGTCAGGAATGATGACAATGTGAATCGATTCTGGCTATCGTATTGGCCGCTCCTCAAGTCCTTCAACTCTTACAGTAAGTGCCATAGAGCTTGGTGCTTGATGTGTACCTGCTGCCGCTTTCTGAGTCATCCTCGTACGTTGGGGCGTTGGGGTCGTAGGTGCAGCAGTCGGCTCCACATCCTCCGCAATACACCGTGGCATCACTGTAGCATACTCCAATTCCTCCTCCGCGCTGGGCGGCTATTAGCAATTTCCTCAGAAACAGGGAACCGCCTCCCCTACCTGCTTCTCGCATGTATGGTGATTCTTCACGCAGCAATAGCGGTCTCCATTTGTACCTGGATAGCACTGTGAAATGAATTGTTGGAAGTCAGTGATTGAAATGAGGTGACGCTTATTCGCACAGAGTGGTTCGTGTACTGACGTCGAAAGTTTTGCTCGCGTATGCAGACGCAAAGAGCGTAGCAAGAGCTAAAGTAACAACGCGCATGTTGATGTGTTTGATGCAAATGACGACTGATAGCTGTGGATAGTTGGGTGGCGGTTCACCTCCCAGCGGGAGTTTTATCGCTTTATATCTGCTTTTGATCCTGACATCTGTTTAATATTTCCAGACGAGTCATTAGTGCTCAGGAATACGATACTGAGGTGAGATATCTCCACCTGAGGCGGCAAACGGACTACCGGGGCGACGTCAATGTTCGATTATGAAGAGTCCGTGCATCCGAGGCCTTCCAATAAGCTTACTCGCGAGATGCTTGGATGAGCTTGATTGCAATTAAGAGTGGACACCCCATAATTCTTATTCACCAGCAGTACCAGGGCCTCTTAGCTATGACGAAGCTCAATGACGTCCGAGGAAGTCTTGAGTCAGATGCGAAACACGAAGCATGCGATCGTGAAAACGCAATGACGGTGTAGTGAACCTCTACTCTCCCAAAGCTGATAGCGTGCACTTAGTGGGGCGAGACCAAGCCCCAATGTTCATGAGTAATGAGATATGTAACCTTATCTAGCCAAGCAGCTTGGAAGTCTTGAGACAAGATTCGTGACTGCGAGGTGGCGTTGAGCAAGCGTCTAGCTTGCACGAGTCAGTACATGTGAAAAGGCTACTTCGGACACTCGCACTATGTACATGATCATGCCCAGCTTCAGCATAAGAATAAAGGGATGAAACATGAACAAGAGCGAGAAAAGGAGACATATATGCAACGGTTGATATTATATTTTCTACAACCTGGGATTAACTGAGGTATTTTTCGTGTGTGCAGAGCCTCGTCGGGATCTTCCATAGGGCCCCTGAGTGATCTACGAGTCAAGCTTACGACGGCGCGCCAGTACTTACCCGATAAAATCTACGGTGACCTTTGTGGTGAGTTGCTAGTCATCATCACGAGATCAGAGTGCATTTTCCAGTCTCTCAGTGGGTGCATTCAACAAGGAAAATTAAAAATCCACCAGTAGAAACGTTATCTTATGTAGGAGTCATGTCAGGATTATACGCAAAGCCAGCCTTCCCGAGATGTACTATACATTCCGAACTGCTAAGGCGTGAGCCACAGCATCAGTGCTTCCACCAAAATCCCTCGGGATCTTCGGGCTCCTCGTAAGTTTCCGTAGTGTCTACGCCCATAGTAATGTATCCTACCAGACCGTTCTCTGCATTCTCTCCATCCGCCGGTATGATGCTGACAATGGGATTGTATCCACCGACCTGTCCTTCAGCTATGTGGCCATCCACGTCGTTTGTCACTCGCTCAATTTCAGTGTGCGAACTGTACGGCTCGAGAGCCATCAGCTGCTTCGTCACATCTTCGGGAAAGTATAACTGGCCCGTGTTGATATTGTGGCCAGATGAGAGAGTACCATTCTCATGTAGAGTCCAGTTGGTGAAGATCTGAGTGTGGATGTGGACGGCACGGCCTTCGTAGAATCCCGGGAATATGGTCTTCATTTCCATTATGCCCTCGCCATTCGTCGGCCACATGCCGCGTAGCCACTTGGTATCGTCGGTGTGGAGGTCGGTTTCACCAATGGTGAAGTTTCGAATATTTTGCTGATGGAGGAAGTCTTTGAAGTTTATGTTTGGATCTACCCCGGTGAAGCTCGAGTAGCTACCTACATGTCTGATTAGCCTTCAATCATGGTTTGAGAAGGTCGAATTTAAGTGAGGTAGCAGTTACCGGTAGAGTTGCAATGCCAGAAGCTCACGAGGGCGTTACTCAAGGGTTCGCAGGTAGCCATGTCGATGACGCCAACATCCAGCCAGAGAGGAACACCAGGCTGGTCCTCAGACATATCCTGTCTCAAGATTTGAGCACGATGCCACAGGTAGGGGCCCTGGGTGATATCGGGCGCCAGCACGCAGGTGTCATTCTGTATCACCTCGTAATAAGGTGCTTCGGTGGTAATCTGATATGTCGTGTTGTCAGAGCGCCGTTCAAATTCCAACGAGCGCTTCGCCTTCATTCTCTTCGCATAGCGTTTCTCGTTGAACTGAGCTACATGGTTAGCACAGCGCTTAGATAAACCAGCGCGGCGCTGCATCTCCGCTCGAGGAACATTGTGGCCACCTGGGTGAGATTCGACAGCGGTGAAAAGGAGGCCAGTAGCCAGAAGAGCTCCAGTGAACTTCATTCTCGAGTTGGTAATGGAGTGGAAAAGAGAATAGTTGCTGTCTGGTCGGGGCATGCGAATTTTCATATAAGTAGCCAGTCACCTTCCAAATCCGACTATATAGGAGACACTTATCTTGACATACATATTGCCTTGTTGTTCCTGATTTATCCGCATATACACTTACTGCCGAAACGTACGGTCTTTCTGCGGCGCATTGTCCAGTGGGGCAGCAGTCTGAAATCGCGGGATCTCTTTCCACCGCTGTTAATGCCAAGAGCTTGGCTGTACACAGTAAATTGCTTTGGGCAGAGTTGTCTATAGATCCATAATGAAGCATTTCGTTCAGCAGATAGAAGATCGTCAACCATCACCCTGCCCATTTCTATGAACAGCGGAATACATGAGCACTGAATACGCGAAAAGGGATTCATGATATGCGAAGCCTGTATACTGATCAATATCGACTTGATTAGTAAGGTAGCCCTCCTATTGGTCGATGAGAGGGCAAATCCGTAGATCGAGAGCTGTGATCAGAGTCAGAATCACTGTTGCGAACCTATTATGTCACATCCCGAACAGAATCCACCTGCAATCCAGCTGCCGCTTAAGGAAGGCCTTGTCAGGCTGTAACCCCTGAACGAATGCGGAAGCATCGGAGAACCGGAGGCTATCTGGTTATGCCATGTCAGTGTGCGATTAACACTGGCCTCGGCATGCTGTTCAATCGCCAGGTCAAAGAGAGGAAGGAAATCCGGGCCGGCTTCCATAATCCTCAAAAATTGGTTGCCAAAGCCATGGGCGAATTTTCCAGTTGATGACGGCCAAAAAATGGCGCCAACGAGGTAGGGTGTTGGATACGGTCGGAGGACGCGGAGAGGACCATGGGAGTATCGAGGACCCTGTGGTGGGGTTGCCTGAAGCCTGCAGTTTATTGCACCGTAGATGCAAAAACTATACCGGCGAAGGGGTATTTGGTATTCCTTATGCAGTGGAAAAACAGCAGTGTTGTCGCAGCCACCAGTTCCTGCTAACTTGTCTGTGAATTAGAGAAGAAATACCCAGATAGGGTTGGATGTTCCTCTCTGAGTTTCTAATGCGTTGTACTTTAGCTTCGTCAACCCAAATATGTGTTCAACCATGGTAGATGCCTCGTGGCTGAGCATCCACACCGCCGAAGGCGATCCGTGCCCATGTTTCCAAGCCAAGATCCCCACCATTATTAGCGGGCCCTAGGCAATCCACGCTTATTCACGGTCGTCAACGGATATGCAAGGAACCATTCGATGAAGTCATGTTTTGACCCCAGAACCATCCTATTTGGCCTCTCTTGCAGCGCATTAGGCCGCGCTTCCGTAATATTTAGGGGTAAGACTTACATGGGCCAAGCCGCCTCTTCGCTGATGAGCGGAAATTTCCCGCGATCTGGTGATGAAGATGAACATCGATTCTGAAGTTGATTTACAAGCAGATCTCTCTGTAGGCTGTAGTGCTGCACAACATGCTGCCCGGCGGTTTCCGATTTCAAATTCCATATTAAAACAACCTTCTGCTCGTATATGACCATGGCCCAGGGCAAATATCATGGCATCCCCTATCAAAAACGTCGTTCTTCTTGGAGTAGGTAGCGGTACCCTATTTTCTTTTTGCCGACTCTTACGCTTATCCTACGTCAGGCAAGTGGGATCCCAGGTCCCGCAGTTCTCCATGAGTTACTCAACTCCTCACTCAATGTAACTGTAATTAGCAGGGTTGGATCGAAATCCACATTCCCGTAAGTCCAAGTGCTGTATGACTTGTAGCTCGAGCCAAGCTGACTTTGGTATTTTTGTCTATTAGTCCAGAGGTCAACGTTATCAGGGTCGACTTCAGTTTCGACTCACTGAAAGCCGCATTCACCGGGAAAGATGCCGTGATCTCGCTTCTCGGCCACCACGCTTTCGATGCGCAAAAAACAGTCATCGAGGCAGCAATCGCGGCTGGAGTGAAACGTTTTATTCCCTCTGAGTTTGGCGTCGATACGTCCAACCCGGAAGTTGTCTCGCAAGTGCCATTCGTGGTTGGGAAGAAGCAAGTTGTCGACTATTTGCGAAGCAGAGAAGATGCGATCTCGTGGACAGCGGTGCTTACAGGTATTTTCTTCGACTGGGGTCTGTGGCAGGGGTGGCTTGGCTTTGACCTTGGCAAGAAGAAAGTCAAGCTTTGGGACGGCGGCGAAACCCCTTTCGCCACGACCGAGATCGACGTCATTGGTAAAACGCTTGTTGCGTTACTCAGCCGTGGCGATGCGTATCAGCAGTCTGCCAATACCTATGTGCATGTTGCCGGCCACGTCACAACCCAGCTGGAAATTTGGAAGACATTGGAGAAGGTCACCGGGGAAAAGTTCGAGGTATATACGGAGGTTGACGCTACATCACACGGTAAAAGAGTCAAGCAGGAGATCGCCGACGGTGAATGGGCGAATGCCCTTGATCTTCTCAAGGTGGTGACCTTTGACAAGAATCAGAAACTTGGGATCTTCCCCAAGTACTGGAATGACTTGCTTGGGTTGCCCAAGCCAGATATGGAGCAGACCATTCGTGAAGTTATCGAAGGGAAAAGGAAGTTTATAGTCAGTGAAAGCTATTGAAATGGCGACAGCCAAGGTTCATGAAAATTAATTTCATACCAAGGTAATCCGGCAGGATTAAGAAGAAAATGTGAGTATTAATTAAGAGGCTAACATAAGTGTAGACCTAACCCATCACCCTATATACCGGATACTCATAGCCTTCATCTACTGGAAGAATATTGAATGTGGCGTATGAATCAATACCCTCGGGTTCCAGCGTGACGAAGGCGTGAGCAATGTTCTTCTGCTTCGTGTCGATCCAGAAGGCCCCAGGTGGAAAGCTCACCTCTTTCCGTATCGGCTCCGTGGTTACAGTCGTCCTCGCTATGCCCTCATACTTGGATGTTGCCAGCACCGCACTGGTGACATTCAGCGCCTCGACCTCTCCCTTGAACGAGCTCCGCAGCTCCTGCACCTCGACTCCGGCGACACGTAGCCTCTCCGCAACATCCGCCCACGCGCGCGAAAAGACATAGGCTTCCGGTCTCGCCCGCGTGATGTTCGCTTCCAAGGGTGTCGTGTTCATGAACGTCACCGGGACATCGACGACCGCTCCTGTCTCCACGTCAACAAACTGCCAATCAACCGTCGTCTCCTTCGCAGCATCCGTAACCACGATATCTCCACCCCCATAAATAAACTCTTCCCTCGCACTCTCCACCGTCTCCAACACCTCATCCGCCCTCTCCGCCACCGTCCTCAGCACCGTCTCCAACATGGTCAGCCCCGTCGCCACACGCCTCTGCCAATGCTGATCCGCAATGCCGATCCCCCTCGTCTCAAACAAAAACATAACCGCCTGCGTCAGCGCGACGCTCGTATCCCCAATCTTCGCATCCGCCGTCGTCTCCTCCAGCACCAGCTCGTCCGTCTCCCTGTCGCCCACCGTGACGTACGGCGCCCAGCGCAGGCCCCTCCCTTCCATCGCCGCCGCGATGGCCGGCGCGAAGACGCCCTCGGCCAGCTGCCTGATCGGCGCCGCGATGTTGAGGTTCTTCATGGCCGAGAACTGGCCGTCCTGCGCCAGCCGCCACTGGCCGCGCGCGCCGTAGCCCCGCGTCGCCGTGTACTCGTGGCAGTCGACGCCCACGTGCGGCGCGAACGACACCATCAGCTGCTTGATGTCGCGCGTCTGCTGCCGCGCCAGCTTGGTGTGGTCGCGGTTCGGGTCGAAGCCCATGGCCAGGTAGCGCTGGAAGTACGCCACGCCGTCCGGGTTGTAGCGCGGGAGGACGAGGATGTCGGCGTGGGCGAGGACGGAGGAGGCGAAGGTGGCGTTGTTGGAGAGGGAGCCGAGGAGGGCGAGCAGCGATTGGTCGCCGGCCGGCTCATTGCCGTGCACACCGCCTTGCAGCCAGATGCGGACTTTGTTGCTCGTCGTGTTGGTGCTGGGGGTCTGGCTGGACGAGAGGTAGACGTAGGGGATTGAGCGGCCTTCTTCGGAGTGGAGAGCGGTGTTGTGGTAGCTGACCCAGTCGTGCTTTGCGGCGAGGGAGTGGAGGAAGGAGTCTGTCGGTTGTCAGGAACTTGGCATGTTCTAGTGCAAAGAGGAAGCTGGCTATGCGGGCAAGCTTGTGAGTGACTTACCAAGTGTTCCCTCGCTCGTGGGTCCGCTAGTGCCATTGGCGAAGCCGCTCGGCACCGTTTCTGGGTTCGCGAACGAGGGCGAGTAGAGCTCAACGCCGGCCACTTCCGGGAAATTCACTGCCACATGGTCCTCATCCCGGACCACAGGAACCTGGTTGTCGGCATAGATGGACTGCGTGGCCGCCAAGCTGGCGTATAACGCAACACAGCTGAGACTTTTCTGGGCCCTCATTGCGATCAATGGCGCCTTGAATCTTTCCGCTAATTGGTGTGGAGGAGACTGGTCGGGACCTTCGTGAGGAGGAGGCGGTGAATTTAAGTGAACCTTATCCGCCGCACCTCCCCCGCTCTTGACATACACAAATTGACATCATTTTCCCGGTATCGCGGGACGAGCTTCTTTAAATCGCCTCGCCAAGCATTGGCAGTCTTGGTTAATCCCGGCCGTATCTGCGCGAACCGAGCTGCCTCAAAGAAGAATGGATGTTGTCAATATGAACAAGGATGGACGTTATGAGGAGTTGGGGCTACATCCTGCAAAGAGTGGACGTCAACAAATCTTGGATAGTCGTCAAGAAGAATGCCTACATTGCTAAGGCCGTCGGACAATCATAAATCGGACTTTCTCGAAAAGTCACGACTTTAAGATAATAGAAGGATAGATAATAGAAGTATGAGTTCCAGATGAGAGTAACTACAAGTAGAAAACAGGCGGTGTGATGAAAGGTGAGAGGATGAATCTCTTGGCGATTCCAGTCGTAAACCTTTCGGGTCTCCCTTGACTGGTAAACTGATGAAACATTACTTTTGCGGTCTATGCAGTTCTAGTATATTGAGAATTTGTCACAGAGCCTTTTATTTTATCCAAAAGCACTCGAAAAATGTACCGGTATGCCTTTCGAGGATGGTGAAGGAGGGAGGAACGCGGTAGCCAATTAGAATTCCCGCACGCCGCAGCAACCCGGCGAGCCCTTTCCGCGCATCAACTCGCTGCGCCGGCGCCAGGCTGATATCAGCAGCAGAAGAAATAGGTTCTGTACCATCAAGACGTCAAATACAATGGAAATGGCGACAGCAAAGCGCCTTGCTCAAACTAGAAGAAAGGTAAGCAATCTCTGCAAATCAACTTTTTCGTTCAAAACTATCATCACACTCATTCTTACTTAGCGACATAGCTGTTCCACACACTATATGGTCTGATACAGCTGCCGGTCCTACGCAGGAGCAACAAATGAACTTTAGGCTTACAATACCACAGTTTCACAAACATGGAGAGCCGCTACCCGGTCAGCCTGCGCTGCTCGGGGACGCGTTGTGCGGGTGAGCAGCATCAGCGAGTGACGACCAAAAGACATGTATATAAATCCATCCAGTAAGTCAATCTGCTACTACGAACCCGGTCACTGGCAAGATTAGCGCACCATAGTGAAATTCCTGAACAGAGCGGTGCCGGTCGTGGCGGATGTTCAGACTGGGTTCCAGCCATATCGTAGCAACATCTTCAAAGGGGTTCAAGTTCGATTCCCCTCTCTTTTTTGCTTTTTTTTTTCACTTCACCTTTGTTCCTACCGTCGTTTCTAGTCTGGCCGTGGGGATCATGTAGTATGAGATGCTTGTAGAGCTACTATGAAGCGAACACTGTGTGCCTGCCGAGTATGTAGGAAGTCAAAGATGGTTGCGACTGGTGCGATGGTACTATATAGTATGGAGATGGAGGAGCTATGACTTTAGAGGGCATGGAAAACGAGATTATGGAGGAGGTTAAGCATCAGGATGGATGTGGGGCTGTTGCTGTGTGTGTACACAGCGGGAAAAATAGAACCGTTGTGTGGCTCCCGTAGGATAAAGCGGGCTGTTGTGAGAGGAACTGGAAGTGATTATGTTTACGGTTTTGAGATCGCAATGTAAGATCATGGACGCTACACTTCGTTGCATAGATTGCACCCGAGCATATGAATGATAGAAGCGATCTTGACCGAACAACGACTACTCGTCACTTACATTCCTGCAGGTTCTACGTAAGCATTGACAATTGTCTCTCTCAATATGGGCCTATATCCTTGGCACGATAATTTTCATGACACAATTAGACATCGGGGATGATACCTGTCGATGTCACATAATTGGTGACACCTGTTCTGCAGCTAATGCTTCGCACTAGCGAATTAGATGCTTTTTTTGTGATCAGCCGAGTGGAGAGGCGCATTTTTTCCGGTCAGAGGGCCCAAAAAGGCTGGCGCTTAGCTGTGCTTAGTCTTGGACCTAATGCGGATGGAAGTATAAGCACTTGGATGGAGATCGCAGACCATTAAATGCGGGGCTACAGCCCTAATGGTGTATTGCCCATCTACCTCTTTCTCCGAGCTGACGTCATTTCGGTGCTTGTTTCCGCTTCATTCCCACCCTTTTCTGCAGAGTGCTACGCTAACGTTTCCAAATATCCCTCGGGTGCACAGGTAGGTCCCGGGAGGCTGACAGACATAAGAACCTATAAGACTCGACAAGCACTCGAAGTCTGACCAAAGAAGCCGTGGCCGTAAGCACTAAGGCAGGGGAATGCTTGCTCGTACCGGCATTGGGTCGATCTTTACTGTATGTGTAAGGTCAGCCTTACAGAACACGTAGGGTGACATTGAATTACCGTACTAGTAAACACCAATGGCCTCCACTCACCGGTCCGGATTCACAATAGTTTGATATATGCAAATGCAACACGTACCGTCAGCTGAGACATTTTCCTGTCAGATTTTGGGTAGGCATGATCATCTGGGAAGTAGCTTCTGACTCAAGTGTAGCTGCAAAAAGCGGGGTCAGAGAGTTTAAGCATCGATCTCTTGGTATTTGAGATTATGAGGCGTGAAAGGACGTATGTGCTTTTGATTGTCTCTACTCCAGCCCAAGGCATCCTATTTCTTGTTGCTCTTCCGTCGAATTTCCTGACCTGATATTTACTACCCATCAATTTTCATCCCAAGGTTCCATTGACTCTACCGATTTCTGTCAATCTTCATTCGAGGCACTGCCATGCATCGTGATAGCGCAGTATCCGTCCCTTCAGCCTCCTATGGACGTCGCCTTATTGCGACTACCATTGACGAAACTGCTCAAGCCTTCCCCAACCGCACCTATGCTTCCATTCCCAATTCCGCCACGGATATCTCTCAAGGGTACCGCGACCTTACTTGGGCTGAATTCGCCAGTGCTATTGATCGCACAGCATACTGGCTAGACGAACACCTCCCCCAACCACCATCCTCTTCCGCTTCCTCCAGCGATGGGTCCCCTCGTTCAAGCACGCCTACGAACAGCGACGAAGATGAGTCGACAGCGGGAAAGAATTGTCCTCAGACGTTCACATACTTCGGTCCTCGTGACCTGCGCTACATTCTCTTCCTCTCCGCAGCCCTGAAGACAGGCCGTCGCATGCTGAACACCAGCCCGATGGGCTCTCTCGAAGCCCAAGTGTATCTCGCCAATGCGTCTGGATGCCGTATCTTCCTCTACGCGGAGAGCCTCGGCGGCATTGTGCCGGAGTATGTGAGAGACATTCCGCAGCAGGTCAAAGGCGCCATCACCATGGCGGCCCCTTCATTCGAGGACATGTTCTTCGGTAAAGGCGACGGTGTGCAGCAGCACTATCCGTATGAGAAGACGTGGGATGAGGCGCGGCGCGATGAGGTCGCCATCTTCCACACTTCTGGCAGCTCTGGATTCCCAAAACTAGTGCCTTACACGAACGAAATGCTGGCCCGCGTCGATACCTGGAACCTTCTGGACGAAGTTGACGGCATGGCTCCATGCAGAGAGTACTACGTCAACAAGAGGCTCTGGATTGGTCTACCACTCTTCCATGTAGGCCCCCCTTAAACCCCTTCAAGTCCCATCAACCCAGAATGGTCACTGACACCACACAGCTCGGCGGCGCCCTCATCTCCCTCCCCTGCGCCGTCTTCCTCTCCACCATCCCTGTCCTCTCCGGCCCCACGACGATCCCCACCCCAGCCGCCTTCACCCAAGTCCACACCCACAACACCTCCCCGCCACTCGACGGCATCTTCGTCCCACCCGCGCTGCTCGAAGACCTGGTCCGCGACTGGCCCCAGCACCACGCGGCGCTCTCCTCCTTCAGCATCATCCTCTTCGGCGGCGCGCCCCTCTCGCACGCTGCCGGCGCCGCCCTCGCGCCCCTCGGCTCGCTGCGCACCCTCATCGGCAGCACCGAGGGCTGCTACTGGCCGACGCTGCGGCCTCCGAACGATGACCTCGTTGACAATGATGAACATGGTGGTAGTGCTACATGGGACCACATCGCGCCGCACCCGGCCATGGGCGCGGCCTTCGAGCACCACGCCGACGACCTGTACGAGCTGGTCGTGCCGCGCTCGGCGGACCGCAGCGTGGCGTTCACGAACTTCTTCGCGGCGTGCGAGACGATGGGGCTCGGGGATGATGTTGAAGTCATCCGGACGAAGGACTTGTTCAGCCCGCATCCGGATCCGGAGGTCATGAAGAAGGGCGCGGGGCTGTGGAAGTACAGGGGCCGGACGGACGACTTAGTGGTGCTGTCGGGCGAGGTGAAGATGTATGCGGGGAAGTTGGAGGAGAGGATCAGGTGCCATCCGCGCGTGAAGCATGCGCTGGTCGGTGGGTATCAGCGGCAGGTGCCGTTTTTGCTGTTGGAGATCGCGCAGGGGGTGGAGGTCGAGACGGAGGAGCAGAGGGAGGGTGTGTTGGATGAGGTGTGGCCGGTTGTGGAGGAGGCGAATAAACACGTTGGTCCGAGGGGGAAGCTGAGGAGGGAGTTGACGTTGTTGGCTGTCAAGGAGAAGCCGTTCGTGAGGCTGGGGAAAGGGAGTGTGGAGCGGAGGGGTACGTTTGCGAGGTATGAGAAGGAAGTGGATGAGCTATATGAAGGATTTCAGTTGGGACTAGATGCCTTGGTGTTGTAGACTGATGGTTTTCTGTCGGTGTTAGTAACCGAAGGTGAATTTCTGTTCGTTTTCGAGGACGCTTTTCCTAAGCTATGTGTTTTTGATCTAGAAAGCTTTGACGAGCAGAAAAGTGGAATTGAGTTCCCATGCAATGACTGCCTCTAGTGTGATTGGGAGTAATTCACGCATAATGACTACCCGGAGAGAAGTCATGCTCACGAGCTCGGGCCGCAAATTTGCATCCTTAGCGGCGACAGGGCGGCTATCTGTGTCTGCCACCATCCACAACCCCGCTCTGGCAGTTTGATCTCAAATACTCAGCTCCTTTCATCGCTCCAACAGGTCTCCATCATCTCCGCATTATGGATTCTCTCTGCACGGCTTGCTCAAATATCTTCGTCGGCGGTGAAGTACGAAAAAGGGACTCAAGTGGAGCGGGCTTCCTTCATCATGAATCATTCGCCGCGTTTCAAGACACCTTGCGTGCTGGCTGTTTCTTCTGCGAGATGATGGAAAAGGCATATGTCAACGAACACGGCCAGTTCCCCGCCTCAGTACGCTGCGGTACCGAAGCTTTCAAAATTACGTACATCTTTGAAACCGATATCGAATGGCTTGGGCATTTTAGCGATGATGAAAACGAGGATGAGGAGGACCAGGAGGAAATGATCAATGACGCGAAAGAGCTTAAGCATGCCGCACAATCACTATTGGATGCTAACGAGGGCGTTGTTGATGGCGATGATGCTAAAAGCGGTATGGAGGAGACAGGGGAAGCAGTCGACACATTCGAAATGCTCGTCGTGCACTTTTGGCGTGGCGAGCATGACCGTACAGTAAAGGATTTCTGGTTACTTCCAACACAACGTCAGTATGGTTGCAGTACTTCCATTGCGCCTTGGCTAATATCTTCGACAGGCCATGGAGCACACGCATCTGAAAAAGACCCTAAAATTCAAGTTCTCTATACGCATCCGATCGAGGAAAATACCGGTTCCGAGCCATGTCGTCAACTTGTCCGGAACTGGATAGACTACTGTGTCAAAAATGATACGTGCCCATTACCACCGATGAACTCAATTCCCCTGCCGACTCGGATCATCGATGTTGGCAACGCCGGGGATAAGCATGTGCGCTTGCATGTCACGAAAGACTCAGACATCCAGTATGGCCGATACATGACTTTAAGCCATCGTTGGGGAGATGCAAATCTTCCCAAATGCACAAAGAGGAATATAGATAGTCTTCAGCAAGGCCTTGAGTTATCTGGGCTACCAAAGACATTTCGAGATGCCGTTCAAGTCACGCGGGATCTCCAAGTGCGGTTTCTCTGGATCGATTCCCTGTGCATTCTACAAGACTCCACGGAGGATTGGGCACAAGAAGCTGGAATGATGGGGAATATTTACCAGAACTGCTTTATCAATATTGCTGCCACTGCTGCACAGAACAGTGACAGTGGCTTGTTCTTCGATAGGCGCAAGAGGGACGTTGACCGCCTGGAGGTGGAAATCGACTGGCTGTCAGAAGACGTTGCTACGGGCCCCGGCAATAACGATGCACCTCGTCCCAAGTATGTCTCTTGCTACTGCTGGGACCCGGATTTGTGGAGTTTCGAGGTTGAGCTCGCCGTTGTCAACACACGTGGCTGGGTAGCACAAGAACGACTCTTCGCCCCACGGATCTTACACTTCGGCAAAAACCAGCTGCTATGGGAATGCAGCGCACGCGCTGCTTGCGAGATGAGTCCAGGTGGTGACCCAGATCTCTCCGTCGGTTCGCAATTACGGCCGTGGAAACATCTCGCAGATTGCTTCCGAGATGCCGGCACGATGCCTATTCGTGCATTGACAAACATACAGCGCTTTAATAAATGGCAAGCTTGGTGGGACTTTGTCGAGGCATACACTACGCGCGAATTTACGTATACTTCCGACAAGCTCATCGCAATTGCTGCGGTTGCAAACGCGATGATCAGGCAACATGAGGGAATACCTGAGGACTATGCCGCTGGGTTGTGGCAATGGTGGCTGGAACTGGATCTGTGCTGGCATGTCTCTCACAATCGGCAGCCTCCGCTGTCCTTCAAGAAGACTGTGCGCCCAGATGATAGAGAAGCGTGGCGCGCTCCTTCTTGGAGCTGGGCGAGCGTGGACGGGCCAGTCATCAGAGCATACGTCGATCGCAAAGATGAAGTCATGCCGCTGATACGTCTCCTTGATACGAGCATTATTGCTCGTCACAGTGGTAACAGAACTGGTCAGCTCAAGCACGCGGCTTTGAAAGCCGAATGTCGTGTGTTTCACGCATTTTGGTCACTCCCGCCTCTCACAGACGTTTCTCGTGACGGAGCACAGCTACTAGGAGCTCCTGAAAATAGTCCACTTACCGGGAGCCTCAGTTTCGACGACTACAACCAGGCGAGAGCCATGGCTGGGTCCAGCAGTGTGAAACTACAGTGTATTCCAATCATGCGCACCACCCGCCTAAATGATCCGCTAGGACAATACTTCATACATGGACTCCTGGTACATTCTGTGGCAGAAGGTTGTTATCTTCGTATGGGGCACTTCATGGTCAATGGAAGCCTCGATGACGTCGATAGTCTCTTGGGAAAGGGGAGCGTTGAGAACTCAGCTCCAGCGCTGGTTACATTAGTATAATCACGGCGTTTAAAAAGACAACCACAGACACAAACTCTTGGGAAGATTCTGTGAGCACGACGACAGTAGATGGTTCTTGAACATTACGGCTTCTCTTATGGCTACTAAGTACATTGCCCATTACTCTCTATCCTTCATCGCTTCCTGTGAGGTTCGTCCTCAAGTTCATTGACGATGGTAGATGATTGAGGTCATGCTTTGAAAGGCATTTACAAAACGGTACCAATGTCGGTGACGCAAGTAGTATCCTCCAAACCGTCGTGCTGAGGACCATCGGTAGAGCACTCAGGAATGAGCTGGATCTCGGTGCAGGTCCTCCAGTCCTGGTTGTAGATCGGGTCGGTACCGTATTTCTCCAAATCGGTCCAGTAGACAACGACCCATTCGCGGTAGGCCTCCTTGCAAGCAACAAAAGTCGCTTCGAAGCCGGGCTTCTCCAGGATCGGAACATCACCATCGGCAACGATGTTCATCGGGGTCTCAGAGAGGATGGAGCGCGTAGCGATCGTCTCGGTGCTGACGAGTTCGTATCCCTCGCCTACGTCAAAACCAAACGGCGTCACCTCGCCCTCGTTGTTGGGCGCATCGGTGCGGATGTAGGTCGTGCCGTCGACGGGCTGGGTGTAGAAGATGTCCCCACCGCGGCCCGGGCTAAAGGTTTCGTTGTAGAGCACGCCCCACATGTCGTCCGGAGGGAGGCGCGTCGTGATGCCGAGGCGACGGATCTCAATGGCCCACCCGTCGACGTCGGGAGTGGTGTCGGTCTTGGGGCCGGTGACCTTGGCCCTCAGACGGTAGTACGGCGAGGATTCGGTAGCGAAGGTGGTTGGGAGCGCGGCGAAAAGACCCAGGCTCAGAGTAACGAAAGTGGAAAGACCCATGTTGATTGAATGTGAGTGAAAGTGTTGGAAGATGCTGTTCTGATGGACGGTCTGTTGTGTAGCCAGCGCCGGCTTTTAAGGAAGAGTCCAAGTAGTAGCAAGTGCAGTTTTGAGGAATACTGCCAAGAAGTCACAACTGTGGAACTATACGAGGTGCTTGACCTGCAGCCTGACAGGGGCGGGATTTCATAGAACAACGGTGAGACAGCTCCATTGAATGCTAAGCTCGTTCACTGAAGGAATTATTAAAGAGCTCAAGCATGGCCGCCTTGAGGCAATAAATTTTGTGTCACCAAGAACGCCTCGTACCATAGTCGTCTATGCGAAAGTAGCGTGAGTTTCTGAATGAACTGAGTGTCAATAGTTGTAGAACCCAAAAGCGAGACAGGGACGCCGATTTTGGCCCGGGGAAGTACGGGATCCTGCAGGATACGCGTATTGCTAAATTTAGCCGGCTTGTTCTTGAACACCAGCTTTAAGCAAAATCTGACGTCAGCGTCTCTCCAATTCGGGCCTGCTTTCACCTTTTTGTTGACCTTATCGGATTCATCACATCTTGGAGGAACTATATAAGAAGCCCCGACTGGCTGTAAATACGCCGCTGGAAACAAGGTGCGAACGTGACTGACAGGGACAGTGCAATGGAAGAGATCTGATGCTGGACAACTACGGTGCACTATGAGAGGGCTCTGGAAACGGCCCGAAGCAGGATGCAATCACCGTCAGATCCAAAATATCAAGAGCTTAGGTCGTCTTGTATATCATCTTTCGTCATATACAGATGGCATGTTGTATTCAATTCCCGTGTGTCAAGAGGAAGTGTCAGGATGCGGTGCAGATGTTGTGAGTTGTGGAGATGAGTTAAGGACATTCATCTCGTGGCTTATTCAGTGGAATGTGGCGCTGCCGATATTCACCAATCAAGAGCAATTGCTGTACTCAGATTCTATAGCTTGTCAGCTGATGGCGGCCTAGGCAATTTGCACTGCCAGCGCTAGGACCTCACCTTCTGCTAAGCCACTACCCAGCGCTTTGACAGTAAGCAGAAACCTCCACACGTCATCAGAGCTGAAAGGTCAAGTGGATAATGCGCTGTAAATTCTTCCACGAGGACGGCCCGAATATTTCCTCTTTTTTTAATGTTTCAAAATACAACCGAAAAACCACGATGGCTTTGACTGCCCATGACAGAATGGATTTTGGCTTGTGGTTGTGTTCTTTCGCTTCATTGGAGAGTTTGTAATATTAACAACGCTAGCTTTCATATTGAATTGTTAATATCATTGAGACCGCTCCACAGTATGTGTATGCTATGCAGTGTCTTTAACTGGGGATAAAAGCCAGGTGACTTGATGAACTCCTCACAGTGACTTTGTCTAATTGCCGATGTAGAAGAGAGATAGAAGTTAATAGATTTTGCATTGATTTAAAAACCCATCATTGCCAACAGAAGACTTAATACAGCGACTTCAATTCAGATGGATGTTAACTTTAGATGAGCGTGGATTGTAGCGGGATGTGGGGCAACATCTTCTTCAAGTGCGGGTCAGATATTATTGACTGGGGGTCTTGTGGAGACTGTCTCAATTCGGTATGCTCTAGGAGAGCTCTTTTACTTCTAAGGAAGGACATAACATAGCCGTGGCATAAGTCAGAAATAGTGAAGACCCCAATAAAAATACATGTAAAGATACTTCCAGCGTCCACGCCCTAGAGAATTTATGCAGGTAAAAGTTTAAAACAACTTCGAATCAAACCAATGAGACTACACACGACTGAAATGATTATTGCAAATAATACAATCTATGATATGTCTACAGTTGTCATAAACCAGCTTGCTAATCATGCACAGTAATACAAACCGCCAGTCCACGACAAATTGTGTGTCATGTAGAAACACTCCTAGCAGCTAGCATTTAACACATTAAGGAAAACCAAGACAGGGCTCTAAGCACAAGTTGGCCAGCTATAAAGGACTGGTAGATGGATTATATATAGCGCTTATGGTAATCATCTCGACCAAAATGATGGCATTCCTTACAGCCACACTTTGAGCTATGATGATCCGCGGTCGAATTCCATGGTGGCAATTTGGTTCACCCTTGGGAAGAGTGAAGCTTCCTATAATCCATGGTTTGGAAGGGCGACGACTCAGAGATCATTATTTTCTCATGGCTCGGTGATCAGGCATGACAATCACCGGTTGATGGGTGATGAGAATTGCCCACTAACACTTCAACTCACCACTCACTATGCCTCTGGTGTTATCGGACAGGCCGTCGCTCAAGCAACCACTTTTACCGATGGCCCGAATGAGCAACTGCTATATAAGGCACCCGTTTTTTCCTTTGCTCAACCTCTTCTCTCCCCATCCTCCTTCGAAGGCCGTCGTGACCGCCTTCCACTTATGCCCAGGCGCACCCGACCTCACCATTTTCCATCTTATTACCAATCTCAACAATGGCATACCGTCGCACATCCACTATCTGCGACCCATGTCTGGATGTTTGTGGTCCGAACTTCGTGATGGTGTGCACCCTCATCTGCTCCTACCTGGCCATGGCCATCTGCATCCCGTGGTTGTGCTTCTGGCTCTTCCTTCGCAGCATCGTCTGGGTCCTCACCTGTGGACACTATGGCTTCAACTTCCTGGAAAAGAAGAGGGTGCGCTTTTCCCCGTCGCTTCAAGGCATCTATCAACTGACACAGCCTATAGGAGGAGAACGAAGCCAGCAACCTCGCCGTAGCCCAGTCCCTCGCGCAGCTCGGCGATTTCCTTAACCCGGCCAACCACCCTGGTACCGCCGAGTACAACAACAACATCGACCTGGAGGCTCAGGATACCATCCAACCTGCCGCGAGGAGCAATACGTACCACGAGTTGCTGGCCGAGATCCAGACCAAGCCACAGAAAAGCGAGAACGCTATTCTTCTTGAGGCGCTTCCATTCCAGGGTCGCGGCAACTACGATGGCTACCTCACCGAGGAGGAGAAGAAGGCCGCGAAAGCAGAGGCTAAGCGCATGGAGGAAGAGAAGAAAGCACTTAAGGAGGCACAGAGGACGGAGGGTTTCTGGGTCTGGCAGAACGACAAGGCTTGAGGAGGAAGCCATCAGCCAGCAAAACACCATGATACTATACGGCTTGTGGGAGGATATGGGAGCCCATCAGGTACCACTCACAGATGTTGTCACAGAGCATTACTCTGTGTAACTGCCTTTCTTTGAGTGGCTTTGGTTTATGTTGATGGGAGGGCCTTCAGCGCGGAGTCTCTACGACTACGGGTGGAAGGATTTCTTATGTGTGCTTCCTCTCATCGGAGTAAGAAGAAAGCGGTATAACTTGTATTGAAAGGGCTTTATCTCTACCTCTCAACTCAATAGCACAGCCTTTGCCGAATGAGAATTTCATCATACTGTTACCGAACCAGTGACAACCATTATTGCTCATCCTATCTTTTCGTCACCATCTGCATCTCGACATATCTCAGTTAGACAGGTGACGGCGATGAAAGCTAAGGTAGGATCCACTTTACCGTGACATGGCCCCCAAACAGTGTAACGGATAAACGAGATGTTGTCAGCCTGGCACCCCGCGCTTCGGCCAGCACATATCATCCCCGGCGACAACCAGAAGAGTTCATCACAAATGGACGCCCTTCTTCCCACCCCGTCCCGCGCAACATTCAGCCTTGCCGTGCCCTGCATCTGCGACCCACACGCCTACGATGGCCAGGGCTTCGAGGAATACCCCAAGCGCGCCGGCTGGGTCCTCACGCCCGAACGCACCGCCTTCGACATCGAGAACAACCTCGCATCCGTCGGCACATGTCTCGACCGGCGCCTCGACGGCAGCGCGGCCTCCGACGCGCAAATTGCCGCGTTCCTGCAGCTATGGCTCTTCTTCGCGCCGCTAGCTGACGTCATGGCGCTGCGGGGCCAGCCGTTCGATCCCGCGTGCCTGGTCGAGGAAGCAGCCACCGGGGAACGGCGCATCACGTTCGCGCCGCTGCCGGGACTTTTCCGCGAGTGGAAAGAGCGCGGGAGGACGCTGCCGCCAAGGGAGAAGAAGCTGCAGTACCGGCGCGTGTCGAACATCATCATGGGCATGCTCTGCTTCGCCATCATCAACTTCACGCCGGTGAAGAAGCACGCGGGGCGCGAGGCGCCGCGTGTGAAGAGGCGCGCTGGGTTTGGAGTTGAGGTGTCGATCATGGCGCTGGTGGAGCTGATCGAGATCAACTCAATTAACGACCGCAACGGGCCTGGTGCCGAGTCCAATATGGGCGATACTCACCTTTGCTCGTTTTTGGAGGCCAAAATGAGAGAGCTGGGATGGTGTCCCAGCGAGATTTCGTTGTTCAATACGCATTTGGACAATACGGGTCTGTATTTCGCGAGCAGGCTGGATCGGCAGAGTTTAAGGCTGAACCACAGCGCGTGCGCAATGTCGAAATGCAGGGCAAGGAACGTCGTCAAGGGTGGCTATGTGACGAAGCACGCAAGCGACTGCACGAAGAGAGAGCCGGACTTTATTGGTGTTGATGAGCATATGCTGGAAAATTTGCTGCAAAACTCCGAGCTCCCGCTTCCCTGCCTTGATCTTGGCCCGCTGGAATCCAGGGCCGCTTCAGCTGCAAAGTTGGACTTGGTTACCCCGAAGGAATATGTTGCCATTTCACACGTATGGTCCGATGGCTTAGGGAACGAACGGCAAAACTCCCTCCCTCTTTGTCAGCTCCGAAGGCTCAAACGTCTGGCTGGTCAGATTGGGTGCGAGATCATATGGATTGACACACTTTGTGTACCTGCAAAAGATGGATCAGGCAAGAGGAAGGCAATAACCCGAATGGTTGAAGTTTACGAGCGCGCGCAGGCCGTGTTGGTTTTGGACGAGGACCTGCAGCTCACCACAGTCAAATGCAGCAAAGAAGAGAAGATTCTACGAATTGCTCTATCAGGATGGACTCGCCGGCTCTGGACTCTTGAAGAAGGAATGGTAGCCCACAATAAGTTGCTTTTCCAATTCGAGGACGGTGCCGAGAGTATCCCCGAGGTTACAAACCCAGAGTGTGAGAAGATCGCATGGGATACGCAAAGATTACTGGACCAAGTTCTTCCACGAAGGAAGATTCCCCGCTCCCGAGAGGGCGAGGCAGGTTCAGCTGCCGACGCAGAAAATCCCTGGCACTCTCTTCTTGGTGCAGTGTCGTACCGCTCCACATCCCGTACCATCGACGAGTCAATCTGCCTCTCACACATCCTCGGCCTCGATATTTCCGACCTGGTACAAATAAAGGACGAGAACGAGCGTATGCGCCACTTCTTAATCATGTTGAGCTACTTGAACACCAAATTACCAGATCTCCTCTTGTTCTCATCGGAACCAAAATTGCCATTCCCAGGCTTCCGCTGGGCACCCACAACTTTCCTCGATATCGACAACGCGGGTGACAGAGACGATGAAATGCAGGAAACCTTAGGAACAAGCATATCCGGCGGCGGCCGCGGCGTCTCGTGGTCACCGCACGGCGGCTTGCGCGTCGAAACGCTCCGCGTCCGCCGTCTCCTCCTACTCACAGCCGGCGAACCCGTCAAGCGCGCCATCTTCTTCAAGGAAGGCGCCATCTGGCGCGTCATCATCCCGCGCACGAAGCCCGTCAAAGAGGTCGACGACAACCGGAGGCGCTTCTGGAACGAGGCTGTCGCGAAAGACGTCTTCGAGTCACGCGATCCGGTATACGACAGCAGCAGCACGTGGACGAACCTGGCAGACAAGGCCAATGGTGATCGCGTGCTGTTTCTCATCCAGAGCGAGCCCTTCGCTTCGTCTGGCTCGGCGATCTTGGCGAGCTCGTTGGCGTTGAAGTCGCGGCCGACCTTTCCGCAGGTCGAGCCGCACGAAGTCGATCTGGAAATGCAGGTTCATGTGTTTGAGCTCGAAGCGGGCGGCAAGAACCACGTTGTGGATGGAGCTGGGTTGAGTTCTGGAGGGGAGAACGTAGGCATCACGAAAGAGTGGTATGACGATATTGGCGTTGCCATGGAGGCGTCTTTTCAGAAGTATTTCGATGCCGAAAGCTGTACTAAGGGATCTGTCATTGTCCATGATGTGGAGAAGATGCCAGGTTATACACGGAAGGATAGAAGTGACGAATACATCAAGTGGGTCGTTTCATGAACGGATGAATTGATTGCTCGACACTGAAGTCAAAAAAAAAACCCCTAAAATATTCTCATATAAGGAAAAAAAGATGGAAGGTGTTGAAAAGCACGAAACAAGCCGGGATTTTCATACAAGATGTACGTCAACCTGATTTCGAACTACAGTCTCATCTACTACTTTGAACGTCTCAACGATGTCTCTCAATGCTTGCTGCTCTGTGTCGTGAATCCATGCCAGCCGTTGGTTGAAGATCCGCCTTTTTTCTGAAAGGAATTCTCCGGACGGGGGATTCTCTGAAGTAGAACATGCGACTTCTTTCAGGTCATCTGTTTGAATCATCCAAGCAGAATCTCCTAATGTCACCTCTATCTTCGAGTGCTGTGAATCCGGGTCGTTCACTTCACTTCCGCTCTCTTTAGGCATGTATTCGGCAAAGTACTCCCTTCTTGCCAGGAAATCTTCAGAAAACTCTCTGAGAGCGCGCCATGGGTGTTGGCTGTTGATTACATCCAGGGCTTGGGTTAATTCTTCTCTTGAAGTTCGGCATTTGTCCCAAAGATCCGAAACACGCTTGCACAGGCTAATCGCCATGCCGAAGTCGAATGGAACCTCCGTTTTCATCTTTTTGCTCGAATTCTCGTACCAAGAAGACATTCCTTCTCCATCCATGTATCCGGAAATAAAGCAATCCCCCACAAGTTTGAAGCATCCCCATTGAAGCGATTCCAAAGGAGGAAGTCCAGCACGACGAAGCACTTCTCGAAAGCCCAATTCTCGGAGCAGAAATGGCGTTTTGGCTCCAAGAAGCATATAGACCTTGTCACTGATGGAGGTGTCTATGGGTCCTAGTGCGAAAGAGCCGTCGTTGGTAAGGAAGAATGATCTCCGGTATGTAGCAACGTTAACGCTGTGACGAATTTCTAATGCAGCCGTACCCCAGCTCTTGCTGTAGATCTCAGGCAACGAGTCCATAACCATGGACCTGATTGATGCAAGGAAGGGATTCACGCCTTCTCGTTCGCTGATTGGTGCAAGCGGACCGCTTAGAAGCCAATATGCGATCTCAGGAAGGTCATCTGAACACACACGGCGCCAACAGTACCCTTCGACGTTCCAGTCATACATCACGTCTCCGCATATCGTTCTGAGAAACAGGTCCCATTTCCTCGCATGTGGTGCAAGCTTTGCCACCATCATAGCCCAAGACCGTATTGCTGACTCAGGGTACCTTTCAGAAAGATTTGGTTGCCCTACAACAGTGACGACTGCTAACTCAGCCCCCGGAAGGCTAATAGTCCCGTTGCCCTGAACGCGCAAGCAAGCTGCTTTGCCACTCGCTGTAAGATAGTCTCTGGCGGCCTTCAAGTACAGAGAATCTTGTTGTGGGTCGATATTTTCTGCAAACTCGCATTGCAGAAAATCTGTCCAATCCGTGCTTCCAAGTATCTCCGTGTATTGACTTGAACACCTTAATCTGGCCAGATCCAGGTTTCTTTGCCGCTTTCGGGGTGCTGCCGCATTCTGACGACGACGAAGGTATCTGAGAGTGGATTCGGGATCGGATACCCCATTCCTGACGTAGACCGAGGTTCGAGAAGTCGCATAAAGATTGATTCGTTCAGTCCTGTCTCGTATCAGACTGTTGTACTCCGAAGTCCAGTCAGGTACCCAGGAAGGAATATCACGGCGCGCTTTCCTCCCAATATCGCCATTAAGCACGGCTAAATTACCGGAAGCCTCCACGATGCCAAGCATGGTAGTTTGGTACGCATATAGCACATCCATAGAGTAATCTGGAACTATGGGAAGGGGTCCTTTAGCGAGTCCGATAAGAGCATAAACCCGGTCCCGAGGGTCGGAAGCCTCTCGATGGCTGAAATCTGTCAGGAGCGATAAAAGGGTCCTTCGTTGGACTTTGGCCCAAAACGTTCTCATAATCGTGAGAATATCCACCGTCTTAGCATAATGGTCCATCACACGTACGCGTTCTGGAGTATGAGATACTCCATGACTAGCGTAATAGGTCTTTGTCGATTGAGCGAATGTTTCCCAGCTCGTTACGCAACATCCATAGAGGACAGTGACACTCTTGGCTACCACGATTTCTTGCAAGGTCCACATCCGATTCCACCATTTGCAACGCATCATTTGCCGAACTGCCTCAAACAAACGGCATTGGTATTCAGAATCCTGAAAGACTATCAATTCGGGAGCGAATGGGGCAACATCTTTTAGTTTGGCAGCTTCGGCCATGGAGCGAATCAAGCAGAAGACGTCAATGGCGCCATCAAACCGATAGTTGGAGGGCGTTTCCAGTGAGGAGCAGCGAGATGCAAACTCATTCAGTCGATCGGCGCTATCCGTTCCCGGGAAATGGATGGGCCGTGACAGCAACGCTTTCCTTTTGGCCTTTTGGTGAAAACCAGGCTCCTGGACCTCTCCAAGGAAAACAACGACTCTTTCGGCAGCAGAAAAGATTTTTTTTCATCAACTGGACTTGATGGTTTCGTTCCGCTTTGTCAGACTGATTGATGCAGATAGCGTCTATCCACACGGTCACAGCCCCAAACGTCTGGCGGACCCGTCTCAGAGCGTCGTATGCATTGGCAGTTATGGGATGTTTGATACCATCGAGAATGACTGATTTGGTCTTTTTGGCAGATCCCCAAACGTAAGACAGTGCACTGAAAGTTGGCTCGTTGGGGAGCAGAGCGTGGACAAGTTTGCATCGGATCTCCTCGTCCCATTCAGCGGGGGCGATCTCCAAAAGGCGAATTTCCTTATGGTAAAGAGGGAAATATACGGTTCGTGTAGTAGACATGTCGCACTTGTGAAAGGATGTGGTTCATGTTGGGATGGAAAAAGACTATGCGAGGAACAGTGTTAAAGGTAAGAAAAAAGGTTATGCGAGGCTGAAGCACAGCCCTGCCAGGGGTATGGGCTGATGCTGTAACAGTCTCTGCCTGAATTCAAGCTAGCCAATGGAAAGAAACGCAACCCAGCCAGAATCCCGGTTATCTACGCCACCATCAATGCATGACCTTGCTTCACTAACGCTGTTCATGTAGCCAATGACTGAACAAACCCAATCCACGCTTGCCTCTCTTCGGGTGATGTTGCAGCCATGAGATGACTAACTTCACCTGCTTTTACAGAGAAGACGAACAGCTCCGAACCTCTGGGGACATTATCAATAATTGAGGCTTTTGTTTTACCTTTTGAAGTATCCTCGAATGAACATTCAAGCTGTTGAATGGGCATCGGCTGTATATTCAGTTAGTAAATAAAAAGGTGAAATATCTCCTGGCTAAACTTACTGCTTCCAATACCCACAGCTTCTCACCATACTTGTACTTTCCGAACCACATCTCCCGCGGCCGCTCTACTCGCCCCCAGAAGAAGTAGTTATCGAGCAACACGCAGTGGACCTGATTCCACAGACCCTTTCCTTTCGTCTTGCAGGCCAACGGCCCCTGATAAACAATTCTCCTCGACGGATTGAGGATATCCAGCGGCTCAACATGATGGTAGTTGATGGTCTCTATCCTCCGGTGGATATGGCGCAGGTCCTCGGCGTCCTCGGCGGCCTTCATCAGCCCCTCACACGACTCCCTCAGCCGTACCAACATCCTCCTATACTCGCCGACCTTCGTCGGCCGGAACCCACCACCACCGCCCCCCTCGCCATCCTCGCCCCCCACCGCATCCCGCTCCAGCGCCACCACGACCTCAAGCGCCTCGCAATAGAACCCCAGCCTCCGCACCGGCGCCCCCAACATGCCCTCCAACCCTCCTTCCGCACCGTCCTCCTCCTCCTGCAGCCCCGCCACGAACCGCCTGAACCCCTTATCCCCCTCCGCCGTCGCCCGCACCGCCGTCACCGCGTGCGGATAGCGGCGGCAGAAAGCCTGATACGCCTTCCCCGCCCTCCGGCACCAGATGCGGAAGACGGGAAGCAGCAGGTCCGTCTTGACGACGCTGGCGAGCTGCAGGGCGAGCGGCTGGAGCAGGTAGCGGGCGTGCAGCGCGGCGAGCTCGTCGACGTGTGAGGGCAGGCTGCCGTCGAGGTGCTTGGCGAGCGAGGGCCAGGATTTGCGAAGCGGAGAGTCGGCGTGCAGCGTGCGGCTGAGGGCGGTGAGGGTGGAGATGTAGCGGAGTTCGGTGATGAGGAGGGTTTGCCAGAAGTGGTGGATTTGGAGGTCGTGCGGGGAGAGGGCGACGTCCGGGGTGGAGGCGGGGTCGGCGAGGTCGGCGGTGGTGGTGGGCGTTTGGTCAGCATCGTGCGGAGGCGAGGCTGGGTTGGCGGGCTCGGTGATGGGTTCGGTGGGAGGTTCAGTGATAGGCTCAGCCACGGGCGCAGTGGCTGGCTCAGTGGCCGGCTTAGTGGCCGGCTCAGTAGCAGGCTCAGCAGCAGGCTCAACAGCAGGCTCAACAGCAGGCTCAGTGGTGGGTTCGGCGGTAGGCTCGGTAGAAGATTCGGTGGCTGGCTCAGTGGTAGGCTCAGCGGTAGGCTCAGTGGCAGGCTCAGCGGTAGATTCGAATGTAAGTGGGGGGATTTGCGGTGCAGAGCTGCCTGGCTCATTCGTAGTCGCAGCCTCGGTGTCATTGGATTCATTCGCTGCGGGTTCATTGGCGGCGGTGGACTCGTTAGCCGTGGACGGAGACGCAACTGCTGGTTCAGTCACTGTAGGCCTCCTAGGTGGTAAAGGTGGTGCTTCCTCCTCTTCCGTCTCTTCAGTACTCTGCTTCCGCGGTGGCAATGGAGGCGCTTCTTCCTCCTTACCCGACTTGGAATTTTCCTTCTCAGCTGATTTTTGAGACTTGTTTGACAACGCTTGTTCTGCTACTGTTTCCCCCTCTTGCAATCTGCTCGGCTCGCCGTTCTCTTGTACAGTTCCATCTGCTTCTTGGTTAGTTTCCGGCGCTGGCTGACCAGCACTTGGACCGGGCTCCCCATTCTCTACTGCATTTTCAACTGCATTTTCAACATTTGGCACGTTTGTCTGCTCAGGAGCTCCTGCGTCAGGCTGCACAGCGGCGTCCTTCTTAGCCACGGCAGCCATAGCATCTCGGTACGCCGGCGAGTTAATCACGACATCGACAAAACTCCTCTTGCCCTCCTCACTACCGTTCACTGACTCCGGCACCTTGACCGCCGGCCATGCCGCCTTCAGCGCCTTCGACTTCTGCCCTACCAGCCTGAACAACTCCGCATCCTCGTTAAGCAACCGGAATCGTTCCTTGGACTCTCGCACCAAAAGCGCTCTGACAAGTGACCCCAGCGCCCTCCGCACCCCGCCCAGGTACCGCAGAAGCTCTTTCATCGGGTCCTCCCTCCACTGCGGGCCACGCGACGCCCGCCTCGCGCGCCACCTGGACGCATCGGAAGTGGCGGGCGGGCTGCTGCTGCCGCCGGCGGACGCAGGCGACGGCGCCAAATGCTGGATCTCTGCATCCAAGCACGCGAATCCGAAAGCGCACGCCGTCAGCGCCGCATCCAGCGCGGCGCGCAACTGCTGCTGTTGCGGCGAGTCGGATTGAGCGCTGGCGTCGTCGCCATCGCGGAGAAGCAGGGCCTGGAGCTGATGGAGCGACGCGCTTATCGCGTTCACCTGCGCGCAGAGGTTGGTTACGGCGGTAGCGGTGGTGGTTGATTGTTGAGACGCCTTCTGGTGCTTTTCGCGCAGCGCGTTGAAGAAGTGCGTGAGCGCGAGGCTGTGCGCGGCGAGGCGGCCGGCGGCCTGTCGCTTTGTCAGCATTAAGCCACAGACATGATCATCATGCAGGCAGGTACGTACTGCGCCGGATGGAAGTACGGCTGGGGACTGCGGCTCCATTGCTTTTTGTATCTCGGTAAGCTGTTTCTCTGAGAGAGTTAGCGGTTTCTCTAGCGATTGCGGCCGTTATCGGATGATTTTGTCTCATCAAAAGGAGATTGTTGCCTGCGCCACATTGGGGCGAAGGATTCGGTTAGCTTGGGGGCCAAAACTATCTATAGCTATACATTTCACAACACCAAGTGTTGGTGTTGGAGACTTGATATCTTTTGAAAGCCAATGTCTTTTCTTTTTCGCATGCACATGTGGAGCGAACGTTTTAGTACCCAGTCGTTTTACTAGAATGTTGGCCTACTCGCCGTTGTTACTGCTGCCATCTGGTAGATTACGATACCATATCAACAATAGAGAAAAGGAAGGGAAAAAAAGAGATGATAGGAGAGGAAAGTTCAATTTACGTTAGCAGCAGTGGCTGCACTACTTAGACTGACTAACGAGCTTGAAACAACAATAGCCCGTTATCACGCATACCATTTTAGTCCTGCGTGTTTGCCGTTCTTATCGTACTCGTATGAAGCATCGTATCCGTATAAAGTCTGTCCATGTATCAATGAGCAGCATAATCAGCTCCTTAACAATTGCAGTTTTTGAAAAAGTTTCAGAAATTACACGGCCAATCGAACGGGCGGCGACCTCTCTGTTTATCTCGTATCGGACCCAAAAATCCTCTGAAAACAAGAGGCAAATGTCCCATGCAAGCTTGAGTTAATCTGTTCGACAGTGCTTGCCTTCAACTTCTCATTAATACCGTAATCACCTAGTAAGTCTCCAGTCCCTATTACTCACGCAAGAAAAATTCTCTTTTGTGAAATGCTGAATATATTACTACCAAGAAGTGTTAGAAAACACTCACAGGATACATCTCAAGCTACAAGAATTTTAATCAGCTCTACAACTTAATGGTACAACCGCACCTGATAAATGATGTTCACTCCATAACAGATACCAATTTTAGAACTTACGAGATGTCGATTTCGTAAAGTTTTACCCCTTCAATGCTATGAAAAGTACCATCTTAAAGGTTATACTCCATGGGATGAGAAAGAGCTGTGGAAACTGGCAGGAGCCACGGCTCGACAGCAAGCGGGCATCGGGTGAATATTTTCCAGCTTTCCAGTCCAACAGGCTGTTGCTCTAGATACCAACTTCGAATTCTCTCTCGGAGGTATGAAGCGGTTTATGTCCGTTGTTTGAAGATCTCTGCCAAGCCGGCAGATTGGTCCCTTTGCCAAGTCTTCAACGATAGGACTATGGCGGCAAAGAGTGGTATCACTTAGCGGAGCAACAAGGTCTGATTCTATCGTGACAGTGCTGCGAGTTTGTTGGGGCAAGATTCAGGTTCATCGCGTGTACGATCAGAAGAAGAAGGTAGGAAAATGCTAAGGAAGCGAGGCTCTCGTCAAGCTTCTTTCGGATTGGCAATGAGCCGGCGGGATGCTTGATAGAAAGAGAAGGTCTCTTGGTCACAGAGCTAAGCGGTATCGCTTATGTCTTGTAGGTTTAAAGCGGACTAATAGGAAAGCGTTGAACACGACGTTGGCGCATGCACGATACGGTTGAGAGGCGGAACCCGCGTCGGGCACCGCCGACGGTCCGCATTGTCCAGATCAATAAGCGTGTCTCCGGGCCGGATAGGATACAAACCGGCTTTTCGGCCGCAATCGACGGCCATCTGGCATTGGACCGGTGGCCAGGCATTGCTCAGCCAAGACGCCAAGAGTTGTTGCCATTCTTGGCTCCGCCGGCGGTGACGCTGCGCGACACAATGTCACACACGCCAGAGCTTGTGAGAAGCTCTTGTAAATCCATGATTCAAATCCACATGTATCGAATAGTTTGCCTGTTTGCCGGTTGTATTATTCACCAGCAGAAATGGGACCAAATAGAGGAAACAGCGGCGGGCGGAGCCCCGGGGAGTGCCAAGCATACCCAGACAAAAGCTTCGTATAGGTACGAGTTATTCTCCGCCCCATGCGCGCTGTTCTTGGCATTCTTATGGCCTCGGCCTGACACTAATACGAATGGGCCGTTTCATTTTTCCTTCTCTCCTGCCTGATTAAGTAGTGTTTGCTCCCCTGGTTCCCGGGCTTCTTTCCTGCGTGCTTGCTGCTATGGTGCCACCTACCTCACACCAGCTCTGCTCGCTAATGCTTTCTGCAGCTTCTGAGGCTCGTATTTCGCTCGGAATCTATCTCCCAGATCGTTCCGGGGTGAAACTCGCCTATCAAACCAGCCACGAACCAATAAGACAGCTTATATTGACCAGAATGTAGATTGAGCTGCTTGGCCATTCTCTACATACAGCCACCCCGTTCTTGGCGTGGCCATCAAGCCTCGGTTTGGTCGCCTGCACAGACTCTTTTTCCTACCTGTTAGCCGCCCAGCCACTTCTGGCAGATGTCCTTGTGTTAATGAAATACTGTTCCGCAAATGGGTCGATTGCCGTGGTGTCCCACTTCAGCGGCTATCCTCCTGCCCACCACAGCGATATCGAAGATGCTCCCATACACTTTCTTCACTTCCTTCTACTTTGCGTAAGGTGAAGATGGAATGCGTGATCACGGCATAGATAATGAGATATCAGTGTTGGCGAGTATAAAGATGTCTCAACTTCAGCGGGTTGAGTTAGACAGCAGCACCTCAGCAGTTCAGCACCAGAGTCATCTCAAGCACAACCTTCCACCCGACAATCCTGCAAAATGAAGTTCCTCGCCGGTTCCCTCCTGGCTTTGGCCACCGTTGTTAGCGGCACTGCCGTCAACCTCAACAAGCGTGACACTCCCCTGGATGTCAAGCTTGAGATGGTCGGCAACTCTGAGGTTAAGGCCACTCTCACCAACAACGGTGATGCTGCCCTCAAGCTTTTCAAGGTTGGCAGCATCCTTGACAAGACCGCTGTTGAGAAGGCTGAGGTCAACTCTCCTGGTATGCATCGCCCACGATATCAGACTACAAAGCGCAATGCTAACCTGCTGCAGAGTCCCGTGTGGCTTTCGAGGGCATCCGTCTCCGCATGGCCACCGAGAACCTGGATGAGGACGCCTTCCAGAGCCTTGCCGCCGGCGAGAGCGTCGAGGTCCAGTTCGACATCGCCGAGGCCCACGACCTCTCCCAGGGTGGTGCCTTCGACATCCTCTCCGAGGGTGCCATCTCCTATGCTGAGGAGGGCTCCACCGCCATCGCCGGTGCCGTCCCCTACACCAGCAACAAGATCTCCGCCACTGTCGACGGCACCGAGGCCAAGAAGGTCCGCGAGGAGTTCGTCAAGCGCACCGTCAAGCGCACGGCCGTCAACGCCGACTGCACCGGCACCCGCCGCACCGCCACCGTCAACGCCGTGAGCAACTGCCGCAGCCTTGCTCTGGCTGCTTCGTCCGCCGCCGCCTCCGGCTCGGCCTCCAAGTTCCAGGAGTACTTCAAGACCACCTCTACCTCGACCCGCAGCCAGGTCGCCGCCGTCTTCGGCCGTGTCGCCTCCGAGTGCGGCAGCACCACCTCCGGTGTCTCCGACTACTACTGCACTGACGTCTACGGCAACGGCTGCCAGAGCGGCGTTCTGGCCTACACCCTGCCCTCCGCCAGCTACATGGTCAACTGCCCCCTGTACTTCTCCGGCCTGTCCGCCACCAGCCGCACCTGCCACGCCCAGGACCAGCAGACCACCACCCTGCACGAGATGACCCACTTGAGCGAGATCGCCGGCACCACCGACCAGAACGGTGCCTACGGCTACAACGCTGTTCGCTCCCTGACTGCCGCCCAGAACCTCAGGCACGCTGATACTTACACCCTCTACGCTCAGGGTATGTCCCAAAATCGATGCTTCAATCTTTCTCAACTTGGACATGTGCTGACAATTTTTAGCTATCTACGCTGGCTGCTAAACGCATCGCCTACATAGTGCTTGAATCCGCAAAAACCGCCTGAGCAAAGGCTGAAAATTTTCTGTCTCTGGTCTTCTTTCTTAATCAGAAAGGATTGTGACTTGTAGCGAGGTATAGGGTAGTGCAGTAAAAATTGAGAACAATTCGTTGAACATGCGTTATTTATTGTACTTGATCGTTGCTTTGTCCAATCCACAAACCTCAACCTCTCATCATCAGTATCAAAGCCCTCCCGCGTGGATATTTCCGTTTGAAGTGATGGCAGTAGTGAGTACGATGTTTCAAAAATGAAAGATTATGGAGGTAGTCACACCGAAGGCCGCCAAAACCACTTGCTCCACCCAAACGACTGCCATCCTGACAGCCGAGGCACACCCGACTTGTCCAAATTCTCCTTTGCTGCAAGCTTTCCAGCCGAGCAGCACTCTTTACACAGTCCGATCTCAGCCATTTCCGCTGGTGAGTAAAGACTCTGAAGACGCTGAAATACCGCATTACTGCCGGGAAAGTTGAGGTCTCGACCCTGAAATGCAACGGTTGTTCTGTTCCTCTGCACACGATGGTTGCAATCTACGCCTCTTTTCACAAAAGCGTGAAGTGTACCACGTAGCCGACTTCGGCTCTGTATGTCAATTGGTGTATCGGTAATGCTCCGGACAAAGTGACCCCACAAGGTGCTGTTCTTGTAGGCAGCGTTGGCGTCGATGTCTTGAGACAGAATTTTCTCTATAGCATTGCAAAGAGAACCACAAAGCTCCTCTGAACAGGATGTCCAATTGCTTCTGGGAATGAGCAGTATGTCGACCCAGAGCAGGTCTTCCGATAAGCCTGGCCCAATATCATCAATGCTGTCATTGAGGAGACAATTGATGACTTGACCGCAGGCTATGCGGGCTGAGACTGAATACTCTTCCCATTCGATGGCAGCCACAGATAAAAAGTCATTCCATATTGACCGGAGGAGCTCTTTCTGGTTTGTGTTCATATTCCTGAGCAGCAGTTGAAGCATAGATGGATCTGGTGTACCCATGCTTGAAGATGTCTCTGACAAATGAAGAGAGGCACGAAGGAGTAGAGCAAACTCCTGAGGTGATAATGAGCAGAACTCGTGTTGTAGCTGGTCTTCCACGAAAATCAGGAGCCCTTTGCGAACAGAGTATATCAGAAAGTCAATTTCCAAGGAACGAGCTGACTCGTGCTCTGATCGCGGAGCTGGGAGGAGCAGAACGCTTGCTTTGGTGGAAGTTTCGTCTTCACATTCGCCCAGGGCCTTCCTGAGCTCGAGCATCAGCTGCGTCTGCTGTTGAAAATGTTTGGATGTGGCCGGGAGTTTCCGAGCACAGCTGACGAGATCATCAACTAGACTCGACATGGGACCATTGTGGAACACAAAGCGAGGAGTCATAGAGATCTTCTTGATCTGGGCCAAAAATGCGAGGCACAACTGCTTCCAAGGATCAAAGTTTGGTGGAAGTTTGGCCGTCATTTCGCTCTGCATCTTCTCTGACGTCAAAAAGTCGATAACGGTACGATGCAGAAACTCTACGCGGTATTTAAAAAACTCGCGCGCATTCGCTTCGTTGTCCAGGCTCCTCCGGCCTCTCGCTGGGAAGACTTGGTCGTCTTTCCAGGCCGGTTTGATTTCCAGTAGATCTTTGCATCTTGCATTCAGCCTCTTTTTCATGACCTCATGGCGATGGAAGAGCTCCTCGTGGGTCATTGGGTGCGTTTCCCATTTTACGGCAAAGTTGTCCTCTTCCTCATCAAGCATTGAAAAGGTCATAAGAGTGAGTGGCCTTTCTGCTGCCAGCTTGATGGAAAATGTCTCCGCAGCCTGTCGTTGGTAAGCCCCTCCCAGGCTCTCCCACATGTGTTGAAAGTAGCCCTCGAGGCTGGTCGGTAAGAGTTGAAGTCTTCTCTCCAAGTCTGACAGCCGGTCCTCGTTCCGTAGTCCATCCAGAAGTGAGTGTACTACCAGATGCACCCAAAGGAATACCCCATTCGCTCTACTGACGATTTCCTCAACAAAATGGTTGCGACTGTTCTGCTGGACTTGGAGATTCCTGTAAAGCTGATTTTCTCCAAGCTTATCCGTCACGTATGCTCGAATGTCGGCTCTGGTGAGGTCTTCCAGGTGCAGTTTCGGAAACATCTCTCCACCAAACGCGTTCTTGAACACATTCCATGGTCGGCTTGACACACATATCTTGAAATCAGGAGACTTGTTTGCCAAGTCAGCAAGCAAACGGACGAGTTGCTCACAGTCTCCCTCGTACTCATCGAGACCATCAACGAAGAAGCAGAACTTAGCTGCAACTCTCCTCTGTTGTGCCAGGTGGCTAAATGCCTCAAGCAGCTCACCATATGCCCACATGTACGCCGTTGACCCGTTTTTATGATATGCAGACCACTGTTTTGGAAAGCAATCTGGGACAAGGCTGGGAAACTGCATGAGTACCTCCCAAAGCAGAGTCCGTAGAAGGCCCTCTTGTGACTTCTGCAGATCTGTCCCGGCTTTCCAAAAGAAGAAGTTGGGTGTGACAATAGCTTTGTCGCCTGCCCATGTGCGAAGCGCGGTTTTGGTATTGGGGTGGTCGTACAGGAACTTCATCAGCGTTGATTTTCCCGAACCAGCCTTTCCTGAGATCCAGAAGACACCGCTCTGATGCTCCAGCCAGTTGCAGAAGCCTGAGTCTGCGGACTTGGAATCGAACATCCACTCAAATGTGTGAGTGTGAGCGGCTGTTATTGTTGTGCGGCGCGTGTCCATTGATGGGTAGTACAAGCTCCGCAGGAAATGCTGCTGGGCGGCTACTTTCTCGCTCTGTCTCATCCATCCTGCCAATCTTGCTGACACTTCGTCAAGACCGTGGGCTTGAGATGTGCCTCGAGAGAAGTTCCAAAGAGATTTGCCGTTGCCAAGCGCGTCTGTCATGCTTGATGTTGCTTGCTGAAGGTTGGTCAGCTGTTTCAGAATCTCCGAATTCTGGTCATTGAGGCTCTGTATCTCGTCGGTGGTACGTTCCTGCCATTTGGGTTGGTCCATTGTTAATGATCGGAGGGCAGTGAGGGTCGAAGATTGATCATCACTTGCATTCTCGTCAACTTCAACAGTCTACATTGTAGAGACGAAGTTCCTACTTAACCAGAGATAGAAGACAGATTGTGAGTCTGCCTCTCAGGCTATCGAGCCTTTTTGAGAGTCGATCAATCTCGCCGGACTTTTTCATCCTTCTTGAAACGACCCGGACCACGTCGATTCGTCTGTGGAATTTCTTGTGCCTTTCTTTCGCAAATGACTTTGAAGATGCGCGCGAAGATGAGTCCTTCACCTCTTCCATTGTTAAAACCGAAAACGCCTCCTGTATTTCCTTCGTCAATGTTCGGCAACTATCAGCGATATCCAAGAGTTCTTGCTCTGCTGGAGAAAGTGGTTTTTGGCCTGCCGGACCTCCAAGAGAGGTTTTGGATACCTGCAAGCTTGTGAGAAGACTCAAAGCTTCAGAAGCGGACTGTAGCTGCATGTCTTCAACTAAGCGCCCCGATGCAGATCGATACAGCTCACCGGCCATCGAGAACACCTTGCAGCCGAGATCGATAAACTGCGCCACATTGCCAGCAAGGCTGAGGGCCGCGATCGGATCCATCGCTCTCCGATGCAATTTTTCGTGTTTGAACGAGGACCAGGTTGCTCGAGACCGGAAATTGGAAACGAAAACGACGATATCGAGCTATAAGACAGTACTCAGGCTAAGCGCCTGGTGGCTGCACGGACAGAGCTGAAATGCAAGCATGACCAGCTTGATTTGGGACCCCGGTCCTTCACCGCCCAATCGCAACAACGGAAATGTGCCACCAACGCAAAAGGCTGCTGCAGCATCTGGTTGAAGCCTTATTCTCCCTCGGTAAGCCTATAGTGGTCTAGGCACAGTCAGTTAAAGCGAAACATTGTATGCACGAACGAAAAACAATGTGTCGCATCATTCGGGTACAGAACAAAAATCTCCTGCCTGCGATTTATTGAATCCCAACACTGGCGCAATGCTACCTATATTCCATATTTCCCATACAGGAACCCTGGTGTGTCGGAAAACCGGAATTGTGTTTCTTCCACAAGGTTAACAGTTTTAGCAGCACATGTTATCAGGAAACGGCGGTAAAGTAATATGCAACTACATTTTGTAAATCGAACCGGGTAATGAATTTCTATGATTACATTTAATTGGACAAAGATATATATTTGAAATTTCATGAGCTTCTTAGACTTTGAATGCAAGAGCCCCTGGTAACACACCAGTGTGCCATTAATGGATGCGAATGAACGCCATTGTCCATGTACAATTATCACACCCGTCTTCTTCTACCAGATTCAAGAACAAGAACTCTCTTTCTGCATCATTACTGATCTGCTCACGGATGCGGTTGACCGACTTCCTTTTCTTGATTGAAGGTGTGGTTCTGTCACGCTCCCTGCCTCGCTACTGCTTCCAATATGCTGAAGCAGGCCTGATCGTTGCGCCTTTTGCAATTCAAACATCTGTGTGTCAAATGACCGGAGATCTGGGGAAAAAAGGTAAGCAAATTTGCCAAAAAGAAACACCAATTTCTTTTCTTACGTTCAATGTCCTCGAATTCGAGCTTGTATGTTACCCTTTTTTGGTCAAATGGCGGTGCCAATGAGAACAGAATCTTGCCAAGATTCGCAGATGGCCGGGTCTGGTGAATAGTTATTTCACATTCCATTCCCCACTTCTTCCAAGCGTTTTCCTCAACCGCTGTATCTATTTGTTAGCTCTCACTGGACTGGTAAGACAAGTTACTCACGTTCACATATGAGCCACCTGGGACATTCTGGCCTGCCGCTCTGGAAGAGAAATACGAGTTTCGACCGGAGCTTTGTTGGCTCGTTGTTTTCCTTGATGTTGAATAGCATAAGTATAGCTTGGTCTGTTGGAGATCGGCGAAAGCTTCGTTTCTGCTTCGCTTTGACTGCTGCAAGGAACACTGGATCCCACTCAAACATGCTGTACAGGAACTCTCTGAAGTCTGTGATGATAGTAATGTCAGTTCGAGGTACTTAAAAACAAGATGTCGCTGGTTGATACCTTTTGCAGGTGCCGTATTGTCAGATGTCTCAAGCCCGAATCTCAAACTCATTGTCGACTGAGAGAGAACAACTTTGTGAAACTGGCCTTGGATGCTGTTGTCTGGGTACGGCTTATCCCTGGCATTCGAGTGATAGTCGGCAACTCCGAGAGGACCCATATTTACTACAGCCATGCCTTTCTGTTGGTTTATGAGGATATCGATATCGCTCTGCTCTGAGACTATGTAGATGTCAGATGTCGTGAACTCGTTTACAACACATTCCGTAAGGATCATGCGCTCTCCATGATGCTCCATCGGGGCAGAGGGCCGGCATATGTGCACACGCGAGGAGGGATAGCAAGAGTGTGGATCTTTCCCAATTTGCACCTCGGCTTGGAAGCAACATTCATGAAATGACACACCCTGGTGTTGGCACAGTTGGTGGTTCAGTAGGATATTGCATAACTTCTCGGCATCTATCACAGTGTTAAAGAACGTTGACAACAGCTAAGAGCGATTTATTACCGTTTCGCTCGGGAAATCTGAGACGCAGATGATTGTTCGGCCTTTTTGGATTGAAAACCCAATGCCATATAGGGTTGAAGTAGCCTCCTAGGCAGCTGTCAACATCAATTGATACGGAAACTGAAAGGAAGAGATTTACCTGACTTCCTTTTGATTTGATGGTTGCAGTCAGACCACGCCAGTTCAATTTCGAGATCCTGCAGTTTAACTCTCAATGTTCGAAGTGGTATCCCTACAAACTGTGAGTACGAGTACCAGTTTCTCACGGTATATAAGTAAGGAAAGAACGCACATGCCGATTCCGTGGACGTGCCATCTGATGCATTGATTTCAAGCAACCTGTACCGTTCCCAAAGGTTCCGACTAAAGGTTTCCGAGACACAAACGCAAAATGTCTGCCCAGGTATTGGCTGTCGGAGTTTCCATTCTGCACGGCTGTGGCGAGGCAATATTTCGAAAGCCGATACGTTAGCAACGAATTTGGGTGTTCCATGGAAGTCCACTACTTCAGAGGGGTATCCGAAATATTTCTCGAGAGTGCTTTGCGTATCGTAATTGGAGTCCCGCACTAATTCAGTCGGAGATTCATTTACGAAGTGACGGGGAGCCTCTGACAACCTGCCGAATGAAGTGTTTGTCTGGTCGTCTCTTGAGTCAACCTCGGTTGGTGGAACACTTGAGCTTTCGACATCGTCCGAGACTTCACCCTTATCGTCACCTGCCGCTTGGACACTGCTTTCCGCAAATTCTTTCCGCCCAGGCGACCAAGGAAGCTCTAGAGGTGGTCCTGGGTCGTCGTCCGGCACATTGCTGTGCGGTTCTCCCAAGATTGGTGGTGAGGAGATCTGGGGTTGCACTCTCCCCACACAGCATCTTCTAGCATACTTCTCAGACTCAGCCTTCGTAAGAGACATTGTTTGTATATCAAGAAGAAGCTTTCCCGCTGAAGGCCTATTTGTAGGATTGGCGCTGAGCTATTTTGCATATATTAACTTTGGATCGAATGTGGCAATGACTTTAATTCTTAGGCTCACCATGTCTTCAATCCAGACCAAAGGGTCGTTGAATGTATCATTGCGCTGCAATCTTTTGATCCATTTTGGCACTTTATCACGCTGGATCCAATAGTAATCTCTGCTCTCAGGTGGGGCTGATTGAAAAAAGTCGCGAAGGTCTGCAACTGTCTCCCCCTTGAGCACGGTGACGACCTCCAGGAAAACACATCCGAGGGACCATACATCCGCCTTTGCATCACGAGGCTGCTCCGTTCCTACTTCAGGGGACGAATACCTATGTGTCTGGCCATTGACAATGCCCTGGGTGAAGTCTTGAGGACTATCAGACCAATCGCGAGAGATGCCGAGGTCGCAGATCACAACAGTGCCGTTGTGAATTAGGATGTTTCCCGGTTTGACATCTCTGTGACGGATTTTCCTGGCATGCAAGTACTCAAGGCCTGAGGCTAAGCACCCAAATGAATGCTGCAAGACGTCTTCACGTCCACTGATGCCGTCCAATTCTTTCATTGCCAAGAGTTTTGCCAAGTCACATTCCGCGGCTGGGGAAAGCACCAGTGCAAAGTGCTTTTTGTCGGTGTAGGTGCCAATGAGTTCGATCAGGTGCGGGTGCTTCGGCGTCAACTTCTGGAGATTGCTCCGTTCTGTTCTGAAGAGCTCGTATCCGTTGGGTGGCTTTTGTTCGGGGTCGGATGTCTTTCGCAAGAACAGTTTGATAGCGAAAACAACACCAGAACCAAGATGTGTCGCACGGCAGACAAATGCTGATTTGGACTCGCCGAGCAGCGTTTCTTCGAATCTGAAGTGGGTGTCGCCTGTGGAAATGGGTCGGTGGCCAACGCTTTTGAAAAGCTCCAATTTGTGAATCGTTTCCAGAGGGGCGAGAAACAAATGCTGATAAAGGAGAATTTCTTTGACATCCTCCTCCGAAAGTCCACAGATCTTGCGGAGAGGTCCGTGACCAGGAAAGGGAAGCAGATCGTCTTTGAAAGCGGAGGCAGACAGGGCAGTCCAATCGCGCCCTGCACGCAACATGAACAGAAGAGCAAATGACCGTGAAGACTCGGACCAGTCTTTGAAACTGTCGGACTGTTGCAGTTCGCTCTGTAACTCTCGCGCATGTGCATCGCTGAATTCGAATGTAAGGGTCGCCCGGTCGCTGATCTGTGGTACAAGTCGAGAGAACTTCAGACGGAACCACTTCTCATCCATGACGAGCACGATGCATTCATTCTCCAATGGGAGCTTCTTAAGAGGAACCAAACTTGCAGATGGACAACGAACTAGGCAGAATACTTGCTGTGAGCCCAACGGGGAATGCAGCCATTAAAGTCGGCGAGGCCACACTGGCCCAAGCGGCGAACGCCACACGAGTTTCCGACACATCAGCTACCATAAATACTTGGTAGTGGCTTATCGATTCTCGTAATATTGCAGGATTAATTCCAGGGCCCCTGTGCTTCCCCACAGGCAACGAGAGTCAGGAATGGCCGTGTAACATTACTCCCGACGGGTGGCTGCATCTACCATCCAGCTTTCTGGCTCTGTCGGTCAGCTGTCTTGCTCAAGGCATCAGCATGGCTGCCTATTTTGTGAAACAGCAATCCAGGAATCTGCCTTGGGTACCCGCTCTCGGGCGGAGAGAGCGGTTCCCAACCAGCCCCTCAGCATCAGCTATTGACATATAATACTAGGGTAAGGCTACCGCCTTGCCCCTATGTCAATCCCATTGGCAGACTGCTCTACCATTCCATCATGGGAAACAGCAATTTTGCTCAACAGGACCTTACCACGGAGCAGCTGCAGCTCATCTCAGCGCCCTTCGCGAACTGGACGCGACAGAGAATAGACACAGAGATCGAGACATTCGTCCAGGAGGCCGGCCTTCGAGATGATAAAGATTTTATCTACCGCGGGGCAAAGCTGGCCCAGGACAAAAACGCATTCGAACGTCCCCACGACCCTCTTAAGTACCGCGATGACTTAGACGAAAAGGAATGGCTTCACCAAGAGTCCAGCGGCAAAGGCAAAGAAAAGTTTCGTCAGACCTGGACGTTGTATAGCCTCGTCATTGTGTGCTCAATCGGAGCCACGGTACAAGGCTGGGACGAGTCGGCTGTCAGTTCAGGTGCGTACTATCGTCAAAGCAAAGTGTAGAGTTGCAGATGCTAATAGTATAGCCGCGCTTAGCCCAGATATATTACCAGTACGCTCTTGATATCCAAGGAAACATCCTCGGGCTCGTGAATGCGGCACCGTACTTGTGTTGCGCCATCACTTGCTGGTGGGTGCTCTGATCTGCAAGGGGCATGCAAATATTGAATACGATGTCATATTACAGGCTCAATTACCCACTCAACAAGATCTGCGGACGCCGAGGTACAGTATGTCCAAAAGCTTTATTCAAGATGTACTAATTCTTGTCTCATTGACCAGGAACAATTTTTCTCACGTGCTTCATTTCTTTCGCTACTTGTCTTGGCCAGGGGTTCGTACAAACTTGGCAACAACTCTTCGTTGTCCGTCTGCTCCTTGGCTTCGGCATCGGTCCAAAAAGGTATATTGACAGACCAACCTCAAGTGAAGAGAGTTTGACATCATCAAAAGCGCTACGATACCGGTATTCGCAGCAGAATGTGCACCGGCAAACATCAGAGGTGCCCTGGTCATGATGTGGCAAATGTGGACCGCAGCAGGTGTGATGCATACTCAATCCACAAAATTGTACGTCAACTCATACAGCCAGGAATTATGTTGGGCTACATAGCTGGTGTAGCCCTTCACGCCGTCTCCGACGGTACATCTGATGAGTGCAAACCTCGAGGTAATTACACATACAACGACAATGGGGCTTTCAAGAATGATAGCGGCGATCTTCCTCCGCACTTGAATAGCACTGCCACGAATATTCAAGTCACGACTGTCAACCATACTGACCGTCTTCTTGCTGCTAATTGTGTAAGTAAACTTTTCTTTGGCAAGGGTTGGGCCTGGAAGCCGTTCTTGATTCTAGCTGAAGCCAATCCCACAGAGCTTGAATTGGCGGATGATGCTTGCTGCGCCGGTGAGTAGTTATGAAAACTGCGCAAGATGGCGATTTAACGATCTACCAGATGATATTGCCATTAGTTGTCATGGCCTACATCTACACTGTACCCGAGAGCCCCCGTTGGCTATTGCAAAAGGCTCATGATACCAAAGACCCCATCAAGAAGAGGAAGCGTTATCAGGAAGCCTGGGCATCACTTTGTCAACTTCGACATACGAAACTCCAAGCAGCCCGCGATTTGTTTCTCATCCATCATCTGCTCAAGAACGAGGGAGAGATATTTGGAAAACAAAGAGGCTTGAAGCAGCTGTTTGGCTTGAAACAGCTTTTCAAGCAAGCAAGAAGCAGAAGGGCGCTACATGCCAGCTTAATCGTGATGTTTCTTCAACAGGTATGCAGCACTGTTCTTCGCGCATTGGATTGATAAAGCTGATTCAAGACAAAGTTTTGCGGTGTCAATGGTAAGTCATCAGTAACAGTACACCTTACTTTCACTCTAACCTCTGCGCCAATAGTTCACGTGTATTATTCTGTATCTGTATTTTATGAGCAGGCCAACTTTTCCGCAATTGCAGCGCTGCTGGTACGTTGATATTACACTAATGAGACGAGTTTGCTTACACTAAACAGTCTGGAATGGGATTCGGCATTATCAACTTCCTGTGCGCTCTCCCCGCGGTCTTTACCATCGACACATTCGGCCGCCGTAACCTTCTCCTCAGCACATTTCCTTTCATGGCCATTTTCAAGCATTCATCGCTATAGCTTTGGCTGCAGACTCCGCAAAGCCCTTGCTTCTCGTAGGAATGTATCTATTCGCAGTTGCGTACAGTCCTGGAGAAGGTCCAGTCCCATTTGTTGGTCTCTCCTCTCCTTATTTCATATCTCTTTGATGAAACTGGTCATTCTTCTAACTCCATCCAAAGGTCTATTCTGCGGAGAGTATGCCCCTTCATAATCGAGACTTGGGTAAGCTGAAAACGTATTAAAAGATAAACCATTTCTTAATATTTGTGATAGGCATGGGATTCGCAACTGCGGTTCTGTGGCTGTTTAACGGTGTCTTGGGTAAGTAAACCTACTGCTCTAAAATAATGATCAACTGTTGATGTCAAGAAAAAGCAATCACGTATCCTCAATTCACGAAAACCTTCACACCTGCTGGGACATTTGCATGGTACGCAGCATGGTGCGTCATAGGCTGGTTTATGATCTTGCTGTAAGCATCCCTGAATAAGGCTTTGTGGTACTATTAGGCTTACATGTTCAGGTTCGTTCCCGAAACCAAAGATCTCAGCCTTGAGCAACTCGACGAGGTTTTCAACCTGAATACCCCAAGACACATGGCGCACGGCTTCCATCAGTTGAGATTCTGGGTGCAAAGATATTTGTTTTGGCGCAAATATGTTAAAAAGCCCACACTGGTGCATGACAACGAGCAGGAATATTCCGAGGCTGGATCTATTGCTGACTGGTCGGAGTCGCGAGGCTCTGAAGGTGGCCACGAAATGCAGGCAGTTAGCGCCTTTCCATAGCAAGAACATTGTACTCAATGGGAAACGTGAGACTGCTTGGCGTTCGAAACTGCAAGCTATAGTCATCTAGGCGAAGCAATGCGATTGTGTTGATCATTCCATGAGCACATGGCTGTGTGATTAAGTGCAAGATCATGGGAAACACTCCTGATTTCATTCGTTCAGCGCAGCCGTAAGAGATGGGTGAGGTCATGCGCCCTAGCTTTAGGCACCAGGCTCAGTAGAAGGGATGCCAAGGCCGAATCGTGGTACATGAGCTGAGGCGCAGTAGGCAACCTACCGTACTACTGTCAAGCAAACAAGCAAAGCTGAAATTTATTGGAATGAGACAAGGGAACGATCCACTTGCCCCGCTTTCACAGCCTCACAGGCTGATGCCTGAAGAACACAATATTGCATGTCCCTTCCATTTGTTGGTCTAGATTCCGATCCGATGGAGCGTTTCTCATAATATAGATGCGGCTGGGCTTGAATGCGGCGCCTGGCGAAGACCGAACAGTATACCGACCTAGCGCGCATGATGATAGTAGAAGAGACCTGTTTATGACGTACCACTATATTTTTGTCAGAGCGTACCCAAGTGGATCCCATGTAGTTCATCCTTCCTCTCGAAAGCAAGCCTGGTTTCGCATCCAGGTATTTTCCGAGCTGATTCAAAGTTCCAGGCAGGCCATGTTTCCACCGACGACATAGAAGAAACTGCGCGTGAGGCTGAAATCTAATCGATGATCAAGTTTACACTGACAGACATCTTTCAAATAAAGCGTGTCTAAGTACTCGACATGCTCGGTAACTAGAGGTAATAGGAACCTTCTTGCATTCCAAAAAGTCCTCCTGGTTATGGCCCAGAGTTACAAGCTATCTCCCATGTCTTGTCCCGATGAGCTTACCTTCTGATGATGGAGCCAATGGGATCTGATGAGAATTTTCTCTGGTCTCAATCAACCGAGATAGTCAAATGCATCGTTTTGGGCAAGAGTAATTCTTTATTTTGGTTTGTTGCTCCAAGTTTTACTAAGGTATATCCCAGCGAAAGATAACGATGATATCCCAAGCTGGAAGTTTCGCGCCGCAGCCTCATGCACGACGCTCGTATACAGCAAGATGGCCCCCACTGTCGTCATCCTCGGTCGCAGCCAACGTAGCACTCAGCCAAATGTGCATCGCAGTCCTTTCCAGAAACAAGCAGCCGTTCGTGATATACAGACACAAATCCCTGGCGGCAATCCCCGAGAATCTTCATCAAACACCGCCTCCACCTCGACGCAGCGGCGGCCATGACGTCCGCCGCGCACCTGGGCCTCGCCAGCTTGCTGACCCTTGGCGCCTCAGCTGCCACCACCGACCCCGCAGCAGCCTTCTCGCATTACACAGCGCCGACAAGCACGGCGACACCCGCGGCGACCGGCGCCACAACCGCGGGTAGCACCACCGCATCACCGACCGCGCGTTCCGGCCAGCCGCAGGCCCCAACCAGCAATGACAGCCTGACCAAAACCGCCGCCATGATCATGATCGGTGTGGGTGCACCGTTGGCGCTTGGGCTGCTGGTCACCATTACGATCTGGGGCTACATGCTCGGACGACGGCACGAGTCGGCCGAGATGGACGAGCAACGGAAAGAGCGCGAGAGACGGGAGAGGAGAAGGAGAAGGGCGCCGGCGACGGTCAGGTACGAGCTGGAAGGGAAAGAGGTGCTGGAGATGGGGACGCGGGCGAACTGCGCCGAGATGGATGATGATCAGCGGCCGCCGGTGGAGATGGAGGGCTTGCGGGAACCGGCGGAGCTGCCGGCCGGGTCGTGGGTAAAGTTGCTAGGGACCTTGAGATGATTTTGGGAAATCTGTTGGTTTGTAAAAGAAAGACTATTGCAAACAACGATGTATACGAGACAACGAATCTGCTTATCCGGGACCGGGACGTATTGGTAGAGCAGCTGCTGTTAAAAGAAATTAATAGACATGTATACTAGTATTTTCTACTTCTAAGACTAAACAATTTATTAAGTTAAAAAACTAATTGTATAGGTAGATATTTTATACTCTCGCTCTAATAGTAAATAGTATATCGCACTTAAACTGTAAGAAGTAGACTAATAGAATACTTAATTATAATACGAGTTCTAAGACGAATTTCTATTCTCTCTAGCTGTAAAGTCTAAGCTACTATATATACGTATTCTATATACTTATATCTAAACTAATAAGTTTCGTGCTCTCTAATATCTAGTATATAATATTATATCTTCTTAGTTCTTAATGTATAGTAGTAGGGCGAAAGAAGTTAGTTTCTAATATAACTCGATCTATAGATACGCGTATCTCTTAAATTTCGCTATAGCCGCCGAATTATTCTTCTATTAACGTATAAAAGAAAAAAGAATAAGTAAAGCTAAGATTATAGTACTACCGTATAATATTATTAGTCTTATATTTATAATAAAGGTAGGTAGTAAGATACGGGCCGCTTGGCGATTAATATTCGCCGTATAAAAAAATGTAAAGCGTACAACAGCCGGAATTCTCTAATAGTTACCTACTTAAGTACTAATCGGTCGGTTCGTAGCTTAAGTACGGCTAAGCGGACGGAAAGCTCTATATTCTACGGCCTATAGTCGTACGTTGCTACGGGGCAGCGCGGCAGCGCTGCTGCTATAGAGGCCTCAAGCAGGCAAGGCAGGCAGGCTACCTTTGCCATATAACAGCTATTCGCCGTCCAGCCGACTGTCGGTCGGTCGGTCGTGCTGCTGTTACTCTTTTCAACGAGTTAGAAGCAGGTAGCTAGCGTAGTAGCGGCTCTGCCCTGCTGCAGCGGTAGAGGAAATAGGCTACTTTACTTTAAGTTTTTAAGCCATTACGCTAAACGAGAGTTATAAATACTATTGCGCTCGTTGCTTATATCGGAGAAAGGTAGTCCTTATCTAGCAGAGTTGGCTGTTCGACCAATCTGTGACAAGCGCACGCTGGGCCTAGCTTAGTATAGAATAACACAAAACCAGCCTTGGAATTTAGGCATTAAATACAATCAAATAAGGCTTTGTTCTGACAGCTTGCGTACAGCGTGACAGGTTCGTGTAGCAGGTGGAGAAGTGGAAGTATCTGGACTGGCAGTTATTGGGGAATGCCCTGTTACTTGAATTTCGATTGTTTCAGACTTGGATCGTCGACTTAGCCTGTGGATCCTCCCCCTTAGGATAGGGTAAAGTCTTGAGTCTCTGTCAGTGTTCGACACTTGACAGACGGTCGAATAATTCGTCCGAGATGAACGGTCGGCAAAACACGGCAAGTTTCAAAGCAGCCGTAGAACTTCTATTGACATTTATCCTTTGACATAGGCACCAGGTTGAGTCGACACGCAGGCAGCAGCAGCCAAGTCTGACGCCGCAACTTGGTAGGTCGATGGCTCGAGCCCCCCTTGGTCTCGGTGACGATGTACAGCTGTCCGGCTTCGATATGGTATCGTGTTGAATACTCCCTGAACCCTGCACCCACTAATGGCTAGGCACATGTCAGCCCTTGATGGCGTGGCGCATCAAGTGCGGCGGATGAGTGAGGCGGATCATGCCAGCGGGGGTGAAGGTTGCAAAGGGATCGTGAGGTCCAATCAAAAGGCGCCGAGCGTCGGCCCAGGTGGTACGTGATGATTAGCGCCCCCGATTGATTTAAAAGCTCATCTCCGCTCACTCATGGCTGTTCTTGAATTTCCTCTCCTGCTCAATTTGAATTCTCTCTCCTACTCATCGATTTTCCCTCTATGTGGGCATGCTCCCACCACAAATGGACTCCTCATCGCAAGACATCATGATGTTTTCAGTTACAGCAACAGGTATTCTCGAAATCTGCTCGCCGGCATCGACTTTCACCCCGCCACGGCGTCCAGTTCAGACTCTTTCCTCCGCGGCCACCACCTTTGGTTGAACGTATCCATTGCGCAGTTCAACAATTTCGCACCTGCGCAAAACCTAGTGCGAGTATCGGCGTCAGCTTTCACCGCCTTCCAGCCGACCCAATCGCCGCAGCCTTTCCGACCGAACAACCACAACCAATCGCGCGAGGCCAACACATGGGAACTGGGACTGTTGCCGCCTGAAAATGACACCTTACCGGTTCGCCCTTGTCCTCGACGCAGGGTTCGCATGATGGCCTGCGAGTTACCATGGCAACAATTGCAGGCCGCCAAACATGCCGACAACCAATCGCTCACCCACCTGCCTCACAATACCCCGGCCTCGCTCACATTCTTGAACGCTATGTGGTCGTCGAAGAAAAGGCATACAGGGGACTCGCGTCGCGGACTGCGGATCCTTTCTTCCGCCTGCTATTGCCATGGGGCGTTCCCGCAGCATTGGCAATCAGCCCACGACCGATGACACGACATGGACAACACAACCAGGATACCCACCCACACTGACCGCGGCGCGCCTGCCCCACCCCCACACCCCCCACGCTCTTCCAATGCCAGCGTGTTGCTCCTGCTGCCTAGCAGAGCGCGGAAGCGGCTTTGAGACGGCAGTGCTTAGGGCCGTTTCGGATTGCAGGAAAGCGGTGGGTTTGGCGGCCGCAGACGCTTCTCGACAGGCCAACGCAGAGGATCCGCAACACAGACCCTCCCTCAGCCAGCTCAGTCCCGTCAAATCCCGCCGCTTCGCCCTTCCGCTCGCCGCCGCGACGGGTTGACATTGCCCGTGCTTTCCCGCAATATGGCTGCTCTTGCGGTCAGTGCTGGACGGGCCGTGCGAGAGCCTTGCCTTGGTGTATGCTCTTGGGGAGGATATAAACAGAGCGCCCATGGGCAGGCGATGTCTGCTTCTCTTTAGCCCTCACCACCACCTCTGCTCTACTCGCTTGTCGAACAGCCCAATCGCCTTCAAAGACATGACCATGAGTGTTTCGTCGCATGTTCGGCGCGCCCTTCGCCATGCCGCCAAAAAGGCTCTTTACTTCGCCGTCCAACGCGCCTTTGAAGAATGCGCTAAATGGGGTGTGAAGAAGCTCCGGGGTCAGTAGCTAATTTTTGAGCCTCTTGAAATACCTTATTCTTGCTAATGGAAAATCAGACTATTATGCTGCCAGGATTCCCGAAAATGTCAATATTCCCCCGCGCGACCAAAACATTGTCGCTCCTCGGGCCACGCCCGTCAATGGGATATACACAATGGACCCGAATACGGAGATGGACGAGCTGGAGAAGGCGATTGGGAGGATGTCACTTTAGCTGCCGAACAGGCAGCGGTTACCAGCGAGCCCACAAGCTGGGACAGGTAGAGGGGACACTGGAATGGGGTCTTTGAGACCGCATATCAAAAACGCGCCGCCTCACAGCGAGCGTGCCTGCTTTTGCGGCATGTAAGCATGTGAGCGCGATGAAGCGTTCGGGATCGGGAGTTTGGGATTACTCGGGATTGGAATTTTGGTTGATAACACCCTTTGCGCTCTACAAAAAATCATACTCTTTACCCTCTACAAAAGAACATGATCAGCTCCGTTCCTTACCTTCTTCTAAGGCGATCGGCTTGTCGAGATCGTGCCGTTGACGACGCTCCGCAGTGGTTGTGCAGGTGCCGCGGCAGCAGACGCGTTCTGGCAGACGCGTTTCGGACGCGCTCCAACACTAGACGCGCTCCAGCACACGCGCTTTAGCAGACACGCCCCAGCACACGCTCTAGCAGGTAGAACAGACCCTCCAGCAGATGAGCGGTCGCTTCAGCAGTTGTTCTATCAGCATACACGCGAGCAGCGAGCGTAGCATATGCGCTCCAGCAGGCGCAAATGGACGCGTTGCTTAGTGTTGGTGCCTATGACGCGATCGCCAAGCCTTGGCATTTATGCCTGAGGCAGGCAGCTGCTGGACCTCTGGAAGCTTATCTTATCAGCTCGCCAGGGTCTCCCCTGCGCCTTTTCCTGTCTCTGGGCTTCTGGTCCTGCAGTTTTCTCATTCAACCTCTCATCTCTCTTCCACTCAATCCGAATGGCCTTACACCAATTCCACGCCTCAATAGTCCTCAGAATACCACGCACTGCGAGCAAACATTTTCATATTTCTCCCAATCCTAAGAGACTCTAGACTGACCGATAGAATGCTAAATAAACCCACATATATATTCCAGCCCAGCCTTTTCAGCACCAGATTCAGGCCCGGACAACCCACTCTATTTTACCTCCGCATACACATCCAACGCATCATACTACTATCTAAATAAACCTCTAGAGCGCATCCGATGCATGGAAATCACATGGCCGCTTCACTACCAGCATCATGCTGTATAAGGTGGCTGATTTTGAGCATGCACCATTCAATTAATGCCTAAGAAGCAAGCGTGCGTGCCAGTCCGACGCGATTGAAGCACTGCCCAGGCACGGATGGCATTGGCCAATGGGCTAGATATTGAGTGGGGTAGAGGATGAGTACCGGCCATTGTGTTGACCGCCGCTTTAGCCCTATTTCCAATACGATTGCATATATCGTCGCGCCCATGATTGGCTTCGGGCGGACGATCGGCCAGCCTGATGCTCTATTATTGCCAGCAGGCTACATGTAAGCAATGTTGTGCTATAGCTCACTCAGGCTTGAGTGCGCTCCAATTTATGATTTGTGGGTGGTCACCGGCATTAGTAAAGGATTATTCGTCCTGGAAGAACATTACTGATGGCTTACAGATAAATACGCCACATACCTTGCGGATTTTCTTAGGGAGCCTCATGTCTCCAATAGAGAATGGAGACAAGGGCTCTGCTACAGAATGGGGGCCAAAAGAGATGGATAAGGCCCCACATTGCTCTAGCCGAACCTTGACGGGGCGACATTGAACCCCACACACAAACAAATCGAGCACCTGACCAGCGATGGAATAGGGTAGACTTGCATCGACCTACAAAAGAGCATTGGGCTGCAGGATGCTCCTGCGTCACAGCCTTACCATGAAATCAAATTATTCCTGTAATAAGAATGTAGCCCGACGCGAGTAAATTTCAGACCAACGTGGCAGTGCATTGTTCAGCCTGATCCTTAAACTTATTTGCGACATAGAGCCTCGTTCAGGTGCCACCTCTGTTGAGTGTGTTCGTTTCACACTGTTGACTCACATCCAACTTCCAAAGTCTTGAACTCATACCTCGCTGCTCTGAGCCTAGGGAAATGGCACAGCGAAGTCCGCATCGGTCCACCTGCCCTTCAGCAGCATCACCAAATCCCTGTGATGCACCTGCTCGAACAGATGCCAATGGAATCGAGAGCCAACGCTTGTCAAAGCAGAGGGAAGAGTTTCGAAAGCTATGGATAGCGAGCACAGCGGACAGCAACCTCACTCTCTATGGCTTCCGCCGCTTCAAGACATCGCATCTACTGAACCTCCGCTTCCTCGAGGCTGAGATTGCGGAGATAGACCATGACTTCTACCAGGCCGGCCTGAGCTTGGACATCGAGCCATCGAGCGTCGATAGACTTGGGTTGGCACACTGCAAAAAAGATGCGCAAATACCGGCACTAGAGGAGACGATCTCGCGCGAGAAGATCCTGAAATTGCGAAGTCTGATTAAAGAATACGGTATAGTTCGCATAAACAGACTCGGCTGTGTAAGCTGCGCTGACACTACAGAAACTCAGACGATGCCTTATCAGCATTCAATGCGTTAACCTCCTTTGACGCCTTCTCCCTGGTCGACAACGAAGAGCAGTGCAGCACCAGAAAGGACCTGACCTTGCACGAGATGTACAAATCAAGGCAGCTGAGGGTGGACAAGAGGACGCGAGACCGCAAGGACCCGCTCCAATGCCTGATTCACAAATATCTGCGGGATTTCCGCTTTCGAAGGCTTCAGAAAAGGACGCAGCCCGGCGACGAGAGCGTAAGCGCCTTCGGTTCGGGGCAGGGGCGTACGCTTCGAAACCACGACATGCTTGCCGCTTGGCTCGGACGCCTCGTCATCGCCATCATAAGTGCCGCTTTCCTCACTGTCCCTCTGGGCGTGTTGTCTTATGAGTCACGCAAGGGCGTACAGCTGGCTGTCGTAGCAATATGCATTGTTGCCTTTTCAGCCGTGGTGTCTGTCATGTTGAAGGCGTCGAACCTGGAGGTAATGGTTGTGTCTGCCGGATATGCAGCCGTGCTTTCGGTCTTTTTCTCCAATGCTGCGCCAGGGACCTGAAGGTCAATCTTCTGTTCTTATTTGCGAAACTTATTTTGTAAGGAATGTACTATCTCAAAATTATAAGGATTTCATGCTGGTAACAAACTAAATTGTCTTCGAGATTGCCAGAGCCGTCACATGGCATTGGTTGCTATTCAGCAGTACGTAATTAAATAATACCAGCACTTGTGAAACATTGAGATAAGCACCTTTAATCTAAACGAACTTTCATCTTTAGGATGGGAATGATTTCGAGAAGTGGAAGTGTACAATCGACGTGTGCAGGACAGGAGCTTCGATGTGCCGGGAAACGTTTAGAGACGCATGAATCCCTTGACGGTTTCCTGTTACGGAAGCTTGGCTGATGCAATATTACACCGCTCGTATGTTGGAGGATTTCGTGGTGCAAGTGCTCGAGCGCCCATCGGAGACTTTGATTAATCGTAAGGCTCTCAGCCGCACCTGTACATACCAATTAGAAGAGCTATGATACTACGCAGGATGTTGACCAGTACGATTCGGGTATGTAAGGGATAAGCTATGACGCGCTGTACACCGTTACAGTTGCATCGAAAAAATAATGCGAAAAGTAATTTCACAACTAGAAAGTGAAAACACATCTGTAGGAGAACGCAATTTCCAAAACAACCTAACAATTCTTAAGCTCATATTAAGCCCAGCCCCATAGATGCACCGCGGGTTTGTTGTCTTTGCTTGTCTTGTCAAGTTCAGTCTACAGAATGCCCACTGGCTCGTAAGAAGTCAATGCTTACATTGGTCGATGGGTCCATGATGCTTACATCGCACATGGGAGCATCGAAGGGGGCTGACTGCTCGAGAACCTGCTGTGCAGCGACAGCGACCGACTTCTAGATCACTGCTTTGACTCTCCCGACATTACGACTGCGGAAATGACGGCAAAGTAACTTTCTCAAGCCAATTACGCGATAAGAATGACATTAAGGCCCCCAGGTGCGATTCCTTCAGGCCATGAGTATTATGTCTCGTAGTAGTACAACAGGTCTTGGCGCAACCCGCAACCGGAAGTTGGCACAGTCAGCACCTTTGTAGTGAGCGGGTTGCAAGGTGGTACGAACTACACAACCATTGCCCTTGCAGAATGAGCGAAGGAGAGGAAGTAACACAGATGTAAAGAAAAATCGCGAACTCAATGCGTGCAATCCGAGCCAGGTAGGTATGCTGACCTGGTTGAACGGTCGGGTGTCGGCTGTAATCCTTCACGCAAGGCAACAATCATACCTCGCCTATGAAAGTTTGGTTAATTCTGATGTGTCTGGTCTTCACTTTTCGGTGTGGAGGGCTAGGAGATATAAAGTCGGGGCATATCGTCAATTTACTATCCATCATCAGCTCAACTGGATTGAATTCATTTCTAAACACAGCAACCAATTCTATCCCGATTCCAACCCATCAAACATCATGCATATCTCTACCCTCATGACAATTCTCTCCACCGTCGCACCTATAGTCGTGGCCGAGTGCTGCGGCGCCGGTTTCTGTCACAAGACTACTCCCAACTGCTTCACACCCAACGCTTGTGCCGACGGAGCGTGGGCGACCCCATGCTGCGGCCGCGGCAAATGCAATATCTTCTGCTGCGCCTGTGACGGCGGTAAGTTTCGAGGACCCCGAAAAGTGCATGGACGGAGCTGTTGACTCCATACAAGGCTGCCACAACCCTAAATTGGCGAAACGACTGAACACCAAGGGGATGGAGCGCAGGACGGCCGAGCTCACAGATACTGAGGCTTTCGGCCAGGCCAACGTTGATGGGACTGGAAACCTTACCCTCAACCAGTATATACAGTACATGGGTGCGACGAATGACGATGAGGTCTACGTCAGCTGGTTTAACAAGTAAGTTATACTTCCCTGGCCTTCTTTCCACGCTTGTTCTGTCTCCAGCTGTAACATTTGTGGCGTTGAGAACATCTTGCTGATTGCTGTAGGCATGACAAAAATGGCGATGGCATCATCACAGCCGACGAGGTCCGCCTTGAGTAAGGGATCCAGCTGTTGCTTTTGAACTGCATGTGACACTTGTTGCTTCACTCGTTTTCAAAATGTCATCCCTATTTCGTCATTTTTCTGTTGACGATGGCGGCGGGGTTTTAGCTTGATCCGTATCTCAACGCGAGAAATGGCCTGCAGTTGAATCACTTCACCAATGTTATCATCCCGAACAAGTTATGCATAGCCACGCTAGGGCTACATTAAATTGAAACTGATCTTTTGATGACCACGAGTGGAAGATGACGAGCTGCCGTGACACGAGTGCAAAAAGAGGAGCCCTTTGGATACGGTTGGAGAGTGTGGAGCAATCATAATACATTTACAATGCCATGTTTGGTACTGCAGATGGATGAATCATTGATGAATATCCGTACTATGATATGCTGCTGAGCCGCGGGATTGCTATACAGCCTTAGGCATGTGGCCAATTGGAATGATGCGTGAGATGCGCGGAAGCTTGACACAAAGGTCAAACTCCTCACGCTTATACTATGCGCACCGCACCGTACTTTTGCATTGGAAAAGAACTTTCTAGACACCATTCGTGTTTTCAATGATATTTGACAGCAGAAATGAACTAGTCTCATTCGACTTGTATCACCAAGTTTCAGTCAATAGACAAAACTATTTCCAAACAGATAAGGGAAAGTTGACTGTGGAGCATACTAAAGCCCTTCAAGCTACATTACTTTAATCAACCTTGCAAAGGCTTCTCAGAAACGTGCTTGGTGATAGTGGGGCCCCATTCATGCGCCCGGTAGGCGTCCCACCACCACGAATGCGTCACGTAGTCAGGGTCGTCTGAATGGAGGGTGAAGTTCCATGGCTTGTTGATGATATACTGGAAAGATTCTCCCTCAGCATGCGGTCTAGCAGATCTCCGTGTAATTCTTCTCCCAGAGCCAAAACAAGGCCCCAGATTGTCAAAAGAAAAAGACTTACATGTACGTTCCGCACCTCATCGTCCCTCCACATCTGGCAATGTGTTCCTCGAAGCTTCTTCAGTGCGTTGTAAAACCACGGTAGCGGCTTCCATTTGCCGAAGAAAAAGTCGGCGAGAAAGTCCTGATCGGGGAACCGGTAGTCTTTCACACGCGGGTCAGTGCTGATGGCAGATTCCATAGCCTCCATCGTCGCGCGCGATGGTTGTAACACCACGAGACCGGAGTTCAGCAGGCGGTGGGTTCTTGGAGATGAGGGTGTCAATGGAGTTGGATTGGTGAGAGCGCCGGGATGTTGTTGGGGTGTGAAGGCGCAGTTTTCGGGAATCCTTTGATATCTTTGTAAGTTTCATGGACACGCCTGCATCCAACAACATAATGGTGTGGAATCGTGAGGCTCTAAGCTTACCAGTCGGCAGGGTACGTTGATATTTTGGCTGGATTGCAAGTGCATGCAAAGCCCGCGGCGATCTCGTCTCTTTCCAGCGGCATATCGAAAAGCTCATCCATATTGCGCCGCACGAGCATGTCCGAATCAACCAATATCACTCTTTCGTACTCAGTCAGCTCGAACGCGCGCAACTTGGCCCAAATGTCTCCGAAATGACTAAAAGCCATTTTGGTAGGTTGTTGCTGGAGAGGCAAGGTCAGTGGATTGACCACTCGCAGTTGGCATCCCAGATCCGCAATCGCCTTTCGTAAATCTTCACCAGCCTCTGCGGTGATCATGGCCACCAAAGGGTATTTGGAGGCCCATGGAGAGCGAAGTAAAGACTCAGAAAAAACAGCCAGCCCCGGCAGATATTTCTCACCCGTTACCAGTGTGGCCCAACATTTCATTTGCGGAGCTGAACCCATTGTGGAGTGCTTGCGGATAGTGAAGTGAAGTGACGAGGCTGAGCACGGCTCTCACGGCTTGCAAGGTCTTTTATACTGCAGCCTCGAAGGCGCTTACTGGCGAGAATAAATGCATGTGATTCATGGCAGGTTACACAAGCTACTCCACCTTTCATTAGGATCCTCGTAAGCGGATCTGATTTGCAGGACTCCACTGTCAGATCCTGTAGGTGAATCTTTCAGCTGGAAGATCGGCGTATCAACAGGCTCGAGCTCTTCGGTCGTGCATCAGCCCTCGGTTATCAGTCCTCAAAGAGGATATTGACCCGAGACACGACGTAGCTGGCGAGGGCCCACTTACTACAGCCAATAGCTAACAATTACTGCGTGCTGGTCAAAGGGCTGAGTTACACACTGACTCAAAATTATTCAAATCCTGAATAGGGACCTAGCAATAATGGGCCCGAAAAAGGACCATCCTTCAATTTCAGCTTTGAACTAAATCTCGTGGCTTCCTTCCGGCGGATCGGTTGCCGACTTTGCCGCTACAAGTCGATTCGTTGGCTGAACATGTAATACGGTACAGCCAATGATGCACTCTGAACAAAACCTTCTACACCTAAACGCTTGCCTCGAAGAAGCTGTCATAGTCCGTGTACTTACAGCTCTCAGCTCAGAAGCATCAAGTCAATGCTTGGTTTCGATCCGCATTTTCCCGCTTCCTACTTACACATTTCATCACTTGTAGTCGGCACTTTAACCTCAAATACCCACTGCTCACGACATTGTGGTATCCTAGCCCATCTGCCATGAGTAGCACAATCGAGACGCTTGAAGCTAGTAAAATTGCTTAGGGTTGATACCGAGATGATAAGCGAGAACGTGAGGGACCTGGGAATGGTTGATCTTGATATCATGGACAAGTCACACTTCACTACTCTGAACTATGCCGTCTGGTAGGGAAGCATACTTGTACATTTTGTTTCCCAAACATGACATTTCCAAAAATATCTGTGGAAGGCACCCACCGATTGTTTCAGCACTTGTAGTATGTACAATGCACTCACATCTTAAGAAAGAACATGGGATCTCTATTACGGTATTTCTCCTATGCATCTCTTAAATGTCCAGAAAACCCAGAGCTTTGACACCGCAGAAGATATGGATGGGAAAGCAGGGAAGCTATTTTAAATCCTAGCCATCGCTGAGAAAGCTCTGCTTTTTGTCTGCCCTTTATCGGAGAGGTTGGCTCAAAGAGCATTTTGCTTTTGTGAACAAAGTGGAAAAAGGGAAAGAAAAAAAATTAATAGGAAGTAGGAAACCAAATGGACTCCTGGGAGGTGGTTAAGTACGACACCATACTCCTCGTTTACCATGGACCTGCTCGGCCCATTTGCCACATCCCATATTGACTTTTCAGGACCTCCCTGTTTGTGCCCGGCGTCCACGCACTTCCAAATTTCTTGAAGGTCATCGCAGTTGGGGTAACAATGCCAGGAGGGGACATTGCCGTCCTAATCCAGGATTGCTTTTCTGCTCCGTCAGTCTTTGAGTCAGACGCTAGCTCCTGCTTGGCTGCTATTGCCCAGGCAGACGACTTCTTCTCAATTTCGCGCAAGTACGCGTCGATAAAGAAGCAGTACAAGTCTCGCAAACCTGGCCGAGGCTGGGTCGGCTGGCGCGTCGGGCGGACCAGCATGCCAGGATCGTTCCACTTGTATTGTTTATCAAAGTCATCCATGATACCTTCGATGGCCCATGACACCTCCCGCCAGTGCTTGTTGATTGTATCGTCTTTGAGATATTGGAACACTCTGGCGACCTTTGTCCATTATAGAACCGTCAGCATGCTATTTCAATGTGTTTGCTGTCCGAAACCCGATTGGACAGATATTTGGGCGAGTTTTGACTTACATCTCTTTGCCATCTCTTGGTATCCCTGATGCTGTCCATCGTTTTCTGAGGAATGCTTAGCTGGAACCAGGTGCCTTTGTTGTTGTTGATTCCCTCCTCCAATAAGGCAAGTCGATTTTCAGTGGCCCCATAAGCCCCAATCTCGCGTGCGCCAAGGAGCCACAAACTGTCATCGTACGGTGCCGATGACTGCTTTACGGTGAAAACAGGTGGTAGATTACTGCCAGTCACCCCCAAAAGCTTTCCAAGAACCCTGCAGCGAATAATCAGATATAACGCTAAAGAAATGTAATATCAAAGGTTCTCGTACCACTCAGGTTTGGGCCGTGTGTAGCCGTTTGGCCAAGGGATCGAAGTTTCAGAGGAACTGCTAAGCCACTTGAAGAAAAGAAGTAGGGCCTGAGCCTCATATATGTGATCGGCTGGAAGAATGTCAGAAGCATATTTTCATGTTACAATGCGGCGGCCGTCTTACCTTGGAACTGTGACGATCCGATTTCGTTACTCTTGAACTTCTTGAAGATGAGGGGACAAGCTGGACTTTTGTTGTTCGTTGGTCCAAATCCCCACCACCTGCTCGCCTTTTTGTTCTTGGCGGCCTCTGCACAGGAAGGATAGTCTTGGAAGTAGATCGTATACTTGACTCCGTTGACAGACCAAGTGTTGAGCTTTCGAGTACGTTGGACGGGATGAATGGGGGCGAATGAGCCATTACCAAATTCCGGGCCAATGGAGCCACTCTTGTCAAAAAAAGTTACATCCCCATTGCAAGTCGGCTCGCCAGGGCGCCCTGGAAAGTATGCACAAGTGGTCGCTTGTCGTGGAGATAGTTCAACATCCCCATCACCGCACGAGCAGGAATAATCCTCGATGATAGGTTCATCTTCGCCCGGACACTTAAGTTTTTTCAGCTTGAAGATATCCGGAGGCCCGTATACGCGTGCACGCTTCTCAAGAGAAGAAGTCTGTCGAGGGGATCTTCGGGTCCTTTCCGTTGATGAAGTTGAGCCAGTCTTGACAGGGCATGTCTGTTCAATGACATTGATCGAATCCATCTTTGTGATATCAAAGCGATCTTTATGAGAAAGAGCTCAACGGAAAGCTGGAGGCGCATCCAAGGCAGCATAGAGTTCGGCACCTGCTATAGCCTCATAGCAAAACTCGCTTCCTTCGGTTCCCGCAGATGCCCATGCATGGAAGGTTAGGTGCCCGTCGCCAACAAGGTCAACCTTGCAGCTCGGTATGTCGATGAAGGTCTTCTTGAAATCGATACCAAATGAAATTACGGGCTTGATGTGTCCAGTGACAAAGCCATGAGCACTGACCTCATAAGTAATCTCTGGCTCTCCAATTGGCTGTGTACCTGACCGACTTGGCTCCTTTTCGGCTTCTGGATTCCATTCGTCGGATGCCACAGGATAGGTCTGGCGGACATCCCAGTCCGCTAATTTCACCTGAGCCTGCAGATTCCCGGAGACAGAGACCTCTCCGTCCACAGAGCCGAGAAGCTTGAAGTTAGGGCCGATGGTCAGAATGCCGGGTACGGTGAAAGCAGCACCGAATTTGTCTGCTGACAAGAATTCGAAATCACCGGATCTAAAAGTGGCTGTAGCGAGAGCATCGACTGTAAACTTCGCAGTTGGCTCTCCCCTGTTCCGAAAGAACAAGTAGGAGTTGCTAAGGTCTGGAGGGAAGTCCAATGTAGTGATAAGCGTAAAGCCGTAAGTAGTGTCAACTTCGACATGCGCTTCGGCTTTCACATCCAGGCTTGCCGATACTTCAACGCCGTTGATGTTGCAGGGACCATATCTCTCCTCAATCAACTTGACGATAAAGTCATCCCTGTAAGAGTACTTGAACTCAACTTCTCCAGAAAAACCACCACCGAGGATGCCTTTGAGCCAATCAAGAACATCGCTGCCGAACCAACGCTTGTGCAGTTCATCATGGTCGAGATGGCCACCATGCATATCTTCACGCCAAGCCTCCTCAAGCCAGCGCTTGTGGTTGTTGCGATGCTCGCTCAGATCCCGTTTCCTCTGGTGTGTAGCAGCCTTATCAACGACGCCGTCCCAATAGCCAGGCTGATTGCTGTAATCAATCCGTACCTGTGTTTTTCCAAGGTCGCGAGGTACTCTGTGAAAGTTGTAATCGAAAGTCAGGTCATAGACCACAGACTCTACTCCACGCTTCCTGAGGTGTTGTGGCAAGCTCTGGTTTGCGGAGACTTCCAGCGACTTGGCGACAGCATAACGTCCAGGTCATTCGGACAGTGTGCTCTGCCTCGCCGCCGTCGAAACAATCGAGAAATTCCCAATGAGAGCCATCGCGCTTGTCGAGTGTAATATGCACTTCTTCGGGTGAAGTAAGCACGACAAATCCAAATGCGCCGTTGTCAGGATCATCATTGTACGCAGCGCTTTTGTCTTTGTTGTTTGCTGAGTCCAATTTAAGAGTGAATTCGCTGTCAGCTTCATCCGCCGGCGGAGGATCTGGAAAAAGGTAGTCCAGTGGAACCGGAAGGAAAACTTCCTCGTCTTCGGGAGGATCGCAACAGTAAGTCAGTTTTCTGGAGAGAAAGCACAAATTCATGTCCTCTGCGGAGCTGTTGACTGCCAGAGCCACCTGTCCCTTTTCGCAACGGTTATTGTCGCATTGTCCGGGGTTCCCGTACCAATCGCAATTGCGCCACTTCTTTTCCTTGTTGCAACAGAGGTTATTCCGTTCGTTACTTCCGGTACGACGGGAACAAGAACCGTGAGTCCAAGTCATGAGGTCCTCACTGTCAGAGCATGCTTCGGTGCATTCGGTCCATCGACAGTCTGGCTTGTTCGCAACAGGGCAGCAGAAAACTCTCACTCCCCACCAGCATGCATCACCTCCATTGCCCCATTTACTGCTGTGAAGTGTCATCTCGTTCGCGTGGCATTGTCCGTTGCAGGCACGGCCAGTTGATCCACGCCAAACGCAATCAGAGGGATTTGGTGCCGAAGATAGCGGGCAACAAATTGCTCTTGTATTAGCAATTTCATCGACGCCATCCTCATCCCTCTCACCACACGATGCAATGCTGATAATAATTTCTCCAGGTTTGCACCATTCGATACCGCAGTCTGTGACCCTGCAGTCTCCATCAGGAGCATTGCGGCAATGGTCTGCAGCCTCTGCTTCTGCGCCGTAGGAGCCGAGAGTTTTGGGATGAATCACTCCTTGCAAGGCGTCCTGGGATAGGTCAGCAAAAACGGTCAGCAGTGAACAGAGCTGTCGACTTACAAAGTCAGGGGTGTCATGGTTGAGTGCCCAAATGAATAAGCCACCTAAACCGATGGAATTGGCAAAGGAGATCTTCTCTTGAAATGTATCAATGTCATCGAAGGAGACCCATTGATCCTTCCAGGTCAGGTATTTGACTGCATTTTCAGTGTCATGATACGGTTCAACGTGTTATTTGTCCATAATTGCCATGATTTCCCTGTATGAGAGGGTGCCGGAACTGCCAGTGCACTCTCCCGGAGCACCCCCTCCTTTGAACAAGCAACCGGGGGTATTGCATGAAGGATCAGCCAACTGGAATGATCGACCGTAGAAACCCAGACCAAGGTTGACTTTTGCTGGGTCGATATCATTCCGCCAAAACAAGTTCAAAGCTTCCTTTATTCCGGTCAGATTGGTATGAGCGAGCACATGAGAGCCGATAGAACTGTCACTGTCCCAAACACCGTGCAGGTCGTACGTCATGACATTGACCCAATCGACATGGTCCATGTACTCAGCCAGGTGGGTGAAATGCCGAAGATACCAGTAGGATGTTGGAGCGGTGAAGGATACGAGATAATCCGCCGGGTCTTTCGCAATAGCCTGCTTCAGCTCTTTCAACAAGAGCGCGAGGTTTTCGCCGTCGTACTCGCCACCGCCACGATCTGACGCTCCGGGATATTCCCAATCAAAGTCCACTCCATCGAAGCCATAGCCTCGAAGGAAAATGAGCAGGTTCGCAATAAAATTCTTTCGGGCGGAAGACTTTGAGACAAGGTCATGGAATACCGGCTGAGTTACGGTGTTGTTGTCGTTAAATCCCCATCCACCGAGCGCGATGAGGACCTTCAGGTCCGGGTTGTCCTTCTTGATAGCAGCGACATCTCTGAATAGGTCATGCGAAGTGTTAGGCATTGGTACGACACCGAAAGTATCCGTATCCGGTGTAATGAAGCCAAACGCGAAATACAAGTGTGTGAGGCTGCGCTCAGGGATATCGGAGATCTTCATGCCTCTGCAAACGCTGTCATGATTCCAAGCTTCGTAGTAGCCGATGATTCTCTTTTGGACATTTGCTTCGGAGCTGCCGGAGTCAGGTTGGTCGCAGTTTGATTGGCAAGATGTCTTGGGGTCATCCGTGACGGCACAAAAGTCTTCTGTCACGCCGCAAAAGCCGTATTGACTTTCGAAATATCAGCTAGACGAAATCGAGTACGGGTGCATGAAAACATACCTGCAGCATATCTTCAATGGGCATTCCTTGCCGTCATCTGCATATTGTCCACATTCTGCCTTTGCATTGCAGTTGCTCCAACATACTTCGTTGGGTGAATGCTTGTCTGTACCGCAAAAGTCGGGGCCAAATCCACACCAACCAGACTTGGCGCAACATGCTCCATTGGAACATGGTATGGACTCAGAACAAGAGCCATCATCAGAGCTATCAAGCTGGATTGTAGCTGAAGCCACGCAAGTGCCGGTTCCATGCTTGAGCTTAGCCGCGAAGTCCTCCTGTGTGAGCAAAAGACCGGTGTGCGCCGAACAGGTGGAGAGCAATGAACCAGATGTCGGGATATTCGAAGGTGTCAGCTTAAGGTATGCTTTCGAGAATGGAATGAGAAGAAGCAGTAGGGTGATCCAGCGCAATATCATCGTTGCGGTTGCCGAATGGTCGTATGAATAGGTTAATGGCGGCGGCGCTTGGAAGGACGAAGTAGTGTGTGTTGGGGAAGTTGCCGGAGGAAGATTAGAAAGTAGGGATTTCAAAAGCTTCGTTCCTTGGTCCTAGCGTGCGCGGGTGACGGAACAGAAGGTGGAAAGGCGGGCGGCGGGCGGCGGGCGGTGGGCAGCTGGCTCTGCCGGTGAATGCGGTTGCCCTGGGCGCCCCCATTAACACTTTCAGCCGGGTGATAGCTCGATTAGTTCTAGTGGCTTAGCAAGCGAGCTTCTTCGACGACGTACTTTGCATCATCTACCTATCCTTCTCTTGCAAGTCTCCCGGGGCCACCCACTCCGCGACGGCAAACGAAACTCAACAATCATGCTACACTCTCGCACTCCGCAGAGGGGCACCTACTCAGCAATGCTTCTCGTTGCAGTTCTCTTAGTGCTTCTGACTCGTGGCACTCTGTGCATGCAGCTCATTACGAACAGCTCCCTCTTAAGCAACAACCTTACCATTTCTTGCGCGGAAGCCCTTGTTGCTGACATCGACTGCGATACGCGCGTTCTCCAGTTTACTTCAGAACAATTCTTTGCTCCTGATGCGCTTGAAGATGCTTGTACAACGAGCTGCGCCAACGCACTTGGCACCTATGAAGCGGAAGTTCAAAAGAAATGTGCCGGACAGACCTACAGCCAGTCCGACAACCTCGTCCTTCCAGTCCCTTTCCTTCCGAACCTCTTTCGATATCGCTTCAATCGTACCTGCATCATGGCCAATGGACGATACTGTAACACTGTTGCCTATGAGCTCTCCTTCGTCCTTGATCCAAAGGCGCCGAGAATGCTTGGTAAGCTTTCCAATTCCAAATACTGGGTCATATGCTGATGTACGTAAGGGAACTACTCGGCGCTCAACGGCTCTTTTCCGAATGCATGTGACGATTGTTTCATCAAGGTTTTACAGTTGGACGCCGGTTCGCCTTTCTCCGACCGTACTCGGCTTGTTTCTGATTTCAGCTCATTGACTTCGAGCTGCTCAAAAACCGGCTTTACGCTAGCTACGCCGAGCGTCAACTTCCCAACATCACCGCCTATGCCGACTCCCGCGCTTAACACGACTTGTAATGGCACTCTTTATAATGTTAAGCCTGGAGATGACTGCCATTCAATTTCACGGTCTGAAGGTATCGGAACGGCATGGCTGCTCTCTGACAACCACCTTCACGCCTATTGCAGCAACTTCCCCGGTGTTGGCCATACACTGTGCATCAAAAACACATGCGATGTATACACCATCTCCGCCAACGACACATGCAGTTCGGTTGCCAGCGCCCATGGTATCACCGTTTCGCAACTCCGAAGCTGGAATCCAGTCCTTGATATGCGCTGTGGGAACATGCCTTCCATGGTCGGAGACCAGATATGCATCTCCAGTCCAGGTCCAAGATATGCTACAGGCTCCATTTCTGGCGTCACAAATATAACAACTTCTGTCCCTGTGCCCACCAACATTGCGAATGGTACGAACACAAGGTGCGCGCAATACTACGAGGTACAAACTGGGGACTATTGCAATTTGCTTGTCCTAAGGTTCTCCATTCCGTTGGATGACTTCATCTTCTTGAACCCTTCTATCAACAAAAAGTAAGCATCCCAACTGCTCTCTATACACTATAATACTGACGCGCGTTTGTGTTAAGTTGCACAAACCTTTATGCGTATAAGAGCTACTGCGTGAAAGCAGTGGGATCGAGTAAGTCCTGACCGTCTTGCACACCATAGAGGCATTCTAACACCTCCATAGTCATGGATTATCCCGGTCAACCAGGTTGTATCGGGCCAACTTCCACGATTGCCGAAATTCCCTACAGCAGCTTCGCAATGGCAACCTATATCCCGCCGACCATCAAATCGGCAGAAGAGCTACCGCTTGCCAACGGCACCATACCAAACTGCTCAATCTACGCTGATGGGGATGAGCTTAACACCGACGTTGATGGGACATCTTACAAATCAGTCTGTGATCTGTGGGCTGAGGTGTGGGGCATCAGTATCACCGACCTTGTAAAGTGGTATGTGCATATATTCATTACCAGATGACATATCTGACAGAGCAAACAAGGAACCCTTCTCTGTTAGCGAACTCCTCAAACTGCGGTTTCAGCCCAGAGCTGCGGTATTGCATGCTTGCAGCATATTCTCCCAGAGGATCTTCAACATCAGAGCCAGCTGTCAACGTCCCATCCTGAATCAACGACTATGAAAAGTGTTAGCTGCGGTACACCGAAGTTTGAGATAGTGTCCAAAGCCTGTGGCGAGAGAGAATTTGGACATGCATAGGCCTGCTTGCAGATAAATGCTATTAATGTTAGAGTTTTGAGAGTGCGTATCTGTCTAAAAAATAAAAAAAGAACAGTACCCTGTAGACTTAAGTTTATGAGCACATTCACGATCTGTGACTTGATTTGCTAGGTTGCGTAGTTACCAATCACCATCCTACGTGATATCCGAAAATGGATTAGCGCATAAATGGCTGCAGTATTTATTTCGCTCCCGGCCTGGATCAACGCATCCCTCTTTGACTCCAAGTTTCAGTACGAGGTCAGGCCTACACCGTAGTAGACGGTCATACTCACGGGAACAAGCTTCGGCGTCTGAAGACTTCAATTCACTCAGCAAACTTGCACGTCTGTGCGACCAGCTTCACTTAAATTCGCTTGGCTCACTGACAGCTCACAGGTTCCACCGACGGTAATCACACGCTGACCTCACTTCATCTCGACCCAACATGTCGGAGAGCACAGAAGATGCGAAAGAGCTACAGAGGCTCAAATACACGCCTGTGGGTGTCCCCGAGGAAGAGTACAGGCATGCACATGGCTTCCAGGACCTCGACGGCCGCATGGGGCTGTCTTACTACGAAGGTCGCTTTGACATCCGCCCGTTCCTATCATTCCAAGTCTATGTGACGCACGACACCAGCGACCAAGAGACTGATAGGGCCGATCTCGCCGCTGCTGTCTACAAGGAGCTCATCCACGAGGAAGAGTGCATTCCTGTCCGCCTCGACATCCACTTCCTTGGCGCCGTGCCCACCTCCGACACAGCCAGCACTTGCGTCGCTCACTACCGCGCGGCCCAGAAGGCGCATGCAGATGATCCCAACATGCGCCTCGTGCCGTCCTACGCCCTGTACGACACGGACTGGCACGGGTTCTTGGTCACGGTGCCCCGCGCTGACTGGCGCGAGCACGGCGGCCTCGGGCTCGTCTACTTCGATCGCGCCTGTGAACCGCCCACCGTCGCGCCTGGAGAGGAGGAGCCACCCGACCCGAAGTACATCTACCCGACGCGCAAGGCTGACCCCAGCAAACCGCCGATCGAGAGCCAACCGTTCACCCGCGACGTGCCGGATGATGACAACCTCTGGACCAATACGGTCAAGTTCGTCTACACCCACATCAAGGTCAAGGAGGATTGGGAGGACATGTACTACGCGAAAGAAGAGGAGGCGCGGGAGAAATGGGCTCGGGAGGAGTTGGCAAGGCGCAAAGCAAAGAAGAAGGCGGAGGAAGAAGCCGACGATGAGGCGAAGAAGGATCAACCATCCCAGGAGTAGTATTGTTGAACTAGTAGACTGATTTGGAACGGGTAGTTTCGGCTGGGAAAAAGAGACCAAACATCGACATTGTCTATAGACATGGCGTAGAGGTCCACTGAGAGCTATACATGGAAAGGGTAAAACAACGGCGTCCTCAAATAGTCGTACTTCCAGCATCCAAGAAATAAAAATTATCACAGAAACTCCCAATCAATTACTTAATGAGCTGCCTAATTGCCTTCTTTGACAATCTCTACTATCATAGTAGCCACCGAAAGAGCGTGAGATCCGGCATTATCTGCGCTCTGGCGCACCACAACGCGGGTCGAACTCGAACCTGGGATATCAGTTGTCATCCGTTTCTACATTTCGGCAGGTAGACCTTTCAGGTCCACGTTGCGGGAAACATCGAATGCGATAGAAAAGGCAAGGACCAAGACTGGGAAGAATGGCGGGCTTCTTTTTGAGCTCTGGTGAAGAAAGATAGGAAGATGCCCCAGAGTCTGGCGTCATCCATTTATCTGACACAACTGGAATAGAGGCGGTTTGATGGTCTGAGCAGTTATTGAGTTTATCTAATTGTCTAAGGTCTTCTCAGCTTCGTAATCATCATCAAATGGCTTTACACCCATGTGTTTCCAGCCAGATGCAGCATGGAGAGACATATCCTTTCCCTTGGTGTGAATGTTCATCTCCGTCTCGTCATCAGAAATGTTCACAACCGCTTTGTGCTGTGCAAAGGTTAGATAACACAGCCATCAAGGTTCGAGGTGAGTACTTACCAGTCCCAGAGTCAAAAGGATAGCACCGTCTTGCCACACATATTTGTACTGATTCCGCGGTTGTTGGCCTTTGATAGCCAAGAGGATGTTATCAGCAGCAACTTTTGCTTGCTTCATAGCAGAACGAGCATTGGCCTTCTGAGCATCTGTATCTGCAACATCACCGGCTGCATAGACATTCGGAAGGGATTCATCTGCAAGCTGCATTGTCGGCTTTACACGAATGTGACCGGACGGCGAAATCGAAGAAGGGGAGATATCCGTTAGGATCCCGGACACCGGCTTCTGACCAGTGCAATCAATCTACCTCAGCGTTAGCAATTACCCCCTTAACCGCTTTCCTGAACTTACCAAATAATCACACGGCAGCACCCTCCCCGAACTCAGCGTAACGACCCCCTCACCCTTCCCTTCATCCTTCACCCTCTCGCCCAATACGACCTCAACCCCCAACTCCTCCATCGTCTCCATAGCCACCTTCCGCAACTCCGGCCCAAACCTCCCCAACACCACCTCCCTCGAATGCACCAACGTAACCTTCTTCTCCGGCCACGCGCTCTTCGCATCCGTCGCCACCTCCACGCCCACCGCCCCACCCCCGACAACAACCACGTTCCCCGCCCCCTCCACCCGCTCCCTCACCCCCCTCAGCACCGCGACGCCCTCCCCCTTCCCCTCCGCGCCCACCATCCGACTCGGCGGCCCCGCACTACTCCCCGTCGCCACCAACAAATACGCATACCTTACCTCCTCGCCCCCGCGCAACACCACACTCTCCCGCCCCACCCTCTCCACCTTATCCCGCTTCCACACCACCGCATCCTTCGGCGCGCGCCTTAAATGCGGCCCATACGGAATGAACGCCTCGTGTTCGTGTCCGGCCTGGTTCGTCCCGCCGGCCGCCAGCCGCGGGAAGACCCAGGTGAAGTGGAAGTGCGAGTGCGGCTCGACGACGACGACGCGGTGGGTGGGCGGCAGGGAGGTCGCGAGGAACTGGGCGGCGTAGTAGCCGGCGAAGGAGGCGCCGACGATGACGACGTTTTGGCGTTGGTGGTCGGCGGCAGGGAGGGGCTTGTAGAGGAGGCGGTGGAGGGTGGCGGAGAGGGTGTGGGAGAGGTTTTGGAAGAGGGTTGAGAGGGCGTAGGTGAAGAAGCGGAGGAAGAGGTGGGTTTTTTTGAGGAAGGAGGAGGAGGAGGGGGAGGAGGACATCGTTGGGTGTGGTTTGTGAGGGCGGTTTTGAGCCACGCAGGTTGGACTGGATGGTGCGGAAGGGAAGTAGGATGGGATGATGATACCTCTCTTATAGATTAAAAGTATTCAAATGTATCTGCCTACCAGGCAGCGAGTTGTTGGCATGCGGGCATGTACCATGTTTTGTTTCCCCAGACTTCGGTGGCCGATCTCGGAGATCGGAGATGATCAGATAGGCAACACGCGTCTCCACGACTACCCGAACATACCCGGCTCATCTCGGCCGAAGTAAGCCGTAAACTTTACTTTATTTGTTCTAGATCTGCTGCAAGCCAGGTCGATCGAAGCGAGGCCGAAGTCAGCCGCGTGGAGACTTGTGGGCCATTTACGAAGAAGACCATACTTTCATGAGTCGTTTGCTTTCCACCCTGTCCGAGACCGAGGTATCTGAGCGGGAAAACAAAGCATCTGATCCTGATCACAATTTCAGCCGCAAGTCATATCGTCGATACTGCTACCAAGTTTCTACTATGGCCACGAATTCGCAGACCAGATATTTGCGTAAGCCAGCCATCGCTATTGGACCCACATCAGTGCACCTATCTTGCAATACATATAAGCAGGAACACGTCCTTCACCTTCCCTCCCAATAAAAAAAGTTTTGTTTTTTTTGGATACCTTTTGGTACCGACAACGAAACCTTCACGCAACAAATAAAATCCAACTTTTCAACCGCAGTCCCTTTCCCAAAACGCATGGCATGTCGGATCTCCGAGTCATAATGCCCGTCAAACAGCCTGAGGTTCCTCGTTGTAACATGCGGGTACACGGGCCGATCCGCCGCAACCATGCGCGGTCAAGGACTTGTCAAGCCACTGACGGAGACGACTTTCTCCACACTTTCTGATTCTTGCCTTGCTATGTATATTTGGGAAACACTTCCCGGTCACAGTAACTGCAACTTATCTGGGCAGTCAAATTCTACAACCGGATATGTCCTTGCGTTTCTCAACCTCACAAGTGTCTGGGTGATTGCTTTAGCAGCCTATAGAGGATTGCAAGTGCAATTGCATCACTATAATATCTCATACCGATTTCGATTCAAGTAGTGAATAACTGTGCTTGGCTTTTCATTCATCTATAGTACAAATTCATGCGAAAACGAAGGCTACCCTGTTCATGTCTCATTGGCAGGCTGCTTCCACACCTGCCCATCGATGGTGGTAGTCAGAGTCCCATTGGCGTTGAAAATGTTGGTCATGACATCAATGCTCAAGTGAAAGCCATCCGGGCTAGTCTTCTTGGTGGCGTTGGTCGCGCCCGTCTGCACCAAGTCCGAAAACCAGTCAACCACCTCCAGCGTCGGAGACGGGTTCTGCACAGTGACATTCTCCGCTCCGTTGAGGAACGTGGCGCCGTCGTCGGAGAAGTCCTTGTACGTCACAACGATGTTGCTGATCGCAGTCCCCTCACTATTCTCCGCGATGACCACCTCCGCCGAGCCCGAAGACTTGCCCTCCAGAGTATACGTACCCTCTCCAGGGTAAAACCGCGACGGAGGCTGCTCGCCCGGGACGTACGGCGTGCCCCAGGGCACAACATCAGACACGGGCGCCACCTTCTCCCGCGGCTTCGGCTCACGGCTCGTCAGACTTGCCAACATCAAGCGCGCCGTGCGGCCGCCCGGCTCCGTCGAATCGTGGCACGGATTCGGATTCTTCCCGCCACACGCCGGCGGCACGGCGAGCGCCTGCCAAAACGCAATCCGCGTGCCATCCGGCGACCAGCGGGGATCAGCCATGCCATTCCAATCCGGATCGTTCACAGCGCCACCGCTCCCGTTCCCAGCAGCGTTGACGCGCTGGCCAAAGTAGTCCCCGCGGTCGCCGTAGCGGTCGATCAGGTAGGGCTGGAAGAAGCGGCGGGCGCCGTTGTTGCGGGTCGACGACGCGGCGGTCGTGGCGATCATGTCGACGACGGGCGGCACGAAGCGCATGCCCGCCATGAACATCTGCCGCCCGCTGCCGCGCGTGTCCATGGCCACCGTCCACGCGTCGTCGGGCGAGATGTCGACCGGGTCCGTGTATTCCGGGTGGCTGGTCAGACGGCGGATGGCGCCGGTGGTGAGGTCCGCGGCGAAGACGTCGATGTTGCAGGATTCGGCCGGGTAGCCGATGTAGGTCACTTCTTTGCCGCTGCCGCTGAAGCCGCGCAGTTCGCCGACGGTGAGGGCGGTGGGGTTGATGTAGAGTTTGGAGCCGGAGGTCGAGACGGGTTGGGTGTCGTTGGGGTTGAAGAGCAGGTTGACGTCGGTCAAGTCGTACCGGGGAGCGAGTGGGGTCCCGGTCGTTGGTGACGGATTGAATTCGAGGCGAGCGAAGTATGTCTGTTGGTCCAGCTTGCCGCCTGCGGTCTGACCGAATGAGTTGAAACCCAAGTGCACATCGTCAGGGTGAATGCGCAATTCGCGAAGGGTTCCACTGGCACCCGAGCCATCGGACTTGACATTCCAGCGAATGGGGTAGATGTGGACCTTCTCCGGAGTGCAATCAGTGCTGTTGAGGTAGCTATCACCGCAGTCGATGATATTTGTGCCAGCCAACAGCCTCTTGCCATCACTGAAGGTTTGAGGGTAGTCCACAGTCTCGCTCCGTCCGACCGCATTCTCCTCCGGAACTCCGCACGTAATGCATTTCCATGCATCGCCATTCGGAAACGCACTACCATCGGTTTTGACCAGGACGATCTGACTGCCGTTGTACATGCTAGCCGAGTCCGGGGCAGCGGGCGCACCTGCGAAGGTAACGGCAGCAGTCACATGGTTACCATCTGGCAGAAAGCTCCCTGACTGAATCAATCCGTTTGTTTGAGCAATACACCCCGTCCTTCGCGGATTAATGTCTGGTGTGCAAGAGCCCTCATCGGTGCTCGGAGTGACCGGTGGCAGAGGAAGTTCGCTGACAGAGATCGGCTCAGGGTCCGGCGGCGGTGGGATCGCCTCCTCGTTCGTGAGTGGCATTTGTAGAGTTGGGGCAGCCAAGGCAGCCACATATAGGAGGGTGGCAGTGGTGGAAGCGGCAAGGCGCATTTTGATTGGGCCTTCAAGCTTGTTTGAGGTTGGGTCCTCCACGAAACGGGACCTTTCAGACCCTTTATACTCAAGTCGCCGCCGATCCCTAAAGGCAGTTGCGTGATGATCGTGCATCCTAATATGGCTTGTCGGGTTTCTTGTCCGGGACTGATCCTTAACCACTACCCGCATACGGATACGTCTAGGTATACGGCGTATACGAACACGGGTACGGCTTTAGCGACAATGACGTCAACGCATACCAGCCGCGCTATGTGAATATGGAAGCAGTTGCCGGACTCCGCTTTAGTTAGTAACACGAACACTCGATCCAGTTACACAGCTTCCAACCCGGAGATATATGTGCGGAGATCTTGCAGTTGAGTGTCAATCTACTGTGCACGCCCTGTCAGTTCAACGGTAGACTCTGCGCCGGAAAGACTTGCCATTCTTTGATGCGGGGTCGAGAAGATTTGGGCAGGGGACCTTACGGTACTCAAGAGGCATCTTTCATGACAACATCCTCTTGGGGACGGAAGCCTGCGTCCTCCAGCCGTCGAATTATACAACGCCGGTTCCCTTGTTGAGCTCGACTGTAAATATCAGACATAAGATTGTGACCAAACCACAAGGGTCGCAAGTCTGATAATCGGGCCAAGAATTCTTCTTCTCCCTGCTCAGCAGCCCCAAAGCAAGCTGAAGACAGCGGAGCCTTCAAGATTTGGAGATCAGTCTTTTCATGATTCAGGATGAGGTTCGCACAATCCATTTTGCCCTTTATTATGGCGTAATAAAGGGCTGTCTTCCCCCAGGAGTCTTGCGCCTCTATGTCGATGTTGGTGCAAGAGAGGAGAAGCTTCGTGATGGGCCAATAACCCAGAAATGCGGATCTCATCAAGGGTGTCCAACCACAAGCACTGCGAGTGTTGGGATCGGCTTTTCCATCAGTAAGAAGGATGTCGACAATATCCGGACGCATAGTAGTGGCTGCTTTCGTAAGAATGGTCTCTCCCTTTGGGTCTTTGATCTCCATGTCGAACCTCCCCGATATGACGCATAGCTTTATAATCTTGGCCGCCTGTTTCTTTCTCCGGTTGCAATCATGAGAGTCACGCAGAATCTGCATTAGGCCCGTGTGCCCTTCTACATCAGTAAGATTTGGGTCGGTCCGGCTGTCATTGAGGAGAATATTAATGTTGCCAAAATAGCCTTTGGACATAGCACTCATAAGAGGTGTCGGCCATTCTGGTAGTCCACGGTTTGGGTCGGTCCGGCTGTCATCGAGGAGGATCTTAAATCTGCTGAAAAAGCCTTTGGACATAGCACTCAAAAGAGGTGTTGGCCATTCTGGAGGCCCACGGTTTGGGTCGACTCCGCGTTCCAATAAGAACTCCAATATGTCTTTGTCAAGTTCTTCATCAATACACCAAAGAATAAGGGAGCGCCCATCTGCTGAGTTTTCAGTATCTGCTCCGGCATTAACAAGTTTCCAATATGCTCTCATATCTCCACATGAAAGAGCTGCCTGCAGCGGAGTCCAACAATAACCATCGCTGCTGGAATTGATGAACTCCTCTGTTGTGTATCGGCTTGAACATTGATCGAGCAACATATCAAAAACGGCTTCACTGCCGTGTCTGATAGCAAAATGCAGTGCTGATGCGTCGTTCGGGGTAGGACTTGGGCCTTTACCGTATGCATCAATCAGTTGACGCATTATATCTACGTCATCAATGAGGATCGCGAGCTCAAATATTGAGAGCTTCCCGCGCTCTCCATCATCGCAGATCTTGTTTTCTTGAGCTCCTGCACGAATGAACGCACAGACGAGATCCTCACGCTGCATTGCAATCGCCAAGAAAAGCGGCGTAACATGATATGCGTCGTTAACCTGAGCTTTGATCAGGTTTTCAGGTAGCTCCTCGAGCTTGATGTCTGGATTTCCAAGAAGGATGGCTAAGAGTGAACTTAGCTTGCCGCTTTTGGTTGTATGGAAGTTTCGGTTGTGCGGGAAGGAGCCCGTCTCCCAAAGATTTTCGACAGTAGTTGCGCGGTGATCCTCTTCGGTCTCCGCGAGCAATTTCTGCCATACGCAGCTGATACCGGCAAGTGCAAACAGATTGAATGGTTCTTCGAGTGCATTGTGATTCTCACTAGATTCCCATGGAATGTACCGTTGGTAACTTTTCATTGTTTCGGGTTTGCGGAGTTTGTACGATGAATATGAAAAGTGGTAAGCAACGTTGGCCCAGGCCACTGTGAACGTAAAAGGCACTTTATCCTTTCGCGCCCATGGCAGAATATCTAGGAGGTCTTGCTGATCAATTCCATACGATTCGACGTAAATAGCGTGGACGATCCAGAAGCGAAGCGCATATTGCGCAAAAGGGAACGTCTCATCGAAGGCGTGCTCCGATAACTCATCCAAGTCATCAATGGCCTCTACAAGTTCTGATAAGTCTTTCATCAGGAGATATCGAATACATGAACGAGACAATTGGAGTTGAGCGTGACCAAAAACGGCGTTTTGTCCCTCGAGCTCAATGATTTTTGCGAGACCGTCTGCTTTGAGATAATCTACGACGGACTGATGAATGAATTGTGCAGTTTCAATGTTTCCATTTGATTTAAATTCGGCGAGGCCTCGTGAGAGGGTTTTGATAGCTCGCTCCACTTTGACGAACAGTGGGCTTTCCGAAAATTCGGACACAGATCGAGCCGTCATCTCCACATCAATGACGAGAGCATGTCGGAGCTCAGAAGGCTTGAGCGGTCTGTCGGCGAACAAGATCCAGATCAAGAGCTTTATTGTCTGTTTTTTCTCCGAAGCTTTCACAGTATTGAGAAGAGAGCCATACAGGGCGTATAAATCTGGTGGTAATTGACGGATCGTCCTGCGAAGAATCTGAATAGACTGACCCGTTTCCCGGTATATCTCCACCACTGAATTTGTGACGAGCGTGGCCCACTGAAACATGCCGTTGGCTTTTTGGATGATGTCTTTCTCTAGAACCTGTGCTTCGTCCTCATTGAACTCGCTGCGAAGTTCAGCCCTCACGATCCTATCAATATCAGACGCGTTCTCATTTTCCATAGAGATAGCAGACTTGCTGATAGTGGGAAGGACTGGATAGTATCGGCATGAGAAAATGACTCGGACGTTCGGAAACTTTGTCAATATTCCAAACCACTTGACCAAATCTTCCGCCGTTTGCTTTCCGGCCTCGTCAAGTGCATCTACCAAGATGCATACTGATCTCGTGTAGGCAGCCAAGACCTCGCGAATGACCCGCTGTAATTCGTCTTCCGACCATTGTAAACTCGGGATAACTGTAAGTTTTTCTTCGCAGTGCTGCACCAGCCAAAACAGAACTTCTGATGAACGAAACGCCAGTTGATGGAGAATAGAGCGCATAAATCCCATCCGGGTTTGTTGTAGAGTGGTTCCACGGGCATGGAAAAAGAAAGATACAAGCGTCACAGAGGTGGGGAGACGGCGGACAAGAAACTCCCAGGCATACTTCATCAAGGTTGATTTCCCCGATCCAGGGTGCCCCTGAATCCATAATCTCCGCAGTTGGGGATTGACTGGATTGTGAAACCATTCTTGAAAGGTCAAGTTTTCGGAAAACCACTCGCATGTATCCTCGCCAGGGCTTATTTCATCTCGACGCCAATGTTGCTCCGGAAAGCCCAGTGATTGAAGTACCTTGGTTTCTTTGTCTTGTAGCGGTTTTGCTTCGATGTGGAGTTGCTCCTTGGTTCCCCTCATAAGCCGGAGTGTTGAGAGTACACGATCGTAGTCTGCGTCATTTGGCTGAAATTTGACAATTTCAGAGTGGTTGCGATTTACGGCAATGGAGGTGTCGCTCATCGAGGTTGCCGATGTCTTCGAAACGAGAAGTTTCGACGGACCCGACATCTCCCATTTCCCCAATGCCTATCGGTATTGTTAAAATTCGGCTCATCTGTCAGCCCATATCTGAGACTCACATTCTTCTGCACAGTCGGCGTCTCTTGAGTCTCGAAAAATGCGACCACGGAGGCATTGCTCATTTCCAAGCGGGCTTTCTGAAAATTTGATTGCTGAAGCTGCAGAAAAGCAGAATCAACACTCAGACTCGCAATGAGGTCTCTATTTGGCTGTTCGTTGACCATCGTAATCAGTGCCTCAACTGACATCCCCTTTTGAGGAACACCAAAAAGAAGCACGCCTGTGATTTTCTGAAGAATAGGCTCATATCTCGAGCGAATGACGCCATGAGAACACAGTTCGACGAGTGCCTGAAAGTATTATCAGCGGATCTGCCACTAACTGTCACAGACCGGTATATTGACTGACTGCGCCACATTGAACCTCAACAGTTCGGTTCAATCCAGTACCTTGGCTCGAAGAGGCCTACGTTAACCGGCGTGGCGTAGTGGGTAAGGTCGAGCCTTACCCTAACAGAGTTCTCCAACTTTAAGATTAGAACGGAAATGTGTTCTCACCTGTTCAACAACAAGGCCACCAAGGCTATGACCAAGGAATATCAAAGATCTACTGGATTCAGAACCCGTAGTTGAAGCCAGAATGAGACCTTCGATGCTGGACGCTAACTGTGATCCAAGGTCGAGAATAGACTGGTGTGAGGTGCTCTGGACCATTGTCGTATCGTACCCGTAGATGAACAATCTACAACCCGGAAATTCTTCAGCCAAAGCATCTCGAATCCACATAAAGTCCAGCCCTTTAGCTTTGAATGATCCAAAGGCATGTCCATTTAGACCGGAAAGAGCAATCAGGCTAAATGTCCGGAAGAACTCAGTCGTTTACTCAAATATCTTGAGAGGACTCGGGCACACTTACTCAGTGTTGCATTGCTCATCCTCCCCATCATGCAACGGGGTAAAACCGTGGAAGTGAGTGTCAAGGGTAAAATCAAGAAACTTTCCTACGACAATCGGATCCGGTTCTCGAAAGGACCACACGCCGGTCTTCTGTTTTGGAGCGACGGTTGCGGGTCTTTCCAGAAGAGACAGTGTAGCAATCTTTGAGTCGCACTTCAACGGATGCAGAGCAAGCGATCGTACGGAGACTTTGCTTTTGTCGACGCTCAATAAGCGACATGCCAGGTCTTGGGTGTCATGCCTGTTGTAAGCCCTGGGTATGCCCTGAAGTCTATACGTGAGAGCTGTGTTTGTGGCCATGTCGACCACCAATCCACATGCCAGCCACTCCTTGACGCGTGAGCTTTCACTGAAACTGGATCATGGATGGAAGCGAAATGAGTTCTTGCATGAACGAGACGGTTTGGCGTTAGGGTGGTCAGGACGTTGCAAAGCTGATGCAAAGGCAACAGCGGAGGTAGGATCGCAAGGCTGCCGTCGGAAGCTGTACGCACTCCGCCCCACCGCCTTGATTGGTCGACATTTTTCGGCCGGGGTGTGCTGCAGCATTGATTCTAAACGGAAAAATGCAGTGCATATGAATAGTACAGAGGGGCATTGCACCCGACGGCTAGCGTTAATGTATTTTTCGGTCATGCCATGAGTAGTTAAGCTATCATCCGGATGTAAATGTATAATTATCAATTTCACATTTACATCCGGATGATAGCTCCAACTACTCATGGCATGTTCTTTTCCATTTTTTTTTTAAAAAAAAATTAAACTGAGGCATAGTTACGCTATGTTCCAGAGCCCTGTCATTCTTCACGCTAGCCTTCGGCTGCAATACCCCTCTGTATGATTAAATCCACTATCTACTATTAGTAATTTCTACTATTCATAAAGCTCGATTGCTACAGAGAACAAGTGATTATCCGTCCTATAGCGAATTGTCATCTTTTCGTGTTGCAGGCTCCAGACCGGTTTTAGCAAACCTGACGAGTGTAATCCAGCGAGAAGGTGAGTTGAAGCTTCTGTCCAGAAGTTCTGTTGAGATTAATCAGTGCATCTCCATCCGTACCAGTGCTTCAAGTACCCATTTCGTAATTTTCAAGTGTTACAGTGTGATTACATAAACCTTGCAATTAGGTGCTTCCACATCACAGTCGTAGTCGCGTTCTTGCACGAGTGTCATGTACATACCCTTCAGGTTCGAGAGCGTCTATATTTCCCATAGCTTTTTGATGTCCCAGTCCCGTGTAGTCATTTTCCGAGCGCGTATCGCCCAAAACGCCTTCGAATGCATCCAACGCCGCCCCCTTAGTCCGTTCATCTTTACTCCTCGTCACTACTCTCATCATCGTCCAACGGATGGAGTTCCTTCGACATAAACGGCCCATCTAATTTGTAGCCCTTTTGCCCCCAAATTAGCTTTTTTGATGGTCCAAACATGTGTAAGGTCATAGAATAGGGGCGGCAAAAGGACGGATCGGGTTCAAAGTATAACAAACACTTACCAGCTTCCGGTAGTAATCCCGCACTCCAACACCCGAGATGACACTGATTTTCTTGCTGCCATGCTCCTCCCTCGCGATCCTCTCCGCTTCCTCCATCAACAGGGTACCGTAGCCCTGGTGCTGGAACTTCTTCGGATCACGAGCGTGCATCGGCACTGCGGTTCCATAGACGTGGAGCTCACGCACCATACTTGTAGGCTGGCCTGTAAGCTCCGGGCGGAAAGTGTGCGTCTTACTGAGCTTCCTCAGACGCAGCAGACCGATCAAGATATCCTGCTTCGGGTCCTCGTACGCCAGGAACGTCTCCCAGCCACCGTTGGCAACGTAGTCTCTGCGTACGAGCTCGACCTGACTAGGCCGGATCTTGTTCTTGACCTCGTTAATGCCGACTTCACGGGTGCGAACATCGCGGCAGGTGGTGCCGAAGTCCTTCATGCGGGCGAGGGCCAGCTCGCGCAGGTTGCCGTTCTCAACACCGGCGGTGACAAGAGGCATGGGAATATCACGCTGGACGCGGTAGATGCGGGTCCACGGGGGGACGAGGGCGAGGATCCGGGCAACGAGGTCAATCAGCGCGTTGGGGGTATAGTTCTTGTAGCGGCCCGTCCGCCACAACTCGTAGAGGCCAGTTCCACGGATGACGAGCGTGGGGTAGATCTTCAATCCATCGGTGCGGAAGGCCGGATTCTCAAAGTACTCGCGGAACTGGTCGAGGTCGCGCTCCATGCCGACGTTGGGCAGGTCAGGCATCATGTGCGAGACGACCTTGAAGCCTGCGTCCTTGGCCAGCTTGAACGTCTCCGCCACAGCAGCGACGGTATGGCCGCGGTTGGTGTCGCGCGCGACGTCCTCGTACAGACTCTGTACGCCAATCTCCAAACGCGTGCATCCGTACCGTAGCATGGCGCTCAGATGCTGGTCCAAGCAGTAGTCGGGCCTGGTCTCAATTGTGATACCCACGCACTTGACGTTGCTCATCTCGCCCGCCATGACTGCCTCGTCCACATTGGTGGTCTGGTATCCGCTCAGTGCATTGTGAAGCTGGGAGATGAACTCGTCACGGTAGCTCTCAGGTAGAGACATGAAGGTGCCGCCCATGATAATGTACTCGACTTTATCCACACTATGTCCCAACGCCTTGATTTGGTCGACTCTGCCGCGCGCCTGCTCGTAAGGATCGTACCGCGCCCGGATAGCGCGCATGGAGGTAGGCTCATATCCGGTGTATGACTGGGTTGAGTATTCAAAGTCGGAATCGGGGCCGCCGGGGCAGTAGACGCAAATGTTGCCGGTGTAGGAAATGTGAGGGCAGCGGTGGGGTTTGCACATAACCGCCACCACGGCGATGCCTGATGAGGTGCCTGCAGCGCTTCAGTTAGAATTTTGGACCGCCGAAAAATATTACTGTGTTGGAACATACGGATCGGCTTTGCTATTAACTTTGGCAGAATATATTTTTTATAGTGTTCGGGCACAGCAGCAATAATAGCAGTGAGTGGCGGTTGGGTGCTCAAGTAGTGCTTCTTGGCCATCTGGCCGCGAAGCGCATTGAGGTTGATATCCTTCTTGGGCTTGGAACCATCCAGTGAGGCCTCATAGTCCTGGATGAGTGCACTGGCAATGTCTGCGCAGGCGCGCATGTAGCGCTCGTTTTCCGGCGGCAGCTTGACATTTTTGGGAAGCCGACGGCCCTTTGGGATGGCCTCGGTCATGGTGGTGGTCGCCATGGTGGACTGACTTCTGGGTCAGCTGAGATGTCTGGGGTCGTCCTGTGCTCTGCAGTGCGTTTGCGGAGGTGGAGCTTATGACATGGGCATGGCGGGCATGTGCATGTGGGCGGAGGCGGGATGGTCATCGGATTCTGGGCGGCGTTGCGCCGATGAAAACCTCCAATCGGTCCCTGCGCTTGCAACACCTCCGCGTCGCAGCTGCTTGAACCCAGCAACCACACCAAACACCCCGTCCTTTTCCATCTCCCCTCTCTCATACCTCACCATGCAGGCTTTCCGCCGTCCCGCCCAAGCGGCTCTGTCCGCCGCCAGCCGCAGGCAGGCTTACTCGACCGCCTCGCCCTATGCCTCTACCAACGTCAACCTCCGCATCAACAAGGACACCAAGGTCCTTTTCCAGGGCTTCACTGGCAGGCAGGGAACGTGCGTCAGCCCCTTATCTGCCCTGTAGTAATGCGACGCTAATTCGCCCGCAGCTTCCACGCCCAGCAGGCCATCGAGTACGGTATGCAGCTCCCGGCCCAGATAGTCGCGTACGCAACACGTTGATAAAAGAATTAAGGCACGAATGTTGTTGGCGGTACCAACCCCAAGAAGGCCGGCACCGAGCACCTTGGCAAGCCCGTCTTCGCCAGCGTTGAGGAGGCCCGCAAGGCCACGGGCGCCGATGCCTCGGCCATCTTCGTCCCCCCGCCGCTTGCTGCCGCCAGTATCGAGGAGGCCATCGCCGCCGAGGTTCCCCTCGTCGTGACCATCACTGAGGGTATTCCCCAGCACGACATGGTCCGCATCACCGATATGCTCAAGACCCAGAGCAAGACCCGCATGCTGGGCCCCAACTGCCCTGGTATCATTGCTCCGGTAACTATACCCCACCTCTAGCTTGGGGTATGTGTATCTGACAGCTGGAGCAGGGTCAATGCAAGATCGGTATCATGCCTGGTTTCATCCACAAGCGCGGCCGCGTTGGTATCGTCTCTCGTTCCGGTACCCTGACCTACGAGGCCGTCAACCAGACGACCCAGACCGGCCTTGGCCAGTCCCTCGTCGTCGGCATTGGCGGTGACCCCTTCTCCGGCACCAGCTTCATTGACTGCCTCGACATCTTCCTGAAGGACGAGGAGACCGATGGTATTATCATGATCGGTGAGATCGGTGGTAGCGCTGAGGAGGATGCTGCGGATTTCCTCAAGGCCAACAACACTGCCAACAAGCCCGTTGTCAGCTTCATTGCTGGTATCTCTGCGCCCCCGGGCAGGCGCATGGGTCACGCCGGTATGTTATCTTCTTGTCTGAGCTCAGTGTTGCATTGCCACTAACGAACACTAGGTGCCATCGTCAGCGGCGGCAAGGGTGACGCCAACTCTAAGATCACCGCTCTCGAGGCGGCTGGTGTCGTTGTCGAGCGGAGTCCCGCTGCTCTTGGCAAGTCTCTGCACGCCGAGTTTGTCAAGCGCGACCTGATATAAACCTCTGCGAACGAGACGGAAAAGCTAGGTGGGGTAGGGAGGCTTGAGTTGATATTTGTTTAATGCCGGAGCAAAGCTTGGAATTTCTAGCGGATGTACCTGCATCATCTCCGGCGGCGATTTTGCTCGCTGGTGTACAGTTATTTTAGAATGGCGGCAATACGGCGGTTCTGGCTCTGATATTCCGAATACCCGCGAACAAAAACGACGAATTGGTTGAAATGGCGCGCTGTGTGTGTACTTGAGCTTGTGCTTGACAGCGGCTGGCGGGTGGATGCAGCTGTGGGATCCGCGGTGATCCCTGCTCCCGCTCCGCCCCGGATTATTGTAATCACCATCACCCCTCGATCGTTCCTCCTACCCAACACCCCTCCGTCCTCCTTTTGCTTTCCTTCGCCGCGGTCCGTGAAAATGTGTGTCGCTCTCTTCGCCACTGCGCGCAATCGCGCCCACAGCTAATTCCCGTGGTGTTTCCCGCAGGCTCTCCGGCATTCTCATCTTCAACCAAAAGGGCGAGAACCTCATCTTCCGCGCCTTTCGCAACGACTGCCGCCCGCGCCTCGCCGATGTCTTCCGCATCCAAGTGATCAGCAATGCGCAGGTGCGCTCGCCCATCCTCACGCTCGGCTCGACGACCTTCAGCCACGTGAAGCACGAGAACATCTACATCGTCGCCGTGACCAAGAGCAATGCCAACGCCGCCCTCGTCTTCGAGTTCCTGTACCGCCTGGTCGGCCTAGGCAAGGCCTACTTCGGCAAGTTCGATGAGGAGGCCGTCAAGAACAACTTCGTGCTGGTCTACGAGCTGCTGGACGGTATGCTGGACCCTGGGAACATAATCCGCCCGTCTGATTTAACAGCGGGCGGCCTGACAAGCGGGGACTAACGAGCGGAGCAGAGATCCTCGACTTCGGATACCCGCAGAACACGGAGACGGAGACGCTGAAGATGTACATCACGACCGAAGGCGTCAAGTCGGAGCGGGCAATGGTACGCACGATATCGGGATGAAGGCTGGAACGCAGGGCTGACCACAGATATGCAGGAGGACTCGTCTAAGATCACGATGCAGGCCACCGGTGCGCTATCCTGGCGACGCGCCGACATCAAATACCGCAAGAACGAGGCCTTTGTGGATGTTATCGAGGACGTGAACTTGCTCATGTCGGCTACGGGCACCGTCCTGCGTGCCGATGTCAACGGACAGATCGTCATGCGCGCCTATCTCTCCGGTACGCCGGAATGCAAGTTCGGGCTGAACGACCGCCTGACGCTGGGCGAGGACAGCCTTTCGGCACCGTCGGGCAACCGAGCGGGCACCAAGGCGACGCGCGCTGCCGCGGGTTCCGTCACGCTCGAGGACTGCCAGTTCCACCAGTGCGTGAAGCTGGGCAAGTTCGACACGGACCGCATCATCAGTTTCGTGCCGCCGGACGGCGAGTTCGAGTTGATGCGGTACCGCGCGACGGAGAACGTCAACCTGCCCTTCAAGGTGCACGCCATCGTCAACGAGGTGGGCAAGACCAAGGTCGAGTACAGCATCGCCATCCGCGCCAACTACGGCTCCAAGCTCTTCGCCACCAACGTCGTCGTCCGCATCCCCACGCCGCTCAACACCGCCAGCATCAACTCCCGCACCAGCCAGGGCAAGGCCAAGTACGAGCCCGAGCACAACAACATCGTCTGGAAGATCCCCCGCTTCACCGGCCAGAGCGAGTACGTCCTTAGTGCCGAGGCTACCCTCACCAGCATGACCAACCAGAAGGCTTGGAGCAGGCCCCCGCTCAGCCTCAGCTTCTCCCTCCTCATGTTCACCAGCTCCGGCCTGCTCGTCCGCTACCTCAAGGTCTTTGAGAAGAGCAATTACAGCAGCGTCAAGTGGGTCAGGTACATGACGCGCGCTGGAAATTACGAGATCAGGTTCTAGACAAGAGAAAAGGCAGTGAACATATAAAGAGGCGGAAATCGTACATAACGTTTGGGAGAAGACGGGAAAGGGGGGGGAATGCTGGGCAGGTCTTGGCGTTTTGGAGAGGGGAGCCTGGAGCCTTTAAGTCGTTTATGTCTGTCTGCATGGTTGGGATGATATCACAGAACCCTCCAGGCTTGCATTGGGCTGGTGTTTTCTTTGCTGGGAACTTTTGATTCTGTTTTCTTCTCCCACATCCAGTTATAAAGTTTCTCGTCTTTACGCAGAAACGCTCTGAGCGGTGATATCCGGAAGCTACTATCAACGAACTTAATACTTGACGGTCAAAAGGGTGTTTGAACATGTGAAGCGCGAGACGACGCTATTTCCAAATTTACAGCCCTCACATTGAACGCTTAACAACTTCTCTCCTATTCGAACACTTTCATACGAGACTTGTCCTGCTGAAAGAATTGCCCTCCCAGAGAATATTCTTTTTCTCTAAGACGATTACGCCCACCCCTTCCAGCCATCTTCAGGCCCGAAACAAAAAAGGAACAGATTCCGTTGTGCGCCAAAGAGTCTGAACCAACCCAAGCTAACGAGAAACAAAAATCAACTATGGTACTTAAGATGTCCTGCAAAAGGAACGCCAGAAATACATCCCTCCCTCATGCGCTCCGCGGACAATGTAGAGTCGAGGGAAACGAGGAACGGCAATGGAATGTGGTTGTATAAGATCGTGTCTGTTTCCCCCCTCGCAACCAAGAACCGGGCACGGGCGTGTGGAGAAGGAGAAGAATGCAGGTATCATAATGCGCCTCTCCCGCCCCTTTCATCCCGTCCGACCCTTTGTTACTGCCCTCTCCATAAAATGAAATGCTCCACCATTCAGAGTTGATTGCTCAAGATCTCTCTGCTCTCGGCTTGAATCGCGGTTATGAAGGTAGTCGAGTACGTGGGTGGAGGTCGAGTAACGGAGGGGGTTTCTACGAGAGCGCAATGGCACCGCGCCTGCTCTCACGCATGTGCAGGAATGCTTGCCCGGAGCAGAATATCAGGAAGACCTATACATGTGATCAATCCGATGTCAGCTTCCCGCCATTGTTGAAGTAATATGTTCGTGTTGGAAGGGAACAGGATGATACGTACACCGTAGACGGCGACAGCTCCGAACACGGCTCCTGCGACAGCCTTGCCGTCTTCCGGGTCTTCGGTCGAGCCCATCATGATGTGGTTGTTAGACTAGAAACGCGAATCGTCAGCTTTGCTTTCCTTTGTTGTGCATGTGTAGAGAGGCTGGGGACGAGGCAGGCAATGCTCTCGGTAGGCCGGAGTGAGATAGCTGAGAGGTGCGACGGCTACGGGGATGTGGCGGGCAGTGCGGCGCAATGCGGTAGCGGGAAGCACGCCGTCGGCTCCTTAGCGGGTTCTTTTGCGCAGCTCCACGTTGTCCACCACACCTCGACAATTGTGTAGCCGCTCCATGCAGCATCTATCTCTCCTCCATAGCACCATGCTCATAGAGTTGAGTAGCCAAGCTCGCACCATAGCCTCCAGATGCACGATGCAGCCCAGTATCCGAAGAAGCTAGAGCCAGGCGTATGACGACAGATCCAAAACGCACCTTAAACAGCGATCCGATGACCGAGAGGATGACAATGGCGAAGACGGACACGACGATGCTGTTCAATCAAAACCCATCAGCATTCAGCTCAACCCGGTGTCCATAGCTCCCAGCCAAGCCATGCGGCGCTTATACTGGCTCACCCGCGCCCCAGACAGGCAGCGGGGACAGCAACAAGCGCATGCAGAAGAGAAAGCGCAGCGTACCATGTCCATGCGTTGAGGGCGGAGACGACGGGCTTCATGATGTCGGCGGTGGGCGATGATGCCTTTCGTTAAAGGTGGGCGGTTGCTGGTTGGAGCTTTCGCTTTCGGCGAAGTCGGCTGCGGTCGCGGAGAAGACGGCGGCAGTCGCTGCTGCAGTGGGCGGGTAGCGCGACGGGCGAGTAGTCGGCGGTTGTTGTGAGGGGATAGCAGGCCGTTGATGGTTATGGCGCGGCAGAGGTGGGTTAGAGGTAGTGTGACGACGGGGTGCTGAGAGGTTGAAGTTGGTTGATGAGGCGGCCTACTTTCTTGGCGGCGGCGGGCTGCGACGCAACGCAATCCTTCGAGCTTCTGGCTCGGTGGTGACGATGTTCCGCCCGGACGCCCTCGATTGAAGGGGCCTAGCTATGACACGCCCAGCTGACCGCGGGATGCTACGCAAACACGCTAGTGATACCATGCGGTGTGTTGACTTCACTTCGGGAATTGGATGTTCATCTTGTTGCATATTTAATGAGATGGTGCCAGCCAGTTATTAGCAGCACTGACAGCTTTTCACTATGGACCTTATGCATAACCGGAGATGGCAGCAATAACAGCTATGAGCCATTCGTTCTGACGACTCTACTGTCGACTACTCGAGCTGGACGACTCTCGAGACTACGCGACTCTACCAATAGCAGTATTTTCTGCCAGACATGCATTCTATTTTTGGATATCCCATTTCGTAACCGATCCACGTACCTTTTTGTCTCCTGAGTTTTGTATTCACGATCATATCCACGTCCCTGCAATGTTCATCCCACTTACCTACTTACTCGTTTACTTTTTCAGCGCGCGGCCTGCAATGTCCTTGCGGTACTGCATGCCTTCAAAGTGGATGGCCTCAACTCCCTTGTAGGCCTTCTGAACGGCCTCCTCGAGCGTGGGTGCCCATGCCGTTGACGCAATGACACGGCCACCAGAAGTGCGCAGCACGCCATCCTTCAACGCAGTGCCAGCGTGGAAGTGAACGGTATCTACAATAAGTTAGCCTGTGGCGGATTCCATCCGCATAAAGTCACCCACCAGTCGGAACAGGGTCGAGCTTCATCTCGGTGCCCTTTGCATACGAGCCGGGGTAGCCGCCGGCAGCCACCACCACGGTAGCAGCACTCTTCTCTCCCACCTTCAGATCAAAGCTGGCAAGCTTGCTGTCAGTGCAGGCAAGCATGAGCTCAGCAAGGTCGCTGTCCATCAACGGCAACAGCGACTGGGTCTCTGGGTCACCGAAGCGAACATTGTACTCGAGCACCTTGGGGCCGTTCTTGGTCATCATAAGACCAGTGAACAGACAGCCAATCATGGGGTAGCCTGAGACGGTAATTATTAGCCGCTCGCAGTTCCAAGCATGTCAAGACATGACATACCCTCAGCCTTCATGCCGTCGACAGTAGGCTGCAGCACCTCCTTGTTGATCTTCTCCACGACGTCCTTGGGTGCGATGCGCGTAGGAGAGTAGGTACCCATGCCGCCAGTGTTGGGGCCTTTGTCGCCGTCGAAGATACGCTTGTGGTCCTGAGCTGGGGGCAGGCTCTGGATAGAGGTCCCGTCACTGAAGGTCAGGATGCTGAGCTCGTCGCCCTCGAGGAACTCCTCAATGACAACCTCGTCACCAGCAGAACCAAACTCGCGGTCCAGCATAATATCCCTCAGGGCGCGGTGTGCCTCCTCCTTGGTGGTGGGAATGATGACGCCCTTGCCGGCAGCGAGACCAGAAGCCTTGATAACGACAGGGTGCGAGACGCTGTCGAGGTAGGCGCGAGCCTCATCGTGGGAAGTGAAGTTCTTGTAGGCAGCGGTGGGAATGTTGTGGCGGGCCATGAAGTCCTTGGAGAAGGTCTTGCTGCCTTCCATGCGGGCAGCAGCACCGGAGGGACCGAAGCACTTGATTTGGGGAGCATTCTTGTTGAAAACATCAACAATGCCGTCGACAAGCGGGGCCTCGGGGCCGGGAATGAGAAGGTTCACGTTGTTCTCGACAGCGAACTTGACGAGACCCGGGTAGTCGTCGGCCTTGACAGACTCGACGTTCTGCGTCTTGGTGAGGAGGGCGGTGCCACCATTGCCGGGAGCGACGAAGATGCGGTCGATGCGGGGCGATTGAGAGAGCTTCCAGGCGAGGGCGTGCTCTCTGCCGCCATTTCCAACGAGAAGGACACGGACGTCGGCCATTGTGGAGTCTGGGGGTTCGTGTTGATGCTTGGTTCTGCGAGTGCCCCGCGGCGGCCGACTTGAAATTTTGGTGGAGCAGGGCCGATTGCGGGGCAGTCTCTGGGAACTTTTCCGTAGGGCTGAGCGGCCGCCGCTCGACAGTGACTCTAACTCGAACCACCGCGTCCCTCGCCCACAAACTACACAAAAGACGACCCCTCAGTCCGAGGAAGCGGTACCCAGCGAGCCATTCGCAGCCATGGCGTGCGTTATCAAGGTCCCCTGCTCGTCCGCCAACATTGGCCCCGGTTTCGACGTCATCGGCCTCGCCCTCTCCGTCTACCTCGAGTTGCACGTCAAGCCCGACCCTTCCGCCGAGCAGCTCAATTCGCTCGCCTGCCGCATCACATATGAAGGTGAGGGCGCGGACGAAATCGATCTCGACCCCGATGTCAACCTCGTCACCCGCGTCGCCCTCTATGTCCTCAAGTGCCATGGCCAGCGAAAGTTCCCCGGCACCCACGTACACATCAAGAACCCAATTCCCTTGGGAAGAGGCTTGGGAAGCAGCGGTGCCGCAGTGGTAGGACTCGCCTGAACTGTGCGACCTTGCTGCGAGCTGTGGCTAGCCTGAACCTGGCGGGCGCGAGAGAGGCGGCTATATCGTATGATCACCGCTGCACCCGCTGGATTTCGGCTGGCCATTGGCGGCGGCAAGATATCAACATGCATTGTACCGGCTGATACATGTCTAGGTTGCCGGTGTGAGTCTCGGAAATGAGGTCGGAAACCTGGGACTGTCCAAGGCCAGAATGCTCGACTACTGTCTCATGATCGAAAGACACCCGGACAACGTCGCTGCCGCTCTGTACGGTGGTTTCGTCGGTACATACCTGAACGAACTCGACCCCGCCGACATGGCCCGTAAGGAGATTCCGCTGGCCGAGGTCCTGCCTGAGCCTGCTGGTGGTATCGACACCGGCCTCCAGCCCCCGGAGCCGCCGCACAACATTGGTCACTACAAGAAATTCAAGTGGGCTAAGGAAATCAAGTGCATTGCTATTATTCCCCAATTCGAGGTCTCTACGGCCAAGGCGAGAGGTGTTCTGCCGGCCCAGTACAGCCGCGCCGACCTGGTCTTCAACCTGCAGAGAATAGCTCTCCTGACCACCGCCCTTGGTGAATCTCCCCCAGACCCTGACATGATCTACGAGGGTATGCAGGACAAGATCCACCAGCCTTACCGCAAGACTCTTATCCCCGGTCTTACTGAAATCCTTCAATCTGTCACCCCCAAGTCGCATCCTGGTCTGCTTGGTATCTGCTTGTCTGGTGCTGGCCCTACCATCCTTGCACTAGCCACCCACAACTTTGACGACATTGCCAACCACCTCATCAATGAATTCAAGAAGGAGAACATCACTTGCATCTGGAAACTCCTCGAGCCCGCTGAGGATGGTACCACTGTCACCCGGGAGACGCCTGCCCAGCAAGAGGCCATGACCTATGCTTCTGCTGGTGTGAGCATTGATGCCGGCAACGAGCTTGTCCAGCGTATCAAGGCCTCAGTCAAGTCGACACGTAGAGCTGGTGCTGACGCCGAGATTGGTGGATTCGGCGGCACCTTCGACCTTGCTGCTGCCGGCTACAAGGAGGCACCCATCCTTGTCGGTGCCATTGACGGCATTGGCACCAAGGTCAAGATTGCATTCGACATGGGCAAGCATGACACCGTTGGTATCGATCTTGTTGCCATGAACGTCAACGACCTTGTGGTCCAGGGTGCTGAGCCGCTCATGTTCCTCGACTACTACGCGTGTAGCAAACTGGACGTTGACGCCGCTGCCGCCTTCGTCCATGGTGTTGCTGAAGGTTGCAAGCAGTCCAACTGCACTCTTGTCGGCGGTGAGACCGCCGAGATGCCCGGTCTGTACTCTGCTGGCGAGTATGACGCTGGTGGTGCCGCCATTGGTGCCCTTGCTCGCAACCAGCCCATCCTCCCTGACACGGCCTCCATGGTCGAGGGCGACGTCCTTATCGGCCTCGCCTCTAGCGGCCCGCACTCTAACGGCTTCTCCCTCATCCGCAAGATCGTCGAGCGTGCTGGCCTCTCTTTCCACTCTCCCGCGCCCTGGAGCCAATCCGGCGAGTCTGTCGGCGTTGCTCTCCTCACGCCCACTCGCATCTACGTCCGCCCGCTTCTTGCCGCGGCACAACAGCGCCTCCTCAAGGGTATGGCACACATCACTGGTGGTGGTCTGCTCGAGAACATCCCGCGCATGCTGCCTAACCACCTCCAGGCCGTCGTTGACGCCGCCACCTACCCCGTGCCGCCCGTCTTCCGCTGGCTCAAGCAGGCTGGTGGTGTCGAGGACAGGGAGTTCTCGCGCGCGTTCAACACCGGTCTCGGCATGGTGTGCGTCGTTGACAAGAGCAAGGTGGCCGAGGCGACCAAGGCGTTGGAGGCGGCTGGTGAGAAGGTCTACGTGGTTGGTGAGCTGGTGAAGAGGACTGAGGGCCAGGAGGGCTGCGAGGTCAAGAACATGCAGGCCTGGAACTAAAAGTATGTATACAAGTGAGGGCTCATTCAGTGTTTTCCGGTCTTGGTTCTTTTTCAGTATTGCATGAGTAAAACGGAAACCGTTAGATCATGAAGGTTTGGATAGCTTAGGGAGAGCTAGAAAACGGTAGACAAAAGAGCATGAATTTGATTTTCTTTTGATTTGATAGGCTGATATCCTTGTCTTGTATGCCCCATTTTGTGCAAAGTTCGGACCACCAGTCACTTCCCATTTTTACTTGATTATGTTCACTTCCATGCTCAGCACTTTTTCTAATGAAACCGCAGATCGAATTTGAAGAAAAAAAAAGTGTTTCTTCGATCTTCCATTTTTCGACTCCTCATCCGCAACGACTCCACCATGAACCGGACCAACTTCACCCCTTCCATCTAAACCTTTTACCGCGGCTTTTTTTTTTCTTCCTCTACATTTCGCTCACGGCGAATGCCATCTATCACACCGTTACGGATCGCCTTTTAATCTCCGCCCACATGGATACAATGATGGTCGCTAATCAATTCCCCAGACGGGAAGCCGATATCGCAACCACGGCGCTTTTTTTGGGTTTTCCTTTACCTCTCACCATCCGGAGCAGCCGACTCGATTGGCATCGGCGTCTTCGCGATTGGGCCATCGGGATCGTACGTAGCCGGACATCGGCATCGGTGGAGCGGAGGGAAAGGGCAACGGAAAACAGCACGGGGAGATTCCAGTGTTGGGAGTTGCCGGCGATGGTGGGGCCTTTGCCGGGTGCGTGAGTGAGCCGACGCCGAGGGATCGGCTCGAGCATGGGGTTCTTCGGGCCTGGTCGATGGGTTCGGCCGGTAGAGAGGGGCGGTGCTGAGAAGGCGTTTGCCGGGGGGCAAGGTGAGTGGTGAGTGGTGAGGTTTTTCGTCAATAATGCATGCTTCCGGTTTGGGAGGTGACCACGAGACTGAAGTGCGCCGCAGCGAGAAGGCGACAAGGGCGAAGCAGCAGACTCTTTCATTTGACATCTCGGCATACTCTAGCAACTTACGTATTTAAATTGCGAAAATATTTAGAACATGTCATTCTGTGTGCAAAGGTGTCTCAAACAATACACTCTGTGCCCACACAGCAGGAAATTTGGAGAGTCTTCTTCGGACACTTCGACGTCTCCTTTCAGGCATGATGCGTGACGAAAACAAAAGGTACTAGTAGGTTAATATTCTGCTGGGCCACGTCATAACATGGATATGCTGTTTTTCAGTATCATTAAACATTGAAGAACCATTGTAGTCTCCTAGTAAGCAAGAGTGAAACAATATGCGTTATTATCCACGGCATGACTGAGAACATCCTCCACAAAAGACAAGTCTTCGTGATAGTGAAGTCGACCAGCAGACAGTACCTCTAATCCTTCGTATGGATTCTTCGCTTTTGTTGCTATGGAGTGTGATCGGACGCCCACAAACGAGCTTTTATATGAACTTGCATAGGTGTAAAAGCGCAGGTGTGTGCTGAATGACGCGGAAATATTGATTCGCGTGGCTAGTAAACTCCACATCTGGGTTGCGGATCCGCCTGTTCCGTGTATTTTGGCGGTTAAGATTAGTGCTGAAGTGGTACACTTTAACTCCGTATGGTGTGAGTTTCTAATTATATTTCCTGACCACAACTACATGTCTCGCAGAGCTTGTTGATAGTCCAAGATGAATATTTCGCGCATGATACTTTAAAATGGTTGAATCTAGATCCCGGACAGCGGAGACATAAAATTATGATTTGCAGAACATTCGAGTTAAACTTCATGCAAGGTAGTTAGACACAGCCATGAATGCAAATAGAAGCAGTACTCGGTGATTCAATACGCGGCCGCAGCAAATAGAACCTCAATACAGTCTATGCAAAGGGTACAATGGACAAGCTGCCAACCTTTTTTCCATGTATGTGTGAAGAACATGGATAGCAGTACCACGGCGCAGCCGTTCCTGCAGATAAAAAGACTCAATGCATTGCCCACTTTTAATTTAAGACACGGCAGAAATGTGGAAATATGAAGAACTAAGGCCGGGAATAACAGGATCATCTACATGTAAATGCATGTGTGGTAGACAACCATCAAGCTACCCTTTAGCTTCACGCGGAAAGGCGGGGCGGCACGCATATTAGCGCTCCATCCCCCACAGAAGTACGTACGTAAACATCCGCTTGGTGTACCACGATATACGCCACCATGAGGCTTTTAACTGCAGTGGAGTTCCGCTCAGCGTTGCAAAGGAAGCGGGTCGAGAGAGGCTTTTGTTTTAGCTGATTCACAGTCGGCACTCGTTCCATGGTTGTCCTAGACCAAGGCAGAAAGCTTTTCCAACGGCAATGAAAGGTTCAATTCAATGAAGCGGGAATTGTAAAATTAGTGGTAGAGCAGTAGGCGTAGGCTACTTCAAATAAAAACTCAGACGCCACAAAAAGCAAAGTCTCAACCCTCGGCTCAAAGAAGAGCCGCTGGCTCCCAAAAGAACATAGAATGAGTAAACAGTTTGCAAGTATACGCCAGGTATGTATTCTACGTCATCAAGCGGGGCGAGCTAGTAAATTTCAGCCGCTTTGCCCAGCGCGTACAGCGGCCCTGATGCAATGACGTCCTATCACGTACATGCGCGCAGCACTCCGGTAGCCGAACGGGCCAGAACAATTTCTTTATTTTTTCCTTCCAAACAAAAAAGAAGAAGCAGCGGATCTACGTAAAGCTGGTGGCCTTCTTCCATTAGCGCGGCACAAGAAACAGATCCTCCGTCACATCATACTGCAGCTCCGTCCCGGGACCGCTTAGCATGAACGACCATCGCCGATGCCTCGGAACCGAGCAGGGAAAAAAAGCAAAGATCAAGGTCACCACACCACCCACAAAACATCAGAAGATAGTAATCGGCGCGGCATTGTGTCCGAAGGAGTGGTTAGGTGATTGTCACGCTGATGAGACCGCCTCACTCAGCCATGTAGCAGCGTCCATCTGACTACCATTCCTGTCTCTTGTTTCTCCGAACTGGCAACGTGACCTTTGCCCTGACTCTGATTCCTTCGCGCGCGCCTCCTCCCGTCCGAACGACAGATCTCAGCCTCGTCCGCCCTGTCGGAAATATGGCCGCGCCATGTCTGAAAGGTAAAACGCCAAAGAACATGCGATCGTCATTAGGTTGTGGTGTAAACCGGGTTTCGTCAGCAACAACGGAGAAAACCAACAACCACGCAGCACGATGGCCAGAACAAACGAACGACGAAGCTAAGTGCGGTCAAAGCTTCCTCACGATCCTATGGTGGGGACCCACGGCCTGGAGCAAGAAAAGAAGCAGCGAGAGGAAAGCAGGCAGAACCCTGTCATCGCGACCCTCAATTCATCCCACAAGCCGGGACAACGGCACGAACCAACGCAACTCACGGCGCATCGGCCGAAGAACCCAAACAATCCGGAAGCTAGGATGGCAGCCCAAAAGGATTGCAACTCAATCGCCTGCGCGATATAGTTCGCGTGCGTGCGTTGCGTGCGTGAGTAGCAAGTGCGTGTGCGTGCGTTGCGTTTCCAACCTTCTTTCCTCTAAACTCTGTGACAGATGACTAGCGACAACGCCATACGGACGGACGGTGTTTGTGCCGTAGTCCCGTTGTGGTCTAGGCACAGGAAACCCTCGGATAATCCCTTAAACGAACGAGGTCCTGTGGTAGCGCCGTTCGGAGCAACCCTCCCGAAGGAAAGCGAGGTCGACTAAAGAATGCTTAGCTTCAGGCCAACGCTGAGAGGACAAGGAAGTGGCCTCGAGCAAGAAGAAAAAAACATCAAGACCCCAGGCCGTGCGCAGACCCCGCCGCGGTGCGTTCGTAAGAGCTGAATGAGGATGGACAGCCATGGAGCAGCACGCGTATGCAAACCAAGCCGGACTGCGTTAGCGATTGGGTTATGGCTTTTCTGCGAGTAGACGACGACGACGGTGTGGCGAGGCGAGTTCAGCCCAGGAGCCGAAGCGTCTCTTTAGCGCAGACGCCGCGTGTTGAATGGTGCAGCGCTTCTTTGTGAGCAAGTTCAGGGAAAAACATGGAGCTATGCACGTATTCGGGAGCGGCCGCCGTGGCTTGCTGTCCATCCCACGTTTCGCGCACGCGGAGGTCGTGGTCTGCCATCCAACCAAAAAATTCATTGCCCCCTTCCCCCTCTTTATAGTTGAAACCGGGGAAGGGGATGCGACGGCAAGGGTTTCAAGAAATAGAGAGAAGAAGGAGAAGAAAAGAAGCTTAAAAGAAAATATTAAAATGAAACGTAGACGCCCGTGGAGCCTTAAAACCAGGTGGGTATGCTGTCGGAGCCACATCCACGAACGAACGGGTGATCTGAGCTGATAGCTTGCCGCGTTTCGTACCGATGTTTGGAGATGTTGAAGCATGACCATGGGGAGAGAACAGAGCCATGGTGAAAACGATGTCTCGTCCAGCGCGAGACCAAACAACGCCCCTACCCCCCACACGGAGGCGACGTGGCGTGGATTCAAAGGGCGGGCGTTTTCGATATACTTGGCAGCTCTTTTTGTTGTGTGGTGTTTGGCGTTGTTGTGGCGCGGCGGATCTCGGTGATCAAACACGCGCCTCAAAAGCAAGCGCAAGCGCCTGATCCTCTCCTTTTCTTTACCCCTCTTCCTTCACGGAGAAGCGCCGAGCTGCCGCCCCCTCGATTCCTTCAAGCCATCAAGCCACGGATCTACGGCGCATATCGGACGTGGTGCGGCTGCTAGATGCCGAAGCGCCTCCTCCAACGCTGTAGGATCGAGGGAGCGGCAAACGACGAAAAAAAATAAAAACAAAAAAGGGTCTTCGGCTCACAAGGTCCGGTCACACCAGACTTTGACGCGACGCCGCTTGTGCGCCGCCGTTAAGAGGCCGTAGTGTACCATGTTTCCAACTGAGCCACGCGGTCGCGCTGGAAATTGGGTCGTTGGGTTGAAAAATTATCGCGCGGACGGACAATAATACGACGAGTACGACTGGGCGCG